ATACATACAAGCTCTGTCGCCGCAGGATGCTTCTCAGACACAAACTGCATCATCACACGGCACGCATGCAGCTCCGGATGTCCAGCTTTCTTCGCTTCCTAACGCCGATGCTGACAACTCCGCTATGCCACGCGAAGACGACGCTGCCCAGGATCCATCAGGGGACACTGTTATGTCTCCCGCTCCCGATCTTGCTTCCGCTGAACACCCTACACAAGCAGACAATGTAATAGCATCGTCATCGACGACGCAGATGCCTTCGACCGAAAGTCAATTCCCTTCGCTGGATACAGGCATTTCAGTCTACGCTGCTCCTTCCAACAATACCCCATTTGCCGCAAGACAAGCTTACAATGAGGCTGACTACCTGCCCTCTGTTGAACATGCCAACGCGCATCAAGCTAGTCTCACCAAACTGGGCAGAAACACACGTCTACTGTCTGACAAAGAGATCGCTGCCAATAGTGCAAGCAAGGCGGCCGCTCTCGACGAGATCAAGACTGCGACTCTTCGCATTCGCTTCCCGGACATGTTCTCGGTCGAATGGAGAGCCACACAGACAGACACATCCGAGTCGCTCTACACGAAGGTCAAAGAATTGCTCGATGACCCTTCGCTCAGGTTCAGGCTCCAAATGACTGGCTCTCAGATGAAGCCACTCGTTTTTGACCCTACAAGTCAGCAAACGTTGATCAAGGATCTGGGTATCAGAGACCGTTCTCTTATCGTGTTCGTTTGGGACGACAGTGTAACGAAAGACATTCGTGACAGGCCACTGCTGAAACAGGCACTGAGAGGACAAGCCAAGGAGCTTCAAGTCAGCGAACCAGTTGCAGAGGAGGAGGCCAAACAAGCTCCTGCACCCAAGACTGAGGAACCTAAGAAGAAGCCCACACTCTCGTTTGCAGACAAAGAGGCTAGACTGAAGAAACTCATGGGCTTTGGTAAAAAGAACTAGAGCGTGACGAATCGCATTTGAGCAAGCAAGTTAGTCGTTCTCTTAATGATTGGAATGAGATAATCTGTAACTAATTGTGATACACAAGGTCGCTTGTTCTCATCGTTCTGCTACTGCCGTTCGCTGTCCGCTTGGCTCTCGGTCTGAACATTCGTGACCACACTTTTCTGTATCTTTGTCGTCGCTTCATGGCTGGTTATCGCTTTTCTTGATTGATGCTCCCCTTTCCATTGTCACCTTCCTTGTTTGTCTACCTTTCTCTCCGTCGCTCCTTCCTCATGTTCGCTCCTTCCCCTTTACTTCTAAAGATCGCTTTTTCTATCTGCATCGTACCTTCCTCCTATCTGTATCGCTTCTTCCTTTCTTGTATCGCTGCTTCCTAGTATCTTGATCGCTCTGTTTCTCTAACCCAGCGGCGCCTCTATCTTTAGCCATTAATCGCCCCTTTCTCGATCATGTTGTCTTCTAGGACGATGATCGTCGTACACTCCGCTCCAACATCTAGGGCTCAAGGTGGCGATGGGGAAAAGCATGTGCTGTTGTTGTGGTAGAATTGATCCGATATAAGGATGATCGACATGACGGTAAGATGTTTGAAATGAGGTCGAGATAGCATAATTTTGCTAGCCAACAGAAGTAGGTACTAACTTGCGGGCATGGTAGTTCTGAGAGACAATGGCCGTAAGAAGAATACCTATGGTCATTTAGGTTGAAAATGATGATTCGAGCATATCTGTCCCCTCCAGTCAGAAGCATACAAGTGTTGTCGAGTGTGACTTGGTCAAGAACCATACAATGAGAGGAGACTACTTAATTAGTCTAGATCATTTGACACAAGTTATCACAAGAAAGGCATTCATTCTAGGAACATTTTCTGAAGCATGATCGTATGTACCATTTCCAAGACTCGCAAATGTTATAGTAGACCGGGAGGATAAAGAATCTACGATCTATGCCTCTTCTACTTTCTTGTCCATCTCTCTTCCCTACAATTGGCAAGATGGCCTGTATGATTGCGGTGCTGTGGTGCGTACTGCTCACTGTTCCACGGTCTAAGTCTCTTTTGCGCCAGTTTGTTTCGGCCTGTTGAGCGCTGAGAGTTTGTTGATGTTTTGTTCCTCTTTATGAGCAAAAGTCTCTTGCACATGCATCTACCGAAACCCACAATACCTTGATGATAGACCTCTAGACCTTCTGACTCTGCAACACGGGCAGTATGTACTATTACCTTCCAGTAGCAGTATATGAAACTTCAATCTTTCCTGTTTGGTTACATGCTGGATTTGACCATCACCTGGCGTTACGCTAGACATGAACACGTTTCTGTCAGAGTTTGATACCGTCTGGAAAGGCGTCTATGTGAACATCATTCTGATGACTTCATGAACCGATGTCGTAGCTGATATAGCAAGGTAGATAGCATGTTAGCCATATTAGCGACCCAGCAGGCACGGATTAATGACAATGGAAAGACACTTCTCATGCGGATGATTACGGCGGCTATTGGTCTATCCTCGTTAGTGATTTCGATCGAGTAATGTGTCTATCGATATATGCTGCTGCGTGCTTCACGGGCGATTGATAAGCATCACAGGACCTCCATTGCAATAACAGGTAGTGGTATGTTGGCTGATGTGATAGAATCAAGGTGTGTAACGGGGTGTCAGCCAATGAATGTGATAGAGCGTGTCCCATAAACGAATTCAATGTTCCCTCGATAGGTCATCGACGATGTTTGATGCCTTTGATGGTGGGTGACAGCCCTTTCCACGTCTACGTCAAAACAGGTCGTGCGCTCAAGCCTGGCAGTGTCATGAATATAGTGAATAGTGCATGGCCGACAAAATCGTGGACCGGAAAGATAGTGGTATCGATATAACAAACACTTCAACACAAACGCCATCCCAGAGTCCCTATTAGGTTGTCCTCCTGTTCCCCAATCCTTGCCCGCACCCAGAAAATGACCCGAACCCGAGAGTGTTCTCTCTAATAAGCAGTGTATGCAGGAGGCGTGTACTTGAACTTTGCCGGCTCTGGCGTCACGACCGCCGCATCACCAGCTTCCAGATCGATGGATTCTCCATTCGCTTCTCGCATGGCGGCTGCTTCACGTGCACGTTCTGCCTTGTCGACCTGCACGCGTTTCATGTCTGATTGGATGCCCCTGTTGTAGAGTCTGGGAATGTACCACCAGATGAAGGCTAGGCATACGACACAGAGACCTGCGAGAACGCCGACGGGGATGGCCCAGGATTTTGCGCTGCCCATGATGACTGTGTTGCGATGGTCGTGTAACGTAAGAAGAGGCCAGATGTACGATAGTGGGTGATGTGGTGCAACGACTGAGCCAGATGGTTCGACTTGGCTTGCAGAAGCTTTGCTCGGCAGGTGAAGCTTTGTCTGGGCAATGTCAGTTTGGAGATTGGTATATCTGGAGGTGCGACGGACGTGGTGGACTTTACAATATCCCGACTTTATGTAGCTTGAGCCTGGCTGTGATCGTGTGAGTCGAGTTCAGTATTGGTTGTTTTGAGTGAGGTAGGGAGAATCAAAAGACCAAAATGACACTCGTCTTGCGCCCGAGGGAAGGCGCGCCTATATTGCGGCAGGCGCAGGCAAACCTACCATAGGAGCGGGGTCCCCGAAAGCCACCACGTTGTAAGTACAGGGTACCGTCCAGCGTAGGATTCGATCTTCCGAATCGATTCCATCACACCTACCAGACGTGCTTACCAGCCGACAGTGCTGCTTCTTGAATAGAGAGAACGCATGCCCAGTGATAACAATCTGCTCACTCGTCTTCATCATTGCACTGTCGACGAAGAACTGGAGAGATGCGGAGTCCCCGGTGCAGTATGCAGACAAGCATTGGTCAAGCATCTTAACGTTGTGGAGGAGCGCGGGCTAGCGACGAGGCGTGTCATGGATTGTCCACATCGAGTCGAATACACGAGGTTTGGCGAAGCGTAATTGACCACAACACACACCTCATGGCCACGCATACGTCAAAGTGTCAGCTGGCTAAAGGTATTGAGCCGTGTTATCCGGGGTACCTTATGAAGAAGGCTGAGGCTCTCCATGAGCATGATGAGCGAGTCCAGTGATTTACGACCACCTAAGAGATGGTAGATATTGGTTTCTATACTCTTCAAATTGTACAAAGGCCTGGCGTCGCATTTGACATGCGCGTTTGAAGCAGGTCTTATTAGAAACTGTGGTTCGTCATGGCAAGAATCATATCCGCGGAACGACTTTCTGGAGTCGACATTTTGCGGGAAAAAGCGAGGCTATCACGCAGTTATATATCGCGAATTGCCTGGAGGAGGTGCGCTCTCTGTACTGACCGACGTTCAGAAGCAAGCGAAAAATCTCACGACCTCTATCTCGTCAGCGCTAGATAGGCGAGCAAGTAAGATGCCGTGGACAAAATGCAAAACATACAGCAGCAGGGATTCCCACGTGGTCACCCACCGTAGTACTAATCTGCCGTTCAACTGCTTATGTATGGTAGAGCGGACGGGATGCCCAGTTTTCAGCTGACTGTGGCCGTATGTGTTAGAATTGCTAGTTATTAAATCTATAAACAACACAATGTTGAATAAGGTAGTCGAACTAACCTACGTCTTTCATTTGTCTACGAGCACACAGATCCATCTAATAAATGCTTGGATCCTACTAGACCTCGAGGCACCCCTCGATATGCTCATAATCTCTAGTCCCCTAAGCCCGTCATTCTCGAAGCTTAACTAGGTCAACTTAGTGGCAGCGGAGTGCATGTTTCGTCTACTAGAATCTGGTCTTTCCATTGCATATCCATGCCTGGTATACTGCCATCGAGCAAAAGGCGGTGAAGGGCCAAGACTCAAAGTCAATCTCCCCCGAGGCCGGTCGTGGGGCTTGGTGGGGTCCTCACTCGCCCAAACGTCTCGAACCTCTCTGCAGTTATATTGCGGCGGGGCAGAACCAGACGACAGCCAACAATTTTCCCCCTCCTCACCTTTCCTTGTCTTGTTGAAACATAACATAAAAAACACATCACACAATGTCTGCCGCCAAGAGAAGCCCCCCCTTCAGAGCCGAGCACGTTGGCTCATTGCTCCGTCCTGATGAGCTTGTCCAGAAGCGTTACGCTGTGGCCGCTGGCAAGGCTGACGCTGAGGAATTGAAGCCTATTGAGGACAAGTCTGTCACTGAGGTTGTCAAGCTCCAGAAGGACTGTGGTTTCCATGCTGTCTCGAGCGGCGAGTACACCAGGTATGTATTCTTTCTCTTACTTCAATAATTGCTTTCTGCAAGAATGTCATTGTGTCTTGCTTCTCATTCTGTTCAATTTATTCTCTCAAATATCTTGAGTTGCTATAAAAGCTGCATATTGGAAAAAAGATCGCGGAAAGATCATAACAAGAACGAGCAAATGAACGAATTCTAACTTGACATCACAATTAAANGACATATGTTCTGGGGTACTTTCTTCGAGGAGCTTCACGGTATGGAGGACCGCCAACTCGGTGTCCTCAAGGGCTACGACGCCTCCATGTTCCGCGACTACGCACCCGACGTAAAGTCCTTCCTTGAGGCCAAGGAGATCCCCAACGCTGTGACCGTGTGCGTCGGCAAGATCAGCCACCCCGGCCACACCAGCAATGCCCGCGAGCTCGAAGTCATGAAGGCCAACGTGCCCGAGGCTGAGTGGAAGAACATCAAGATCACCGTCATCTCTCCTTCGTGGTACCACTTCCGCTACCGTGCTGGCCGCGCTTACCCTCAGGAAGTCTACGCCAACGACGAGGAGTACTTTGCCGATGTGGCCAAGGCATACCAGACCGAGTTGAAGCTGCTGCATGACGCCGGCATCCGCAACATCCAAATCGACGACCCCAACCTCGCCTACTTCTGCTCCGAGGCCATGCTCACCGGCTGGAAGGCCGACATGGGCAACACAAAGACCGCCGACGGAATGTTCGACGCGTACGTAAAGTTCTACAATGCCTGCTTCGAGCGCCCCGCAGACATGCACTTGGGCATCCATCTCTGCCGTGGCAACTACATGGGCAGCCGCCACTTCAGCGAGGGCGCCTACGACAACATTGCCTCCAAGCTCTTCAAGGACCTCAATGTGGACACTTACTACCTCGAATACGACACTGCCCGCGCCGGTGGCTTTGAGCCCCTGAAGCACTTGCCCAAGAACAAGAACGTCATCCTCGGTGTCATCACCAGCAAGTTCCCCGAGCTCGAGGACAAGGAGAAGATGGTGCAGCGTGTGTACCAGGCTGCCGATTTCATTGCCGAGGGCAGCGGTCAGTCCAGAGAGGAGGCTCTTGAGCGCGTGGGTGTCTCGCCTCAGTGTGGATTTGCTTCTCACGCCGAGGGCAACTCGCTCGGCTACGAGGACATGCGCAAGAAGCTGCAGCTCGTCAGAGGCATCGCCGACCAGATCTGGCCCAGCCAGCCTTAAGCCGAAGCCTCTGCTTATCGCATTCTTTCTCATTCTTTTCCATTTCATTGAACAAAAAGAAGACAGCTCTTGGGAACCCCTTTCTTGGAAACCTCCCAAACCTTGGGTGGGAGTTATATCGCATTCCCATTTTCCTTGTCATTCCACAACATTCTAACGGCTATTCAACAAGCACGAGTCACAAAAGATACCAACGACCTCACAAAACGTACATACAAAACCTCATAATCTCAACATCTTCTCTATATATTCTAAGCATCTACAAATCTCCAAAGTCCCACCATTCATTGAACATCCTTCCCGAATTCTGATCCAAGAACTCGGTGATGGCGGCGAGATTTTGATCGTTGAAGGCCATGTAGTTGGGATCCGCTGGTGTCGAGAACTGGGCTACCCCAGGCATAAAAGTAGGTTGTTGACCTGGTGTTGCAGCAATCATGGAAGTCGTGGTGGCTGGATTGGGAACAGGGGGTCTGGCAAATGACGGGCCTACAGAGCTTTGGAACCCATCGGCAGAGGTGATGTTTTGGACTGTTGAGGCAGTGGGTCGCACCATCGACGTGGCATCCCTGGTTACAGCTTCATGTGCAGGCGTGGCAAATTCTTTGCTGAAGAGGCCTTGCCCGGCAGCGGTGGATCTGCTTGGCGAGTTGAATATAAGAATGTCCCAGAGAAGGTCTTGTTTGCTGCCGCCTGAAGCTGTAGGCTGAGGGCTCGTTGAGCGACGTGATGTGTCCATTGCTTCGAGCCTGTCTAGGGCTTTCCTCTGTGTATCGTGTCAGCTTTGTCGGCATCAATGCGGCAATAAAGGGGGTCATCATACCATGCGTTCGACGTTTTTGAGCAGCGATGAAAGCTCCCCCAGTTCTTGTCGGCCCTTGAACAATCCCTTCTCGGCATTCTGTCGTAAACTTTGTATCTCTGCATTGCGATAGTGGATAAAGACTGTAATGGCGACCGAGATGCAGTAAGCCAAGAACGGGTCCGAGACATTGACATCCTTCTCCTCGAGAAGGTCCAAAAGACGGATGATCCAGTTCGAGTGCACGACCACTTGGTCCGAAGTCGACTGACTGAAGGTCCTGGGGCATCTTCCAGCAGCAGCTATACGCAGCGATATGAGGAAGGGATGGTTAAGCAGCATATGGATCGTGTGATACATGAACTGGTTCACCAACCAGCAGCTCCAGAAAGCCCAGTTCTGCTCGATGGCCTCCTTGGAATGCTGTGTCATCTTTGTTCTGTCAAATCTATATTCTGGATAGAAGTTCGATTCCAACTCCAGGATATCGGCCTGGATTGCAGCATAGTCTGATTGTTGTTGCCATGGTGCATGTGGGAGTGCACCACTTTTCGTGTCTGTAACATACTTGGCGGCCTTCTTGAATATGTCAAACATCGGCAATGTGTTGATGATGATACCAGGGACTGGACCGTCGGCCACGATGTTCTGCGAAGATGGCGATACTAGTTCTCCTCGCGAAGTCGCGTTGGGACTGACTGGTTTGAAAGAAGCATGGTAGGTGATGCTTTTTGCGCCCAATGTCAGGGTTTGTAGGTTGAACATATTCTCCATGATGGCTATGCTCCAGAAGCAACGTCTTCTCTCCTCAAGCTCAACTGAATTGTTGATGACCACCTGTGGATCGAGAAGGCCAGATGTTTGGGCGAGGGAGATGGCGTTGGCAAGGAACAAGTGCGATCGCAGCCCATTGTCGTCTNNGGTGTGGTTAGCCACGGCATAAGTACAAGATGGAACACACATACTCGTAAAGTCTAAGAAAGACAGCAATACAAACGCCTGTATCGTGCTCAGTCTGACGTCCCCGGTTAGCACCCTGCCCAGTGCTAGTTCTCTTGCACGATGAGCATTAGCCTCACACCAATTGTCGACTTCTTGACCTCGTGCATTGAGACGGCCTGCCATTGCGAGAATGGCAAATTGGACCTCTGACCCTCTTGTGGGGTAGTCCTTCTCCAGGTTTGGATGGAACAACGGAATAGGTTGACAGTTCCATTTCCTCAAAAGGATGGGTACAGCAATCTCAAGACGATCAGGCTCATGAGGTATTGGCAGTCCTGATGGAGTGGTGCCATCGGGCATCTCGAGTGATCTGCGTCTTGATGACGGTACCCTGGGTGATGCTCGCGAGCTTTCTACATGAGACTCGAGTGGTGTACGCGGTAGTATTGTAGGTGGTGTACCAGGTNNCTTTTCAAGTTAGCACTGCCCTGAGAGATATGTGCAGTCATCTACAAACATGGCTTTGAGAAGAGATTCGAGTTTGTGTTCCAATTCCGAGAAGCGAGCATTNCTTTATGTCCAGTCAGCACGATGCCCAGATACCATGTGTTTGATTGAAACGGATTATAGGGCAAGTATTTTCAGCCCAGCTTGCGATAACAAACTTACCATTCGTCGCTCGATAGCGGCCGATCTGACCTCTGGCATAGATCCATCATCCGCATAAACACAAGTCTGTTTCAACCTTGTGCAAAGGGAACATGCAGGCTTCTCTCCGGGACATCTCGACTTCTTGCGCCTNGTCCTCAACAATATCAGTCTGGCCCCTGTGAAAGTCTTGAAGTCGTTATAGAGGGAGACATACCGACAGGCTTCACAAGCCTGGGAGACACGCTTAGGAGGCCGCCCGCTCTCCGGCGTTTGTTGCACACTACTGTTCTCCATACCTATTGGATGGTGTTGAAGGGACAAGGCGGTCCGGTGTGCCGTCCCTTGTGTCTCTCTGTACGGGAGCAGGCCGGTGTCGCTGAAGACTGTTTCGCGGCCCGTGTTGCTCCGCTCAGAGAACGCCAAGCACAGAGTTCACTTGTGACTTCCTTGCTCAAACCAAAAATCGGGCCGGCTTCCGTCATCTCTGGTTTCGTTATCGCGAGAGTAATCGCGTGAGGACACAGATCGCAGGGAAGAAGTCGAGATTTGACGTCTGTGATTCGTTCTTGGATCAGGCGATATCAAGAGATGGTTATGTGCAAAATATCTCAACCTCTGGGGACGGCTAGCATTCCGATGAAGAGATATCGAGATATCTTCCTTGCAGTGGATTGCACGGGTGTACCATCTAGAACTACTGCAAACCCATTCCGATAAACTGCTATTCAGATCAATCTACCCATTTTCACATTGACAAGCTTCTTCCGTCTACAAGTCAACAACTTCTACGCTTCTGGTGCGAGACAGAGGACCAGTCTGAAGTCTGTCGATACACCAACGAGATGGAGCCATCAGAGAAGTCACAACCAGCGACAGAACCATATGAGACCGAAATCAAAGAGATACACGAGACTACCTGGAGTTCAACAAGCTCTTCGAGTGCTTCGCTCAGTTCAATTCAGAATGAGGGAAGTGTAGACGAACAGAACGATCACACCGTAGCCTTCGCAGATCTCGAGCCGACTGCTTCCAGAAGCATACCGACACCACCGCAGTCACACTCTGCATACTTTGATCCAAAGTATGAGATCAGGTGGGAGGAGAACGATGTCGAAAATCCTAAGAATTGGTCGGTCTGGAGAAAGGCGCATACTATTTTTGCTTGCACGACTGCGAGTTGTACAGTGTGAGTCTCCTGATGACGTTGTTTGTGGCTGGTACTGACACAGTGTGTGCAGTNNGTGTTGTACTCTTCCGCATATACCTCAGGCATTTCTGGCGCACATAGCATGACTGTAGAGCTTGGAGTGTCTAACTCGCTAGTGTCTCTTTCGGGCTTGTCAACGTACCTCTTCGGTATGGCTTTTGGAAGCATGATCTGGGCTCCGCTGAGCGTAAGTCAACATAGTGCTGCCATTTTTGAGCATCTCTGACCTTTTCTCAGGNAGATGTTTGGCCGCCGGCCGGTGTACATTTCGACGCTTTTCGCCTTCATGTTCTTCATTTTCCCCTGCGCCATTGCGAAAGACGTCTCGACCGTCCTTGTATGTCGCTTCTTCGCTGCGATGGTTGGTTGTTCGGTCGTATCAAATTCGCCAGGCACAATCAACGACGTCTCGAAAGACAAACACAGGGCGTTCACCTTCAGCTTTTGGTGCATCGGCTTGATGAATGGGCCCGTCCTTGGTCCGCTTATTGGTGGCTTCGTATTCGATAGTCTGGGCTGGCGATGGATCCACTGGATAACACTGATACTTGCCGGTGTATCTTTCCTGTTGATGGCAACGGTACCGGAGACATATGGTCCTACTCTCCTCAGAAGCCGTGCGGAAAAGAAGAGGAAGGACACTGGTGACAGCCAATGGTGGAGCCAGCATGATGAAAGGCGAGCATTCTGGCCCTTGCTTGGAGCATCACTCTGGAGGCCAATCTATCTCACCGCTACAGAGCCGATTCTCTGGTTCTGGGATCTGTATATCCTGATCATCTACTCGATGAACTGTAAGTAAAGCCGTATGCTAACAATGTCGAAACATGCTGACATGTGAACAGACTTGACGTTCGTAATCTACCCAAGAGTCTTTGTAGGACTTCGCGGGTGGTCGACCGGTCACACTGGACTCTCGTACCTTGGTATTGGTGTCGGCAATGTGTTGGTGATCGTGTGCGAACCGCTCCTCAGGAAGATGGTTCAACGCAGAAAGCTAGACACCAAGGGCAAGCCAACGCCCGAGTCACCAGTGTTCATCGTGTGTATCGGGGCAATCCTGGTACCAATCGGTGGTTTGATGTTTGCTTGGACATGTACGCCGGACGTGCACTACATCTGGCCAATCCTCTCGGGCATTCCATTCGGAGCAGGTACGACGGCAACATTCATCTATGGATCCAATTACATTGGACGTAGTTATGGGATGTACGCAGCGTCGGCCATGGCTGGTAATGTCTTGACTCGTACTATTGCTGGCGGTACGCTTCCGTTGGCTGGACCAGCGATATGGAATGCTCTTGGACCACACTGGCAAGGAACACTATTGGGATTATTGGAGATTCTCATCATTCCTATTCCGTTTGTGTTTTACAAGTACGGCCATCTGATTCGACTCAAGTCAAAGTTCATTAGCAGGATGGAGCAAGAAGCCAGGGGTGGAGAAAAGGGAGGTGCCTAATACGTAGATAGAGCAAACAAATCCTTCCCATGTGCTAGAGTCTGTAACTCTGCTCTCCTCCCGCAAGAACATGCGAAATGTACTTTATAAAAAGACACAGCCCCTTCTCGAAGCAGAAGAGTAGCCAAAGAGAGCCGGCAATATGTTGGCTTTGAGTGGATACAGCGTTGTTTCTCGATAGCACTGTGCATTTTAACAGCTACACGCGTTGCATACTTAGCACACGGTGAGGATAGAGTTTAGACATGATCAGAACGAATTAATGAGCACGAATCTCTCAGAAGGCAGGAGCGATCAAGAGAAGGAAGAAGTGAGAGGTCGAAGCTTTCTGCATGTCAAGCTCAAAAAGGCAGTGACAACAACCCCGCAGTCGAGCGACAACTCGCTGCCGTCACTTTTTGGTCAACGCTCGAGTCAATTATGGTGGCGCATACCATCTGATTCTTACATCAACCACGACAAAGACTCGGCCTAAACGAATGGCGGACGGGAAACCGAAGCGATCACTATTCAAACGCCCAACGTGGGCCGCGGCTGCACCGGCGCCTGCTTCAGCATCACCGGATCCGACAGCCAAACCGGAAGCGCCGACCGACATTTTCAGCCATTCGCATACATTCAGCGAGCTCGTAGAGGATCGTCAACGCCAGCGCCAACGTAAGAAGAGCGACAAGGATGTCTTGAGGCGGAGTCAGGCCAAGGAAGTGAAAGATGAAGAGTCGCGAGCGGGCAAGCGCCGGCGCATAAGCGATGAGGATGGCACTGAGCTTCCAACCAAGCCCAACCCCAAGGACACAGAAAGAAAGACGTCGATACAAGTATCTGCCGGTTCAGAAAGCTTTGCGATAGCTCCTACACCGCAAAAACCACGACCGCGCCAAGAGACAGTCATAGAATTGCTGGACGACTCGGATGACGATGAGCCCGTCAGCTACAATAATGCTTCGCACAATATCACTTCTTCGAATGCCACAAGTCTTGAACCCATACCTGCCGTAGAAGCCGATCCAGATGCTGACCTGGACGCCGTCTACTATTCCGACCCAGAGATGCGCGAGTTTGCCCGTCAGGCTCGTGAGAAACGACGACGAGAAGAGCGAGAGCGTACCGAGACTGGTGCTCACGATCCGACTGTCAAACTCCTCATCACCTCGACATTACCGGGCACCGGACCTCTGATCGTTTCTCGCAAGCTATCGCAGAATTTACAGGCTGTACGAGAAGCCTGGCTCAGCAAGCAGTCATTAGACCCGTCGACCGCCAGCCGTATCTTCTTCACGTTCAAGCTACGGAAGGTGTATGATGTGACTACCGTACGTAGTCTAGGAATAAAGGTGGACTCTTACGGTCGTATTATGACCGATGGACCTNTTGCCAATACCGACGACGAGCATGCCGAGAAGATTCATATCGAGGCCGTGACGGATGAAGCATGGCAACAGCTCAAGGACGAGAAAGCCGCGAGGGATGCGCCGAAACCGAACAAGTACCTGAGTAACGCTGCAGCTGCGGACGGCAGAGGTGCCAGCACCGAGGGTACACCTGCGGTGGAGGGAAAGGCTGCTGTCGAAGAACCTCTGATTAAGGTCACATTAAAGGCGAAGGGTCACTCGGATATCAAGATCAAAGTACGGCCGGTAAGTTCTTGTCCTCCATTCGCACCATATATGCTTCTGAATGCTTGCTGATTATTCGTTCGCAGANGCACAACCTTTGTGAAGATGATCAATGCAGCACGACGGAGTTTCAAGCTCGATGCTGAACGCGTTGTTCACCTCGAGTTTGACGGCGAAAGGCTGGAGCCGCCAGAAGGACTGGTCAAGGATACGGATATCTCGGATATGGATTGCATTGATGTTCATATCAAGTAAGATGCGGTGCTTTCTCTTTGTGGCGGGGTTGTCTTCTCGGACGGATGTGTTTTACTGTATTAGCTTTTCTTCCTTCTCGAGCGATGGCGTAAGGATTTGGGCAATGCTGGGTGGTGAGGCGTGTTTTCAAGCCACGGAAATGAGGCTTGGTTTGCGATTGATGTCCATAGTCGTTCATGACGATCTTTGATCTTTGATCTTCCTCTGCACTTCCTTTCGATGTGTTGGTTGTAAAAAGCCTTGATATCTCCTCGTTCAGCGGCTGTGTGTATGTCACACCTCGCCATTATCTTTCTCCTGTTTGCGATCACCTCTGCGAGAGGTTCCTGGCTCCATCTGTAGCCCTATCCACAGCAGACGTCCACCCATCTCCGTTGCGTGTCCCAGTCCCGACTTGTGCCCTCGAAGCCCCTCATGCACAGCACACCCCATTTCTCTTTCTTCTTTCTTCCTCTTCGCCATCTCCATATCCTCTCTTACACCAAATGACTCGGCAGCAAGAAATTCGCAATGCCTTCCTTGACAGCATACTCGTGTCCACAATGCCCACACACCAACTTTCCATTACTCACACTCGTCTCCACAAGCAGCGCATGTAAATCTTGCAGTGTCTGTGTCGGTTCCTTTGTATTCTCATCCATTAGATCTTTTTCTTCTGGCGCTGATTCGGGGAGGGTGGGGAGACCGAGCTACATCACACCTCGTTGTTAGCCAAATTGTACTCTCTGCAAGCATGGCTTTAAGAGGGTTAGAGAAGGGTATGGAGGTTAGGGAGGTTAGGGAGGGATCGCAAAGAAACACACCTCTTCACCCAAACTTCTTATCGCCTTCCACTCTAGACGCGGCAACACATTGACCAAAAACTCGGGGTTCAACTCCATTTCCACGCGTTCGAGCTCGGCGTCGCGCGGGTGTAGGGGAAANGCGGCGGGTTCTTGTTTGCAGGCCTTGCGGGCGCAGGTGAGGAAGTTGAGGGTGAGGAGCTTCATTTTTTCTTTTTGTTCTTCTTCGGCCTTTTGTTTTGCGGTTCGGAATTGTGGGAGGGAGTTTTGTTCGAGATTTGGAGGGTGGTGTGCGTTTGATATGGATTGCGACAGAGGATGGTATCGGTGTGTTGTTGCGAGAAAAAGGTGGCTTGTGGATGGGTTTGGTGAAGATGCGCGTTTTGGGACAAGATTGTGGAGAGAGAAGGAAAAAAGATCAAGGGTCCGGATGTTGGGACGGAGTTTAGATTTCAAAGGTCGAGCATGTGAAAGTATATCCTCCGGACGGCATCGTATACCAATAAACTCAATGCAGTCACTAAACCGATGTTCTCGAGCAGTATCCAATGATTGATAGTTACATTGTTCATACTGGACAAGTATATGTCTCTTTGACCGAAAAATACAAAGGCCCTCCATCACTTCAACTTCCGCTATGCATGTGGAAAGATATATGAGATAGATAGGTAGTCATTCCATTCCAAAAGCTGAAGAACGCAGTAGCGATATTTGATACGCTGCTGATACGTCCCCTCTCCTGCGAATCGCCATCGCTTGGGTATATCTATGTCGTTTGGTAATCTCGTTTCGTGGATTGCTCATCCAGCTACATTATGATCGTGGTCGTGTCGATGGATAATTTGCTCAATGCTGTTCTCGTATGCATGGCTCCCTGCCTGGTAGTACGAGCCTCTCAACTTCATCTTCTCCTCCTTCCAGAGTCACGCTCAACGTCCTCATCCTCCTCTTGCACAGCAGGTGTCCTGCGGTCGTGTCGCTTTGACCTTCTCTTCCTTCCAAAATCAATATTGCTGGCAGAGTCATCAGGTGCTAATTCCGATCTTCCATCATCGAATATGGACTGCTGCTCATCGTCCCATGGTCCACCAGGCGTGCCAATCCTTACACCGATGTCAGACGCCATCGAGCCTCTACGTGCTTTAGCAGCCATTGCGAGCCCAGCGCTGCGTTCGCGTAATCTTTGCCTAACAGCTTCGGCTTGCCTATGCAGGACTTCGAACTGGTCTTCCAAGGCTTCCATACCGCGGTAAATCTCGCGCTCCATCTGAGCAAGAACGGCAATCTCGGTCTCTTCATCCATCTGCACAGGGGCTGGAGCACCGCCAGGCATACCAGGAGCTGGCGTAGTGCCACGAGAGGGAAACATATTTGCTGTGTGGTCCGGAGACATGACGTTGCGCAGAGGTGAGAATGGAGTTGTGTTACGAGATGGCACACCTCCGCTGAAAGGGGTTGTTGTTCTGGACATGGGCGTCATGTTCGATCCAAAGACTGCAGAAGGAGGTACAGCCTCAGCCCCGCTCCACAGGAAACCATCAAACCGACCAGACACCAGAATATCCCACTCCCCAGCGCTCACTGCGGCAAGTGTGGCAAGCATACTATGCAAATGTAGATTGTTGAGCAAGTAGATAGTACACTCTGGGTCTCTTGGCAGGTGTGGGAGACGATACAGACGTTGTAGAGCAGCGGCAGTCTTGGCCAGGACCTCGTTCTTGGGTTCAGTAGCAGGTGTCGGCGCTCTTGAAGAGGGGNNGACTGTCGAGAGCCCCTTCATTAGAGCTGTGAACAGCGGTCTTCGTTCAGGCTCGATATGTGTGAGTATGGCAAAAGTCAAGGTCTCGTCGTCGACTTCTTGTGGAGGGCTAGATGGAGCGTCTGGTTGTCGTACGAGCCAGTCTTGAACTGATCGCTTGGTTTTTGCATTCTGTTTAATGTAGTGAGCGCGATACTCGTCCGGCACGTCAGGATCGAGTTTTTGCATGGGTTCAACCCCGGAGAGATTGAACCCTGGCCCTTCAGATGATAGAGAAAATGGAGGCCACTGTGGAAGCTCTCTACGACCAGCGACATATTCTAGAATCTCGCCCCAGCTTATTCCCGTATCCTCCTCGTCAGATAAAGTTGTTTGGGCGGACTTTAAGCACAAGACGCATTTGCATCGCTCATGTGAGATACTACGGGCGAAGACAGCTTCGAGGCGATCCAGCAATCTCCTAGCGACTGAGCGATATCCTGTAGCCACAGCCAACGATCCACTTTTTGACAAAACTTTTCCGATGTCTTCAAGGCGACCACTCACGGGAGCAAAGATGTGTTGGACATCGACTGCGGAAGGTATGCGAGGAGATTGATACTGAGCATAAGATTGAACAGGTTGATCGTTAGCAGGTGGAACGATAGATTTCGAGATCAAGTAAGGCAATCCACCGTTCTGCAGCAGATAGTCAACACGAGGGGTATCTTGGGCAAAGACCATCGGCGGAGGCGGTGGTGGAGGAGGCATAGCGACCGAGTCTGGATGGGCGGATCGAGGAGAGAAGCCAACGGGAAAGACATCGATGCCAGGAGTGGATTTTGGTCTCTGAACATGCGGAGGGAAAGCTGGGTCTTGCGGAGTGGGAGTGCGTGGTGACGAGTCAGGGCGTGACTGTGGAGAATAGTGCTGCGCAACAGAAACGGGAGGAGGTCTGGAAGGAAGTTTGCGTTCAGGAGCAACTGACGTAGCCTGTGAGTCGACGGTGGTCTGGCTGACGGTCGAGGTGGGCTGAGAGGGGGCCTTGTTGTACTTGGTCGAGCCGGTGCTCGGAGCAGAAGCGTCAGAGACACTTGATGGAGACGGACGACGGCTACTCGCTGCAGAGCCTGTCATGTTCACTCGCAGACCGTTGTCCATGCTTCTTCTAGAATTCAGGCCGGCCTCGGACTTGACTCTATCCGTGTGAGTCCTCATGTTGTTCCCGCTCTTTGCTCGTCGGAGGTCTACGTCGTCGGCCGTCAGAGGAGGACTTGGTGGGACACGTGAGGGGCTGTCGACCATGTCTGCTGGAGTGCGAGGTCGTCGATCGTGAACATCAGTAGTGCTTTCCGAGCCTGGGGCGACAGCCTCTCTGCTGTGTGCTTTTGAGAAGTTGGGATACGACTGCGGCCGCTTCTCGCCGATGGATGAACGACGCTCCATCTCCGGTATCGACATAGTGACCTTTTTCGGTGAACGCTCGGATAGCGTGGACCTATCCGGTCGTGATGGGCTGTATTCCCTGCTTGCGTCGCTGCGTCGGCGGGTGGTCGTCTTTTTGGCCGATGATCTATGTCGGTCCTTGGTATCCTTGTCCCTGGAAGACGGTTTGGGCGAGTCGCGGTCGTAAGATTTCTTGCGCCGGCGAGGCTCTTCTTCGCGAGAGGAAGGCATCCTGGATTAGGGGTGCCAAAAGGCAGGAGCGACTCAGTGTGGAATTCAAGCAGCAGCTACCCTGACGAGCTCTCTCCACCTTGTGTGAGACAAGACTGGAGTTGGGCAGAATTGCGGCGGCTAACAACGCGGCCTTGTCACTCTAGACGCGCCAGCGCAATCCATGCAGCAGTGCCTGACATGATTACACCAAACATTCTTTTCCCCCTCGTCATTGCAGAAGAGGCTGGTGACCGCCAGATTCCAACTGGATAAATTAACGCCAGGACCGTTGGAGGGTCTGAGGACCGCTCCGCCCCGACCCTCGACACGTTTGCCGGGACCCTGACACTTTGACGNNTCTCGGTCTTGCTACATCATACATTCTGGCATCCATGTCAGCATCGTGTCCAGTTTGATCTGAGTCCAGGAGAGGCAATCCTTGAGAGGCTTTATGAGGCTCTCCTACACAAATGCTTATGCGTACATTGGCATCGTTCGAGGTGGACTGTTGCACGATAAGAGGTTTCGGCCCTTGGCTTGGTTTCACCAGGGTTGCTCAAGAAGCAAACTTTTAGAGCTGAACAGCCCGAGTTTATTATTATTTCGAGAACACTCTCACGAGATTTTGTAGGTCTGAAAAGTCCGGTTGAACTACGAGTAATCTCTTTATATTCATATCCAGATCGACTGCAGATTGCTGGTCGGACTTCAGAAATGTTGATATTTCACGACCCAGTCATCTGCAATATTACGTCTCCACACGCAAAAGAACATCAACCAAGACAACTTTCACAAAGTCCGACAAGATTACAAGATCCTACATTCATTCTCAACATAGAGAATCAACACCAAAACACCGTCGAGATATGAGTATGTACACACCGGCCACCGCCCCAGTCCTCAAAGATATCGAGCAGTTTTGTAGCTAAGGATATGAGGGGCAAGATGCGGGCAGCAGACAGAGCTCGAGACGCCTGCTCTTATTCCCGCAATGGCAGAAGCTTCTGCATGCTTTCCTGTCGCCGACCAGAGAGGTTCTACTGACAAGACAGGCTTGACTGAGAGGTTCAATTGGTTGAGGAAGTCCGAGTCAGAAATGGCAGTATCTGGCGGCGAGGTGACCAAAAGTCAAGACAAACGGAGGATGATCCCCCGGGCAGCGAGGCGACGCTAGCCAATGACAATGACGGAAGGCGCTGCGAGATGCGAGCTGCCCCGCCGATTGCGGGCAGTGCGATGGATACAAGAAAATTCCCATCGCACTCCGNNTCGACTCACCTTCTTCACCCAGTCCTTGTCACCGACAGATTCTGGTATCCGNCATCTTCACAATGGCCGCCAACAGCTCGCAAAAGATCGGTAAGAAGCCGCCTCGCTAGCCNNACCCCTCCGGCCTCGAGGCACGCGCTCACGCAATGCTCAGCCATCTTGTCTGTCTACGACAAGACGGGCCTGCTCGACCTGGCCAAGGGCCTCGTCAAGAACAATGTCCGCCTGCTCGCATCTGGCGGCACCGCCAAGATGATCCGTGAGGCCAACTTCCCCGTCGAGTGAGTCTCTCCTCCAGCAGCACCACCAATCGCCTGGCCAGAGCTGACCCCAGGCGCAGAGNATGTTTCGGCCATCACCAAGGCTCCCGAGATGCTCGGTGGCCGCGTCAAGACCCTCCATCCCTCAGTCCACGCCGGTATCCTTGCCCGTGACCTCGCTTCCGACGAGAAGGACCTGGCCGAGCAGAACATCAACAAGGTCGACTATGTCATCTGCAACCTGTACCCCTTCAAGGACACCGTCGCCAAGATCAACGTCACCATCCCCGAGGCCGTCGAGGAGATTGACATTGGTGGTGTTACCCTGATCCGTGCCGCCGCAAAGAACCACTCGCGTGTCACCATCCTCTCAGACCCCAACGACTACCACGACTTCCTCTCCGAGCTCGAGAAGGGCGATGTCACCGATGCCACCCGTCAGATGTTCGCCCTCAAGGCTTTCGAGCACACCGCCGACTACGACACTGCCATCTCCGAGTTCTTCCGCAAGAAGTACGCCGGCAACGGCAACCAGCACGTCTCGCTGCGTTATGGTACCAACCCCCACCAGAAGTCGGCCGCTGCCTTCATGAAGGACCAGAAGCTGCCCTTCAAGGTCCTGTGCGGTGCTCCCGGCTACGTCAATCTGCTCGACGCCCTGAACGCATGGCCTTTGGTCAAGGAACTCAGCGCTGCCCTCAAGTTCCCCGCTGCTGCCAGTTTCAAGCACGTCTCACCCGCTGGTGCCGCCATTGGTGTTCCTCTCAACGAGGTCGAGCGCAAGGTCTACATGGTCGACGACATTGAGGGTATTGAGAGCTCTGGTCTTGCCCAGGCCTATGCCAGAGCCCGTGGTGCCGACCGCATGTCCTCGTTCGGTGACATGATCGCCTTGTCGCACGAGGTCGATGTCCCTACCGCCAAGATCATCTCCCGTGAGGTTTCTGACGGTGTCATTGCTCCTTCATACACCAAGGAGGCCCTCGAGATCCTCAGCAAGAAGAAGGGTGGACGCTACCTCGTTCTTCAGATGGACCCCGAGTTCGAGCCCGCTGCTCAGGAGTACCGCACCGTCTACGGCATCAACCTGACCCAAGGCCGCAACGATGCCCACATCACCCCTACCGACAGCTTCGGCACCGTCATCACTCCCAAGGACTCTGCCGCCCTCCCCGAGTCTGCTCTCCGCGACCTGACTGTGGCCACCATTGCCTTGAAGTACACTCAGTCCAACTCTGTCTGCTACGCTCTCAACGGCCAGGTCATTGGTCTCGGTGCTGGTCAGCAGAGCCGTATCCACTGCACACGTCTTGCCGGCGACAAGGCTGACAACTGGTTCATGCGCTTCCACGAGCGTGCCCTCAACATCAAGTGGAAGAAGGGCACCAAGCGTCCCGACAAGAGCAACGCCATCGATATGCTCTGCAGCGGCGTCTTGCCCGCCTCTGACGAGGAGAAGCACGAGTACGAGAAGATGTTCGAGGAGGTGCCCACCCCCTTCTCCGCCGAGGAGCGCCAGGTATGGTTGAGCAAGCTGTCCCAAGTCGCCGTCAGCTCCGACGCCTTCTTCCCCTTCATCGACAACGTCTTCCGTGCCGCTCGCTCTGGAGTCAAGTACATTGCCGCCCCCACCGGCAGCCAGAACGATCAGGCCGTCTTCACCACTGCCGAGAAGCTGAACATCACCTTTGTTGAGCAGCACACCCGTCTGTTCCACCACTAGAGGGACTATCGACCTCATTGCAGAATAGAATCGCGTTTCAACACAACCGATTCTCCTATAGCTCTTGGGATATTAGAAAGGGAATGTACATGACGGGGACAGAAAAAAAGGAGGATCTTTTATGTTTTACACACACACACACACACACACACACACACACACACACACAAGAGAGTCTATAGAGCTCTTTTGTTTCTTTTTTATGACGAGACGAATAACCAATTTATCTTCAACGTTTTTTGGGAAAGCAATTTTGGGAGATGTATTGTCCATGTGTTTTTTGTTTTGAGAGAACCAATATTGTAGCCATGATTCGCAAAGGATCCGAGACGGAGTCATCTTGTGTGTGTGTGTGTGTGTGTGTGTGTGTGTTGTCCTTTGATTGCCTGAATACCGCCATGCCTATCCTCTACCATGTCTTTCTGAAAGGCTAGAATCTCCTTCGATACACCCTAGTGCCAGGGAGCAGCAGCATTGGTTATCCAAAACATGATGTGGGAAGACGTAAAGACTGATTAGCGGGAGGGTAGAGGTAGTGTAGAGTTGTCTGATATCATCTATAAAAACCCATGTACATGAACCACTCTTGTTGCTATAAAAGTACAGAGCAAATGCACCAAAAAGCAGAAAACAGAGAAGAAAAAAAGGCTCGCTGAAACAGGATGTTGCGAACAAAAACATCCAGAGAAGCGGCAGTAACCATGAAAACCCCTGTGACCTGTGGTCAGAATTCTGCCTGTTCGCCATCTCGCATTCCTAGGATTTCCCTTTGACATTAGGTAAAACGCCAATCGTTGTCGTCGTCATATCAATAATAATACATGAAGAAAGTTAGTTTATTAGTACGGGGTATTGCGTATCGTGTCTTGTTGCCAAACAGCTTAGAAGTTTCTGCTGGGCTCGACGGTCTGACCATTGGCACGCATGGGGTTCTCGCTTGCGTACGAGGCACTCTCGGAGAAAGTGGGACCGCCAGAGTAGGAAGGACCGTTGCCGCCATTCTCGATCATCTCCTCGACACTGGGGAAGCGGTGGTCCTTGCTGTGGATAGCGGGGAAGAAGTCCATGGCATAGTGACCTTGGTAGATGATGTAGATGAGTGAGATGACCCATTCGAGGATGGCAGCGGTGTTGCGCTTGTCAGCGTGACGACCCAGGGCGGCGAATGCTGAACAGGGTTAGTGGATGCCTTGTACGATAAGAGTTCGAATGTACTTACCAATAGCAAGAGCAATCTCAACGAAGATGAAAGTCAACTTGATCCAGAATGAGGCACGCAGGATGCGGTACTGGCGGAAGTGAATGCCCAGACGTTGATATTCGGCGCAAGCGAAGATGGCAGAGATGATGTAGCCAACACTGTAGAGTCCANNTCAGCAATGATCGTGGAGAGACTGAAACATAGAGACATACATGAAGATTACGAGACAGATGTCGTGAGCGGTAGGGTGAGAGACGGTATCCAGAATGGTCAAGAGGATCAGACCAATGGCACCGATGATGGCGAAGGCACAAGCGAAGCCCGACAAGACCTTCTGAACAGTCGATGTGTTGTGGGCAAGGCGACCCTTGTGGCGCAACCAGCGTTCTGAGACGAAGCATACATCAAAGACGACGACACTGACGGCGGAGCCGGCGATGAAGAGAGGTTGAAGACCTGTTGCGCCAATGTCCGAGATGTATGCAATTGTTTGACCTTGTTCCATACTGACGTAGTGAGGTGAGCCCTTTGCGAGCCAGGTGCCCAGCATACCGAGGAGTGTTNNGCTGTGGTCACACGAGTCAGTCGGGAGGTTGCAAATCTCAGATGCGGCACTCAGCATACCTAGCCAGACACATGCTGCAAAGAGCGGCAGAATCCAGTATGAGAAGACGCCGAACATGTTTGCGGGATTCTATCTTTATTCGATCAGGTCGAAGTAGGTGTAGGGTGGTGGAGGGTTTAGAGTTGTCGCGTGAAGTTTGGTGTAGAAATGCTCGTTCGTGGCTGGGACCGTTGCGCGATGAGATTGTTGCACAGGAGATTGGCTACCGCAGGGGATATTATAGGAAGCGGAGGGTGAGAGGACTGTCGTGGCAGGGACAAAGTCGCCGTCAATGGTCAGTGGCAGGGATGAGAGGGCACGATCCAAGTTGGATGGGACAGCCTTGGTTTTGATCATGTTGAAAAAAGGCAAAGGCAGCGTCAGAGGTTCCAAAGCCACACTGGAGCAGCAAAAACGTCATAGGCGCGCTCACGGCATCTCTCGGAGCACGGCTCGAGATCAACGTCGTCCGCATGGGGCACGGGGGAAATTGCGATGCAATTGAGAGCGGCATGGTGAGACGCCTAGTCTGCTACGTTGGTATGGCACAGGAGAACCTCGATTGGAGGCGACATGGGGAAGAAGGCAGAACACATGCAGACGGTCGTCTACTCCGTCGGAAGGCTGAATGTAGGACGGTTGTGGCTGACAGGGCAAGGAACGAAGAAGGAGCCAAACGAGACTGAGATTGATTGGTCGTCGTGGTATTCAAGATAAATTGTCTGAAGAAGCAATGGACTGGGACAGACATGCAGACACCTAAGCCTGACTTGCGACCAAAAGGCACCCACGGTTCAGAGTAGAGAGAGTGTGCATGGCTACCTTTAGTGACGGTGACACGACCAACAGCGAGAGCAAAGAGGCAGTCGCAAAAGCAGGCCATGCTGTGAGCTTCACTACGTGCTCAGAAGTTCGAGGGACCGAGGCTCAGTTGGAAAAGCGAGAGGCTTGGCGGAGGCGCACACACAAATCGCACGCGGAGTTTTCCCGGCAAGCAAATTCGCTCCTGCCTGGTTCTCGATCTCTGACCCTCTCTTTCCTGGTAGCGGACGTCGTCGACTAACACCACAGCAAACATGCCCAAGGAAGTCAAGCAGAAGAGCGGCCTCGCTCGCGGCTTGAACGCCGGCCACGTATGTTGATCCCCATGCCCACCGTCCACAGGAGCCACTGCACCCGCCGCCGCCGTCGATGATGCGAATTGCGATAAAGAGAAGGACGACGAATTTTCTGCACCGACAAGCACGACACACCCGACACGAGCTGGAAGGAATTGGACAAGGCCGACACGAGCACGCAGCCACCACCGCATTCGCATCAACGACCTACGCACACCCCACTCCGACATCCGATCAAGCAGCTTCCATAAGATCAATAGACTAACATGTCTTTCCTCTCCATAGAAGGTCACCCCCGCCAGCCCGCTGCCCGCGTTTCGCGCACCAAGGGTCACCTCAGCAAGCGCACCGCTTTCGTCCGTGACGTTGTCAAGGAGGTTGCTGGGTACGTTCCTTTCCTCCGCCGAGCTCGAAAATCTCTTCGACCTTGGCCCCCTCGACCTCAATGAACTCGACTAACAATTTCTCAAGTCNTCGCTCCCTACGAGCGCCGCGTTGTTGAACTTCTCCGCAACTCCAAGGACAAGCGTGCCCGCAAGCTCGCAAAGAGAAGAGTACGCCATGACCAACTTCAACCCAACCTGGAACATGTTTGCTAACACCAGACACAGCTTGGTACCTTCGGCCGCGCAAAGAGAAAGGTCGACGAGATGACCAACTACATCGCCGAGTCCCGTCGCGCTGGTCACTAAACTTGCCAACCTGGGTGATCGCTGGTTGTAAAGTCAAAATGAGGAGTTAGTTCTTACTTTTTACGGGCACGCAATGCTATGTGCAATGGGCAAACCATGTTCCTTTTTTTCCGAATACCCTGCAAGCGAAGGAGACACTGCAACAAGTTCATGACGGCAGTGGCCCGCACGCTACACGTTGCTGGGGTGGATGAAGGAAAAAAGAAAGACTATCTTCTCGAAATGAAAATGAGAAAATTGGTCCCGCTCCGTTTATGATTTACATCTCCTGGCCACTTCTTGTCTTTCTTGGTGACCCTTGCTACTGATATCTTGCAAGTCTAGTCGACCCATGCCGCGCCTGTGCACATGGTCTTCTGCACACCGACAACCATCACCTTCCAAAGCAAGCCTCACAACAAGCACTTCATTTACAGCAATACACATAACCCGACTGCTCCGTGGCGATCAATCATCATCACAAACAACATACGGTGATACCCGCATGCCTGGTCATACTTTCTGCTTGTCTGCTATCAATGCTTCTCCAGCAACCTTAACACCCACGAATCGACGAAGACCAAGAGCTTCGTAGGTCTGGCAGTAAGGTTCGAGCTGCCTTGGGTCACCCATCTCGTTGTCCTCTATCGGACCTCTTACAGAAGATTCGCCCTCCTTTCCTCTTGTCTATCTGCTCTCACAATCCCCGTTTCTCTCACTCTGCAACCAGTTCTTCTGTGTCAAGTCTGCAAGCCCCTCACTGATCATGAGCATTGATCTGTTTCCAAGCACTCTCCATATCTGTTCTCAGTGCGTCCATGCCCTCTTTTAAGATATTGAGTTCTTGAGCCAATTGTCTTGTTCTTTCTCTCGACCTTGCAGCAAGCTTCTTGTGTGTCTCTCCCCGTGGAGTTATAGCCCTTGGCTCGGGAGATGCGCTGTCGATGAGACGATCACGACGATGACCTTGCTGGCGGCTGAGGCGGTCTTGCTGGATGTCTTGGTTCATTGCTTCCAGACGATCGAGTTCATGGGTGTANCTATTGAAGAATACGATGTCAGAATGCCATCAGAGTGTGATGGCAATGGTGGGTCGTCTTACTGATTCGATACGGAACTGGAAGGCGTTGCACTGCGAGACAAGAGATGGATTGTTGTCATTGTGCAAAGCGGGTAGTGTGGTCGAGGAAAGCATGTCCACATCTGCTGTTGCTGCTTCCATGTGAGATGTTGAGATATTCTGTGTTGCAAGGCTCATGATTTTGCTTGGGGATGAGAAGATTGTGATCTTTTTGTGGGAGTGATACGGTCGATTATCGCAGCAAGTTCCGAGCATTATATGTCATCGCTATGCTACACGTCTCTGTACCTGCTCCACGCCTTCAAGAATACCAGAGACACTGAAAGAGACAAGCTCTATAAGACATCTGGCAGAAACCTTCAAGTGACCAGTATCATGAGACATTGCTCGAGACATCATCCTGGCACTGTATTGCAGTCTATCACGTATGACCCTGCCAGTCAAGAACACTCGAGAAAGTCGGGTGAACACTCGTTGTCGTAATGCTTTACGGATCAATGCTTCACTCTCCAAAATCCTCTTGCTCTTATTGTTTTGGATCCGATTGAACATCTCATCATCCTCTTTCGATAGGACTCTTTCTCATTGGTGGATGCGAATTGCTCAAAGTGGTCATCGCTCACCAGTGCAGCAGTCGTTTGATCGTTAGTCATAGCGTTAACTGACACCACATTTGGCACGTACGGCCACAGTCAGCTGAAAACTGGGCATCCCGTCCGCTCTGCCATACATAAGCAGTTGAACGGCAGATTAGTACTACGGTGGGTGACCACGTGGGAATCCCTGCTGCTGTACGTTTTGTTCCCACTTCTTTTGGTTTCTCGCCTTCCATCATAGCAGAGTACAATCATCGACAACAATTCTCTCTCTGGCAGGCACGCCTAATTTTGCCATGGGTGTCACGCTTTACCATGAATCCAGGTTAAATTCGAAGAATGCAGACAGGGCACGCTGGAGAAGACAAAATCCAAGACCGTTCATCAAGAATCGCCATCAAAGCTCCGTCTATCACGAGATGACTTCAGAGCGATCAGTATACGGAGAGCAGAGTTGTGATTGTGTTACCATAGTGAGCATGAGAGTACAACCACGACCAACCTTGATGTTATCTTATGACTGAACTTGGAGCAGTGGAAAACACCAATTGTGGTCATTCTGTGGTTTCCTCTCTCGCTCCGCAGAAGCATTCTCGACCATCACATGATGATAGACTATATGGATTGCAGTCTTATCATGGTTCACTTTTTCCCTCAGCGTTCCGACTCTGATAAAGGGTTGGGAAATGGTTTACGGAAGGTACGAACAAGACACGAAGTCGAGCTTGAGAGGCAGGGTCAAGCTGAAGCTCTTGGCACGCTGAGTGCATCAGTGCAAGCACACGAAACATCAGACACGTTTCAAGAACTTGGCTCGTTGTATCGATCAAGCAAGCTTGATTGTTGCGACAGACCCACCTAGACACTGGTCTCACTGTCATATCAGTATGCTTTACGGACCGATAGACTGACGACAAATTCCACATGGCAATCGTGGAATTCCCTTAGGCTGCAAAAGCGACACTGACACTCATGAACATCAACTACATGCACAACACAAGCGACCAAATCTCCTCCAAGTGTACGAGTAGAGTCAAGATCAAATCAACGAGTCATGGCAGAAGCAGAACTCGCACACAAAGCGAAGACTTGTTTAGTCGGAAGATCTACTAGATATGGCGATCTTGTCCAAATCTGGATTTGCACTATGAGCACAGTCTATGTAGATACGGACCGCCGAAGAGCTCGTTGTACTTGCACGAGTATGTGATCACCTGGTATGAGACAGATCGACGAAGCATTTCGGACATATGGAAGGACAGAGATAATCAGTCAGTGCGAGCGATGGAGTGACGTTCAAAAATGTGGTTAGATGACCCGCAGGAGGATGTAATTAGTAGTCTACTGTAGCTCAGTGCATAACACAAGATTCACTACCATGAGTTAGACGAGTAGAAAAATGAGATAGAAGAATAGGCGTGATGGCCTCGGGACATCCCCACCAAGAACGACCCCCAACTTTGAATGCGTGAACGATCAAAGGATGTCAACCCGTGAACCCTTACACGACATGTCTTGTCGCACGCAAGTTCGTAATGCCGATACCTCAAACAATCAACCACTGAGCTGTCGAGATGTCGCATCAGCGCTGATTACATCACGGGAAGCCTGAATCCCATGACATACCACGTGGAGACACTTCCGGCTGTAATGTAGGGCGTTAGATGATGGATTTTCTTGCGAAGCGCTGTATACGTTGGTGCAAGGCTGGACCAGTGGCTTCAAAGTCTCAGCTCGGCTTCATTCAACAAAGACGCAAGTCAGCGCAACAGCCGACCAGACATCTCCACTAGAGCCGGAAAACTGCATTCTCCAATGTGCCAGTCTGTTTATCGGCGGGCTGAACTATTTGGCACACATCTCAGCACTCGTCCGCTCTGAACCGACGCAAAAGATGGTCAGCTCATACTCATAGTCGGAACGAGGATAAATGCTATCCGAGCAGACTCACTCCAAAACGTTGTCGTCCCAGACTGATGGACAAGTCTTGGATTCCAGGATCACTCCAAAGCCGAGTTGTATGCACGAGATGATCGTTGTTCTTACAGCGCAGAGTAGAAAACAAGATACACGCATGGTTGTGACATGACTCGCTCGCTTTCGCATAGCTTGCTTAGCAGACACTAGGGACAGCCTCAACGAATCATCTGTCCAAATCTCGTTTGGTCCTTCCGTCCATGTCCCTTCCGAAACTATCAAGGGTCCGCATGAGGGTCCATGCGGACGTCTACCAAGAGAACACTTCTATGACCCACTGATAATGAGACTCGACCAAATTGGAGATGAACCTGTTCCTAGCCTCAAGAACAAATGGAACACTTATCGAAATATGTCTTTCGATGACTATCACAAAGTAGAAGGTGCAGCCGGGCTATGTTCTTCTGGCGTGGGTTCTCCAAGCCACCACGTGTGACGGTGGCCCCAATCTATTTTACTTTGACAACGTCCCGGGAAATGGGAAAAGATGTGGAGGATCTGTTTCTGCTCCGCTGGAGGGACGACAAGGCATCGCTTGCACTACATGTCACAACTGATATATCACACCGAAACAAAATGTCGAGCCATAGTCTGTGAAACAACCAAGAGACTGTTCATGCAACTTCTGACAATGCCGATCACGGCAGGGACGTGCTGACGACGCTCATCGAGGCTGATGGTACACCAACCATGATTGCTGTCGCAGGACTCGAGGAACAAGCCATGCGAACGTGCGCTGCAATCATGCAAAAACGTTCGCCAAAAGCGGAAGACTCTTTCCTGTTATGTCTCACGTACAGCTCTCTCGCCGAAAACTGCTCTCTTTTGACTGCAAGGGACGCAGAAGCCTTTTTTTTCTGGGTGTTTCTCCCTGGCTGGAGCGTTCTCCATACCCGCCTGCAGACGGTAGCCCAAGACCTGGTGTGACGAGCAGATCCCCCAAAGGCGCCCCCCAGTAGGCCCTTGCCTCGTAGGGCCCGGTCAACTCTGACTGCTGGACACCCGCACCACTTACTCGTACACCAATCAGGTCCTCCGACAAGCGAACTTCGGGTGCTATGACCTTGCATATAGCCGTTCTCATCTCGACCCCATGATTGAATCGCCCGTAGTCAGTGTTAAGGCCTGTACGATAACCTTAACCAAAAACCTCAGCACGGCGCCGCTGTTCCGCGAAAGTTCCCACAGCCCTCGACTATTAAGATGTAAGGCCACCTCATCTTGCAGATCTCCGTCTCTTACTATAACTTATCCTTCGTTTCTCTCTTCTTCTCCTGTTCTCTCCCCTTCGCCGCCGAGAGGCTACAACGACCGCCCGAGAAGTCAACTCTGTCTCACACGTCGCAAAGATGCAGTTGCCGCCTGCCAATGTGCTGGCCAATTGGCCAACACCAAACTACGAGAACCCCGAAACCCAAGGATTACCACTCGTTATTGTTAATGTCATCTTCATGGCTCTAATCAGCTTGGCCGTGCCACTCCGTCTCTATGGTCGATACGTGAATAAAGGCCGACTGGGATGGGACGACCTTAACATGCTCATCGCATATGTACTGTTGACCCTGTCTGACATGTCCATATACTGGCTAACATATGCATATAGATCTTCGNCTATGGCCCTGGGTGTCGTCGTCATCCTCGCCAATGTCCGCTATCAGTGGAATCGTCATCTCTGGGACGTCGAGTTTACAAAGTTTCAAGCTGCATCCATCGTAGCACTCGCCTCAAAGCTGCTATTTACATTCGCTGGAGCCTTCGCACGTGCTTCTCTCATTTGTTTCTACTTCCGCCTCATTCAAGATACTGGATTCAGTACCTTCAAGTGTATTCTCTGGGGCGCATTCGTGTACAACATCGCCATTGGTGTTATCTTTGTTATTCTTGCAGTGTTCCTTTGCTCGTAAGTTCCGTGGTCGCTCTCCATCTGGATGCCCAGCTAACAGTTCAAAGGCNCTGTCGAAGCTTACTGGGTATTCCCAGTGATGAAGGGTGCCAAGTGCTTGGATGAAGGTCCTGTAACACTGGTTGCTGGAGTACTGAACTGCATCTCAGACTTGACGGTCACCCTGCTGCCAGTTCCTATCATCATGGGACTCAACATGCCTTTCAAACAACGACTGGGAGTAGCAGGGTTGCTGTCCTTGGGCCTGATCGTTACCGTTGCCGGCGTCGTACGCACCTATTACATCTGGAGAACGCTGATGAGCACCTACGACGAGACCTGGGATTCAATGCCCCTGTACATCTGTGCAACGGTCGAGATTGATCTAGCCATCCTTTGCGGATGTGCGCCCTCACTCAAGCCTCTTTTCGCTCCGATGATCGCCCACGTCAGTGAAATGATCAGTACCGTCACCGGAAGTGGCACCAACTCATTTCGCGGCACCAAACTACACGACACTACCATTACCCGATCCACCGTCATCTCGCAGCATAACCGCAAAAAGTCCACGAGGAACGAGGAGAACGACAAAATCCCGATGCATACCATTGTTGTTGAGGGTCGTGTGAGCGATGACAGCAACGAATCGAGCGATTTATATCATGGGATCAACATGCCTGCCTCGCACTCTTCTACTGCATCACGAGGACCTCAAAGGTCACTCTCAGGCGCCTCAAGTCAACGAAATATGCTTCCACACAACTGCGATGGCAGCGCGATGTCAAACTGGGACAGCCGAGCAGACAGCGAAAGCGAAGACCACGTGCCAGAGATCCAAGTGTTACCACGAAGAAAGGGCTCTGAGCCTGATGTCGAGCTCGGCGCCTACAACACAGACTGGCGTGTAAGCAAAGGCGTCAAAGCTGGTTGGATATGATATCCGTCAATCTCCAGATCATCATCAATTAATTTAATCATCGAGTTCGGGAGATCGACCCGCTGGACCGGCTGCTCCCAACTCTTACGACTGTTATGAATTGCATATTCCTCTTCGGTAGCACAGCATGGAGGACTACAAAAATCAAGGATTATATCCATCGGGACCAAATACAGTAAAACTTAATGTAGACATACAGCATGCATTCCTTCCTTCGTTACGGCCGAGAGACGCTCTTTCCTTTTCCATAGACTCGAAACGTTTTTTTGTAAAACAAATATTGCACCATTCACCTTCTTGTACATCTAACCCAGATCCAGTATCGATTTCTTGTATGATTCCACTTAAGAAAATCCAAGACACTCAAATCACATCCTCGCCATACCTTTCGGACGTAAGAACCAACATCTCGCAGCCGGAGCGAGAGAGTCAACCAAAACGCTTGAAGTGGACTTCCCCGAGCTGCTTAGTACGTTCACCCCCCAAAGATTGATACAGCCGTTGCAAGATTCTTAGCACACTGCCGAACGTTTTGGCACGGTTTCCAGGAATGCGTTTGCCGTTTGCCGTTTTTTTTTTCCTTGCTCCGCCGCTCTTCATTGGTGCAACTAGGCGCGCTATAATGTCGAGATTTGCTAAGCGGGCGTTCCATGACTCGTTAGAAAAGACTCGAGGCTCATAGCTGAAAAGGGGACTTTCGTTGCTCGCTCGCCGCGGGCACTGTTTCCTACGCTAGGACCGCCCGGCAAATGATTGGCGACTAAATAGGAAGGACGTAACCCATCGAAATACCACTGTGACTTTCTTGATTTGGATGTGATTTCCAGACGAATACTTGAACTTCTTGAAGAATAGAATAGCAGGGAAATGATGACAAGAAGACTGATTTGATATATTCTGTTTATCTATCTAGATGGATGTTTGGACTATATACTAAAGATTATACAAAAAAATGGATTGATGATTGATCAGCAGATTGTAGCCTGCGACTCGTGCCTGCTGTAGTGGCAATAGGTGATATTGTGATGCTGATGACAAAAGAAAAAAAACAGAAAGAAGAGACGAGTCCAACTAGGAAGGCGCGAACCAGAGTTGGGTAGCACCACAGGTTGTGGGAAGCGTTGCAGTGCTGTTGTAGTAGTAGACGTGGTATCCAGTGGCAGAATTCGCATCGTTGGTTCCAAGTTTCATCAAGCAGAACTTGTAGTACGTCTTAGCGGTGTAGCGCGTATCTACCATGAGAAGCTGCGTGTATCCATCTGAGGTGGTGCTGCCAGGCACCCAGTTGGTACTGCCTGTAGTGTTGGTTGTGCTCCAGTAGAGCTTGTCGGCTCCAGTGGGTGTCTGGTAGTAGTAATAGGCATTGTGTGTGACGGAATAAAGTTGGCTGGTGTTGGTAATGATGAAGGTCTCGCGGGTGCTGTTAGCATAGTAATTGTCCGTCATGTGTGTAGCGGGATCCGACAGAGCGTATTGACCGCCCGCGTTGACAGGGGACCTGAAAGACATGTAACCGACCACGCCAGTTGGGGCACTCGATGCCACTGAGATCACGGTGGTAGATGTTGTCGTCTGGGTGAGCGTTGTAGTGGTTGAGGCTGTGACAGTGCTCGTCTGAGTAGTTGTCGAGACTGCTGGTGAAGTGACCTCGGAGCTACACGCCGAACTGAGATCAGTTGATGAGAAGGTTCTGAGAGGCGTTGGCGTAGTGTTCGAGCTGGCTGTGGTGGCACGACGCTGCAGTTGCGTTGTCGGCATCTCAGCGTAAGATCCACTTCTGCGACGAAGGACGGCCGAGGAAACAATGCTAGCGGAGCCTGTAGCCCTGAGTTCATGAGTATGGTTCTCACAGTCACAAGTGGCGCGCGGCTGCTCGACATCACGCTTTCTATACTGCTTGGTCTGAGCAACGAGCGATGTAGTTGTCGTCGTTGTAGTAGCCACGACCTGATAAGTGCTTGTTGCCGTGACGGTCTGGGTAGAAGAACTGTATCCAAGATAGGTCGAACAGAAAGGCTGGTAGCTCGAAGCTTCAATGATAGACTTGGCGGCTGAGACCGAGTTGTATGAGCTGGTGCTTGCTTGGCTCGAAGTCGAAGGCACTGCACTTGCCGATGTGCTACTGGCGCTTGTAGATACAGAGTTGACCGATGAACTGTGGCTGGTAGAGATGCCCGGTGATGGAGTAATCGAGACACTACTAGACACTACTGAAGAGCTGATCGAGCTACTGGACAGTGAAGAGGCTGCCGAAGAGCTGATGCTGGAAGGGAAGCCTTGAGTACTGCTTGATAAAATGCCAGTGGCTGATACGGATGAACTTTGGATGGCAGAACTGCTTTGCGATGAAACAGCCGAGGTACTGGTCGGTACGACTGAGGAGCTGATGGTGCTACTGGCTGGCGAATACGATGCAGAAGGGTTGACGCTGGACGGGAACCCTTGAGTGCTGCTGGATGAAACAATGACACTCGTGCTGGACAATGTTGAAGAAGAAACGACACTCTGGCTCATCGAAGAAGAAACAGTACCCTGGCTCGAGGCAGCTGACGAAATGACAACACTCTGGCTAGAGACAATCGAGGAAGACACACTACCCTGGCTAGAGGTGACTGAAGAAGCACTAGCTGTCTGGCTAGAAGCGACAACGCTATCGCTAGAGGAGACCGAAAAAGTGCTGCTTGAAGAGGAGGGTGCCCAAGTAGGACTAGGCATCCCAACAGAGTACGATGGGCTCTCGGACGTCGATGAAGCGGTGCTCGAAACAACATTGATGGTACTCGATACCGCAGAACTGGTAGGCGTCGTGATTGATGATGAAACACTGCCTTGATCGGATCCAAAAGTGGAGACAGAAGCAAGGTTACCATTGTAGCCGACAGCCGTAGTTGTCGCGGTGGCAAGGCTGCTCGAGACGGCCGAGGAGTCAGATGTCGAGGCCGGCACGGACGAGGATGTCACAGATACGCTGCTGCTTATGGTAGTATCTGTTGCTGAGTTCGATGCGCTATCCGAGGTCGAAATAAGGCTTGTCGACGACACATCGGTTGATTGAGCCACAGAACTGTCTGAAGCCGATGAAGAGGCCACGGGGACAGTGTAACTCGCCAATACGGTGCTACTGACAGCAGAATATATGGCCGCCGAGGAATCTGCTGCAATAGGACTGCTGAGAGCGTCCGAAGAGCTTGCGCCAGCAGGATTACCATTTCGAGTAGAATTGACCGAGGACAATTGACCCGAGATGTAGTTCGCACCAGCTGTTGTGAAGCTACCAGACGAGGTCTTCAGGTAACAAACACCACTGGCGTCACCATTCTCACCGCCAACGTATGTGAAGCCTGTGCAGCCGCTTGACGAAGCATCGTCGCAAGCAGTCATACAGTCGAGATAGTTCACCGCTGCCTGAGCACTTGAGTACGAGTTAACCGTAGAGTCAGAGAAACAGTGAACAGTGTAGTTGTTGTTGTAAGAGTCTGTGATGTTCTGGCCATCCGCAGAAGGACAAAGAGTAGCCATGGGCAGTCCAGAACCACTTGCAGCGGGACTGGTGCTCGAAGGGAGATCACTCGATGGCGCCGGAGTATACTGGCTCGCAAAGGACGAATCAGGAGTTGAGGTGGTCTGGCTCGAGGTGGTACTGCTTTGGGAATCGACTGAGGTGGGGCCAAAGTCAGTCGTCTGAGAGGCATCAGAACCACTGGTAACGATGGCACTCTCGCTGGAAGTTGATTGAGCCGAGAAAATACTAATCGAGGATGCATCAGTCTCGCTAGAGGAAGATTGAGCGGCATAAATATCCTGCGATTGGGTTGACGATGCCAATACAGAAGTGGTCAGGTCAGTGCTTTCTGTAGAAGAAGTCTGTGTTGACGAAGCCTCGGTACTGGACGATGTGGTCTCATCGCTACTTGAAGACAGAGATGACGATAGGCCAGTGGGGGGATCAGTGCTAGTAGACGATGATGTCTGAGCCGAGCTGGAGTCAGTTGGCGATGCCTGGGACGAGCCTGAATCAGTTGACGGTGTTTGAGATGAGCTTGAATCGGCTGATGAGGACTCCGTCGTCGTGGAGCTCTGGACTGTCTCAGTGCTCGATGTGATATCAGACGAAAAAGTGGTTGCCGGATCGGTACTGCTGGACACTGAAGTATCCGAGGTAGCCGAGACATCCAAAGTCGACTGAGAGGTACTTTCCGGAGAACTGACAATAGATTCAGAGGTGCTCCTAACATCAAGACTCGACGTCAAATCACTTGCGGTGACAGTCTCGCTAGGAGATTGACTAGTAAGAGACGAGTCACTAGTGACCGAAGCCGACACGCTTGCAGGAGCACTGTTGCTCGAGACAGCCGTAGTACTTGCGATATTCTGGTTGACGTTTGAGACAGCCACATAGTACAGAGGAACCCAAGAGCACTGAGAAGGAACAGTGGGTGCAAAGTATAGATAGCCATCATTATTACAAGTCATTGCTTGTTGAACGACGTTGTCGGACTTGCACTCCAACTCACTAGTCTTCTCGTTCTGTGAACAAGAGATATAACTATGAGAGTCGACCACTGTACTGAAGTAGACAATTTCAGGAGTGTTCATGGGATTGCGGTTGGCAGCATACGTAGTGTTTAAGCCTGCCTCAACAAGATATCCTGTAGCTTGGTCGATGTAGAATGATGTGGCAGAGTCTTGGCCAGTAACGTAGCTACTAGCACCGTCTTGTCCTGGAGATACTGCAACAAAGTTGTTACCGGCGTCTCGGATGTTGAACGAAACAGCGGTAGAGCTTGCAGATACAGGAGCGGAGGTGCTGTTGCTCTGAACCTTTGTACTGCTCGCTACCTCAGATGACACAGTGTCGGTGGGCTCTGCCTGGAGCTCAACAGTAGTCGTCGAACTAGACTCGCTCGATACTGTCGACGGTATATCTGTGTCCTCGGTGGAGGTCTGGCTTGAGCTGGTATCACTGACAACCGTGCTCTGTTCGGCACTGGATTCAGTGACCGAGGGTGTGGGGCTCTGAGAATCAGCCGTGGTGACCGCGCTGTTCGATGCAGGTGTTACGATAGACTGTGTCGAGATACCATAAGCGCTGTCAACACTGGCAGATATAACTGCGCTGCTCGACGTTTCTGTAGCAGAAGCACTGCTTTCCGTTGAAGATGAAGCCTGCTGCGTCTTTGGCTGTGAAGAAAGTCTCAAAACTACAGTCTGGTGTGAGTTCGATGATGATGAAACAGGCGAGCCTACAGTAGACGCGCTCTGAACATAGGAAGAGTTGCCCTGGTAACCAGCAGATCCATCAGCAGATGAACCAATTTTCAGGTACTGGCTAGAGCCTTCAGTATCGATGTAGAAATCTGAAAAAGTGGTACCAGCCTGCTGGTACGAACAAGACAAGGTTCTATCAGCGTTGATCGCGCAGATAATAGGGATGTATCCATTGGCCTTGATATCCTCAGGCGATGCCGACAAGATGTTGTCTCCATGTCCAGGCCATACCGCCAGCATATTCAATGTCTCGCCATCATACACGTAACCAGACGAAGACTCCAAGGTGTAGTTGCGAATGTCGTAGGTACTGGCAGCCATGTTGAAACCCAAGAAACCGGAGTTGTTCTCAGTCTCGAGACTAGTCTCATCCGCAGACGACGAAGAGTTGGTCGCGTAGAGGTAGAATCGAGAGACTACACCAGTGGCGCTTGCAAAATCGCTTCCAATCGTGGTTGACGACAAGGCCGTGGCAGATGGTGTCGCTTCAGCACTCTGAATATCACTAGACGTGCTATCGCTCGCGCTGGGATTTTCAGTAGAAGTGCTCACTGACTCATCTGCATCCGTCGCCTGGGAGGCTTCGGCGGACAGAGTGGCAGAAGCATTTCCAGACCCAACAGCCTGCGAATCATTGACTGAAGATGCCGATATAGCTTGATTACCAATGGGGGACGGAGCTTCCGCTGAGGTGGTTGAGATAATTCCAGACTGAGTGGTCTGAGAGGTATCCATAGACTGCACACTAGTAGCTTGATCGTTGTCACTGGATAGTCCGTCATCGGTGGAGGTAGCTCCGACGTCTTGCGAGCCGATGGAGGTGATTTGAGCATCCTGGGAGCTGGTAGAGGTAACTTGGACGTCTTGCGAGCTAGACAAGGTAGTCTCGAAGTTTTGCGAGCTGGTCGATTGAACGGTTGTAGGTTCTGCAGAAGACTCGGTGCTTGTAGATAGTGTATAGGCACTAGTTGTGGACGATGCTCCTGGAAGGGCTGTCGAAGATGCAGGGTCGTTGATTGGTGCAATTAGTTGCAAGTCAACATCATGACCGCCAAGATCGTGGAAACCGGCGTACAAGATCCACGAGCCAGTCTTTTCACCTGCAACGAGGAAAAAGTCGATGGTAGTCTTGTCATCTGATTCGGTAGCTTGACATGACAAATAGTTATTGGAGTCGACACTGCAAGGGCCAAGGTAAGCGTAGCCAGGGACGTGATCCGTGGACAGCGGAAGAACGGGGCCTGATGCCATACTCAATGGTGTTTGACTGTCGACCTGGAAGCCTTGGTAGCTTCCATTCGAGTCTACTAGCCACTTCTTGCTGTCGACATTGAGCTGAATGGTTTCCCAATCCCAGTTGAAACCGGTGGCGGTGCCATTGCTCTGGAGAGCAGTGTTGTCGGCCGAGGTATCAGAGTGAGAAGCATAAACACCGGCGGCTCGGCTCTCAGGAGTGGCGGTTGGACTATTGAGCGACTCGGCATCAGTGCTTGTTGCCGAGCCCATGCTCGTACTTTCAGGAGTCTGAGTGTTGCTAGCGTCCATATCATTGGGTGTCTGGGCTGGGGATTGAGAAGTAGACAAATCTGCATCGGGTGTGGCGACAGGTGAACTGGATGTGATCGTGATAGCCTCCCCAGAAGACTCCGAAGCAACTGATGAGTTCTCAGGAGTCAATGCCGATGCACTTTCGCTATCAGATGCCGATGCCTGGTCAGAAACAACCGAAGAGGATGACTCCACATCAGACGAAACTTGCGAGATCGCAGCAGTGGAGGTGGCCGATATGTACTCTAGCGACACAGTTGAGCTACCTGTCTCGGTAGCCAGAGAAGAATCGATCAGATCTGTAGCACTTTCGCTAACCATGGATCTGGAAGCAGCAATGTCAGAAGTGAGGGGCAGAATCGAGCTTCCAGAAGAAGTCGTCGCCACATCTGTCGAAACCGAGGAACTTGCACTGGGAGCATCGGCCAAGGTGCTGCTTATTATCACTGACGTCTGCGAAGCCGCATAAGGCTCGGGGCTTTCGCTGCTGGAGATTGCTTGAGAAGTGCTCGAGATATCTGGCAACACCGAGGTGCTCGAGCTGCTGACGACAGATGGGGTCCTCGAGCTAGCATATGCAGAAGAGCTGCCTGTGAAGGAGGTGGCAGCCGTGCTGACTCTGCTGGGTCCGGCGCTGGAAATGGCTGATCCTGATGAAGAGTTGGCAGCCTGGGCTGAAGCAGCGTATAGCTTAACATCGGTCGTGTCCGGGTTGTTGGCCTGAACAGAAGCTGCGCGCATTACTAGGAACAGGGATCCATCAACATTGACGACTGACATCTGAACAAGACTCTGGCCATCGATTGCTGCAGAACAGGTCATACCAAGTGTAGAGTCAAATGAGCAGGTCAGAGGCACGGAATCGTCACTGTTCTCAGTACTCTCAAAGACGTTGTAGTAGGTGTTTCCAGACTCATCAGGCGTGATGGCATGTTTCTGAGAAACAGATAAGACATAGTTGCCAAACAGGATGTGGTTGGTCATAGGATCGAAGCTGAACTCTTGCGAAGTTGCAGAGCCTCCGAGGTCAAATCCAAGGACACCGTTATCGTTTGTTGTACCATCTCCCTTGTTATTCTGGAGCTTAGAGGTCGATGTGGCCATGTAAATAAAGAAACTGGCAGGAACGTAGGACGCTGCTGTAGAACTGGCAGAAGACGAAACAGATACGCGGGAACTGGAGACGGATACCTGCGGGGTAGAAGTCGCCTGAGATGAAGAGATTGATGCCTGCGAGGATACTCGAGATGAAGAGACGTGAATCTGTGGGACAGAAGAGGCTTGTGATGAAGAGACAGACTGGTGCGAGGCAGAGGATGAAATAGTCTGAACTGCAGAGGCCGGGCTGGATGCCAAGATCGTGACAGGAACCTTGCTACCTCGGATGCGGACCTGGCTGGTTGTCGATGTGGTGGTTGGGACACCTTGAGACGAAGATGACTGCGAGCCGGAGCCATTGAGGTCATTCGAAGTGGATCCTGAAACGCCCAAGTCGGCGTTCGAGGACTCAGCTGTATTACTGGATGAGCTGCTCGACGCGTCCTGCAGTGCTGAAGTCGAACCAGCCTGGCTAGCTGAAGAGCTTGCAGGTGCCACTACTGCCTGACCTCGAACGCGAGTTGCAACTGTCCTGGAGCTAGTCGATGATGATAACAAGGAGGGCAAGGATGACTGAGCAGCGGAGGATGATGACGAGAATGAGGATGACGACGAGAATGAGGATGACTGGCTCGCAGACGATGACGATCGTGTGCTCCCAGTTGGAGATATCAGTGTGCTCGATCCTGTTGCTTTTGATACGCTTGAAGTTGAGAGACCCGATGAAGTCTTAGTGATGGGTCCTCCTCTCGTTCGGGTGATACTGGAAAACACTGATGTAGACTTGGAAGTCGAAGAGCTAGATTTCGCAGCAGAGACATCAGATGTGGTCTTTGAAATGCTGATTGCTGATGAAGAGCTGGCGACTTTCGATGACGAACTCTTAGCGGTCGAAGAGGAAACTTTGCCACGGGTGGCTGTGACGGTCGTTTTGGTGCTCGAACTCTTTACGCTCGAACTTTTGGCTGCGGATGAAGACTTCTTGCTGGAAGTGCTCGAAACTTTTGATGAGGATTTGACTGAAGACTTCGCTGATGATGACGTCGAGGCCTTTGCTGCGGACGAGACGATCTTGATGGCTGTAGTTTTGGTGCTGGATGTACTCGTTGCCGAGTTCATGATGCACTTGCATGCGTTCGTCACCTGAGATGCAGAGAGGCCAGGGATAGGTGAGTTGGTTCTTGTGTCTGCAGCCCACCATTTGCAGAAAGGAGTGGTGTGGGTGATATCATCCTGTACAGCAGTGACATCTTTGCTTACACAAGCAAGCTTTGTGCTGGTTGTCTTGCTAGTGGTGATAGCTCTCTTCGAGACCTTTACAGATCTTACGGGCGTCGAGACCAGCTTTTCTCCTCTGATTATGGTGTGGGTAGATGTGCTGCTTGTCGACGATTGGCCGTTGACAACACATTTACAGACATTGGTAAGAGAGCTAGCCGCAAGATCAGGGAGAGGCGACGTGTTGCGACTGACGATGAGCCAGAACTCGCAGAACGCTTCACCATATTTGACATCTCCATTGAAGGTTTTAAGATCGGTGGCGGAGCAAGCTGAGAACATTAGCAATAGTGCTGTAGCTGTTCGATGTAACACTTACTGGTGGTCTTGACCGAGGTGGTTGCCGTATGGGCGAAAGGAGCGAGAAGGAGTGCTGGAAGAGCAAAAGAGAGACGCATCTTGCTGATTAGCAGTCGGCTCGAAGCCGCGGGAGAACAAATGAACGAATACCAAGATGGAAAGTAGCAAACCAAACACCTCACGAGAAGACACTGGGAGGGAATCCTATATGGACCACACAAGGAACCTCTTAGAACTGCAGACCAAGGATCAGGAGGCACATATAAGACATTGTAACGGTACACCTTTTCTGCTGCTCATAGAGGACCGACAGACACGACTGTGTAGACTAGGTCAATAATCACAACGGGCACGAGAAGGATTCAGAGACAGCCTGGTCGACTGCCGAGCGTTAGTTTCTATGTCTACGAGTGTTGGCCAGTCCGGACAGTTGACCGAGAGTCGCAACGCCGCCCAGATATGGTAACTCGTTGTGATCGAGGATTGCATGGTCGTACGGCAATTGGGAACAACGTTGAAAGCAGCCTCTCGGCATTCTAACCTAGAGTAGGTAATTGGCATCTGCGTTTGGTCCCCGTAACTATGTTGGTATGCTGTTTGACCAATCACAGCATAGGGCAGACCGGCAGAGCAACGGCCATAGACGGTGGCTTGGTCGAGACTGTGAGAAGGCACAACGTTTGTCTTTGAGAAGATATTCGCCCGGAAGGACTTGACTGTATGACCGCATGGCTTCGATGGCAGGCAAACTGATACCTATGATGCACTTCACTTTACAATACATATAGAAGATAGAGATGGTGGATAGATGAATAGATACCTCATGGTACAGTTTGGGTCAAAACTGCAGCGTGGAAGAAAGAATGGAGTTGTTGATCCTGATCCTGATCTTGCTCTTGGCATCATCAACATCACACCATCGATCGTGTTCATGGCCAACACTTCTGGCCACTGTGCGAGCTTCGTACCACAGATGGGCCGCCCTTCTTTCTCTCTTCAAGCTATAATCCTTCACGATATTAAGTCTGGAGTCCCGGACTGTAGATACTCTGTAGAGCTTTTTCGTAGGAAATGAACTTGCGGCTCATGGAGTCTAGATGCCGTTGCATTATATGAAGACGTTGCGTGGGTACTCCGAATGAGTCTCGCAGCATGACTCGTAACCAACCCGGCACCACCTTAATTCCCGGCTATTGTACGTCACTGACCCGCAACTCTGCCAGGCCCAACACAGAGAACGGGCACATTATTTTCTCTGAGCACTTTGACAACGGTCATCTTGCAGGCAAGAACCCGACTCGGAGCGTAGAATATCACAAACATGTCTGGTTCATCACAACGTTTGCGCATTGGTATCATCGGCGCTGGAGAAGGTATGCAACGGAAGACCTTGGTATACAGAAGCTGTTAGCATTGACACAAGTCATCAGTGACCCAAATTATTCATCTGCCCACCCTTTGCCAACTGTCTCATCTTTACGAGATTACTGCAGTCTGTGATCTGTCAAAGAAGGTCTGGTTGTTACATCCATCATCTTCGCACTATGGCTGACCAGCATTGCTCTTCAAGAATGCAGAGCATTGTGCAGCAAAGTATCACGTCTCCAAGGCGACTACAGACCCAAACGAGATCATCAACAGCCGGGATGTAGACATCGTCTTCATCTCTGTCTCTGACGAGTTCCACGAACCCTACGCCATTGCAGCTCTCGAGGCACAGAAGAATGTGTTTATTGAAAAGCCTATCACCCTGTCAATGCAGTCTGCTCAGCGTATCATCGATGCCGAGAAGAAGTCCAAAGGTCGCGTGTGGGTGGGCTACATGAGACGCCACAGCCGCACTTTCACAGATGCTTTCAAGCGCGAGCTCGAGTCCATCCCGAAGATCCTTTATGCAAGATCTCGTGACTTCTCAGGACGTATGTTAAAACTCACCTGCCTCGAGCGTTGGGTCCTATATGCGGATTGTCTGACATGTTGCANNGCAAACGGTAAATTCACCTCCCAATCAGGCACTTTCCCTGTCAAAAACACCGATTTTCCACCTTCGGCAGGAGAAGAGCGCAACAGAAGGGTGGACACCCTCTTACGAGAAGCCTTTGGCACCGATCCCACTCCCGAACAAGTGAAATATGCCCGCTTCTTGGGCAGCTTAGGTAGCCACGATCTGTCTCTTATGAGAGAATCTCTTGGCTTCCCTGAGGATGTTACCGCCGTCACTGTTAACGAGCCCTTCTACTCTGCCATCTTCAAGTGCCGCAACAAATCTGGCGATCCATTCTTCGTCACCTACGAGTCAGGTATCGATGGTGTGCCAGAGTTTGACGCTCATCTCGCTGTATATGGCGAGAACAAGCGTGTTACCATCTTCTACGACTCTCCTTACATCAAGACGCAAAAGCCCGTCATGGTTAAAGTTCAGGAAGTTAACGAGGCTGGCGAGGTCCAGACCAGAGAAATCATCAGCTCTTTCGAAGATGCCTTCGCCACCGAGTTCCAGGACATGCATGATTGCCTTGTCAATGGAAAGGAAATCAAGACCAGTGCCGGGGACGCTATCAATGAGCTCAAGCTGTATGACTTGATGTACGCAAAGTATGCCGAGACCAGCAAATAATGGCCATACGCCCTATGAAATAAAGAAATCAATCCTCTTACATTCTGTCTAGACTGGATTCTTGAAGGATGGGTGCCTCATCATGCGAAACGGTATACTCGGTATGCCTGACGATGACCAGATCGTCATGGCCCCCATCACTGCTCACACTCTCGTGCTCACCCCAATATCTCTGCTCCCCAGCCTGCACAATAGTCCTACTTTCCAGCCCTTGTATCGATGGTCTCAATTGCAGCGGACCATCCACCTCATCCCCAAGACTAGGTGTCTTGACATGGAACCTATACCCACTGAGCTGCGTTCCGGTGTTTGTCGCTTTCGTGGTAGTAATGTTACTTTTGTACCCGGCTCCGTGCGTTCTAGGACCAGTGGATGATCCTACAGCAGACAGGTTGTATGACTCCGCAGCACCGGGCATATGTCCCATACCGAAGCCGGTGCTGAAGCCATCGGTAAAGTTTTTCGAGGTCGTGAGAGTACAGGATATCAATGCGTATGTAAGTTCGACGGCCATCAGGATTGTTACAAGAGTGCTGGATAGGGATACATCGACTGATGAGGGTGAGGCGAGTTTTGAGGTGTAGATTTGACGGATCACAGAGAGAGCTATTGTGCTGTGACCAGGTTAGCTTGTGTGATGCACACCCACATACAAGGATATGATAACATACGGGATGCGCGTCCAGAAGGTCACTACAACCATGACCTTGCGCTTCTGGGGCATCTGTAATGACCATAAGAGATTGATCGGCAATGCCAACAGAATGACTTCGGAGATGATGTCCAGCACTGTTATAGCCTGCCACCTGCCCTCTTCGCTAGGACAAGAGCCCTTGTTTCCTGCAAAGTCCCAGTAGTAGCCAGATGCTGGAGGACACCCCGCTGCGATGGTCATGGCGCTTGCAACAGCCAAAACGCTATAGACGAGGATGAGAATGGGATAAAAGTAAGTGCTGCGAGTCTTTGACTGAATACGCATGAGGAACACTAGAGCAGCGATCTTCGCAGCATAAAGAGCGAGGACAAAGGTCACAGCGCTAGCGATTGCAGTCTACCAGAAGCGATTAGCTTGGGCTCAGTGAGACTATCCGGCCTCTTGACTTACAGAACTCAGTCGACCGATGTTCTCCTTGATGACATCGTATGGTTTCCCCAGACCAGCTGTGAGGCATGCATACGAAGCTGCGAAATGTGCGATGACAGCGACTGTGGCGACAATTACGACGACATCATCCACGCCGAAGCTATTCCTCCGCAGATGTACGCGAACGCAGGTGAAGATCAGCGTGTACGTTAAGCAGATGCTTATAGCGACGTTCAAAGAATCCGCATATCCAAGATGGTGGACCAGTCCTGAATTGTCGGTGGTCATTGTCTGAGTCCTCAACTCTGACACATCTGACAGATACAATAGGGCTGTCAACGCAAAAAGCGAGCGAAAGAACGTATATGAAAGAAATCAGTAGTGCTGCAATATAGAACAGTATGAGAAGGAAGGGACCCACAAACGATGTGACCCAGGTAAGGGGAAGTTCAAAGGAAGGAACAATAGACTCGAAGCTATTGTTTTTCTACCGCATCCTTAGCACATATGTGATGATCTCCCAGTGGCAGTGGCATACAGCACATACGTGAATCCGGCACTTCACCGCACCAGTGCAATACGCCCTACAGTAGCACCTTCTGGCTTCGGCAATCGAGGGAGGCAAGCTTGTGTGCAAGTGATTATTTGGCGTGGCATAGCGTCCCCGCTTTAAGACAGTGTGTGTGGTTGCTTCTTGCCCTCTTTTGAAGAGGCCAGAATCGCGAGATTATTGTTCGGGACATGTCGAGTATCCAGGGCAATATCACAGGACGCTCGGACACCCGGATGGGTTCCGAACCAAAGCAGGGACCCTTTCATTGTAACTTGCGCCTCATGGTAGGTTCAAAGGATCGTGCGAAACTGATGGCGAGATGTATTTCGCGACTTGTTCATGGACTTGCTTTGGCTGATGGCATCGAAGTCTTGAGATCCATATGGTGCGGACACACTGCTACTCGGTATATGATGGTGCATATAGTCAGCCGCGTGTGCGTTTCATCCTTCACTGGCTGCAGCTTATTGACCCGTCCAGCTGGTATCATAAAGGAAAAATTGACAGAGTAGTGCCATGTGGGCCACTTCGACTGCTCGAGCGGACCTCTTATCGCGCCTCTGCCGCGACCTTGTGACAAGTAGGATTGTTACCCTTACTCGATCCTGAATTCTTCCGCAGGATCTCGACAATGTTGCGCGCGTAAAGGAAGAGAAGACGGTCCAATTGTCGGTCAAGCATTGTCGAGAAAACCAAGAAGACGCTTCGGACCTGGCCGGCGGCACGAGTCTTGGCGAACGCATCTCGCGACTTTTGCTTGATCTGATGGCTTTATCTATTTCATGTCCTCAATTAACAAAATCTCGCTTCGTGTAGCCTCGGTTGAATCCTTCGTTCGCAATGCTCAGGTCACAGAATCCTTGACTGATCCTTAGTTTCCGGTACCGCGCTGGGAAAGATGCTTGTTCGAACCTTCACACCTGTCGTTCGGCGGCTTCATAGTCCACATACAACCGAAAACTCTACTGCTCCTTCGACAGACAAGGCGGTGGATTAAATCTCAGCAAGGTGTAGGATCGTTTATCCTTGGCCCCTGCATGTCTGATTTTTCAGAGAGCAGCCGCTTCCATATTGCTTGAACTCCCCACGCGGCATAGACTTTACACGCGAACAGGCTGACGGGAGAATCGCTTTCGCGATTTGACGATAGACCTGGACGACCGTGATCCGCCCCCAGGCGATTGAGCAATCTAGTGGAGAGGGCAGTTCCGCTTAGTCAAATTGCTAGTGTTATACACAAAAAGCCACCCGGCCAACCAGAACTCAAGACGATCCGAGACTACCGAGATTCCTTTGATAATAGGTACGAAGGTATCACTCCACTGCTGATCCGTGTTGCTTGCTCACCTTAGACCCCACTATTGTAATTGAAGGTACACCACTGCGTAAGATGTAGCGAATCGCAGAACTTTGGCTCGCGGTCTAGTACGCACGCCGGCTCATATGGCTCATTTCTTGATGCTCGTGTTAAGGCTCTCCAAATTGATCTTCTCTGCGTGGTGCAAGCTCATGGACCTGGATGGTTCGCAGCCGAGCACGGTGCCTTTGCCAATTCTTTTTGCTACCGACAGAACCACTACTCTGGAACCAAGCATATCTTCATAGTCAAGCCACAGTCGTCTCGTTTTTGCTTTCTTCCACTTTTTCAGAATTGCCTCTTCCACGCCGTCCATTCCAAGGGCCATGTCCGTGACTGGCAAACCTACTCACAGGCTCTCCTTCGAGGAGGTGCCCTCAGAAAATGGCTCTCTGCCCGAAGTCAAGAAGGGCACTGACGCCGATGCTGCCGACATGTCGAGAATGGGCAAGAAACAGGTCCTGAGAGTATGCGTTGTTCGTCTCAAACAGACAGGCAACAATTAGCTGACACAGTCCTGATAGAGAGAGTTTCGTTTCATCTCAATTGTCGGATTCATCTGCATCCTTCAGTCCACTTGGGAAGGTGCTCTCCTCTCCAACGACCAATCGCTACACAATGGCGGCCTGGCCGGTACCGTATGGACTTTTATCGTCACTTGGGGCTTCACGCTCTGCATGATTGCGTCTATGGCCGAGCTCGCGTCAATGGCACCTACCGCAGGCGGTCAGGTAGGTCTCGTTGCTTCCTCTGAGATGATGTCAATTACTAACTTGACAAAGTACCATTGGGTCAGTGAATTTGCGCCCCCTTCTCTTGAAAAGCCTCTGTCCTATATGGTTGGATGGAGCTCTTGGCTAGGCTGGGTGTCTGGCATTCCTTCTTGTGCACAATTTCTCGCCTACCAGGTTGAAGGCCTGGTTCTTGTCAACAACCCGGATGCACATCTCGGAGAACTGTGGCAGATCGGACTCTTGCTTTTCGCCTTCCTCTTCGTCACCTTTGGTTTCAACATCTTCCTTTCGCACAAGTTACCGCTTGCTGAGGGTATCATTCTCGTGCTTCACGTTCTGGCTTTCTTCGCCTACCTCATCGTCTTTTGGGTGATGGCTGATGTCGGATCAGCAAAGACTGTCTTTACTGAATTCTCTAACGGAGGTGGCTGGAGCAGTCAAGGTGTTTCCTGTCTTGTCGGACTGGTCACGCCCATCTGGTGTTTCATCGGTCCTGATGCAGGTGCACACATGAGCGAGGAGCTACGTGATGCTTCCCGTGTGCTTCCCAAGGCTATGATGTGGGCGACCGTCATCAATGGCGCGCTCGGCTGTGTCATGATCATCAGTTTCTGCTTTGCTGCCGGCGACAATCTGGAAAGTATCTTGAACACTGGCACTGGCATCCCTATCGTGCAGCTTCTGTACAATGTTACGGGCTCCAAGGCTGGAACATCAGTTATGACAGTCGTACTTCTGGTCCTCCAGTACTTCTCGGCCATCACCACCATTGCGTCTTCGTCACGCCAGACATGGGCCTTCGCCAGAGACAGAGGATTCCCCTTCAGCGAGTGGCTCAGCCGTGTGGACCCTCGCTGGGATGTCCCTGTCAATTCTCTACTGCTTTGTCTTGTCGTCTCCCTCATCCTCGGCGCCATCAACTTTGGCTCCGAAGTCGCTCTCGATGCCATCATGTCCGTGTCCAATTCAGCACTGTTGTTCAGCTACATCGTCTGCATTGGTTGCGTGCGTCTGAAGCGCTGGCGTGGACAGCCTCTTTTACCCCGTAGTTTTGACTTGGGTAGATGGGGTGCTCCTCTCAACGATGCCGCACTGGCTTTCTTGGTTGTGGCATTCATCTTCTCGTTCTTCCCTGAGGATGTGAACCCTGATGCGCCGGACATGAACTGGGCGATTGTCATCTGGGGTGCCATGTGGGTGATGGCCGGTAGCTACTACTACTTTGGCGGCTCCAAGAAGTATGTTAGCCCTGGCAGTCTTGTCAAGAATATGTAAAGCTACAGATCATTGTCGATTGGACAATATAGCACATAATCAATAGAATCAGACATCACAAAGTATCTCATCATCTACACGATAATGTCGACACACCATTGATCAGGAAATTCATGCTCTTGGTCAACCACATGAAGCTCCCATCGAGCAATTGTACTGGCAATGTGGCAGAGCCTTGCGAAGATAATGTAACAATTTATGGTTATCGTACTGAAAATAGGACGACGAGTGTGGTTGCTGTCGATGAACGGTCTTGCAGTGCCTCTTCCGAAAATATGCCAAGGTCACAACCATGATATTTGTCACTCAAGACCTTTGTCATTTCCTTCTTTGCGGACATTATTCATGTATTTTCCTTTCTCGACCACTTGCTCTGGAGGAACATTAGTCGTGCAGAAACGGTTGTCCCGGCATGCATCCGAACCTTCCTTGCATCATGGATATTCTGCTTTTCCCAACTTGAATCATGCAATCGCCCAACGTGCATACCATTGCATCCAGCGCGTTCGTCCATGAACTTGAAAGAACGCTCTGGTAGGTGTGACTTTCAGGCACCTTGCAGATTGGCTTCTTGCAATAACAATTTACCGTTTGATGAACCTAATTCGCGGTCATCCAAATCACGATCTCGAAAAGTTTGGTATGTACACCGATTCGGAAGTCTCGGCCTGTCGTCCAGCGTTTCAACTCTCGATGATTTACGTCATTATTTTTTGTTGCTGGTATGCGAAAGGTGAAAACATTAGAGATGTCAGTCAGAGTCTGTTTCTTTTCTTCAATTCAATCTCCTTCTGTTGCCCTTAATATCCCATCTGATAGCAATCCTTTGCTTCTTCTCTCGCAACTCGACGCTTTTCAAACACTTTCCGAGCAAGACAATCGCCAAAATACACGAATACAACGATACGCGATGTTCGACTCATCGTTCTCCTACTCTTCCGAGCAACCTCTCTCCAAAGCGGCTTCCGACTCGATCGCGCTCAGGCTAATGCACGATGTGGGTCTCATCATGCATCTAAATCCAGACTGCAAGGGAATCAAACTCGTGTCGGACCCGTCCGCAATCCCGCAAGAATACAAGGTCGAAGACAGTCTAGCATTCGTGCCCAAGAAGCTCTGGAGCGGAGGTGTTTGGTACACGGCGTTCTTCAAGGCGGTCGAGGACGGCTGCGACATCACAGTCCAGGCACCCGGTGGCTTTACTTCGATCAACAAGTGGCGCTTGGTCAGGAAGCCTGATGGAACACGATTCATCTCGATTACAAGCGATGCGAAGTGCAGCAAGACGTTTGCGTACTTTGTCAAGAAGTTCTTGGAGACTCAGCACGGTCAACTCCAACGTACTTTCAATGAGCGCGTCGAGGCAGTCGCGAGACCTGGTATTCCTCGCCGCAGGTCATCGATGCCTGGATCTTTCAGAACGATGGGTAGCGCACGAGACATGGTGGCCGCCTGAGGGCAAAGTCAGCGGTTTATCTGCGAGTGGCTTACTTTGCATTTGCATCAAGACGGCGTTGGTTGTTGCTAGAAGGAAGCCTGTGGGAATCAGGCCATTAAGCCCAGGATGTTTTTAGATATACATATCACGACTTTGACGACTGTAATAATAATTAATTCCATAACACGCATTTCCCTCACAAATTGGTGGTTAACATGAACATCATTGCGGTTTCGAGTCGGGCTGCCACGGTACTGGCCGAGGAAATACGTTGTAGGGCTAAGTCCTGATGATGCATATCTTGCCTGATCGGTGGTCGATACGAATGGGCAGCGAGCGATCTCCGTAGCATCTGACTTTTGCGCAAGGTGGTGTCAATGACTTTGATATAGAACTTTGAGCATTTCTGGAAGGGAGCTGGGAGAGAGGATGCTCAATTGACGGTTCTTGCAAAGCAACAGGCAAGACGAGGGCGGGATGCAAAAGCAAACATGGAAAAGTGCACATTAGCATGGGCGTGTTCGGGACAGCGGTTCGCCTGGTCGCACCTCCAACGGCAGGCTGGCCGTTGCCGCGACGGAAGGTGTGCAAAGGAGAAGTCGGGATGTGTAGCCGAGGCTTGTGGGTTGTGGGAGTGCAGTTTCCCGAATCGTCGCAGTGACAGCGGACTCGATGACACGCGCTGATAAATCGAGCATACGTGCAGTCGGCAAGGCGCCATCTCGATCGGGCCGTGACTTCCTTCAGTTTGCAACACCGACGTCGACTTGTACAGGCTTGCAGACTTGATGCGCGCGCCGCGAGAGGAGTCGAGTTGCGAAAAGTCTTTGCGCTGCTGCCAGCGTCGCCCCGTCCATGCAGTCGTCCAACACGGCCGAAGGTGGCGGGCTCAACTTTGTCTTTGAATCCGGCTCTTCTGGACGCGAAAACAAAAAGTATGTCAGGTCGCACGCTGCAAAGGTTGGCTGGTCGCAGAGAAGTCNNGCAAGCAGGCACAGGCTGGCCCCAAGGACGTCGACGTCGCCGTAGCCAAAGACAACCCGACGCCCAGGAAGCGTCGCAAGACGACTGCTGCACCCGCCGAACAACAACACCAAACAGTCACTCATTCGCCTCCGCCCCAGCACTCTGNTGAATAGACCTGTCCACTACCAAGCCGAACCCGGAGCTGGAGCTGGAGCTGCATCTGGAGCTGCCGTTGAAGCCTCGAGAAGTTCCCCATCGATAGCCACGCAGCTCCCGCCACAACAACATGCCCTCAGTCGACATGGTCACTTTGCTGCATACTCGGCTTCGCAAGCGCCCGCGCCTGCCATCTTAGCTCCTACATATTCCTCTGCTCCAATTCCTCTCTCAGCGCCGTCTCACCACTTCCATCATCCAGGCCAACCCGCGTCCGGACGACTTCACAATGTGGAAACGAGCCCTCCGGTTCGAGTAGCCACAACTGCTGCTCCAACCTATTCCTCCACCCAAGGTCTCTCGCAATGGCACACGAGGCCCGAACCTGTACATCATGATCCTGCAGCACAGCAATCTTTTGTGCCGTTGTTTCGGCCAGCTGCATCGACAGTGACAATGCACCCGCCACAGGCCATGCCCGGAGCCGACATTCTTCGGCCTGTACCACCAGCCAGTCCCATACCATCTCCGCGACTGCCACCTCTCGTAAACACCCCGACCTCGAGACCCTTGATCATAGGCGCCAATTGGAGACAATACGACGATATGTCTGCCACAAACCCTGAATCCTCACGCCCGTCCACTCCAGCTCTACCTACATCAAAGAGACACGAAGAGCACGCCGACGCCTCCGCAAGGACACCACAACGCCCGTCGCCAAAGAGAACGTCAACGCCTGCCTTCCTTGAACTGGTCCTGAATGAGGAGTATCCCATGTGGAAAAATGTCGATTCTGGCAGCGACTCGTTCAGTGTCTTTCCCGTCAAATGGCAGCCTATCTACGGCCCTCTGCTCCAGAACNTGTGAGTGCATCAACCCATGTTTGTCCAGATGAAACGCTCAGGCTGACCTCCGACAACAGATCGCTCCAATATGCTCGTTCAACTCGATGAGATCCTCACAGGCTGGACAGTGGACCAAAAGCTAGAGTTCAACCAAATGCCACTGCGCCTCGCCGGCTCAGAGCCCTGTCTCTTTTACTCTATCCTCGCTACCGCCTCCATCATGATGCCTCCAGGTCTCATCTCACCGACTGTCCCACGCTGGCTACAGAACCGCACGGTCGAATGCCTCAACCAAGCCTTCGCAGACCCCAAACGTGCATACAGCGACGCCACAATCCTGACGCTGAACATGGTGGCCCTCTTCGAATCTTGTAGCGGCCACGCTTCCACCGCCGCCTCCACCCATCAGCCCGTTTTGCGCCGCATGGTTGACGAGCGCGGTGGATTGACCGGACTCGTCAAAGACGAAAACGAAGACTCGAAAAACTTGGTCAGGATCCTGGCTTGGACGGATCGTGTCATCAGGTGTCAGACCAGTAATCCGCTCATGTTTGGAGACTTTAGAGAAGAAGAGAGTTTGCAGAAGACTGATTGGGAGGGCATCTGGGCGAGGATGGAGAGGAGGGTGGAGGAGAATAGGCCGCAGCCTATTGAGGAGTTGCCTGATTGCTAAGGTGTGTCGTTTTTCAGCAATCGTCGTTCTTGCTATAGTGCTCTGTTTGGGAAGGGGGAAACACTGATTCCTGGAGTTTTCAAGGGTGGGTGTTTTGTTTTTACTCTGTTTTTCCGTGTGGCTGTTTCTTGTCTCTAATCTTTTGTACAGTCGTTGTTTTTGTTATTTCTCTTTGTTTTTCCTTTGCTCCCCGAACTCTAGTAGAGTTCCGTCAACCCGTATATAGCTCAAGATGATACCCCAAGATACCACCACCAAAGATTGCAAAATATTTTTTATCTTTATCTCTTCCCTTTCTGCTCTGGTCTGATTTAATCGTTGAGAGATGAATCCAGCAAACTCATGTAATCAGGTCTGTCTTTTTCATAATGTACATCTAGATACTCAAAAAAAAAAAAAAAAAGGACAGTCATCACAAAAAAAAGGGGTGCGGGTACGAACAAATGGTGAGAAAAGAAGTGACAAGACAAAAAGATTTTCGAGTCAGGAACAAAAGGGAAGAAAGTTGGAAAAAGAAAAGGAAAAAGAAAAAGAAAAAGAAAAAGTAAACTGTGAGTATTCAAAAGTGTTCAAAAGTAGGTAGCGACCATCACTATCCTGATACTCAAGCCTTTTCTCTATAGACTAGGCATCTAGGGAAGTCAAAAAAAATCTCTTAGATCCTAGAGTCCCAAAACACTCTGCACGCCAATACTCCTCGCATCCTCTCTCATGAGGATAAACGGTTTGAGATCTGCTTTTTCAATCACAGCACCGCTACCGCTGGCATCTGCTTTGGCACTTCCAGTCTCGCCATCCAACCCCTTGATCCTATCCCTCAATGCCTCGGGCCCGATGACGAACAAATTGGCGACTTCGGTCAATACCTCCAAGCTCTCGATGAAGGGTTTGGGAAGCGTGGTCCAAGACTTGAGTAACTCAATGTATTTGGCCATGTCTTTGGAAACGATGAGGCCGCCGGTGAGGGAAACAGGATAGGCGCGGAAGTGGGCAAGGAGGAGGGCGCGCACACCCATTGCCAGCTCCAAAAGGAAGTTCTCGAGCACTTTTCCACTGAGGGCTGTTTCCGCGCGGCTGTGGACTTTTGTGAGAAAGTTGAAAAGGGCGAGGCAAGTAGGTGTTTGTAGTTGGTCTAGTTGGAGCAGGGCATCGTCGCGAGGGCGGAAGTCTGTCTTCTTTTGCTGAGAGAGGATGCGTGAGGAATAGGAGAGGGTGGCGTCGATTGTTTTCTGGAGGATGGTGTCGATTTTGGATTCGCAGCGGTCGATAAAGGAGTCTGTTGTCTTGTCGAGGTCGCGGCGGATGGTGAGATTGCTGGCTGCAAGAGGGAGAAGAAGGGTTTGGATTGTGGCAAGCAGTAGGTGGAGGATGCTGACTGCGCTGCGGAGGTCGACAAGGTGGCCGAAATCCGGTTCTGTTTTTGTGCTGCTCTCAGCTGCTGTGGCAGACTCGGTGACGGCGTCCAGCGCTGTCTCCAAGTAGATCTCGCCCATGTTTGCAATGAGCAGACTTAATAGTTCTCGCACGTCTTTCGGTGTTTCATGCCCGTTGGCTAATTCGAGGCCTCGGCCTACACTTTCAGCTAGCCATTTGAGCATGCGTTTGATGAACGGTAGGCTCAGTTCGCCATCTTCCTCCGATACGTCAACGTCATTCCTGTTATGCGTATGACTGGCTGTGGGGTTTAGTCCAGCAATTCGTAGAAGAGTGGATTTTTGGGAAGCTGGAATATCCGAGTTTTCGAGTCTATCGAGATATGTGTCGCGTGTTGAGGAGATGAGTTCTCTGCTACGCGCGGAAAGAGAGCCTAGATATGATGTTGGCATTTTTCGTCGGCGTGTGTGGTAGGTTGTGAACTTGAACAAGAGAGAGGAGTAAAGCTCTTCCAAACTTCTCTTCTCGCGCTCGATATATGATGAGCCAGAGAAATACGGCACAAACAAGTCTTCCAGTTGCTGGTCAAGGACAGCGGCGGTCTGCGCAGAAGCAGGTTCTGGATGCTCGGTCAAACCGTGTGCCTTCAAGTCTTCGACCAAGGCTGAGATGTAGCTCCTGCTGGCTTGTAACGACCGCAGGAAAGCTAGACCAGAGATTGAGTCTGCCTTGTCAAGCACCATTTCAAGTTTCTGTTGTATAGACTGTTGGAAAATTCTCTGTAAGAAGCGTACCAAGACTTCTTCATGGAAAGGAAATGCTCTCTTGATGATAAAGCTCTCTTCTTGCACGACAAGTTTCACCTCGTCCACCAAGCTTTGCAGACTAGGCTCAACACCTGGTGGTTCAGTATCTGGGTCGGCAAGACGTTCCCAGGTATCTGACTCGGCGACCAAGTCTTCGGTGATGAGCTGGCTGCGGTCGATGAAGAACTGATGCTGATTCACGAAGAGACCCATGACACTAGCACCATCGCCAAAGTCTTTCAGAGCAACAGCACACTCTCTCATGCCGTCAAAATTCTGGCGTCTGTAAAAGTCGTCGAACTGCTTCAAGAGATCCTTCTCTAGCGATTCGAGGAACTTCTCGATTAGCTCAGTAGGCGTGTCGTGCCCGTTCGTGCCATCACCATTGGAAAGCGAGTTTGATGAGTCAAGACGCTGGCTGATCTTGAGCAGTTGACGAGCAATATGGGCACAGCGCAACTTGCCCTCACCACCTTGGAGTCTCCTGACATCGTCAAGGCTAGACAGATCACGACGCTCACTGACGTCGATCCAGCATTGCAGTATGAATTTGGCGTCCTGGGCACGCTGGCTTTGGCGATCCAGCTCGTCGAGCCTCTCTCCTATCCTCACGGCAGCATTTCCTCCTTGATCGCCATTGTCCAGGCTCTGTTCTAGACGATGGAAAGAGTCGACGGCACGTTCGAGCTCCCGTTCCCTAGCTTGGACGTTCGTGTTGTGCACAGCTTCTGCCCTCCTTACACCAGCGGACAATTCATTCTCTTGCAGTTCAAGGTCCTCGCTCAGCAGCTTGAGCCTGTTCAGGGCCTGTTCGAAGGTACGGATCAGGGGTTTGGGGTCAAAGGCGACAGCTTGCGGACCAGTACGGCGACTCGGAGGAATTGCAGCATCGGAGAGAGCTTCGATAAAGTCCTTGACTATAAAGTCCTGGCTAGAGAAGGTGTCGAGAGTAAACTGAGGCTGTCGCGAAGCACCAAAGCGGGAAGGAGCAGCCGAGATGCCCGAGAAGATGGACGCGTTGTCGGCAGCGGAAGGCATTGCAGTCGTCTTGCTCGCACTACCGCTCTCTTGACGAGGACATGGCAGGATGCACGGCGTAGTGTATGGTGAGTCAACAGCGGGGTGGGTAGGAGCGAGGGGGTGGAGGGAGACGCGTGAGCTGGGCCAAGCGTGGAGAGGCTGACGTCGCTCCTGCCCTGGAATTGTTTTGCGAACCACACCTTCCAATTGAGCGTCAACTACACAATGGTTGGAGCCTTGAAACAAGAGGCTTTCCGTAGCAACACCGGCCCTGACGGACGGCCACTGTCGGCACAGGAACGCGAACGATTGCTGCAGCCCTATCTGCCCGCTGCTTCACCTCGCGACCCCCAGCGGACCCAACCGCTGCGCCAGCTGATCAAGGCGGGCCTGCACCTCTTGCTGTACAACCTCATCCATTTCGCCTTCTCCGTCTACCACCGCTTTCGCGTCGCATACCACAACCTGATCGACCGCGTCTTTGCCGTCCTGTACTACCACCACCGTACCCCAGAGTACATCCAGAAGGATGTCAGCCGCCTGAAGAAGCTGCCCAAGCACCTGTCCGTCATCCTCGAGCTGGACGACAGCACACGCGACAACTCGAGCCTCGAAGCCTTGATTCACGATGTCTGCGAGGTCGCTGCCTGGTCCGCCTGCGCAGGTGTGCCCCTGCTGAGCATCTACGAGCCCTCCGGTACCACGGTCCGCCCTCCCTTGGCCACGTCCTCTGTCTAACCGCTTCTAGGCCTCCTCAAGCAGTCCCTGCCACTCGTACACCGCCGCATCTCGCGTACCTTGGCCGCTTACTTCGGCCATGACAACCCAAACAAGCCGACCCTTTCGCTGGGCGCTCCTCACATGCAATCTTTCTCGCCGCCTGCCTCGCCCAAATCAACCCTCGATGCCAACTCTTCAAAGTCGCCTCCTCATCTCTCCATCCTGCTTTTGTCAGCCTCTGACGGCCGTGGTACCCTTGTTGATTTGACAAAGACGTTGGCTGAGATGAGCCAGAAGGGAAAACTTGCGCCCAAGGATATTTCTACGGACCTGGTCGATGCCGAGCTCACCGAGAGCGTCATGGGCGAGCCTGAACTACTAATGCTGTTCGCTGACAGTGTCCATCTGAAGGGATACCCTCCGTGGCAGTTGAGGCTCACCGAGATTTTGTAAGTCACACCCTTTGCCGAAATGAGGCTTCCATTGCTCCACAAGCCACCCAAATGCTGACATGTTCTGATCACCAGCCATGTTCCTGACAACAACGGCGTTGGATATCAAGTCTTCCTGCGCGGTTTGTACAAATATGCCCAGGCTCAGATGAGGTTTGGAAGTTAGACATTGTTTCGAAATATTAACCAACGTCACCTGCCTGTCTATGGCCAAGGTTTGTTGACATTCTTGCTGTACAAAGCGTCACCTCCTTTGCGCCGAGGTTACAATCGACGTCGTGGCACTTGGTAACATGGCCAGGAATCGTCATAAGACCATGTGCCCTCGAGTTTGACTCTTATTCTGACACTCTTCTGTCCATTTAGATCTTTGTAAGTCTTAGAACCCAACGTCGCACCGAACGACCGTCATCCGAAGGCACCTAAGAGTTGTGGGGCTAGTGTATAATGCTATGGTATAGTCTCTTCCTTCAATTCATTGGCAACTGCCTGCTTTCATTCTTGAATTAGTGATTTCAAGTCAATCGTTCCTTTCTATATGAAATGACTACTCGCTTGCGAGATTTACGGCGTCTCGTCCCAGTTCGATTCATTAAACGCTTCACTCTAAAGTCTTGGGGCATAGTCTGTACGAACAGATTCACCTTGTTGATACACTCTCTCTCAATCCTTGACGAATCGAATGCAGTATCCGCCTCTACTACTATGCAGCATCCCCCTTCGATATTGAGAATGGGTCTCCTCGATCTGCCAATTGAGCTCCTCGACCTGATCATTATCTACTGCGTCACTACTGAGCCCATGACTGTCTCTCTGGCACCGACAGCAAGCTCTTTGACGCGAAGTCTATTTCCTCTCGTCTCTCGCCGAAAGCGTTACACAGTAACCAACTACCCATACAACCTGCTCCTGGTCAATCGCCTGATCTCCCGCCTCGCTTTCCGTCACATCTGGACTCGCAAGTCTCTCGTCATCTCTCTGACTCCATCAGATACGCTATGCTTTCTTCTGCATGGGCTGAGCCAACAACAAAAAGACGCGCTATGCAAAGTACAACTCCCTAGGTTCTTACTCAGTTGGTCGTTTCCAGTCAACTCGGACATCTGGCTAGTTGCTGGCAAAGAAANNAAGACCGAGAGCTGGTACGGAGGTGCCAAGGATCCGGAGAAGGATGTCCAAGGCAAGAGGTTCCAAGCTTTGATTGGCATGTTGGGTAAGAGACCCAGTTGTTGTTGTCAGTCTTGGAAGCTTAACATGGGACTCACTCAATCGTGACAGCTCAAGTTCCATTATCTCCTGCGCAGCTGGTTTTGTTGGAGCAGTTTTCTATCGGCTGACTGCTCTGTCGAACTTTGTGATGCGCTGAACACGGAGGTATCACCTGACACCTCATTTCGACTTTTCGACTTACTGTCTCGAACGCTGGTCGTTCTCGAGCACTTGTGGCATTGCGGCCGCGTATTTCTATTCTGTAAGCATAACTATCCGATTTGTTTGCCAGGCCCACTTTCTCATACAAGTCGTAGCTTCAAGAGCCTCTTATACTTCCTCACTTGTCCATTCTGGTTATCTAACAGCACAATTTGGCGTTGGGGACATCTCAAGTTCGGCATTTTGCATTCACATGGCACGTGGGGTACTTTTTGATGCTATATCCGTTACCAAGCATCTTTTAGGCAGTCTATCCATAGTCGCACTATCGAGTTGCAATCCTGGATTTTGTAAAGCCAAACATACTTTTTAAAAATTCTCCTTGTGATGAAAACGGTCAAGATTTGATGCGTCTGGTACGACCCTGGCCGTGATATTCATACGGCACTCGGAAATTCACCACTCGATGAGGGGCTCTTCTGGTTGGGCTCAAAGAAGTGTATTGTGATCTTCGAGCTATCCAGATGCTCATGTTTAATTTATGATCGCACGTTGGCTCATCAAACGCAGAACTATACGATCTTCGGAATTTGTATCGCTGCCTAAAGAAAACCACCTAGACCCACCCATGTATCAAAAACACGCGTTCGACTTATTGATCATGTCAGTTTCTGACAGCCCTTGGTATCACTTCTTCAAAGTTCGGTGCAAAAAGGATGCAAAGACAATTGAGTAAAGAAGAGGGCAAGCCAGCAAGAGCCGTAGCAAACTTGTGCCAGATAAGTGCAAAAAGAATATCTATCCAGAGGATTTGGTTATGCCGATTGCCTGAATCGAACAAGCGATCTTCGCATTACAAGTGCGACGCGTTACCCCTGCGCCAAACCGGCATGTTGGGGGATAGATAGAGTTCTGTTTCACCAGTCCCGAATATGAAGATTTGCTTAGCTCAGCTGCCCTCCAGCAATCACAGGTCTTGACCATCCAAACACCAAACGAAGTTCTGGATTGTGCAATTCGACTTCAATGGTCAAATGAGACAAACGATTTGCAACTATACAGCCAAGAATATAGAAAGTAGAACAATATCATAGTTGCATGAAAGTCTCTGATCAGACCAAATAATTTATGCCCTGATGATGCCACGGCATCTGCCGGCAGCCTGTGCGAAAGCCAAGCCAGCAAGCTTTCCGCCGCGAAAAATTATCAAACTTCGACAGCGACATTAGAAGTCTTGGGAGGACAGCAGTTTCAATCTTTTCCAACAAGACTACACATTCAAAATGGCGCTCGTTAAGGCCGGCGAGGCCGATTACTCGATCAAGCCCGAGAACATTACACCCACCATCGACACCAGTGCCTGGCCGCTGCTTCTGAAGAACTGGGACCAGCGTACGTCGTAGAGCTCTTCCACACTTGTGATTCTTCTCAACTAACTCGCCTGCGCGCAGNTCCTTGTTCGCACTGGTCACTTCACCCCCATCCCTGCCGGCGCAACCCCCCTCAAGCGTGATCTCAAGTCGTACATCTCCTCAGGTGTCATCAACCTCGACAAGCCCTCCAACCCCTCTTCGCACGAAGTCGTCGCCTGGATCAAGCGCATTCTCCGTTGCGAGCGTACTGGTCACTCCGGTACCCTCGATCCCAAGGTCACTGGATGTTTGATTGTCTGCATTGACCGCGCCACCCGCCTGGTCAAGTCGCAGCAGGGTGCCGGTAAGGAGTATGTCTGTGTCATCAGACTGCACAACAAGCTCCCCGGTGGCGAGCAGCAATTCGCCCGCGCCCTCGAGACCCTCACCGGTGCTCTCTTCCAGCGTCCTCCTCTTATTTCCGCCGTCAAGAGACAGCTCCGTATCAGAACCATCCACGAGAGCAAGCTTTACGAGTTCGACAATGAGAGACAGCTCGGTGTCTTCTGGGTTTCTTGCGAGGCTGGTACCTACATCCGTACACTCTGTGTCCACCTTGGTCTCTTGTTGGGTGTCGGTGCTCACATGCAGGAGCTGAGACGTGTGCGATCCGGTGCCATGGACGAGCAGAAGAACCTCGTCACCCTCCACGACGTCCTTGACGCCCAATACCTCTACGACAACCAGCGCGACGAGAGCTACCTCCGTCAAGTCATCAGCCCCCTCGAGTCTCTGCTCACCACTTACAAGCGTGTCGTTGTCAAGGACTCTGCCGTCAACGCAGTCTGCTACGGTGCCAAGCTTATGATTCCTGGTCTGTTGAGATACGGTATGTTCTGTCTCGCCACACTGACCATGAACACTGTGCTAATAATTTACANNGAATCGGGCATTGAGGTTCACGAGGAGATTGTTCTGATCACCACCAAGGGTGAGGCCATCGCCATTGCCATCGCCCAGATGTCGACCGTTGAGCTTTCTACTTGCGACCACGGTGTTGTTGCCAAGGTCAAGCGTTGCATCATGGAGCGTGATCTTTACCCTCGTCGCTGGGGCATGGGCCCTGTCGCTACCGAGAAGAAGAAGATGAAGGAGAGCGGCAAGCTCGACAAGTACGGCCGCCCCAACGAGGCCACCCCTGCCAAGTGGAACTCCGAGTACAAGGACTTCAACCTGACCGTCAACGGCGAGTCGACCACCGGTGCCGAGAAGATCGCTACTGAGGCTGCCCCCGTCAAGGAGGGCATCACTGGTCAATCCAAGGACACCACCTCCACCGAAGAGGTCATGGCCGCTCCCGCTGTTGCTGGAGACGGCTCAGACGTCAAGGACGCAACCATGGAGGATGCCGGCTCAAAGAAGGACAAGAAGCGCAAGCGCGACGGCGAGTCAGCCGAGGAGAAGGCTGAGCGCAAGAAGAAGAAGGCCGAGAAGAAGGAGAAGAGAAAGAGTAAGAGCAAGGCCGACAGCTCTGACAGCGAGTAAATGCAGATTTGACCGCAGCAGGGTGGAAAGCATGGAATCAAAAGTAAAGCGCATTACAATGTATAGTACGCGCGCGGACAGGAAAGGCGGCGTTTGGGCACGGTGTTCAGGCGTTGAATATCAGTGACGGCGATTGCAGCATATGCCAGCGGGAAAGTCGGATGTCCTTTGCAATGAACAAAATCACGTTTTATCACCATTCACTTGATTTTGATTCTCCTGACTCGGTCTTGTGATGAGATTGGAGTGAGCAGCCGGATGATTGAGTTTGACAAAGTATGAAACTGGCCGTTACGCATGACGTGGGATTGATCACGCAGCAGTGGCAGTCTATCAAAAACCTGAATAAGCAGTCCGCGACGTATGAATACAATAAGGCCTATATATGGAAAGGAATGATAAATCCTGAACAATAGTGTTGTACATAGTTACACGGCCAGACCGAGTCTCATTCATTCCTGAATGTCCCGCGTTGGCGACGGCTTCACTTTCACGAAACTTCCCAAAGCGGAAGAAGACTCTCACCAACTCGCTCTTTCTTTGACTTTCGAGCCACCAAGACGCCATTCTCTGTCTTACTTCTTTTCTTCTCTCTACACCACACATCTTCGGCCTACTATTTAGTCGCTCGCCTTCTGTACTCTCCACAACAAAGGATACCCGAGATCGACAGCCCCTCCCCCTCATACATCATGGCCGACAAGATCCTAATGACCGAGTTCAAGACTCTCTCCAAGGAACCCTGGACCAACATCGAGGTATGTCGTGTCTGTGCGATAGTGTTCGCGACGGCGAAACTGATATTCTGACGTGCAGNNCTTATCGATGAGAACATCTTCACCTGGCATGTCGCCCTTATGGTCATCAACCCAGACTCGATCTACGATGGCGCCTACTTCAAAGCAAAAATGACATTCCCTCGCAACTACCCTTTCAGCCCTCCTGGTACCTTCCTCTGCCCTGTCTCTTACACACCGTCCCGGTACTGATTGAGATCGCAGNAGTTCAAGTTCACCCGCCCCATGTTCCACCCGAATGTCTACCCCGACGGCAAACTCTGTATCTCCATCCTGCACCCTCCTGGCGAAGACGAAATGTCAGGCGAACTCGCTGCCGAACGCTGGTCTCCTGCTCAACGCGTCGAGTCCGTCCTCCTCAGTATCCTGTCCCTCCTCGACGATGCCGAACCCTCCTCACCTGCCAACGTCGATGCTGGAGTCCTCCTTCGCAACAACATCGAGGCATACAAACAAAGAGCCCGTCAAGACGTCGAAGCTAGCAAGGCCGACATCCCTGAAGGCTTTGTCGTGCCCACACAACACGCCACCTACAAGCCCGAAGTCGAGGACGCCGGGTTCAGCTGGAGCGACTCAGAAGTCGAGGACGACTTTGACAACGACAGCGACGCAGAGATGACCTTCGACGAGGATGATGAGGACGATGAGCAGGAGGTGGCCAGCGACAGCGATGATTGAACATGAGGCACTCATCATGGCCTATACATTCTACGGCGTTTTTTGCTTTATCGATACCACCAGCGCGGAGTTCAGGGCGGGAGTTCCACAAGCAGAGACATGAAATATTACCGACCAGGGACATGGGCATAGGCATAGGAGTTACCGGCTGGTTCAAGGCTCATTTTTCAGCTGCTTTTTCAACACTTTATTACACAGTTTTTATTAGACCAATATATGGAGAATGTCCTTTCTATTCACTTCTTCAGAACATTCAGCCTTTAATCGCAGAGTCAATGTCCAATGAGAGCCAGTAGTGAATTGCTCGAACAATGAATAGTACACTCCAAGAACGAATGGTATAGGGTGAACGGGGGTTTCAATGACGTAGCGTGGCCAGTTCACCGGGCCAGCAATCAGTCGACTTTCAAAGCAAACACTCGGTCGCGTTTGTCATATAGACCTTCTGTACAGTCGCAAAGCGCATCTATATCCTCCTGTACAGACACCATGGCCGACTCGAACGAGGGGACCATCCAGATGCTGACCGGCATCTCCGGCTGCACAGATGATGATGCGCGTAGATGGCTGAAGGTCAAGAACAACGACGCAGACGCTGCTCTCAACGCCATATTAGACAACGAAGATCTTGCAAAAGCCGAGGTATGTCGTCTGCTTCTTCTTGCCAAAGACTGTCTCGATCCGTCTAGAGAAATGCACAATACCCCTCAGAAGGAGATGATGGCTATGGGGAGAGGTTACTCAGGATATCTCCCATGGTCATACTTTTGATATGGGGTGTGCATTTTGATAGCTTGCAGTCTCGCGATATGTCTCCTTGAGAGAGTGGTCATCTGACAGTCTTTGGTACACTTCTTACCACGTTCATCTGCTAACCCACGCCAGCAAACGACTACCTGGAACGAGAATGATTTCAGTGCCGGCCGCGATGGAACCGCTGCATATGGTCCACAGAATTACTGTGCGATATTGGCCAAAAACTTTCGATATGATAATAGACTGACAAGCCCAAGCANNTACAACGAACAAAATCTGCGCCCATTAGGACAGAGCGCAGCCCCGACCAGAGGCAACTCACCTGCTCCTTCCCTTCATCAACCTCCCAACAGAGATGACGAAGACGCTGATCTACAGAAGGCCATTGCCGCTTCAACACAGTCAACCGGTATCACCCTACCTGGCATCAACACCAACTTCAAACCTGCAACGGACGACCATTACGAGCCTTCCAAGTGGTCGATGACTACCGTTGGTATGGAGTCTCAGCAAGCCAGCGAGATCATTCCGGATCTGGAGCCTCATGAACGCAAGAATGAAGCTAATGAACCGATTTTCTTGAAGCAACTTCCTTCTGGCGACTATCTGCCCAGTCTACTTACTATTGCACACTCTGTTCCTTTGGCACGTAAGGCTCTGTTGGCACCACACAAGACTTACTCCTCATATGGCTCGGACTCAGAATGGTGGAAAGGCCATGGCATACGCCTGCCCAAGATCGTCAGCACTGTCAGTGGCGAAACTATGGAGCCAGCCACCACCAATAAGGATGAAATAGTTGCAGAGATGCAGCGTTTGATGGCTTTGCTAGACGACAGCTCGAGGTCATATGGCAGCGCCGAAACCCTCGTTCGCCTCGCAGAAATCAATGGTGGTTGTATCCTGGACAAAGTCCTTGAGGTGTGGGAACATGCTGCTCTGGATGACATGGATGAGTCTCTAGACACCGATAACTTCGTCTTCCACTCGCTGGTGGGCTCAACGAACCCCGAATCTATGACAACCACGGATCTCTTCTCCTTGCCACTGTCCGTCAGCCCGACCCCTGACGGCTCGAGTCAAGAACTAGCCGCTATAATGGACGACACTCTTTGGGACACTGATGGCGATGAACCGACCTTGTATGACAACTACATAGATCATTGCGCCCCAGTCCTACCTATCCGCCTGACACACAACGACTCCTCAAAGGAAACTCTGAACGTCGTTATCCCCCCTGCATTCTTCGTCGACAAGTATCTAAAGGAAAACGCCGACCTCACAAAGGGTGTTCGTCAACAGATGGCCCTGAGCAAGAAGAAAATCGACAGGATCCAGGCAGCACAATTCAAGCTGCAAAACTATCAACACGCGCAGAAAGGAAACCTGAGTACTAGCCAACTGATGAAGCACGCGAAAAACTACTTTTCAGGCGAGACCAGAAAGAACCTGCTCGAGGAGAGAGAAGGTGCTGGCGCAGGTGGAGACACTGACATCCCTTTGCCACTGGAGCATCACAGTATGATCGCCGAGCACTTGAATGCAGTGTGTAGAGAGGTCGACTCCAAACTCCAGGGTGCGTGTGATCTCTGTCCGTGACCGTCAAGAATGCTAACAGGTGATANNGCCCTCGAGGAAGAAAAAGAAANNAAGACTCGCAAGGCACTGTCAGAGCTTTCAAAAGAGGCTGGACTGCCAGAAGAGAATCTCAAGCACAGATACACGCTCAGAGGTGTCTCAACCAAGTCTCACGTAACATACCTCCTGCGCCCTCGCGACCCCTCCGACACCGCTATGGTCGATGACGAAGACGCACCGGAAGGCATGCAGTGGTGGCGTATCGAGTACGATGTCCAGGTGAACGGCGCCAAGGTCATCAAGACCAAGTCAACACAGGACGATGTCATCCGGGCTGTGGAGCTTGAGCACAATCAAGCCCTACTGGTTTACGCCAGCGACTACGCCATTTCAGACGAACATGATATCGACCTCACCTCAGCCCTTGACGAGTTCATCCATCATGACGACGACAACTTCACCTCAGAGCTACACATGAATGGCTATGGGCACATCAACGTGTACCCTGCTTACGAGGGTGTTCAGCAACGCCGTGGCTCGGGAGACAGTACCGCAGTCAACTATGACGAGGGTCCACCTGGTTATGAGCCACCCCCGTACGACTCAGGAACGGAATACGGTCGCATACCCATCAACATGCAAGACACCAAAGATGTAGCCATGAACGGCGGACACAGTCCCCCAGCTCACGAGATTCGACTCGAGCAGGAGGAAGTACAGCCAGAGGAGACCGATACCAAAGGGGGAGTCGAGATGGTCGAAAAGGTACATGCTCCTCCTTCCTTGTACAGATCTGAAAATGGCGGTTCCAAGGTCACTGAGATGGGTAGTGACGATACCATGACAGGCATCAAGGGCTCAGACGGAGAAGTCGACCTGATCGATTTTAGGGACTAGGCGTACACTCCCCCTTCCTCTCCTACCTTCCACTCTCATCATTAGATAGCTTTTTTGCGAGCTCCTGGATTGGCATTGCATACGTAATTGAATAGTTCAACCTTCACCATTCATCAACCTTGTTCTCTCGATATTTTCTTGTGCACCCGATCTACGTTCGGACATGTGCAAAAGTCCATACCCAAGTCTAATAAGCAATCATATCTGCCCACCTCCTCCAATAACCTCATTAGCCCAATGGCGCAACCGATGCCAGAGCTCTCGACTTGGAGTCTCTGCCACATGCGAATCCGCTGACTTGTCTACAGTCTCGCCAATCCATCAAGCAAGTGGCACACCCGCATGAGCTGCAACAAGCCCTAGACATTATTCTTTGAACTTACTCACTTGCTCGCATGCGAGACAGTCTTGCAAACACCAAGGGGCTTGCTTCTTTGCTTTTGTGGGAAAAAGCTCTAGCACTCTCTCGTAGGAAGAAACAAGGGTGGTGTATCTTGCCAAACAATTTTTGGCTGAAGACCGAAAACATTCTTGTGAGTCCTAGCTCCACCCAGAATCAGACACTGGGAATCATTTGTCTCTTTTCTTGCTTGTTGCCATGGACCCACCCGCTTGCGTTCCTCGAGTCGTTTGATTCCTTTTTTGATATACTCACATGAGGATAGGTAAAGATAAGGTCCAATCAGTCAAAAGGGTTTTTTGTATTTGATGCGTTCAGACTACTCGCAATCCAAATATGCACGATACCGAAAAGCCTCCATCCCAAAGTCGCAACCTCTCATTGCCAAAAGAAAACAAACACCTTTCAGGAAGAATCGCAGTCTACGGTCAATGCTGAATTGGAGGGCTGCGGCCAAACGCTGTTTGAAGCGAACGGTCCAGTCTTCCAAGTAGCCGTTGAACCATATGATTGGAAGCCTTCTCAAAGCCGCGACCATGTTTGTGAGGCAGAGATGCCAACTCAATACAAGTAACAGAATCGTAGAGAGCAGCAGTATGCCATCTTCGCACGTGGATGGTATCTACCAGACATTTTGAGGCCGAGGGACGCAAAACCCAAGCTGGACGGTTCTGTGCTGCAAATTCGGGATACCGCTCGGTATCGTATCTTGTCCTATCCCCTTGGACTATGGAATGGGCTGGCCATAGACCGCTGTATCCAGGGAAACAAGTCTCTGGCCTGGTTGCCATCTCAGCTGTCGTCTCTTGCAGATCTTGAGGAGCCCGATGGAGAAGTAATATCGGGACAGCCGACCCGTCACAGATGTTACTAGAACGAGGTTATGCTCCGGTGATCAGTCGTGAGGCTCTCCTGCATGTGTGACGGCGAATAGCCTCCGGACGACTCGATGCTTAGTCGCAACGCAACCTTCACCAGCATAGACTAGCCATGGAGAGCCCCGTCGGACTGGCCTTTATGAGCTGAAAGGCACGGTTGCGACGGATACATGGCGGCGCCGACGGAAAGGGAGTAGTCGACGAGTAGGAGTGGATCCCGATGCTTGAAGCACTTTTCTCGACGAATCGGCAAGAAAACAGGCCCTATATCGACCTTTGCACTTGATATTATAGGGAATGCACAAAATCCAACTGGTGCGATCCATTCTGCTCTAATTCTGCCAATTAGTCGATTATACCCTTTTTGTCTACGTGTACTGCAGCCGTGTCGTCGCCAGAGCCGAGGTCAGATTATGCGATTGGTATATGCACCATCAGTGGGGGACGGATGTCTTCTAGCTTGCAACCAGACCTATGCGCCTGCACGCGACGTTGACAGACCGTGTCCTTATAGAGTATATGACAGTCCTTAGTCCAATTAGGCAAAAGCTTGTTACGTTCTTGGATTGTAGGTCGAGACTTCAATGCATCCACGAGGGGACTTCTTCTTAGCTGCAGTCTTAACGTGGAAGGAATCGAGTCGATGCAAAGCACAGCGGCGAGAGAAGCAGATAAATTCATGATGATCATGATGTTGATGACGGGTGGATGTTCATCGATGTCAACCAGGTTGGTCATGTGGGAAGTCGCTCGTCCCGAGGGAAGGTGTCGCTAGGAACTAATGAACGTTTTGTGCAAGCATTTATGAATTGTGGAGACTCTTTATCTCTATCACTTCGACTCATCCGACTCTTTTGATATTGGCCTCGAATTCCATAGACCGTTGGATATTTCTCCGAAACGCAGCAATCGTGGAAGCATACGGGCGACCATCTGATACAACTCGGAACGACTCCTAGCACGAACACAGGATCAAGGATACCTAGGAAGGACAACATTTCCAAAACATAACCTTCTGGAAACCCAAGGAAGCAGAGGAGGAAGCCAACAACCAAGCAAAGGAATCGGAAAATCAAGCATTAGGGGAAAGCACAGAACAAAGCAGAGGAGAAAATCAAAGGACCAAGCAGAGAATTCAGCACAAAAGACATCTCCTCCGCCGCTAGAGTCACAAAACCAGACCAAAAGATGGCAACACCAAACCCATCCCTCCACTTCCTCTTCCTCCTCTCGGATTCAGCACTACCACTAGGTTCCTTTGCCTTTTCCTCCGGCCTAGAATCCTACCTCGCACACCACAAACCGCTTTTTCCATCTCCAACCACCCCACCTCTAGATTTCCATTTTTTTCTGCACTGCAGTGTCAGAAATCTGGCTTCGACATCGCTGCCGTATGTGCTTGCTGCATATAAACAGCCAGAGGAACTGCAAGTCTTGGATAACGATTTCGATGCCAGTACATCGTGTACGGTGGGGAGGAGGGCGAGCGTGGCGCAAGGAAAAGCACTGTTGAGTCTATGGGAAAGGGCGTTTGCTGTTTCTTGTGTTGGGTCGCCGGTGACGGAAGCAGCGATTACCGCAATCACTTCTTTCGCTGCTGCATTCAAGACGGTGAAACCTGATGAGTGGGGTTTGAAATTGAATGCGCATTTCGCTCCTTTGTTTGGGGTGTTGTGTAGATCGTTGGCATTGTCGGAAGAGGAAGCGGCATATCTGTTTCTTTGCAATCATGCCAAGAGCATTTTGTCGGCGGCGGTGAGAGCGGGTGTCATGGGACCGTATCTTAGCCATGGTGTTCTGGCGTCTGAGAAGCTGCAAGAGGTGATCAAGGGTTGCGTGGCTGGGGAGAAAGGGACAAGGGTTGAAGATGCTGGACTCAGTATCCCCGTCATGGATCTATGGGTGGGAAGACACGAGTTGTTGTATTCGAGGATATTCAATTCTTGAGGAGAAGGGAGAGAGCATTTTCGTCAAGGGGAAGATACCAAAGGTTCATTAATTCGTTTCTATTACTACCGTCTCATCATCTCGAAAAAGGCCAGCCTCCTCAATAATGCTTTCGCTTCCATCCAAAAAACGCTCAGAAAAGGAAAAATAAATAGAGAACAGGAAAGGGAAGGAAAAACGATGAGGCTAATTTTTGATCAGCCGGCTCACAGAATCTCCTTGAGCTGGTTCTTCTGTGCGGGTGTCAGACTTGTAGGGAATTGGATCTTGACGCCGACAATAAAGTCGCCTCGTTGATCTGGCGTCTTGCTCTTGGGCATGCCTAGGTTGGGGTAGCGATCTCTGTAGGTTGGTGGTGTAGGGCCACCAGAGCTGACGCCTATCTGCTTGCCATCAATGGTCTTTACGGTTCTGGACCAGCCGGTCAAGGCTTCTTTCAGGGAGATTTCGACGTTGTGGATGATGTCGTCGCCTTCGCGTTTGTACAGAGGGTGTTCTTTNCTGCGATGAATGTTAGTACAAGCATGATGTCTGAATTGTGAATGGTACGTTCTTACCTCTTCAAGGATAAAGTGCAGATCTTGAACTCCTCCCTCGACCTGGTCTCCCACTCCAGCAAACTTGATCTTGCTGCCGGGCTTGAGGCCCTTCTTGATTGGAACCTCGAGGATGCGGTCTTGTACCGACTGCTTGCCGGTCTGCTCGTCGAATGTCTTTCTCTTAATCTTCATCTTCTTGGTGCAGCCAGTGAACAGATCTTCGAGGGAGACGGGCAGTGGCTTTTCGACAACGGTAACTTCGGGTGTTTGTTGACGTCTGGGCATGCCGCCATTCATGCTAGGACGGGCACGAGCGCCTGCGCCGGGGCGTCCACCAAACGAGCCTCCAAAGCCGCCGGGCATGCCACCAGCACTGCCGAAGGATGAAAAGAAGTCGTCTTCGTCTCCTCCCATGCCACCACCTCCCATACCTCCAGCACCACCTCTGAGAAACTCAGAAAAGATGCTCTCGGGGTTGCTGAAGGAGAAGCCACCAGGCATGCCGCCACCACCACTCGTCGAGAAGTGGAACTTTGCACCGCCTGGCCCTCCTGCTGCTCCAGGAAGCCTCCGAAGCCTCCAGGCATACCACCAAAGCCACCAGCGCCGCCAGCATCATCCGGTGGGGGAGCANCCACCTCTTAGAAGGAACTCGAGACCGAATTGGTCATAGGTCTTGCGCTTGTCGGCATCGGAGAGGATTTCGTAGGCTTGCGAGACCTCCTTGAACTTTTCCGAGGCCTGAGGGTTGTCTTTGTTCTTGTCGGGGTGGTATTTCAGGGCGGCTTTGCGGTAGGCTTTCTTGATCTCGTCGGGTGTCGCGGTAGGCGCGATGCTTAGCGAATCGTATAGCTTTGTTTCGGCGACCATTGTGTTGCGACGAGGGGTGTATATGTGTGCCTGTGTTGAGTCGGTCTAGCAGCAGGCAACGTGCGATTAGAGGTGGTGTATTAAAGAAAAAGCAAACTTTCATTTCTTGATTGTTGGCTGGCTTGTGGTTGCTATGAGCGTGACATCAGGTGCACGTCTGGGGAAACTTCTCGAATGCTCTTTCCTTCTTCACATGCCCATCGCACCCCACACTCTACCATTGACTTCCACCATCACTTTTAACGAGGATAATATCAATGTGATTAGCGCCGACAGTGCCGGAATGCATGGGGGTGGCTGGGAATAATATCACAATGCTGTTGTAATTATCTGGTCTCACGCAGCTCTGTGATTTCTCGGTGCAGTGGCAATCTCTCAAGCAAGGAGCCTGTTCCGATGGTCGATGAAGTTCTGAGTGAGAATGTTCCCCGTCCCCTGTTCCTCGACCTTGAAGACCTCAATCGCTGTACTTTTGGCTTCTCTTCGAATTCTCCACACACCTTCGCCAACAATTGTCTGCTTGAGAAAGTCGAGGAATTGGCCTGTAAAGTTGATGCAGATGTTGCCGTTCCACTTGTACGTGCCTCGCTGTTGGACCTTGGATGGAATTTGCTGTGTGCTGAGCTCTTCGATGTTTAGCAGTTTGCCATCTCGCGATCGGAAGCCGATGATGATTTTCGGCACACTGCAGCTCAGTTAGTCTCATACTCAATGCTAAATTTGATAGAAGACGGACTTTAGCAGGAAAGACTGAGCCCAGAATTTGAGGAGCTTTTTGTCAAGGACCCAGCGATCGCGCTCATGTTCTGGTTGTTTGGATGTCTTGAGCTCTACCCATCTGGCGGGCGCTTGTGGATCATCGGGTTTGTAGCCGAGTACTNNGCATCGTGTCAGTCTTGTTTCGCAGTCAGACAGCTGCTGTTCCTCACCTCCATCTACCTCTCCACCAATGACCATTGAGGCGCCGCCAATGTCTGTTCGACAGATACTGCAGTATTGGGCATAGTTGTCGACAACCTCGTCTTCTCGTCCCTCAATCTCTTCTCTTGTTGTCTCGCCCCAGGGCTTGTTCAAGAGTGATAACGTCTCGAATTTGTAACCTNNGTAACAATTAATACCAGCTTCTCAGATTCGTCGAGATATCCTAGCCTTACCCCAATACATGGCCATATCTTGCGGTGGACCTCTATTCCGTGAGAAGCGAGCCTTCTGTGCCTCTCTTGATGCAGCCTTGTATGCGTGGTTCTCTTCGATGTATNNCTGTTGCGACATGCCATGGTCAGTTCTTGATTTACCAGTGGTTTTGTTTGATAGACATTGCCTACACTGTGCCCTTTAGAACAAATTAGCCAGGTCAACAAAAACAACTCATCCACAGGATATGCGCACCTGAAAACATGTTGCGTTCATTTCAAAGCCATCTTCCATCTCGTATGGCGCTGTCAAGATCNNTGGATATAAAATCAGTATATCGCCGGAAACATGAGAACTAGGTCAGGGACACACTCTGGTCATCATGCCTCTCCATGTCACAAGATCGACTTCGGTCTTCTTGCCACTGCGTTTCTCAGCCTCAACAAGAGTGTCAAGAAGACCGTCTAGGTGCTCATCGCCGCTGTCATCTCGTTGCCGAAAAGACTTGTATCCTTTTGACAGGTCAACAGGAAATCTGCTATCTTGATGACCGGGAACATTGAAGAATGGTGGATAGTAATATTTCAGTGATTCGTTGTCGAGAGGCTTGAGTTTATGGTCAGAGTCGTAAGAGAAGAAAGCGATTTCCNNTTGGTTATGATCAGCCTTGGTGGTTGAATATCTGCATTATATACACACAGTTGGCTTTTTGATTCTCGTATTCGCTCCAGCGAATTGCTGTATGGGCTCAACAAGAAATTGCTGCATGGTTCTCGTCTTCAATGACCATCGTTGCATCAAGAGATGGAGGTGGCTTTGACGGAGGACGCGAACCAACGCGCGCTTTATGCTTGACAGACTATACCAAATGCGGAGTAGTCAAACTTGTCGCATAACTATGCACTCGTTGCCAACATTGGTTCCAAACAATTGGCTGTCGAGATATAATGGTCAAAGTAATACTGAACAGAGACATTGAAGATGGTATGCATTCATATTAAGTACAAGGTAAAACCTTCTTTCGCATCCGAGATAAAGCGTCAATGTTCATCGGCAATCGCAGACAAGAATGCCATCACATCATCAATCTTCCATGACTGAAGATCAGATGGGAGTCCATACTGATTCTTTCGTTCGTCTGCTGTTGCCCCGTCTCTCTTTTGTCCTCCTTAACTATATCAAATACTGCCCGATGAGCAGTAGGGTTACGTAGATGTGTGATCGTGTCTATGGCTGGCTGACGTTGTGGTCCTGCGATCACTCTTCCTCTCTCCGTGCCACGACTCTGGCCCGCGTTAGTTGACCCAAGTCGTTCGATTGGCGTGTTAAACACAGTCTTTGTCATTTGGCGGACCGAACTTGTTCTGCAACAATGGTTAGTCGATTGTCTCATGTATAGCTCCTTGGTCACGAAACCTACTTCTTGGATGTAAATGTTGAGGCTTTTCGAAGAAGACTGCTCAATTCTGCCTGCTCGACTGCTTGAAGCAGAGCCTGTGGCACTAGACCGGTGCGTTTGGTGGATATGCTAGCTTGACCATCGTCAGAAGAAGTGTTCGTCTGCTTACTATCCATCGAGGCATTTGTTGCCCTTTCTGATCGACTTCTTTGCGATTCCTCGGGACCAGTGTGCTTCAAGAAGTGCGTCAAAGAACGCAAGTTCGATGTCTCAGCCTGTGCTGTACGCGGTATCATTGGTTTNTTGAAAGGTCGCCAGGGAACCACAGGAGTCACGTCCATTCTGGGGTCTCGAACTGGTTTTGGGGTTGATTTGTTGGCAGCAGTTTCAGTCGTGGTCGGAACATTTTCTGAGTGTACGCTGAAAATGCTACCTGAAATTGCTGAGCGAGGGCTGTGAGATCTCGTGATTCTGTCACAACAGATTTCGAACTCATTGTTCAGAACAGTACTGTTAAAGACCAATGGCGCGGGCATCCTGTTCAGCAGCCTGAGTCCATACCTCCCCTTCTGTTTGAGCGTCCATTCGTATGCGGCAATCTCTTCGTTCTCCTCGACCAGATGATGCGATAGAGTAAAGTCCAGCCCGAGGAGATGATATGCGCGGTCGTGATCAGTCTGTCTGAGTATATAAGCACACAGCTTGAAGCTGATCTGTGCCTGCTCATAGTCGGCAAGTTCGAATCTCACGACACCAAGGAAGAAGTGGGCAAGTGGAGCCATGAGAGGATGCAAAGGAAGGACCTTTTGGAAAGCTTTCTCAGCATGTCGGTACTCTCCCTGGAGGGAATGAGTTATGCCAATGTTGAGCAGCAGAATAGCCTTGGTCAAGCAGTTCGGTGCCTCTCTTTCTAGCATCTCAAACTGACCTATAGCCCAGTCCAGATCGTAAGTAATATGGACAAGGAAAGAGGCATGGTTCCACACATCTCGCAATTGGTTTTGTTGAAGCAGCGAGGGGCAGCGATGCATGAGACTGTTATTCATTGAGACTACTGCAGCGCGCAAAGTCTTTGTCAATGACGAGCAAGGTATTCCGGAAGTTTGATGAACAAGTCTGGAGGTCGTTGGCCGATGTCAGGAAGTATTCACAATCTTATACAATAGATCATGAGCATGGCTCAGCGGGTGCAGACGTGGCATGCTTATGTCAAGTTTTTTCTTTATGTGTTTTCAGCATGCTCATGCATTGTTGCCTCCCACGAGCTCTTGTCATGTGGTTGATGGTGTGGATTGGGTCATGATCTTATGCGAAAAACAGGTTGGGCAGGGGCAGACACACTTCTGTCAACATCTGTGAGATGTTGTAATCTCGACATCGACAGCTCTCGGGTCAAGGACCACTAGCCGTCGGCCTGATCGCAAGAAGACACAGCCTTTTGTAACGAGCATGGCGACTAAGGCAACCTGCTTGTCCGGGTCAGACTTCGCGTACAGTCCGGATACCTTTACTACCTCCCGTGTGCAATGAAAAGTCACAGTGTAGTTGTAGGAATACACAAGCCTTTCTATGACAGAGCGACATCCACACAGAGAACCTTATGCTCAGGCATCCCCGTGGTGACACCTTTGTCAACAAAGAATCTGTGCCTCTTCATAGCGTATGAAGACGCAGCGAGTTAGTGAGGAAGAGAGGTCGATCAGAGGGTTGGGCTGTATTCTGCACACTGGGAGGTCAAGGCTCTGCCACAACGACCATCTCGTAGGCTGCTGCTCCACAGTCTTCTAAGATTGTGAGATGGCCGAACCTTGAGCAAGCAAACACACCTTCATAATCCTGCCAATCCATCTTAGGTCCAAGCCAGATGATCTTGGAGAGGTTGGCATGATCATGTGATTCGAGGTATTGTGCGACCAATTTGGGTTCGCGAGGATATGTAAAGATCCAGACATGAGATTTACCTGCTTGCGAACAGAGGTCCCATGTGCCACCAACGAAGAACATGTTCTGCTCAGGTAGGTACTTGTTGACGTTTGGGGAGACTTCCACACCGCAAACGTCGTATGAGTCCTCGAGCTGTTGCGAGAGCAGGCTTTCGAGGAGGCCGGTACCACTGCCGATGCTAAGCACAGAGATGGCTGGGCCATGAGGTAGGAGGTTGGCCAGATTGTGGAGCAGGGGCTGCGAGATGGCCATACAACAATCCGGATGATGTCTAGGCTCAGCAGAAGAAGCAAAACTTATAGCGGTCATGATGTTGGCAGGGCGATTTATGAAGCAGCGCAAGAAGCGGCTCCAAGATGTGGCTGGTGCTGCAGGGAAGAAGAGGAAAAGACCCTCGGATGTCAAGAGGCCACCAGGCGCACGGCCGCACGGGGCGGCGGCCTGTCGGTCATTGACCTTGACAACAAGGATGGGGATGTCGTTCAATTTCTTTTGCAGAGACACTTTTGTGTCTTGACAGGTCTTGTCTCTGTTCTGATACATGCAAATATTCTTACGACCTGTGTGACCATCCTCGTGACGATCAAGTGCATACAGCCGTTGCTGGCCTATGACCCCTCGTCCCCTTAATCGCAACGATCCGCTCCTTCCATACCGATCTACTTGTTTAGAACCGTTTCCTGCCAAAACAACCCGACTTCTAGGACCGATCGCCGTTCGGTCGCTCTTGCCAACTTATTCTCCGGTCCCGAAGCATTTTCAGCAGAAGACGACGTGCCCGACAAGGCGTATCACGGTGGAACAAGGGTCTAGCAGACGCTGGTTGTACTGCACAGAAGGTCATGAACAGGCTGGACCTGTTGTGCATTAACCGTTGGCGCGGCTCTTGATCGTAGTAACGACGATAACAACAATCCACTTCACAGCATGGCGACTGCATACCAGTCTACCCCGCGTTGGGAGCAGGCGGTCCCCATGGGCCACGAGGTAAGCGCAAGTGCTGTCGAGGGATTATGCGCAAGTTTGGCCAGCTAACACTCCTCTGCAGNNAACCTCCCTCTGGCAAACCAAACCTTGTTCGATCCTTCGTACTCTTTCGACCCCAATCTGACGCCTCGTAATTCTTCGAATTCCAACTCCCGTCGACCTTCTCAGCACACCGCTACACTCGATGTCGACGCATACCAACTAGAACAGATCAAACGCGATAGTGGAAGGAGTATGAGGAAAGGAAGCACTCACTCTCGAGCTTCGAGTCCTCAGAAAGGCCCAGTGTCCCACATCCGCCGCCCATCGACATCTCACAAGCGACCCTCGGCTCCTCTTACGATACCTCGTGCTGAATCCGAACCCGCTATCGACCCCGACCCTGAAAGATCAGCCTGGATTCATCGCGACAAACTTGCCCGGATTGAAAGTCAGGAATTGGCCGCTGCCGGTTTTGGTGCGCCTCGAAACCGTCGGCAAAGTCGTTCTGATAGCCGTTCTGCAAGCCGATCAGCAAGTCGCAATCCCACCTCACGCGTCCCAGCGAGCCAGCTTGCCTTCTCTGGTGAAGTCAACACTCCCAAGGTGCCAGGGTTTGAGGAACAGAGTGGAGCAGGCGCAGACCAGGGCCAGGACTCCGACGAGTACGAGGAGAGATTGCAAGAAGAGCCTCGAGTGGACCGCAACATGTACAGTCGAAGTCTTCCAAGATCGACTCTGTCTCGTATACCTGTTGCAAGAGCGAGTCCTGCACCTGTTGCGCAGAGTGTCGTCGAACGCGATTCTCCTCTACCTCGAAGCATGAGTAGTCCTCTTGGAGATAGTGCAAGCAGCAGGTCTCGCAGCCGAAGCTTGGGAAATCCTGCCATGATTGCCGAGCCTGCAGGCACGCGATCTGCGATGCCCTCCAAGCCAAGGCCACGCAGCTCCCACATACAAGATTCGCCCAGTGTTACCGAATCGCCTTCACTGACCACTCGCACGACGCAATCTATGAACGCCGTAACGAGGGCCAAAGCAATGAACAAAGCCGCTGTGGGCGGTTCTGTGGGTAAAAAGACCATTCCACGCACCACTTCAAAGGCCCGCAACCCATCACCTAAGGATAGCCCAGTCAGAAGGCCTACATCTGGATCCACCAGGTCTCGGCCGACCTCGTTCCATATGCGACCAGAAGGAGAGGCGCCTTGGGTTGCGACCATGTCCAAGCCTGATCCCAGGCTGCCACCAGATCAGCAAATGCTCCCTACTCATGCGAAGCGTGCAATGCAAGGTGGATCCGACAGTGCAGACGAGGCTGAACAGTCTTACCCTCTCAATATCGACTCCTTGAGCGATGAAGAGTTGGTCAGAATGGGAGCTCTACCTTCACCCGAGGCAACCAAACGAGCAGAAGCCAATGCATCTAAACAGCAAGCCACGAATACTCTGCCACCACCATGGCCTCTCGCAAGCATCAAGAGTGACGCCAGGAGTCAGACCGGAAGTGCTAAGGGTCCAACTGGTGGTTACACCATCACTCCCAAGATTGCGCCTCCGATTGCCCCTCCGAAATCGCCAAAGCCACCAGTTGTTCAGCCTCAAGTGACCAGCTCGGTGAACGCTGGCGTACAAAGAATGCCAGACCTCGACGAGAAGGAGGATGGCAAGAAAAAGAAGAAGCTCGCATGCTGTATCGTCATGTAGAGCCCAAGTTCGAACCATGCATATACCCAACCACGCGCATACTGTGCAGATTGTCTTTTGCTTCTTTTGTTTCCGTTTCCTTTGTGGGAATTTGAGAATGTCTGCTTTCCTAATATCTTCTTTTTCAGTCTCTTCTTCGCACTTGCTTTTTCCTGTCTCCTAGCGCCCTAGCAAGCGAATGGCGTTGTCTCTTTTTTTTTCAAAGTGTAGTCAAATCTTTTGCTTGTTGATATCTCGAACTGTCGCTGCATTCGGCTCTCAAATCAACTTTTCAGTTTCTTTGAGTATTTATAGAGTGTCGTATCATATCACTTCTACATGTCGAATAGCTTCATCATGACTGTGACTGAATCCTCTGATGACTTAAACAGATGAACAATAGCTGAGAGGTCCTCAGCAAAGTGATCTGAAGGCAGTTTCATCCTGCACTGATCTACAAGCCCTGATAGAAGTTCGACATGATACGATGCTACATCTTTCCAAAGAAACAATTCATACAGTCGATCCAGAGTACATGCTCTACGACAACTTCACATGAGCTGAAGAGATTATCCATATCACTCTTTCCTTCAATGTGAGAGTGTAGACTAGCAGGTGCATATCACGTGAAACTGGAACTCTTGGCAAGATCGCAGCAGCCGAGCGTACGCACAGACTGAAAAACGCCGGCACTCACCACACAAGTCTGAAGCGCGAAATCCACCACTTTCCAACAACCCACACATATCGACTCTTCGAGGATCACCCGACAGCGTCGTTATATCTATTCAAAATGGTACGCATCACCGATTGAAAGGAAGGCGGAGAGAGTCTTGTCGCTCGCTTTGCGCGCACAACTCCCTTCCGCGGACCAAACACCACGCCGCAACCAAAAAAAAGAAGCACCACTAACACATTTTTCCCTTCTTCACAGTCGGATGTAGAAGAGCCCACCAGCCCCGTCGCCGCCGCCGAGGAGGTCGAAGTTGGCGCCGATGAGTCCGCCCAGAGCGGTTCCATGTCCGTCCTCGACGCCCTCAAGGGTGTCCTCAAGATCTCTCTGATCCACGACGGACTTGCCCGCGGTCTCCGTGAGGCCTCCAAGGCCCTCGACCGTCGCCAGGCCCACATGTGCGTCCTCAACGAGGCTTGCGAGGAGGAGGCCTACAAGAAGCTCATTGTCGCTCTCTGCGGCGAGCACAAGATCCCTCTCATCAAGGTCCCTGATGGCAAGCAGCTCGGCGAGTGGGCCGGTCTCTGTAAGTTTCATGCCTTTCTTCTCTGAACTCGTGAGCGGTTGCTAATAGTTCGTTTTACAGGCCAGATTGACCGTGAGGGTAACGCCCGCAAGGTCGTCAACTGCTCTTGCGTCGTCGTCAAGGACTGGGGTGAGGAGTCGCAGGAGCGCTCCATCCTCCTCAACTACTTCCAGACCGAGCAGTAAACGCTTCATTGCGCTTTACGCCGCGTCTTTTTCCCTTTGAAACCCACCGAGCTCCCCGAACAATCATCATATCAATCACGTCAACACAAACAAGTACGGAGGGTCGGGCACTGGTGGTTAGGAAACGGCAATGGCATACAAGTTCAAAATGGAATGAGAAAACTCTCCAAACACACAAACACCTGTTCATCATTTTCTTATCTGTGATCGTGAATCGTGCTGCAACATTCTCGGAATGTAGAATGAATTGTATGCATTGATCTCTGCAGTCAAGCGAATGCCACATGCGACTATCTTGTCATTGGCTCCAGTCATTTGAATTGCCATGACCCAAGCGTCCCACCGTTCTTCGCAGCGAGCCTCAAATGTTGATATGGACTCGTCTTGGTATCAAAGTACAAGCCATCAATATTCCCATCACTCCTCCTTAGACTAACATAGTAAAATCCGCTAATGGTCAATCCATGATTCAGGTCATTGTCGTCCCCTTCGCCAGCTCTTCGATGCTCGGTGTGTCTATGGCAGAGATCTGACTCGGAATGTATGAAGCAGCGCTCCTTCCAGCGCATGAATATCCATTCCGACATGATTTCATCCATCTGCGCTCGACTCAGCATGGCGCGAGCGACGTCTTCGTCAGATTTCATGCCGCTGAAAGGAGGTAGATTTCGCCAGTACGAGGCGTCCGTTTGGGCTGTCGTCGGGGGAAATGTGATGTCTCCTGAACTTGGTAGATTGGCCGGTGTGAGAAAAGTGTGTACGTTCAAGTCGATGATTTGCCCTTCCAGATATGTCGTGATAGGAGGTGCTGGTGTGCATGTTTCGACAGACGAATGTGTTGTGTTAGGAACGTCAAAGGCCTCCATGGTACCAGCCATAGTCATTTTACGCAGGTCTGCCGCTTGAACTGTGACCTTGACGGGCCAACGATCTTGAACCTCTCGGGGTGGTAGCGATAGATAAGAGAAGGGGTTTCCAGGAAATGTCGGAGGAATAGAACGAGAGTCTGGATTTGGATTATGACCAAGCCACGGACGAGTAGCATCGAATGCTGCCGGGGTGCGAAGGGAGGAGGCTTTTGCGGATGTGGTGGTATGCTGTGCACCTCGATAAACAGCGCCTGGTGTAAGCCACGAGGAAGGCTGGGGACCAAGACAGCCCGTATCTGTTACTAGGTCATCATAGCACTCGGGGGCAAAGAGGCCGTGATCAAGGGCTGAAGAGAGCGACTCGTCGTATGAAGAGCAATCGCGCACGTCGTCTAGATATTTGACAGCGGACTCGAGCAGAGGCGATGGTCGTAACAAAGAAGTAGAGGATGGAGTCTCTTGAGCAGGACTGTCAGCCAGATATGTCCGTCGGTATGCGCTTCGAGCGTCTTGGGTATCGTCGGTATCTTGGTTATGCTGGGTGGCACTGGGCGAGAGAACACTAGTACGAGCATTCTGCATGATGGCAGCACTTCTCAGATCATGGCGACGATACAAAGCACGACGGCGAAAGGCAGCTTGATCGGACTCGTGCTCTTCATTGGTACGGGTAGGAGCCCAATCGTAGAGGGATTGGTGTGTCGGCGGCACACCGTATGAGGTTGGTCTCGAGTCCTCCAGTCGGCTTAGTCTCGCAAGCACGCGTTGTAGTCTCTGCCTCCTCGTCTCGTCTTCGGCTGAGCGATCGGTGGCTTCTGCTTCTCGTCGGCGGTCGAGGCGATTCAGGTCTCGCAAGAGTTGTCGGTCACGGCTTGAATTGGACATTATTCCTCTGCCGCCGCGGCGTGCCAGACATCAGCGGCTTCTGCGTTGACGTCTGGTTGTATCAGAACAAGTATCCATCTCTTGGATCCTATTTTCCTTCACCTACTTGGTGTCTCTGGTGCGTGGGTTGGATGATTGCAGCAGTAGCTTTGACTGACCGCGCGATGATGCGACTGCTGCTCAACGGTGATGACGCCTGTTTCGAGGGACCCTTTGTCGGATAGCACACGACCTGTCGACTTGCAAAGAACAAAGAACCAGAACGCGAATCAATCAAACTCAGGTCGATCAACTAGGTCTGAAAGTATTTTAAGTGCTTGTTAAGAGATGCGACTTGCCCGCTGGGGTCGTACCTTCCTAGCGGCTGTCGTCAAACCTGCAAATCATCGACCACCCGAGTCAAATGCCAGTAAGGCGACATTGACAGTCATTGACAGCGATACATCTCGGAGCTTGTTGACTATTGTCAAATACCGCATCGGGAATTGGATATTCTTCTGTGTCTCACATTCAATCATTCGAGTCCATGTGTTATTAATAGCTAATTAACATCTCGAGTCGCCATGACTGCGATTCTGTGGGCCCCATCTTGGTTCGGTACGCGCCATCGTCTCAGCGTGAAAGGCACTTTCGCGACGACATCTGTCGCCCCTCTTCATCTTTTGTTCCACATCGACTACCTTTTTCCTTCCTTTTCTCTGCCTATTCACTCCTTTGTTGACTTGTGGCTGGTCCACGTCCAGACACTCTTTCTCACTGCCCCCTGTTCATCACTACAGTTTCTTGTTCTTTCGTCTTATCGCATTCTGTTTTTAACATGTTTAGATCTCACAGTAGGATTCAGTCCTCTAATTCCGTCTCTAGTTTCTCACAATATGATGAGAAGAGGGCTTGGATTACAGAGGACGATTTCCAGCCTTCAAGACAAAGCAACTCACGCCAAAGGACTTTGGTGTACCTGCTTCTTCTTTCGGAGGCCATCATGGCGGCATCTCTATCAGCACAGATTCCGTTACTTGTTGTCACATCTTCGACTGCTTGCTCGGACTACAGCTCCGCGTACATTCGAAGCCTCCTGGAATGCTCCTACGCCTTTGGCAGCACATGCAGTATCTTTTGGGGATATGCCACCGATAAAAACGGACGGAAGATGATAGCTATGCTTGGTCTTACTGGAACGCTGGCTTGCTGTCTGTCCATGGGCTTTGCTACTAATCTTCCGGGCTGGGTCACGCTACGATTTCTAGCTGGATGCATGGGCTCTGCGGTCTTTACATCTGCTCTTGCAATGCTTGCCGACTTGAGCATGCCATCCGCTAAGGCCTTACGGACCGTGTCGCGCTTGCCTCTCATATCAGTTTGCGGAGGCATTGGCCCACTGTTGCAGTCAATCGTCAGGCAGATTGGCGAGCATGCACCTGCTGGGATCTGGTTGCAGTGGCCCGCTCTGAATGGTCAGATTGCATGCGCTGGCTTGATCCTTGTCATATTCTTGGTAGAGGCTTTCTGTTTGCGTGAGGTAGGTACTGCACCTGTCATGAGACACGCACATGCTTACTGTTTTGCAGNNACCTTAGCCTCTCGTGCTGTCACTAGCCTCAAGAGTGAGGAGGCATCCTTGCTTGAACCAAAGGCTGAGGACAATGAGGCCTTACTGTCTGTCTCCATCGTGGATATCGACGAACAACCCGCGACGATTGCTATTGACGACTTCCTGCAGGCGCCCTCATTTGTGACCCTTTTGGCTTCCTTCTCTATTCTATCATTGCACTCGTCAACTTTTGAAGTGCTGCTTCCGCATCTCACCGATTCACCTGCCAACATGGGCGGTATGGGTCTTCCTTGCGGCCTTCTGAACACGATCATCACCATCGTGAAGTTGGTGGCTGCGATGGGAGTATTCTATGCTCTGCCGAAGCTTTCGACAGAGGTGTCTGTTTTGTCGACCTATCGAAAAGTCTCTGCCGCCTTTCCTGGTATTTACGTGTTGATTCCGTTTTGCGCAATGCTCGCTACAGTATCTGGAGCCCCGGCGACGTCTTGGGCTGTATTTAGCACAGCCGCTGTGGTTGCTAAGGAGCTGTTTGCAGAGATAGCATTGGTGCTGGCCATCTTGCTCGCATTCTCTGCAGCACCGAACGCAGCGTCTGCTGGAACCGGCATCGGTCTTCTCGGACTGTCCAACCTCTTCAAGGCGCTTGCAGTTGGCGTGAGTGGCTTGAGCTATTATCTCTCGGATGCATATTCAGTAGTCGCCATCAATGCGACGTTGTGGGCATTGTTGGCCGTGTTGGCATTCACCGGCTGGTACATCAACTGGAGGCTGAGAGAGGCTCCCCTCGTCGGACAGGACATTCCAGCTGAATTGTTGAGATGGAGCAACGTGTTTGATGCCGAGTCGGACTCTGAGGCCGATGTGTAAACGACGAACATTTCCTTGTGTTGTGAACTCAAATTTCGAATAGGTACATCCTACCATTTTCTTAGTTGTCATATATTCCTCGTACATTGATAGAGTATATCAATTTTCAATTGCCTCAGGCCCCTTGCTGCAATGGCACAGAACAATGATAGAGTGATGAATATACTCGACTGCTGATAGTCCAGGAAGTGTCGGCAAGCTAGTAAGCCATGTTGCAGATTGCAAAATGTTTTCTACATTCCGACAGCAACACGTAGTATGGACTCTGAGCGGTGTTCATCAGGGTTGTGCTGCTCATGGGTGGATGACTAACCGTTATTCCCGAGATTTGCCTCTGCGCTCTTTGTGCGTTCCTCCTCCACTCGTATCCACGGGTTGCGCGTTTTGTGCGGAAAACCATAACATGCCCAAACTCAGGATGATTCCTTATTTAAGAAGGTAGGACTCTGTCGATAAGCTGGTAATTTCACAACACTTTCCACGTTTTTTCTCCTCTTTGGTTTTTTGCCATCGAGGTCCATCATGGCGCAACCACACACAACTGCGAGGATGGCCACAACAACGATCACTACATTTTTCATATCTAATTTACACTGTCCCTCGTGTATCACGAGCATCCAATTCTGTCTGGAAGACTTGGGTATCCAACCATCGTCAATCTCACACTCGATAATCCAACACTGCATCACCATTCGCCACGATACATCCATCTCCCACACCGCCATCACCTCGAACCTGGAAAAAGCAGGCTTTGAAGTCTACAGCGTTGTACCAACGAATCGGGAATCGACATTTCGACCTTGGCAACCTGAGGCTACTGGCAGCACTGAAGACTGGGGGTTGGAGCAAGCTGTCCAGCGATGGAAGACTGCATGGAAGGACAAAGATGTTGAAGTGGAGAACAGCAGAAAGAGAANNAAAAGACATGTGGAGCAGTGCGCGCTATGTCTTGACGAACAGCAGCATAGTCGTAGTTCTTCGCAAGCTTTGATGGAGAAAGCACACTCGTTTGTTGATGCCTCTGCTGATGTCGAGAGAGGAATTTCTGTTTCTTCTCAGGAGCAGAACGAGGGACTCACAGAAAAGCTTGATTCTGTGGAGTCGGCTACGCCTGAACTCTTTCGTGCTACTTTCTCAATTGAGGGTATGACTTGCAGTGCTTGCGTTACCAATGTCTCGCAGGCCATCTCTCAGCTTCCGTTCGTACAGGACGTGAATGTCAATCTACTGAGCAACTCAGCCACGGTCGTCTTCGCAGGTCGAAACAATGGCAAGCTTATCTCCGAGTCCATCGAGGATGCTGGATACGATGTTTCTCTGAGCCAAATGGATTCCCTGGATGTCGGGACTACCAACGAGCAGACGTGGAAAGCAACGTTCTCAATCACAGGCATGACCTGTGCTGCTTGCGTGCAATCTCTCACCACTGGACTCGAGCAGCCCGAATGGATCGAAAGTGCTCAGGTCAACCTGATCTCAAACAGTGCAACAGTGACGTTCAAAGGAACCAAAGAAAGTGTCAAAGATGTCATTGAAATCATCGAAGACTTGGGCTTTGACGCATCCACCGAGGAAATCAACAGCATTCAGACTACCCAGGAGCAGGTTCTGGAACGGAAGGTTATTCTGCAGATGACAGGCATGTACTGTCATCACTGCCCACCACGCATCATGAAAGCCCTCGTCGAAAATTTTGACAATCAAGTAACGATCGACGAAGAGTGCAGTATGGCAAACCCTTTTCTCAGACTCAGCTATCAACCTCAGCCACCAACCTCGACACTGAGAAACTTCCTTAATGTCATGAATGGTCTGGACGCAGAAGTACAAGTCTCCATCTACAACCCTCCAACCATCGAACAACGATCAAGAGAAATCCACGCCGCCGAACGCAGAAAGATACTCCTTCGTTTTTTGTTGTGTCTCGTAACCGCGATTCCAACATTCGTTATCGGCATCGTATACATGACACTCGTCAATCATGAGAACACGGGTCGCAGATACCTCATGCAACATATCTGGGCAGGTACGGTCACCAGAGCAGACTGGGCTTTGTTCATCATGGGCACCATCATCTACTTCTTCGCTGCCGACATTTTCCACATCCGAAGCTTGCAAGGAATATACCTCATGTGGAAGCCTTCGTCGCGCACACCGCTTAGCCATCGTCTACTTCGATTCGGAAACATGAACATGTTGATCAGTCTTGGGACGTCGATTGCATACTTTGCTTCTATCGCTGCTCTTGCCATCAATGCTACGAGTGCAAAGAATGCGGTGGGACAGGCACAGGCTTATTACTTTGACTCTGTGGTCTTCCTGACGTTGTTCTTATTAGGTGGTAGAGGGTTAGAGGCGTGGAGCAAAGCAAAGACTGGTGACGCTGTTGCTGCCCTAGGATCTCTAAGACCCGATACTGCTCTCGTGGTCACTCCCTCTCCCGACAAAACCTCTATGACTCTAGACAAGACAGCAACTGAATTGCTGGAAGTCGGTGATGTGGTCAGAGTCCTCCAAGGCAGTTCACCTCCCTTCGACGGCATCATTGTCAATGGCGAGACCAAATTCGACGAGGCGAGCTTGACAGGAGAGTCCAAACTCGTGTCAAAGCAACCCGGCGATCAAGTCTTCTCGGGCACAATCAACAAAGCAACACCCATCGACGTGCGATTGACTTCCATCTCGGGCACCTCCATGCTAGACCAAATCATCAAAGTCGTCCGCGAAGGACAAACCAAACGCGCGCCGGTGGAACGTGTAGCAGATATTCTGACCTCGCGCTTTGTGCCGTTCATCATCCTCATCGGCATCTCTACATGGCTCATCTGGCTCTCTCTGGGTCTGTCCGGTAGCTTGCCATCTTCATGGCTGGATTCGCAGATTGGTGGGTGGCCGTTTTGGTCTCTACAATTTTCGATTGCCGTGTTTGTGGTGGCGTGTCCTTGTGGCATTGGTCTTGCCGCCCCTACTGCATTGTTTGTGGGTGGCGGGCTGGCTGCCAAACATGGGATTCTGGTCAAAGGAGGAGGAGAGGCGTTTCAGGAGGCGAGCATGCTTGATTGTGTCGTTTTTGACAAGACGGGCACATTGACGCAGGGGACTGCGCCCGCTGTTGCCGATTGCAAGGTCTTCGGCGATAGAGACGTGAAAGAGGCTTTGATGATGGCCAGGGCGCTCGAGGAGAATAGCAGTCATCCGGTTGCTAGAGCTGTTGTTGAGTACAGCAAAGCTCAACTCCTCGGTGCTGAAAGCAAGCAGGCTCTCGATGTTGAAGAAGTATCTGGTAAAGGACTCCGAGGCACTTTCAACATGGGCTCGCAAACACGGGTCACAGCAATCATCGGCAACGAAGCACTAATGGCAGATCACAACCTACAGCTCGACTCAGAAAGCATAGATTTGATTGAAAGCTGGAAACAGCAGGGCAAATCAATTGCTCTTCTATCAACTTCTTCATCTTCAAAGACAGACTTCACTCTAGTGGCAGCCTTTGCCGTTGCAGATCCGCTGAGACCCGAAGCGGCCACTGTCGTCAGGTGGCTGCAGAAGCAAGGGCTCGAGGTATTCATGATCTCAGGCGATAACGCAACCACAGCAAATAGCGTGGGGGCAGCGGTAGGTATACCGGCGTCAAACATCATGGCTGGAGTCATGCCGGAGCAAAAGGCAGACAAGATCAAGTATCTGCAGCAGACTCTTGTACCACGACGCGCGCGAGCCTTCATCGGACAGCGCAAGCAGAGGGCTACGGTAGCCATGTGCGGCGACGGCATCAACGACTCTCCAGCTCTGGCGACGGCGGATGTGAGTATTGCGATAGGGTCGGGGTCCGATGTGGCCTTGTCGACTGCGAGTTTTGTGCTTGTCACGTCCGACTTGCATGCATTGGTCAGGCTGTTGGAACTGTCGCGTGTGGTGTTCCGCCGGGTGATGCTTAATTTTGCTTGGGCATTGGTGTACAACTTGATTGCATTGCCCGTTGCGGCAGGAGTATTGTATGCCATCAGCAGTGGAGGAAAGCACGTCCGGCTGGATCCAGTGTGGGCCAGTTTGGCCATGGCGCTGAGTTCGGTATCCGTAGTGTCGAGCAGTCTTCTGTTGCGCACCAGGATCCCCTTGGTAGGCTTCAGAGCATCCAAGATTTAGTGTAGCATAGACCAGAATGACGATCACACAGCAGGCATCTTCCTCTTGTGTTCGCGGGTTTCCCTCCTTCTTGTCGCGTCCTCCTTCATGCGAGTCTCGATCTTGACTTCCATCTCCCTCTGATCCATCAAAGTCTTGATCTCCCTCTCGATCCTCGCATTCTGCTGTAAAGCATCGTTGCGTACGCGCATGCGATCCTTGGCCAATGCCATATTCTGCTGCATATGATGTTGCACAGCCAACCCCAAAGCCTTTTCGTCCACCGCGCCCTCCCTCTCGACAAACTCTCTAGCCCAGTTCCTCTGCTCTTCAGGCGAAGGGCCAGGTCCACCTTCTAGATAACCACCGGGATGGGTCAATCGTATGCCCGGCACGGGACTCGCAAAGATGCGGCGGGGATCGTGGACAGAAAGCGGTAATTGCTGCAACGTGACCTGTGGAAGAGACTTTGGATCTATATCTCTTGCGCGCACGGAGATGCCTTGTTTCGGTTGCTCGGAGGAGTCGTTGGGGATGATAAAGATGCCGTCACGAGAGCGCGGTGGGTATTCGAGGATGTGGTAGAGGGAGTCTTCGTAGTGTGCCGAGTAGGGGATTTGGTGGGGGAGATGGGTTGCGTATTGGATGTTTGCTGTTTTTGGATCTTTTCCGCGAGGACTGACGGATTGTGACATTTTTTTCTTGTGATGGGCGAACAATGGCGATGATGCAAGGTGCGACGCTTGGAGATGATGGAATGGGTGCCTCGGGATGGAGGAGAGTGGGTTTCCGCTCACTCCGCTCCGCTGACGGCAGGGCTTGGCACAACCCGCCGTGGGTCAGCGAACCGCGGGCAGTCGCAAGCAAGCAAGCAGGTGGTCGCGTAGTCCGCAGTCAATTCCAATACATCACATTTCACAACTCACAACATGTCGTCTGGGTTCGGCTTGACTGGAGGTACATGACTCTCCCGTCCACTGCGTTCGAAGAAAGGAAATCGGGCGCGTGCTGACCACATTGGACGAACAACCAGGCCCCGGCCGCTGCTTTCCCTTCTGGCAGGAGATGCTCGCCTGCTACGTCGTAAACACAAACTCCGAGGACGGCTCGGGCAAGAAGAAGTGCGCTCCCATGCTCGAGGACTACTACGAGTGCCTACACCACCGCAAAGAGGTATCCAACCCTGTTCCCAAAGAAGGTGCCTCTGTTCTGACCAGCAACCGCGAAACAGNNGCCGCTCGCGTCCACGCCCTTCAATCCGCATACCGCAAGCACCTCGCCGCAAACCCCAGAGACGACGCCCCTTCGGCCGGCCAAATAAGGAGTCTGGGCCTGATCGAGGGCGACCTGCACGAGAAGGACATGAAGGCCGCTGCCCTGCTCCCTCACGTCAAGACCAACTAAAGAGAAACACACACTACATCTACTATACCACCGCTTTCTTTTGCTTTTTCGAAATTCACTTTTTGTTTCACTCCAACGATTCTTTGTCTTTTTTGTATGGAGGGGCTTAGAATGATACAGCTTCAATCTCTCCATCGGCAGTGACATCAAACACGCCGAAATTCCCTGCTTGGTGGCTTCCTCTGCTGTGTATGACCTCAATGACATTGACTAGTTCTCCACTGCCTTTGGGTCGCGCCTTTTTGGGGATAGCATCGATGAGGATCTGTGTGTCGACCAGATAGCCCAGCGGCTTGCCCAGACCCGGTCTGGCTTTGATAGCCTCGAAGATGGACACTCGTTCTTGATCGCTTCCATAAGAGACACTCCAGCTCAACAGTATAACGCAGAGATTGTGCTCTTGTGCCATGGTTCTCAATCTTCTGATCAGCGATGTCAGTGTAGCTTGACCTGTACATTCGTGTAAGCTTTGTTTCCTCGTATATGCAGTCTTTCAAAATCATGTGAACCATACCTTGNNGGCGTAGTTGTTCTTGAGCAAAAGTCCCAGCACCTGACTCAGATTGTTAATCAGAACCATACCGTGCTCTTCCTTCTTTTCCTCCTGCTTCTCGTTTTCGTCTCCGTGATCTTCTGCCAAAAGCATCTCCTCCGCTTCTTCCTCTTGGCTATCTCGAATCGTGTTCTTTGGGACACTCTTGCTTTGCAGTCCGTCGATTAGTTCATTCAATCCCTCTACCACACCTTCAAAGTCAAATACACGCATGATGTTCACCCTGTCGAGTATGGAAGTTGCAGTCTTGATATTGTCTTCATGATGATTGCTGTTGATTTTTGACAGCCGGGTCAAAAGGCTTTTGTACAGGGAAAGAACGTCAAAGTTGCCCGATGCATCGATGAGGGTTGCCGAATGAGTAACCGAGGAGAGCAGATGACTTGAGAGAATTTGTAGGGATATNCTGTGTTTGTTTGATATCGGACGTTAGTCTTTTCTAAACATGACAGTGAAGCATTGTATCTGTTCATTGTGTCGCAAGTGACAAAGGGTGACCCTGATCATACAACCATCGCAAGCCTGGCTCCCGAGAATAGAAAGAATTGGTGATAAGAATGGATGAATATAGCGAAAGAAACATACCGTTTCAGCGGCTCGACTTCCCGTCGTGCCGCTGATGTTGTAGATGCCATCTTGTCCATAGACCAGTCCCCCACTCAGTGCATCATCAACTGAAGTGCAGCAAGTGCCCACCCGCAATCGTTGCCTTGCTCTCTCCTCGAATAAACCTATCGATTCCTTTGCAATCAGTTCAGATGCCAGTACCGGCTTTGCTGCCATGTTTATTAGGTAGGGTTCGTTGATTTGTTGGGTTTGATCAGCCGAGAGAAAGATTGGTTGCTTTCGGAAAGAGCATAGGAGTTGGTTGGTTGCTATGTTTGGAGTTTGCGAGATTCAGAGTGAAACTGTTCAACCGCACTTCAAGCTTGTTGTTGACCAAGCGTCTCGATTAACACCGCGATCCGCCAAGTGGACATGGTTTCATGAAATAAGAAGTTTGTTAATTGCCGACTTTATTTGTTTTCTCATGGTGGGATAAAGAGAGAGAAAAAAAGCATAACCCCGAATAAACGCCTCTATCCATCATTCCCTCAATCCCCATAAACCCCTCTGGAGACTTTTTATTCAGAGACACAACTTAATGAGTTGCACCTGACTCCCATGTCCAGCTCCTTGTCCTCGAGATACAAAAGAGAAATATAGGAAGAAACTCTCGACCAGCTGTTTGGTATCGGATGGCTGTCGATGATGAGATAATAGAAGAAAGGGAAAAGAACAAAAGAAGACATTTCCGGAGATCTTCGCGACCGGCTGAATTCTGCTCCAAACGTATAATAGCGCAATTGGAGGTATCCAAGAGAGAACGATGGCAATCTCTTTCGACCACTTCAAGACCCTCTTCTCTCGGGTCTAGCTCTGCGCCCACCCTTCAAACTCTTCATACGGTTGAGGAACCCGCCTCCACTGCTGCTCTTCTCTGGCATGTCGTTCGCAGTAACTGGCACGCTGTCTGCAGTAATACTTCTAGTAAGACCATTTCGATGAGGTGAGCTCGGTGCTCTTGCTCGGCTACCCTTGGTCTCTTCTGCGTAGCGGATGGTTGCGCCCTTCTTCTCGTGTGCATCGTTGTAGTCGGAAAAGAATGGGTTGCTCTCCTTGCTGGCACCTGCAATACGGTTCCTACCACCTGCACTTTGCACTTGGCCAGGGCTGTTCGGAGACATGGATCCATAGTTTCCGTCAGGTGAATTTACGTTGTTGCGATTTTGCGACAGTCCTCTGAGACGTACGGCGAGCGACTTCTTTCGGGTCAGACCGCCTCCTGGGAAAGCGGATGTTTCGGTCTCGGACTCTCGACGTTGAAGGTCCTTTCTAGAAGCTGGGGCGCCCTCAAGGAAAGTCGAGGTTCCCAGACCGACGGATTCAGAGGTATGGATCTGTTCGACACGATCGGCAGGGTTGAAAGACTGCACATGCTTGGCAGGTGCTTGCACGCGAGACTGGGAATAATCGTTGAAAGCGTCCTCGCCACGTCCATGAAACCTGTCGAGGTCGATATTCTTGTTCAGAGGACCAGATCCGCCCAGGACGTTGTTGGCCGAGTCTGCAGGGAATGCTTGCATAGGGGCACGAACATCCCTCTTACGGTTACGGTGTGGGTTGCATGCATCGAACGGTCCATCGTGGTGGAAGACNTGTCGAGCTTCTGTTAGTCTCGGACCGTAGAATCGCATCTTGTAAGCCAAATACTCACGTCCTTGGCCATAAATGCCTGTGACATCAAGCTTGTCAATGAGATCAAGACCCTGGGGCTTCCTGGTCGCCTTCGATTTTCCATCCTTGGTTCGTCCCTCCTTTTCGCGACGTTCTTCACGCTCTTTACGTCGCTCTCTTCTCCTTCTGTCTTCTTCCTTGGTATCGAGGATGGAAGACTCCGAGTTGCGGCGAGGGCGTCTGCTTTCAGTCTTGGCTGGGCTGGCAAAAATGTCTAGGCCGTTCTCTCTCGATGGGCGTGGTGGGCCTCGCGGAGGAGCGGGGCCGCGTCGGCGAGATTCGTCTTCCTGTGAGCGCACGGGTCGGTGCTGAGACGGCATAGTGCCTGTTCGGGGGACTCCATTGCTGTGAGGTGCAGGGGGGAGCTGACAAGGGCGTTAGCCGGATTTATGTGAGTGATGAGTGATGTATTTTTTACCTCCTGTAGCGGGCTTCTTGTCGAGCAATGACAGGTCCTTCTGCGATGCACTATTAGCCATTGTTCTTGGCGGAAAAGCCGATTCATTCAACAAGTTGTTCTAGGTGCAAAAGGTCGAGGGGTAGGAAAAGTTCGGTCGGAGAAGTGCTGGAGTGTTGTGCGACAAGGAATATGATGGAGAGTTGACTGATGGCGAGGCTGGGTGCAGACAACAGGCGACACATACAAAAATGTCCTCAGTAAAGGCGTTCGAAGAGCCCTGTCGCTGCGGGGCTGGAGGGTCGAGGAATGGATTGTTCGACATTCTGTGGTCGGGAGAAGGCAGAGGAGAGGCAGCACGGCGGAAGGGGTTGTTGGAAGCAAAGTTGGCACCGGCGCCGGGAGATGGAGCGCGTTGGCCTGGTTGAAAGAGATGCGACATCAGCAGTGATACGACGACGAGGACGACGAGTGACGGTTGGGCATAGGGGCGGGATATTTTGATATTGAAACAGGCTTGAAACGCAACAACAAGGGGCGCTTACCAGGCATGGTCGCTGGAGCTAGCGACATGATTGCTCAGTTCAAACGGAGATCGTACAAGAGGAGACGTAGGGCGTCGTCGAGAGGATGCAGAGTGCTATGTAAGCGAGCCCAAGAATGAGGAATGGATCGACAGAGTTGTTTGGCTGGAATCACAATGTCGGCGCCGCTGTCGTCTTGTCGTGTCGTGACCGAGGCCGCTGTCAGAGCTGGTAACGCAGCGCAAACGTGGACTAGTAACTGCTGGGGACAGAGAGATGTTGGAGATGGGTTTGACAGGAAAAGAGTACGAGTAGAGACGGTAATACCTAGGCTGTTTACTAAGATGAGAAGGGGGCTCGAGCCACAAGGGTCTCTTGGGCGCCGCGCTTGTTCGTTACTCCGCATTGGCGCTCCTGTTGATCATCGTATTCTTTTTCGACAAACTGCCGTTGGCTGTTCAACTCGAACTCTCGCTCATCAGCTGCTGCTGCTGCTGCTGCTACTGAATTTTCGTATAGCTACAATCACAAGTGCTGCGTTCGTTGCAATCGATTGTGTTTCTTCCATCGATCGAGGAGCACGCATCATCGCATCGTCGAGCGCGCATCAGGGGGGCAGGAAACTCTAATCTAACAAGCACCTGAATCAAAACCACGCTTCCTGAAAACTTACCGACAAGACGGACCTACTGGCGGGGAATTTCACCACCATCTTCCACAAACCACTTTGCTCTTCTTACGAACTAGTCAGCCGCGCCGTGCGCGTGACGCCTCACAACATGGCCAATTCGAATTATGGAGGCTACACACGTTTCGAACTTGAACTCGAGGTGCGTCTGAAATAACGAGACGTCATGCGTGATTTGGATCACCGTTCTCATCGTTGACGGCCCGTCTGCAGTNTTGTCCAGTGCCTATCCAACCCACTCTATCTCAATCACCTAGCAACTCAGAAGCTGCTGGATGATCCAGAGTTCATTGCATACCTCTCCTACCTCCAGTACTTTGCCGAGCCGAAGTACATCAAATACCTGTCGTAAGTCTATCTTCAGCCTCACCACGTGATACGTGTATTCATCTTTTCCTTCTCCAGCTACCCAGGCCCTACCATCCGAGCACTTGAACTTCTCCAACAGGAGAGATTCAGAAAGGACATCCTGATCCCTGAGACGGTCGCCAGGATGGCAGAGGAGGGTCTCCAAGCCAGCACTGATGGTCTCCGCCGCGACTGATAGAGAAACGGCGCCTTCAACGGCACGCTTCTTTCCTGTTTCTGTTTTGCAACGATAGCCTTGATACCCATAATCCAACGGACCTGCATTTTCCTTCCTTGTTCAAGCACATGAACTCCTGATTCAAAGGGTATCTACCTGAATAATCGTGTCTCAATACCAGCCAAGGCCCGACGTATGGATGCCGAGCCTGTGTCCATAAACGCCGCGCTGAAAGATCGCTAAAGAGGAATGTTGCTGCAGGATGCCGCGCAGATATGATTGCGCGGCCTGTCTTGGAAGACGAGAAGATCAGTTCTCGCGCCATTCAGAGGCACACTTTGTACANCTGGTCTGAGGTTAGCCAGTGAATAGCATAGTATGATATGTCTAACATACCTTGTAGAAAGTGGTCATGGGCTCATCAGCGCTTCTGATCTGAACCTGTCTGAAGTATGCCTCACGGTTGTCGCACTTCTCTTCCCTGCAGTTGACCTCTGTCTTGTCGACGTTCTTCCAGCTGTCGGCACCTCCCAAGACATCTTCGACTTCCTTGCTCTTCATCATCTTGCGCTCAAAGTAGCGCTTGTCCAGAATCATTTGGTAAGGACATGTTCGGCATTCGAATCGGTTGACGTTCGCAAAGTGTTGCTCGTTCAGAGGAAGATGATCTGCGGGGATAGGTGTGATGGTCAAGAGGTTCGAACAACTGGGACAGACTGGTCATAGAAAGTTAGTATCCTGCTTGAATTCGATAGAGAAAGTCACATACAAAGAAGCATGTTGAGAGACTGCGCACCGAGCCAGGCGTAGTCGATGTATGTGTGAGGGCAGAGAAGTCGAATGCGCTAACAGGAAGACGTCAAGCAGAATCAGTCGTCAGATGCAAGTCGAAGAGGTCGAGACAGGCGCGATTCATAAAAGTTCGAGAACAAATGCCGCCAAGACTCCGCTCTATGCCGAGGCTTTTCTTATAGGCAAATCTTATACACATACTCCTACGCCTTCTTCTAATACAATGTGAGGCGACTTTTGAGTTATAAAAAGACGCAATGGTTTCTCAAGATCACAAGCATAGCCAGAGAGAGCTAGTAAAGGTTGTTCTTCGATAAAGACTGCCCTACTTTCTGAGCCTATTGTGCATTCATATAGGTAGCTATATGCATCACATGCTTGAGTACACGAGGAGCATGACCAACAAAAGAACTGAACCAATATTCTTCAGACGCGCCTCAAAGAGGATTAAATACCCTTACTACCTTCTGGACTGCCCACTGCCTTTTCGCCTCATGCACACGTAGTCAAGTACATCAACGCTTCCATCCTGTACGCCCGCCTGCCCACCTACCCATGACCAGCATGCCTCGTTCAGATGGGCGACAATAAGGTGGCTCTCAAAAGCAATGCTGCGTCGATTAAGCCACGTCCCAAATGTCTATCTGTTCCTTATAGCCGATACTCGTTACTAAGACTGTTGTGCGCGGGCAACTTCCTCGGCAGGTGGTTGAGGCTTGCGATCCTTGCGTGCGGCTTCGACTGCTTCGATATTAAGCTCCGGTCCGGGGTCCACTTTCTCTTCCTCCTCGTTGATATCACTGGGTACGCGGTCGAGTAGCTCGCCACTGTCTGCAAGCTTCTGACGTTGCTCGGCGATGATCGCGTCGGCTTCGCTCACGCCGCCCTTCTGTGCGGCCGGATCGCCATCAACACCAATAGGCTCCACCTTGCGTTCTACCGTCTGCTGCAATGCCTGGTTGTCGAAGCGGACGATCATGATGGTCAGGTTGTCCGTCGAGAAGCGGTTGAGTGCGTATTCGACCAGAGCCTTGGACGCAGCTTGCGGATCTTTGATGTTACGGACGAGATCTACTGCTTCTTGGTCCGAGCAGACATCCCATAANCTGTTTGGCTCGTCAGCATTTCCATTTCAGTACGGAGAATTGTTAGAAGAACTTACGCCATCACAAGCCAGGATCAAAAACTCGTCAATATCTGGTTGGATTACGGTCTCAGTGGTGTAGGGATGACCGGTAATCAAATCCTTCATGTACGTATCTCCCAGAGCGCGGGTAACAGCCAGAACACCATTGACACGGTTGTTCAGGATAAGGCCTCCGGCTCCGGCGATTCTCTTGCCCTCGTTTTCGTCACTACCCTTGTGGTCGTAGGAGAGGCGAAGAGCTTTGCCGTTTCTGCAAAGAACAATGCGTGCATCGCCAACATTGGCAGTGTAGAGGACGCGCTGGCGCGAAGCTGCCTCACGGAGCTTTGCAGCAGGAGACTGTGTCGAGTCGGCACTGATCGGCGTTGAATCCGAGCTACCCTTGATAGCGGCAGCGGTGGCAGGTGCAATTGCGGTAGAGCCTGTGGCTGACTGAGAGTTGGGTATTCTATCTTCCCAACGAAGCACAGCAGTGATTGCGGTACAGCCACTGTTCTTCAAAGGAAGCTTCTCCAGCTGCTGATCGGCAGTGGTGAAGGTCATGTCAAGAAGTTCGGGGATAGGAGTATTCGGATGCTTGCGAATAATCTCCTCGAGAAGGCAGTGAATCTTCTTGCCGCACCAGTCGGCAGCGAAATTACCAGCATGTCCATCAAAGATAGCAAAGTAACCGTTGTCAGTCTCAACGACATCTTGAGAGTTGGCCGAGTTGGTAGAAGATATACTCTTCTGAGCAGTTTCTGAGCCCAGAGCGGGAGCAGGAGTGCAGAGGAAGTTGTAGAGATAGGCATGTGTGTCTTCCATGGTTCTTCGGCATTTCTTGTTCTTATCTTCAGTGACACCGACTCTGAAAGTGGATCGTGGACCAGGCTCGGACTCTCCGGCAGAGTTGTTGAGTGCACCCTGGGGAACGCTCAGGGCAGGATCGGTTCTACCAAGCTTCTGCATGGGAGTCTGCGGTTTCTCACGGGCTTCGGGAGAGGAGCTGTGGAATTGGTCCTTCAAAGACTGCTTGGCATTTGAGAAGACGTTTCGTGCGCCGGCGAAGCCTNNACTTCTCCTCTTGCCAGAGGGACTAACATCTTTACGGTCTGCGCTTGTGCCAGCATCAATAGACGAGGGCTCGGCGGAAGGAACAGAGCTTGGTTCGGCAGTTTTGGGCATTGCGTCGCCTTCCTTGGGCGAAGATCCAAACATTCTGTTCAGCAGGCCTCCCTGGGTGGAGAAGCTTCTGCGATTCTTGCCGGATGCCAGGGTGAAAGCTGGAACGTGACTGACGCCACACGAAGGTCGAGATGGGATGCTTCAGAAGCAAGAGAAGGCGCGTCGGACAGAGAATGGGTGATTGGGCCTTTTCCTGCAGCATAGCATCAGCAAAGTGTCCGGCAAGCGCGTGGAGGCTTTGGTCTGCCGACATGCAGCTTCGTGCGAGAAGGAGGCAGGCAGCTGCAGCGAGGAGTCGCGGGACAGCCAAGATGGACAGAGAGACTCACCTGTTCCAAATGTAGGTTTTAATGGTGCGCCGTGTCAGGAGGATGGAGATTCTTAGGTTGTCAATTGGGGAACGTGAGGGGGTGCGGTTCTCGGAACTGATGTCACTGGGATTGACGCTTCTGGAAAGAGCTCTTGGCGCGAACCGTTGCAGCCTATCCAATGTCGGTCTTTCGGATCCTCTCACTGCCGTGAATGCCTGCAGGCCATATCTGGTCTTGTTCTGGACGACTGGGAGACCAATCCTCATGCAGCACTCAGCATTTAATTTACTCGGTCGCACCACCTTGGCGGTACAGGGGACGCGGATCAAGTCATCAATCCCAGGCAGGTTCCCCGCAAACCGGGCAAGCTGGGTCAAACATTTCGTATTCACGTATAGTGAGCTATGCATGCCTTATGCATCAACCATCATTGTCCTCTTGAGTATAGCAGTAGTGGGGAAAGGGTTTCAAGAGAGGATGCCATCTTCGTCGCTGTGTAGGGACGAAGTCAAAGGTATCGCCGACTGTCCGGAACGCCATACGCTTGCCATGCAAACAGATATAACCAACGCCAATGTTTAACAGGCACCTCATCGTCGTAGACTGTCCAACCTGGCCTGAAGGTCATCATCGCCGGGATCACCACCAATGGCCTGAGCCACTTTGCCTTGTTCAACAGCAGTGCTCTGCAAGCCAGTTGGAGTCTCGCCCATCTGAATGTGTGTCAGCATGTAGGTAGGAATGGCAAGAAAACTACTCACAGCTTGGCCAAGGTCAACACCGATCTCATCCAAGACCTGGTTGACGACTTCCTCGCCTTCTTCCTCGTCCTCCAAGCCTGTCACGTCGTCGATAGCGTCATCCATCATCTCTTGTCGCTGATCCATGATATCGTTCTCCCGTTCGAACTCCATGGCAATGCGCTGGAGGGCTGGGAGGTTCATTTGTCTATTCATGCTGCCGAGGAGTTTGGTGGCACCCTTCATGGACTGCATCATCTGGTCGTTACTGCGCACAGTCTGAAGCAGAGGTCAGCATAAGGCAGCAAAGACTGATCGGATCAGGCGTACCTGGATGCGCAACGAGATGGCCTGTAGCTGAGTGCGCATCTGGTAGAACTTCTGAATGTATCGTCTCGTTCTGACAAGGTCCTTGGCCTGAATCTTGACTGCTCCCATCTGGCCATTCTTGGCGTTCTTCTTGATATCCTGGACCAGCTTTTTCTCCTGGTTCTCCAGCTTCGTACGTTCACGGTCAAGTTCGCGTTGGGTCTTCTCGAGGGCGCGCTGGTGTTTGCGCATGCGCTCTGCGGGCGTCATGCGCTTTCCGAAGGCCCATTCTACAATCTAGACAGAGACAGGCCATCAGCGACTGGAACGGATGTTGGAACGAGCTTGGGCGCATGGGGTGCTCACATTCATGGTAACGGAGGGATGTATGAAGGAGAGAGATTGCTAGGCGGCCACAAACAAGGTTGATGTCAGTCGGGTCGCACTACCGCGGGGACTTGTGCACTCCCCCACACGATGAACATGGCGTTCCCTCCATCTTGTGCAAAAGTCGGTGACAGCCTGACGGTTATGATATGCTATGAAGATGTACAGCCGCTCTCTGAATAGAGGTGTGGCCATGGAGATGCCTGCGCATAACGATCTCTCCATGGATGTCTCTCTGTTATAAAAAGGATTGTGCAACCCTACAACTATATTGTGACTGTCTATCGCACATGGAGAGTCACTATTTTGTCCGTGCGCCGGTGCCCGCCACGCCAGAACGATTGGAAACGGCATCGAACGGGCCTAAACCTTCCGTCACAACTTCGTTTCTTGTTCGACACTTTTACTCTCTCTCGCTGCTCGTCACACCACCAACAACCTACGACGACCTGCGACTTTCTTACTATCTCACTTCAACTTCTCGCAACTATCAAGACCTGGAATGCACTGAGCGCCATTCTGCACAACGTCAACACATCATGAGCTCAGGCTCTCCCTCTGGCAGTGGCCGTGCCACACCCTCGAATAGCTCTTCCTCGCCCATGCGCCGCCACCCAGGTCGTCCTCAGTACATGACTGTCGGGAATGGCTCGACTTCTGAACATGCTGCTCGCCTTGCTGCCATGCTGGACAATGACTCTGGCTATGGAGGAAGCATCGCTGACGGCGCCACCTTCGATCCCACTTTCGACCAAGATCCTCTGACCCAATTGGCCACGGCCCAAGGCGCTACATGTGAGCACCAGCTCTACAACTAGGCGTTTTATATGACCCTCTGACAGATTCTATAGNCCGATAACGAAAGACGCGCCATCGCCAGTCATGTACACCAGCTCCAATACAACCAGAATCGTACCGCACTCGGTCGTGCTATCGGCGAGACCGTCGACACTCTCAAGAAATTACAAGACATGAACTCGAAATGGCCTGCTCACTATCCTACCGTCCAACGTCCAGCTCCCGCACCTCGCTCCCATCCAGATCCTCGACCTGGTCTCGTACATACTCAATCTGGTTTCGACAACCACCATGCTCCTGAGCCCTTCAAACGTCCGGCTCCTCGTCGCGCTGGTACTACCATAGGCGAAGACATGATGGAGCCTGAATCTAGCGGAGCGGCTGCTCGCGCTCCAGCTGCAGAACCTAGATTGGTGACCCCACAACTGTCTCAGCAGTTTTCGGTACTCAAGATCGAGTTGAAAATGGAAGGCGTACATCAGACCGAGCTGGTTCACTCTCTGGAAAAACAATCAATAGCATCTCTTCTTGACGGTCAGATCAACAACAGCGTTCGACATTTGTTCTCACTAAGGGATCGTATCGAGGACACTTCCAGCAAAGTTCTGATCACCGGTGATCTTAATGCAGGAAAGTCCACCTTCTGTAATGCCCTATTGAGACGTAAAGTCTTGCCCGAGGACCAACAACCATGCACCAGCATCTTTTGCGAGGTTCTGGATTGTCGCGAGAACGGTGGCATCGAAGAAGTGCACGCCATCCCAAATGGCGTCGAGTACAACCGTCACGATGAAAGCACGTATGCTGTTTTCGGTCTTGAGCAGCTCGAGGATATCGTAATCGACAACGAAAAATGGTCACAGTGCAAGGTATACATCAAGGATGTTCGCTCGGTAGACCAATCGCTGCTCAACAATGGCGTTGTCGATATTGCCTTAATTGATGCCCCCGGATTGAACAACGATTCGCTCAAGACCACTGCAGTCTTTGCTCGACAGGAGGAGATCGATGTGGTTGTCTTCGTTGTTTCTGCTGCTAACCATTTCACGCTCTCGGCCAAGGAATTCATTTTCAACGCCGCTCGTGAAAAAGCATACATGTTTATGGTCGTCAACGGTTACGATAACATCCGCGACAAGAAGAGATGTCAGGAAATGATTCTAAAACAAGTCAACCACCTCAGTCCTGCCACGTTCAAGGAGTCTTCTGAGCTCGTACATTTCGTTTCGAGTAACGCAATCCCCGTCGCCCCTGCTGGCGGTCCAGATGGCCCTGGTGGCTCTGGAAGCGGATCCGGCTCAACTAGTGGTGGCCCTAGTGGCGACCCTAGTAATGACGACGAGTCTTCGGACAAGAAAGATAAGGGGAAGGGCAAGGAACAGGAGAAGATTGATGACTTTAACGAACTCGAGGCTTCACTGCGCCGCTTCGTATTGGAAAAGAGAGCGCGTTCCAAGCTTGCTCCCGCAAAGACCTACCTGCTTAACGTCCTTGGCGACCTTGGTAGCCTTGCCGGCGTGAACAAGGAAGTTGCTCAGAACGAGCTCGATCGTGTCACCAAGGAGCTCAAGGAGCTTGAACCTGTGTACGAGAAATCCAAGAAGGCACGCTCTGAGGCAGGGGAGGGAGTGGATTTCACTATCGATGAGACTGCATCGGACATTTACAAGGCGTCTCGCGATACCATCAACAACACAATCGCTCGTGTCGGAGAGCAAAACTTGGGCGTTGAATATCCTGGCCTGTTTAGCGTCTACCAATACGCAGATGAGCTGAAGACAGCTATGCTTGAACAGATTACACGTTCGGTCCACGACTGCGAGGAAGCCGCCAGAGACCATACGGCAAAAGGAGTCGACGGCATCAAGAACCTCGGTGTCCTTCACCTCGGTGAGGATTACGAAGATCTGACCTTCAAATCCGAGTACATGTTCCGCTCGCGCAGAGATGCCTTGACACGACAAGTCGATGTTGACGTCGAGATGTCGGACTTCTTTGATCTAGCAAGCCTATGGGAACGCCAAGAGAAGGTTGCAGGAGCAAGTATGGCTGTCACGATCGCTGGCGTTATTGGTGGCCGTATGTTCGGAGGTGTCGGTTGGGTTGATGGTGCGCTCGGTGCCGCAAAGGTCTTGGGGCCCAACAACTTGCGTAGACTGATCATTCCTGGCGTCGTCCTCGCAATCGCTCTTGGTGCTTCCTATGCTTTGAGCTCAATCCCCCACTCCCTTCCACGACGACTTTCGCAAAAGCTGTCGGCTCAGCTTACAGAGCTAGACTACACACACGCCAACGCTACAAGAATTTCGTCCGAGGTCAGAAGAGCACTCAAGTTCCCTGCCGACAAGCTTCGCGAGGGCCTTCAGCGAAGCGTCGAGCAGCTGCTCGATGAACGCAAGGAGAAGATCAAACTCCAGAGCGAGAGCGAGGTAGCGAAGAAGTACTTTAGCAACCTTGTTAGAGAGAGTGGTGACATTCGAAGCAGAGTGATGCGCGTCGACTTGGAAGGACCAGCACCTGGTCATCTGGGTGGCCATGGCGTCTAGCTGCCGTATCAATGGGCAAAAGCAATTGAGTCTAACACTGGGAAAGGCGCAAAAGGGCGCAAGGAGCAGGCATCCGTTCATCTTTCATTTCTGGGATCCAAAAGGAATTCGATTGTGCCGCTCAGCTTTTGAGGGTAGTTTGAGGCATTGTGCACTTCTCTTCTCTTTTATAGTTCAATACCCCTCATACATGAAACAGTAATGCTATTCTACCCTACACTCTGCTTTGAGTCGTCGTCTCTTTCTTCTTTACTCAGGGTGTCCACCAGAGTGTCCAGAGGAATAGTTGAGTCAAAACGTGGTGAGCCGAGGCAAGCGAGAAGGGTCCAAGCTGGCACAAGCAGAACAATGACAAGAGCGTCATACGAAACATCTTGTTCACCAAGGTAGAATGGCGGACGACTGAAGCACAACCTAAGTAATGGCCGATCCCAGAGCCATTGTCGCACTGGTCATCCTTCTATTCATTTTCTTCTCGCCACCGCCCGGTCAAGAACCGCTGGTACGCGCTCGCTCGCGCCTCGAGCACATCGTCGCCGCCGAACGCCATGACTTGACCGTCCTCAACCAAACGCGTTTGGGTGACTTTGATCCGACACAGAACAGATGGCTCAACATCACCGGCTTCCGGGAAAATGATACGTTCGTGTGGCAAGCACTGCCTCTTGTCAAGGATCGAGCCAGACACCAGTCAGCGCATGCCCTGGGTCACGACAACCTGGTGCGTCTTGAAGGCGGACATGACGAAGACTCACCCTTACCGCTATACCGAAATGTGACTGGAACTCTGTACGGCGAATGGATTCGCTCGCCTGTCCAGGCATCGGTTGTGCCGCCAAAGCTGAACATGTCCGAATACGCGGCCATCGGTCCCTTTGGTCCCATTCCAATACAATCATTCACCAGAAACGTCACTGCAAAGTCAGGATCGCTTGAAGTCCGGTTTGAAGAGGCGGATACACCAGAGACACTGCTTTGGCATGGGAATAAGAAGATGGCTAGGGAGGTCAAGGCCCAGATCTCGGTCGGAGATGAAGAGGTGGGTGATTCCTGGGACAGCAAGCTCTTTGGTGTGCATTTTCTCGACACTGGCAACATCATGCTAGCTACCACCACGAACAAGTTCGCTGGAATCTTCGGCCTGCCCCATATGGCTCTCTCGGGTCACAATTACCAATCCGCACAAGAGCTGCTAAATCGGACGCTTGGGACATCTATCGGTCAACAAGAAGACGGTCTTCTCCAAAGCTTCAGCCCTTGGGCACCAACTGGCGAAAGTACTTCTGAGTCTTTGCTAGCTCCCACCTGCGACTTGATCGTCTACCTACAGCAACATCTAGTCCCAGTACCTGGCGTCAAACCTGGACCTGGTCAGGAGTCTCTTTTGTCATTCATCGAGAACGAGCTTCGGTTTCCTACTGGTGCGTCCATTCCACCAATTCAGCAGATGGCTTTTTCCATGGTGGCATTCTCGCCAGATTGTGGATTTGTGATTGAGTCANAGGGCCCGCCAGATTTTGCGCCACAGGAAGCCAATCACTTGCGTGGTCTCAAAATCGAGGTTGAATATGAGCGTGCGAGAAGTCACCTATTACTCTTCGCTGCCGTTATCGGTGGTCAATTGTTCTTTNTCTTGCGCCAAATGGGGGATGCAAGCACTCCATCTACAAGAAGCAGGATCAGCTTTTATACCATCAGCATGTTGTCACTAGGAGACGGCTTCACTACAATGGTATTTTGCTTGATCAGTCTATTCATCCAGGCTCTGTGGGTGCCGCTGATAGCTACTGCTTTCTTGGCCTTCATGAACGTCAGCTTCTTTGGTATGAGGTTCTTGATGGACATATGGGCTGTACAGGCGCCGGAAAGGGAACGTAGAGAAAGGCAAGGCCGACAGCAGCAACAGCAATCTGCTGCTACACCTGTAGCCCCAACTACAGCTCCGGCGAGTACCATGGAAAGTGCACCTGCTCAGTCGTCCTTACCGCCTCAGCTACCTATCATCACTCCTGCCGGAGCAGAAGTGCTTCCTCAGCCCGTGACAGCAGCGCGACCAGTTGACACAGGAGCTACACCAGTCTTTATCCCTTCAGACCAAGACATGCAGGCTGAGGAAGACACTCCCAACGCTGCAGCTACAGGTGTAGAGGCTGGTCAACGTGCCCCAGGATTTGGCTCTCTCTACACCCGCTTCTACTTTCTTCTTCTGGCAACATTGTTCCTCTCGCTGAACGCGACTTCCTGGCCTCCAGCTCTCCGACGAGGCTACTTCACCATTTTGGCTTTCTGCTATCTGTCCTTCTGGATCCCGCAGATCCATCGTAACTGCATGCGCAATTGTCGACATGCACTGCGGTGGGACTTTGTGGCTGCTCAGTCGTTGCTGCGACTCTTGCCTTTTGCTTACTTCTACGGGTATGGGCAGAACATCCTCTTTGCCTCTGTCGATTTGATAGACCTTGGCGTACTGGCTGGTTGGGTTTGGATACAGGTGCTGTTACTGTTGAGTCAGGAAATCATAGGTCCTCGCTGGTTTGTGAGCGGTACTTGGATGCCACCTGCCTATGACTATCACCCCATCCTCCGTGACGACGAGGAAGCGAACAACCTCCCTATTGGATCAACCAGTTCCATGCCTTCACCCGAACAGGAAAAGGAGGCAAAGGACAAAGGCAAGCGTGCATTTGATTGTGCCATCTGTATGCATGAGATTGAGGTGCCTGTGCTGAACGGGGATTCTGCTACTGAAGGTATTTCGACCGGATCACTGGTCCTGGAGCGCAGAAAGTACATGGTCACACCTTGTAGACACATCTTCCACTCTAGTTGTTTGGAGGGCTGGATGAAGTTCAGACTCGTGTGTCCAATCGACCGTGAGGAGCTGCCGCCATTGTAAATATTTTTACATAGTTGATATCGTGATCGTTTTCTTCATTCCTCGTCACCGAACGATAATTTTATTGGCTTGCCCTTTTTCTTGAGTTTCTTTGGTTTGCTCTCGTCTTTGCTCGTGTCTTTGATGTTTGCTTCGTCTTCGTCATCGCCTCCAACCACCTTGGCAACTTTACGCTTCTTGGTCGCTTTGCCTGCATCGACGGTCACAGATGCTCGAGCAGGCGCATCATCCTCATCAGGCAATGCCCCGGAAGCCTTTGGCTCATCTCCCGTCAACTCTCCAGTCACCATATCCTTGACATCTCCAAATTTGGACTTTACATCTGCTTCCTCATCTCCATCGCCGGAAGTGAGTTTTTCATACTCGGCTTTGGTCAAGGTCTCGGAGCTTCCTTCTACCACATAGGTTGGCGCGTCGTCGTCATCGTTGTTGGAGTTTTTTGGTCGTTGGGCGCGGGCGATGGGTTGTTCGTGACGGCCTGAGGAGGAAATTGCGCTGTTTTGATCGCGGAGGCGTTGGAGGAAGGCTGGTTGAGAGGCTGATTTGTCGTAGGAGAGGTCTTTTGATTTGATGTTGCTCATGGTTGTTTGTGTGTTTGTGGTGGATTATGGAAAAGTCGTGTTTGGTGATTTTGGTGAAGTGGGATGACCCTGACCTCTGGTGTTGTATTCCAATGCTTCCACGCCTTTGTATGATCTGGTGGTTTTTTATGGTTGGTTTGGTATAGAAAACTCAGCCCTCCCAAGAGATGTGGTTTCTGTGATACTCTAGTTCCAACGCAGGGTTGGTGTGTTGATGCTAATTCTTGTTCCTGGTGTCTTCATCCCGCTGAAATATGACCTATGATCCGCAACAATCAAGACGAAGTCGCCTATAGTAAAGTTGGCTAGAGATGGCTTCGTAAACACAACAATTCATTCACACAGGACGACCTTAATTGCTTGACTCAATGATCGAAGCTCGGATGCAGCGATTGAGATGGTGGAGAAGAGGGCAATTTCACGGAGTAGGCGAAGCGTGGACCAGCCATGGCACAAAACATACGGTCGAGATGTGGGATGCCAAGGGCTAGGTTGCGTAAGAAGGAAGAAGCAACCAGCCGTCTGCTCCGTACACGTTGGCCATAAGTGGCAGCAAGAGAAACTCTGAAGGCTCTCTAACAGTTGTCAAACAGCCCGCCGACCAGACACTACTCCAAGACAAGGACTGCCGTCGGTATATACCTGGCAACAAGACAGCACGCGAACAGTTCGGCCTAGCAGCGGGACCCTTTATTCGCCAGCCAGCCCCCTAAACATCCTTGCGTGTCATCACACACTCGACAAGTCGCCAATCACGACCCGTCGAAATCTCGTTTCGGCCTCGAGTATCTTCCTATGCGTCCAGTCCACGCATACCTGTCGACCTCCCCTTGAACCGCGACGTCCGCTTCGCCCAGACACGCCCGTCGGTCGCTCATTACCCGTCGGGAACAGCTCTGCAACGCCGCATACCTCATCGTTAACTCAATTGTTCGACCCCGAAATCCCTTTACGACGCGCGGTATAGCTTCGCATCTGCGTAGCACCCGCTATAGCCGATCTGCAACATGAATTTCCTCCAAGATGTTCGCAAGCGACTACCCACAGCGCAAAAGCTGCCTTCATACGATGACCTGTCCAAGAGTGCTGAGAAGATGACGCCGCGGTTAGCCTTCTTCCGCCGACGCATACGCCTGAGAGAGAACTCGCGCATCTCAATACCTCTGGGCCTGGTTCTGCTTTTCCCATGCTTGATTCTAATATTAATACTGCTCCTCTTCGTGCGGCACCCTACCGAGGCCGGCAGGATACTCATGCCCGCTGGCGCACCCCCATCCATCAGGTACGCTATTCTCATTGCTCTGACCTCTTCCACTTGCCCTGACACGATTCGTTACAGAAAAATCAGCGAAAAGCACGACAAGGTCTTCGTCACCGGCTGTCAAGATCCCGCCCTCGAGACAAACCAACCGCGCGCCAACGCCGCTTTCGTCGTCCTCGCCCGTAACAAGGAACTCGAAGGTGTTCTGCAGTCGCTCAAGTCGGTCGAGAGACACTTCAACAGATGGTTCCACTACCCCTACGTCTTCCTGAACGACGGCGACTTCAACTCGACCTTCAAGGATGAGGTGCGTAAGCACGTCAGCTCCAACGTTGAGTTCGGCAAGATCGATTCCAGCATGTGGGGCTTCCCCGACTGGGTGGACCACAACGTGGCCAAGGAGGGCATTAGAAAACAGGGTGATGCTGCAATCATGTACGGTGGTATGGAGAGTTACCACCACATGTGCAGATTCTACTCTGNNGGTATGCCTACAATCTTTCCAAACACCTGAACTTGTGCTGACGTCTGCAGTTTCTTCTACAAGCACGAGCTCCTCCAGAAGTACGACTGGTACTGGCGTGTTGAGCCCGAGATCAAGTACTTCTGCGATATTACCTAGTATGTCCTTGTAACAGCACCAGCCTTTGGTCTCAGTTTAATGACGTGTAATAGCGATCCTTTCGTCCACATGGAGCGCAATAACAAGACCTATGGATTCACGATTGCAGTCAAAGAGCTCAAGGAGACGGTACCCAACATCTTCAGATACGCCTCGGCCTACAAGCGAGTCAACAACATCACCTCGACTGGCCTCTGGGAGATGTTCCTCGAGCCCAAGCCGGAGAAGCCAGCAGACGAGCTGCCCAAGGACGACCCCAAGTACAAGAAGCCTCTCCCCGAAGACATCCTTCGCACAGAACCTGGCGCAGGCACCATTCCTGATGTAGATCCCGAATCCATGGAGGGTGAAACCTACAACATGTGCCATTTCTGGAGTAACTTTGAGATTGCCAGACTCGACTGGTTCAGAAGCAAGGAGTACGAGGACTTTTTCCAGATGATGGACCGCAGTGGAGGCTTCTGGATGGAGAGAGTAAGATGCAGTCCTCTGCGACCGTGTGCTGCAAATCGCTAACGTTGCATAGNNTGGGGTGATGCTCCCATCCACTCGCTGGCAGCCGGTGTTCTCCTGTCTCCCTCGCAGATCCACTACTTCCGCGATATTGGCTACCGACACACAACCATCGCACATTGTCCAGCAAACGCAAAGGCCCGCCAGGAGCCTCGCCCGCCTTATCTTGAGACAACAACCACGGACGAGAAGAAAAGAATCGAGGAAGATGCATACTGGGAGGAGTGGGACGAAGAGAAGGAAAATGGTGTCGGCTGCAGATGCAGATGTGATCCCGAAGTGCCAGAAGTCGAGCTCAAAGAAGGCAGTTGTCTACCGAACTGGGTGGACGTGGCCGGAGGTTGGATCACCCCAGGACCACCAGCATGATCGAGGATGTAATATTGGCTGTTGTATACGCATGAGAGGCGCGAGTCGTTTTTGCAGCGATCATGGACGGCGTTATTTGATCGGTTTGAATGGACGGTACATGTGGATACAAAACCAGGATCCCAACTTTCGGTCGTCTTGTGCCTCCGCTGACCTCTGGTGTTCTTAGCAGCTTTTTTCTTCTGATTCTTAATCGTACATGATATAGTAACGATACAGACACGAATCAATGGTTTTATTCGAAATACAGACCATGTTGTTTTGTCTTTGCATGCATGCTGCTGCAGGAGCAAGAATCAAGGCAAAACTGGTGAATCAGATCTCATGAGCCAGGCCGTAGTCAGAGCCGCGGTTTCGAAGCACAAGTAGTCATTCAACAGGTTGTTGATGGCGTGTTTGCTGAAGTATTCGAAGGCCTATCTATCTGTCACATGCAAGGCAACCATCACGGTGCAGCTGTGAAAGCTTATCAAGGAGTGCGGGGTGTCTGAAGCACCTTGATTTCTACTTCTGTCCGGGTGATACAGTACATCGTACTTTCCATCCTGTCGTCAAGACTCTGCAGACTCGTGTTGCAAGCTTCTATCTGAAGTTCTCAAGGCAGACTTCTTGCAAACAGAACAGAAAGAACTCATACCCACGCGGCTGCCCCTCTCTAGGTTAAGACAAGGCCCACCCGATTGGTCTACCCCTCCTCCCAGGCTGCAGCGGCCCAATAATCTGTCTGGTAAGCTGTTACATCTACACTCAACAGGGAGACGACAGATAAGGCTGGCTCCTCGCCAAAGACTTTCTTTCCTCTACGCTTTTCCTGACTCACTGACAACTTGGCTCGATCGTTTCTAACCTGGTTATCAGCTGCCCGAACCGTGACTTCTTCTTTCGGGCGTGTTTCACGGACGACAACACCACGCACGCCTTCCTGTGAAAGGTGGAAATTGCTACTGACACGCAGACTGTTCTGCTCGCAACACGACGACCAACACTTCTGCGTCTTCATCACCGCGCTTCCTACATCCTACTTATTGTATCATCCTCCCCTCATCCTGACGCCTCTGCATCACACCCTGACATCGCTAGGAGACGCACACTCTCAAGCAACATCCTCGGTCACCATGACTGTCCACACCGAGCCCCTCGTCCATCACGAGGNNGAGGCCCACGACGACTCTGACGACTGCGTCTCTGCCGACGACTTCACTCCTTCGCTTCCTACCCTGACCAACCGCCTACCTGAGTCCGATGCCCGCAGCGTCAGCGATGTTGAGTCCATCTCCGGTGACACCATCAGTGATGACGCCAGTGATGCCGAGTACGATGAGATCAACTACGACGAAATCCCCGCTCTCGCCGCTCGTGCTCGCTATCAGGAAACCGAGCCGTCTGAGGAAGAGATGGAGCGTGTCATGATGAGCGACAGAACCATCGTCCCCCAANCACCCACCATGGCTCAACGTATGCCACACATGTCTTCCCAGCCCACCATCAAACCAGACACTACACCTGAGCATGTCCGTGTCATCGGCCTGTCCCTCGCCGAGAAGCCTTATCACTTGCCCAACCGCCCCCTGCGTTTGGTTTACTTTGACCACGACTTCAAGAGCAACATGAAAGCTGTGACTCTCATGTCCAAAGTCTATGGTGCCATGACTGGCAGTTCAGCTAACGAGGAGGCCATGTTGGATGCAGCATCTCTTGCTGAGTCTGATGATGACATCTTGCGTTCACTTTCCGACCTCCCCACACCTGTCGAAATCATTCGCGGCATCAAGCTCGATGTTGCTCTCGATGGATCTTTGACTCAGAAGCCTGATTCGATGGAATCTGAGCTTGAGAGTGTGAGACCTGATCTGGTCGTTTTCCATGGTGCCCACTCCCACGCCGCCTTGGCCACCTTCGCCAAGAAGGTCGCTGACCTCGGTATCCCAATGATGGAGGTCCAGGACGACTCCTTCGACATCACTGTTGGCGATGAAGATTCTACATGTGTCATTCCACACACTGCCCAGGGCGACCACTGTCTTCGTCTGTCCGTCGTCTCGAGCTCCGATGATGGAGATGAGGAGTCCTCTAACAAGGAGGTACCCTTAACAGAGAGCGCTTTCCATGCCCTGGAAGATGATGTCTTGAGCCGCCACCTTGCGTACCTTGCCGACAGAGCCAAGAAGCTCGATAAGCCCGAGACGAACAAGATGTTTGTCAAGTCTGGTAAGCAGTCGAAGGCACCCAGACTGATGTCGCTTCTCAATTCCATCTACATCAAGAACGCCGCTCAGAGCCTGTTGGCACTGCTCGTGATACTCTTCGCCGCCAGCTTACCTGTCCACTTTCTCCGCCAACAGAGTCCTGCCTCGGAATTGAGCACCCGCGCGCCTCTGCTCCAAGCTGCTCTGAATGATTCCGGACTCAACAACATCAACGCAAGCGACATCCTTCGCTACCCCGTCACCACCGGTGTTGTCGGCAACTCGACCACTACTGCTGTAGCATTCCCTACGGCTGTCCACGTTCATGTCGCCAAGTCGGATCAACTCATCGTCTCTCTGCCCAAGGCTTACTGGAAGTCTGCTCAGATTGGTATCTTCAAGAACGGCAAGGCACTGACCAACGTCAACAACACGCGTGTCGTTGATGGGGTGCTAGCTATCTCGCTGCCTTCTACCGATGCTTATGGTCAGGTTCAGATCAGTGTGCTATCAACAAACATGCCTATGCGCAACGAGACGATCAAAGTCGACCTTGGCAACCGTCTCCTGCAGCGTGCCACCTACGAGAATGCCGCGAAAGGTGTTCAGCAAGATGTCACTGTAGTCCACCACGCCGCCAAGCTTGCCCAAGCTAAGGTCATCTCTGATGTTCACTCCGTCTTCAACATGTCGGTCTATTGCGTCAGACTTTTTGGCAGCAACATCCTGGGTGGTGTGAGGTCCACCGGCCATGCTATCGGTTCCGCATCAAACCACACATCTCATGGCTTGTCTTACATGGGCGGTCTGACTTACAACAAGACTTCGGACCTTGGCTCTTTCGTCAAGAGCGCCATCCCCCAGAGACGTCATTTTGTCAGAGCCCGTAACAACGCTTTGAAGATCAGAACACGACTTCTTCGTAAGTCTAGCACTGTCAAGCAGAACATAGTCAAACCCAAGCCCGGACTTCCTCAAGCTTTGTCGTCCATGAAGAAGAGATTCACAGAGCAACTTCCTGGCTTCATCGCTCTCAAGAAGTCTACTCCTGCTAAGCAGCGCAGCAAGGCTTCCCAAACAGCCAACAAGGTGAAGTTGACTGTCAAGACAGTCGTTGAACCCAAGACGAAGAAGGCTGCCTCATTGGCGACTGACACGGTCAAGATCCCCAAGGGTCGCAAGCAGTGCAAGAACACTGACAAGAAGCTCAAGTCATCGTGTGTTTGATGACAGCATGCTTTTGGTGTTCAATGGGTAGGTTTTCACCCAGGCGTTTTAAGACGGTCTCAACTCACACAGCCTTCAAGGGCAACAGGGTCATGAACAGGCGCTGGAGAGGGAAATTTTCGGTTGTTTCGATGGTTCAGTCATTTCTTTCCGTTCGACTCTGGAAGGGGAATGTGATTCGATAGGCGTGCTATTGGGAGGAGAGAAACGGAGATCAGCCAGCACCCCTTCTTGCTTGCAGTAAATGGAAACAATATGCTTTTACAACGTCGAACCCTTCAAAGGAAGATCGTAGTTCATGCAAGAGAATCGTTTGGCGCTCATTGTAGATTAGCCAAATATGCAAAATAAGGTATTCGTGATGCTGCCGTTGGTCGAACCCCCGCACTTGGTGAACCGATGGCTGTCCCAAAAGCGTAAACCGAAGCGCCATGCAGAGCGATCCGAAGCACCATAATCATGACGGCGACTACATAAAGAGAAGAGAGATGAACGGCATGGAGCGATGCGAGATACTCGACATCTCTCTCACACCAAATCACCTTCTATCTCGAAAAGCACTCCCTGTATCCGACAAAACGAGGGAGCAACAGAACTCACCTGATCACCAACAAGACAGAGAAGGATATACCTTGACGATCATGGCTGCCATCCACAAGACCAATCCGTCTCTGCAAGTGACGGCAGATCATCAAATCAAGATGGCCGAAGCACCGATTGAGAAACCAGGATATGGCGAAGTGTTGCTGCATATAAAGTGCACCGGTATCTGCGGGTGAGTGTTTGCCCTTTTCCATTTCCTTTTCTCTTACTCTTCTCCAACTCGACGATTTTTCTTCAAGACACTTGTGGAAGAGAAAAAAGACAGTGACTAATGCTGTTGGTTGTTTGGGAGGAATAAAGATCAGATATCCATTTCTGGAAGACTGGACGCATTGGACCGTTGATTGTGGAGAGCGATTGTGTTTTGGGACACGAGGCTTCTGGTGTGGTGCTCAAGCTTGGAGAGGGAGTCAAGGATTTTGTGGTTGGTGAGTTGCTCTTTTTTCTGTCCTCTTTGGTTTTTTCGAATTCATCTTTGTTACTGCTCTTTGGTTTTGCTTTGAAAGGTCTTTTTGGCTGTTTGGGCAGGCAGGTAGATATAAGAAAGAGCAAGGACATGGACATGGACATGGAAAGAGCAGAAAAGGGAAAGAGTCCGAGAGTCTGTGGGAAGAAGGGGGAACAAAGACAAGAGGATGTACAGAAATGCTGATCTCGTTGATCAGGTGACAGAGTGGCAGTCGAACCCGGCATGCCCTGTGACAACTGCTGGCTCTGCAGAGAAGGACGATACAACCTTTGCGAAGACGTCAAGTTCTCCGGCGTGTGGCCTCACCACGGCACCCTCCAGCGCTTCAAAGTGCATGCTGCAAAATGGTTGCACAAGTAAGCATCTTTTTGCTCTACCCATCTCTTTCCTCAACGCTGCTACTAACCCAAAGACCAGAATCCCCGACACGGTCAGTTTCGCCGAAGGCGTACTCCTCGAACCCCTCTCCGTCGTCCTCCACGGCATCCGTCGCGCAGGCCTCACCCTCGGCCGCGGCGCCGTGATCTGCGGCGCCGGCCCCATCGGCCTAATCGCTCTCCTCTCTTCCCGCGCCTCTGGCGCACACCCCTAGTAATCACCGACCTGGAGCCCCAACGCCTGGCCTTTGCCAAAAAGCTCGTCCCCGAATGCGAAACCTATCAAGTCTCCCGAGACCTGAGTTCCGAAGACAATGCAAAGGGTATCAGAAGACTGTTTGGCGAGTCGGAGTATGGGTGTCCGGAGACTGTGCTCGAGTGTACGGGAGTCGAGAGCAGTATAGTTACTGCGGCGTTTGCTGTGAGGAGAGGAGGTACGGTGATGGTCATTGGAGTTGGAAGACCTGTGGTCAACAACATACCTTTTATGCACATGAGTCTTGGTGAGGTGAGTTGAATTGTTTTCGTCGTCTCTTCCTTTTGTTCCGGAGAAGAGTGTGATTTGCTGATATCTAAGGGTTGCAGATCAATCTCAAGTTCATCAACAGGTATACCGATACCTGGCCTGCGGGCATTGCGGCTGTTAAGGGCAAGTTGATGGATCTCAAGCCATTGGTCTCGCATGTGTTTCCATTGGAAAAGGCAGTGGATGCCATGCACATCTGCGCTGATCTGAGTCAGGGCAGCATCAAAGTGCAGATTGTCGACGACGTCGAGATTAAGCCCGAGGATGTCGAATGAGGCATCTTGATGCTATTCATATCTCAAAAAGAACCTTTTTTTTTGTGGAGAGGGAGATGTTTTGGTTGTGTGTCCTTGGGGTCAAAACCCAAATCACGATGCCAGATTGGTATACTTCTACATCATGAATATGCGTAACAGAATTAAGTTTTAATTGTTACCTTCTGCGTACACTCGCTCTGCTTGTCTTGAGAGAGACTTGCTGTACGAAGTAGCCGAACATGCAAGCCTGGATAATAAAGGAGGGGCACGTACCGTATTTCACCTGCTCACCCAAAAATACTGTCCTTCCCATGTCCATCTGACGAGTTTAATAGTGGACAGTTGTTTAAGAAGAGGATCGTGACAACCAAGCAAAACAAGAAAAAGTCAAATATAGAGCAAAGAAGGAAAGAGCATTCAAGAACGAGGGAAACGAACGATAGAGCAAAGAAGGAAGAAGCGATCAAGTGCAGAACTCAAAAGGCAGGAACGACTGGCCAGCATTGGAGGAAGGGACGGACGAGCGAACTTAGGAGCATGAGAAAGCAACGACTGACATTGAGAAAGAACTTTCACAAGGAAAGGAGCGATCCAACCACAAAAGCAAAGAGAAGACCCGTGCTCTCCTTCGCGTGGTCGTTCTTGCTATTCGATTAGCTCGCGCCCACGATCAGGAGTGTGACGAGCACGATACTTATGCACAGAGTAACACTTGGCGAGAGTTGATTTGGGCTCAAGCAATGTGGTGATTCTTTAGTCAGAGGTCGCCCTGGCTCTCCTTGATGAGTGACACACTAGACAAACACATGCAGGAAAAGTGGGAGAAGAATTTCCAGTTGACTATCTTTTTTCATTTGTAAAAACCCTCCAAACAACCTTCAAATGCGAAGTTGTACAGAAGTATCGCGATGATGTAAAAGAACACAGAACCATGATTATGTGCGTTTTTGCCAAAAAACAGATTCAAAGTCTCAAAGCGTGTAGACAACAAAGGAAACCCCCAGAGGAAACAGGATCATCGCTCGATGCCGTGAGGCCGAGTCATATGTCCCGCCTCTGTATGCTTAGAACAGAAACATGCCGTATCGAGAAAAAATGTGTGAAGTTGGAATCATCGCTAAAAAGACATCAAAAGCAGGAGAAAAACAAGTTTCTACGCTTAGATGAGGAGAGCAGCGAAACCAGCGACACCGGCAAGGGCCATGCCGGCGTTGAGCTTGCCGGCAGCACCAGTGTAGGATGAGGGGTGGGCACCAGTGGCAGAGGCGCCGAAGCCAGTGGAAGCAGCAGTTCCCTGGGGACCGACGGGCATGGTGGAGTTGACCATGGCGAAAGGCGCAGAGGTGGGAACGTTGCTGCCAGCGGGGACGACGGTGNNGTGCCGACCGACATGACGGTGTGGGAAGTTCTGAGGGGGCAGTTGGTGACCTCAGGAGCGCACGNNAGGAGATGGTGACAGCCTTGGTGGAGTAGAGAGTCACAGTCTGGGGCTGCTGAGCAGGGGCAGTGGTGTTCTGGACAGCAACGACGACAGGGGCCGAGGTGGGAACAACGGGAGCCGAAGTGGGAACAGCAGCGACNNCTCGGTGGAGCTCGAGAGTCTGGCAGGGCAGTTGGTAACCTCAGGCNNTGAGAGAAAGTCAGTATAAATCTTGTAAATGTCGATATATCAGATTCAACTTACACCGCAGGAGGTGATGGTCTCGACCTCAGTGGAGTGGACGGTCTGAGTGACAGCGGGAGCAGCAACGGCAAGGCCGGCGAAGAGAGCAGAGGCGACAACAGCGAAACGCATTTTGATTGATTTGGTTGTTTGGTTTTGGTGGGGTTATGTGAAGATAGTCGGGGGTGGTTGGAAAAAAGGTGGTGGTGAGTTTGTTATTAAAGAATGTAGTGGTAGTTGGTGTGTAAAGAGTGTAACGACCGAAGTCTGATTATTGTAGTGAGTTGGATGGTGAGGACGAAAAGCGCAGTTCGAGGTCGAGCAATGCTTTGGTTTATAACCAGGCATGTGTGTGATCGACGTCGGCCGGGGAATTGTTTGGGAGATTACGCCCTCCTGTCGACAAAGGCTAATGCAGGTCCAAGTGATCCGAGCTCATGGCCACGATGCAAGGGATACCGACACAGCCGTTGGCTGGAAGCTTCCAAATGATATTCGTATCTATAGAGTGCCGTCTCTGGGTGCTGCCAGTATCATTGGTTGGAGGTTGATTGAAGCCTCAATGAACTCACTGTGCACGGCAAGCCCCAGAAAAGCAGCAACATTAGCCCCTATACAGCAGATTGACAATGACAATCCTAAACTCACCAGCTTCTCATGCTCATGCCAAGTTGTAACAAATTGTGCGACACGCGCGTCTTTGTTGGCCGAGTCATAAGGTGGCTTATACTAGTGTCTTCACATGTAGAGGGCTGTAAAGAGCATCTTCATTTCGGCTGCCAGATCCAGGTATGCATGTGGGTGAGCATCGTGTGCACAGACAATCACAATCAATGCACACGCCTATCATCCACAATCGATAGTCTGCTTGTTTTGCTAGGGCAAGAAGATGCGCTGCTCCTCAGACAACAGAAAAGGCATCTAACATTGGATCTTGTAGTTTGGTAACTTGTATTTGACCGCTACAAAGGGGGGCAGACACGCACACATGACATGGCACTGCCTTTCGAGGAGGTGAAACCGTGAGGCTGTTCCACAACTCTTTTGCCCGCAAGTTTAAACAAAGCAAGCGAGCACGCCGTTGATTCTGATATATATCACGGCTATTCATCTCCAATCTACCGCTTGTGAAGATCCAACTGCCTTGCATACTCGCTACTGTCCGGGAGCCCACGACACATATCAACGTCTTTTCTCCAAACGTCCACGAACCATCACTGCCGTGAAGAACTTCCCTTATAGAATAGGTGACATCCTCACAATTCAGGAGTAGATGAAACCTATGGGGGTGGCTGACGCCACGCGGAGAATATTGTGTGTTTGTTATGTCAACAGCATTCTTCAAAGTGCTTTGTTTACTCGCCCGACCTTGACTCGAACCACCTGAACCTCATCCGCATCGATACAAAGAAAGCGACGAACATGTGTGCAACTCTTGTATTCATTTCTAACAAGTAAGGTATAATTGACACTGCAGCTTCCCGCAGAGCCCTGGTATTTTATTCTTCTCTCGTAACATCGAGTACTTTCTAAAGGCAGAGATTATGATTGCATGGCGTCGCTGTAGCTCTTGGCCGCCTGGCTTGCGAAGAAGCGCACATCGACATCGTCGTCAGTCATGAGTTTTTCCAGATTAGGCATGATTTGTTCCCGGATAAGCTGGTCACCCTGGGGACTTCCTGATGCAGTCTTACCCGTCTTTTCGAGCGACAGGACTGTTGACTCGGTATCAGGCAGACGCTTGAGGACGTCGATCAATACTGCATATGACTTTGCGACGTTGAATCTGATGTTGGGGATCTGGTCGTTCACAAGGTTTGAGAGGATGGGGAAGATGGACTCTTGGATGACGGGGAGAGACAGGGCGGGGGCGAGGGTCNNTAGATATTGTCAGCAGAGGTTTGATGTGTGGTGTCAGAATCAACTCACCGAAACTGCAAAGCAAGTGGTCATGCGGTACAGGTAGTTAGGGTGGCCGCCCATAGCAACAACCTTGGGGACGATAGCCTCGTTGGCCCATTGCACACCAAAAACGTCTGTAAGCTTCTTGAGGTTCTGGGTGCTGGCCTCGCGGATGCTGAAGACAGTGTCACCAAGCCAAGACATGCAGAGGCTGGAAAGCTTCTCGTCGAAGAATTTGACACCGAGCTGAGAAGCTAGAAGAGGAAGATGTTGGATGATGGCCAGTCTGACACGCCACTGCTTGTCTTCTGCGAGCTGGACGATGGCAGGGAGGAGCGACTGCGACAGGAGTTCGATACCGATGACGTCGTTGACAAGCTCGAGCTTGGAGATGATGTTCAAACGGACATCGGGGAACTCGTCCTTGAGCATCTGGAGGAACATGGGCAAAAGGTGCTCGGTGGTCTCCTGCTTGCCGAGGATGGGAGCCAGACCACTAATCTGGGTACCGAACGAGGCGCGCACCTGTTGCGAAGAGTCCGAGACAAGCTCCTCAACTGCGGGCATGACCTCCTGGAGCAGCACATCTCTCTCGATGAGGGCGCAGAATCCAGGGATTTGACCGGCGATGGCAGTTCGCACCTCGGCCTCGGTGTCTTTGAGGAGCTTGATGAAGGCGGGAACAAGATCACGGCTGACAACCTCATCGTCAACAGCCTTGGCAATCTACAAAAAACATGTTAGTAGGGCAAGTGCAGAGAGCAGGACTGATAGTAAACGCACCTTCTCGAACTTCTCTGCGACCATGTAGCGTACTCTCCAGCTCTTGTCCTCGAAAAGGCTTCTTAGTGCAGTGAGAAGAACGCCGTGGCTCGATTGCTGCTCCTTGGGGACAGTCTCTGCGATGGCAACCAGGATTTCGACGGTAAGAAGACGAACGCTGTCCTGATCGTCGCCTGCGAGATGTTGGAAAAGAGGAATCATCTCTTCGATGACGACGTTCGGCGGCATGACGCGCAAGAACTTGGCCAAGTTGATAGCTGCCTGTCTACGGACCATGGGTGTATCATCGTGGACGAGCTGTGCGAAACCCTGCCTCAGGGACTCTTGTGTCTGGGGATCGGTCTTGGTGTATGCGACCTTGTAGACGCCAGTGGATGAAATCTTTGCGGTGAACCAGTCTGCTTTTGAGAGTCTGCCGATCAGGGGAATGAAGTACTGGTCGATCTGTTCGGTTGATAATTGTTCGCAAATCTTGTTGAGTGAGTCGACGGCCTGTCAAGTGGTCAGCAAGTGTGGCGCGATGGAGGGCGATTCAGAGAAACCGACTTTATCTCTGACGAGCAGTTCCTCAATGGCGGCGAGGTTCTCGAGAGGGGAGAGCAGCACGTGAGCGTACTCTGGGCCACCGACATACTCGACGAAACCACCGAGCTCGTCGCTCAGGGCAGTCAAGACCTCGTCTTCGTCCTCGACAGATTCTNNTTTGTAGAAGGTTAGTGATTGCCTTTCGAGCGATGCAGGCGTGATCGGATAGACAGTACCATCAAGGAAGGGTATGAGCTCATCTCTGGTGCGCTCGGGGCCAAGAGCAAGGGCGATGGTGGACAAGCGGCGGATGGCGTTCAGTCTGAGCAAGACATCGTCATGCNNTATAAAGCGCGTCAGAAGCGAGGCCATGGATACAAAGAGTCGAGGGTTGTTGACCTTGAGCTCGTCGATGAGGACGGCGATGGGGTAGAGCTCGTCATTCTGTTGCGCATCCATGGTGGGCGATTGGAGCCTTGACAGATGGAAAAGAGCGTCGTGGGCAGACGTTCAGCCCGCGGGAGAGTTGCTTGGGAGTGTTAGTAGGTGTTGGCGTGGGTGGCTCGAGGAGCTCTGGATGTTGCGGTGCGGCGTTGATGGTGTAATTAGAGAGGGGGCCAGCAGACGTGTCGGAGGCAGCGTCTGGCGGTGGAGCGTACCTGGTTACAGGGGCGACGGATGGTACGGCGGGGATTGCGATTAGAAGCTTGTCGAATTGACAAAGGCAGAGATGTGAGATTGGAATATTGCGTGACGAAGGAGGCTGTTTGCTTGGTCGTCGCTGGCTGGTGGACGCTGTGCCCAACTGGAGTTTCGGTGGTGCCAAGTCTCGAGATTGCTGTCCCACCAAGCCTCCAAGGACTGGCCTATGATTCACCCGCATACCGTTTCGCTTTCTTGACATTTCTGTATATACACCAACCCACTTCTCTACAGAATGCCTACCATCTCGGTTGACAAGGCCGAGCTCTTCAAGGCTCTGGGCAAGACGTAGGTCCCCATTGAATCCCCGACCTACCGCAAAATATCCTAACCACTCTGCCCANGCTACACCACCCAAGAGTTTGACGAACTGTGCTTTGAATTCGGTATTTCCTTGTTGCTTCTAGTCCTAGCAGTAATCTGTACTAACCGCCTCTTGCAGNGTATCGAACTCGATGAAGACGTACGCCTGACAACTACCTTTTACATCTGACTGGACCCTTCCTGATGCGCTTCGCAGACAACCGACTCAAAACGCCCAATTGTCGATGGCGTCGAGGAGCCTCCTCAGCTCAAGATCGAGATCCCCGCCAACCGCTATGACATGCTCTGCTTCGAAGGCATTGCCATGAACCTCAATGTCTTCCTCGGAAACACTCCTCCTCCCAACTACCGCCTCGTTGCTCCCAAGGATGGCGAACTCCAGACCGTCACCGTCAAGGAAGAGACATCACAAATAAGACCCTACTTCTCATGCGCCGTCCTGAGAAACATCAAGTTCACAAAGGCCCGCTACGAGTCCTTCATCGCTCTCCAGGACAAGCTTCACCAGAACCTGGCCAGACAACGTACTCTTGTTGCTATCGGTACCCATGATCTCGACACCATCAAGGGTCCCTTCACCTACGAAGCCCAGAAGCCCGAGGACATCAAGTTCGCACCCCTGAACCAGACCAAGGAGATGACCGGAAAGGAAATGATGGAATTCTACGAGAAGGACAAGCACCTTGGACGTTACCTGCCCATCATCCGCGACTCGCCCGTCTACCCCATCATCTATGACAGCAACCGCACCGTTCTCTCCATGCCTCCCATCATCAACTCGAACCATTCCAAGATCACCCTCGACACAACCAACGTCCTGATCGACATCACAGCCACCGACAAGACAAAGCTAGAAATCGTCAACCACATGATTGTTTCCATGTTCTCTCAGTACTGCGAGGAGCCTTTCACCATTGAGCCTGTTAAGATCATCTCTGAGCACAACGGACAGACCCGTGAGGCACCCAACCTCACCCCTCGCACTACCCAGGCCGAAGTCAGCTACATCAACTCTATTTGCGGCTTGAAGCTTCAACCTCAGGAGATTTGTGACATGCTCAAGAAGATGTGCTACCACGCCAAGCCTTCATCAACACCAGACATCCTCGACGTCGACGTGCCAATCACCCGTGCCGATGTCCTGCACCAGGCCGATATCATGGAGGATGCCGCAATCGCCTACGGCTTCAATAACCTCGAGCGCCGCTTCGTCTCAGCCACCACCTCCGTCGGTGCAGCCCTCCCCATCAACCGCCTTGCCGATATTGTCCGTTTCGAGACCGCCATGGCCGGCTGGTCAGAAGTCATGCCCCTGATCCTCTGCTCCTACGACGAAAACTACACATGGCTGAACCGCAAAGACGACAACCTCGCCGTCCGCCTCCAAAACCCCAAGACCCAAGAGTACCAGATCGTGCGCACCAGCTTGCTACCGGGTCTCCTCAAGACCATCCGCGAGAACAAGCATCACTCCGTGCCCATGAAGATCTTCGAAGTCAGCGATGTTGGCTTGAAAGACGAGTCTTGCGAGAGAAAGAGCAGAAACGAACGCCGCTTTGCTGCTTGCTGGTATGGCAAGAGCTCTGGCTTTGAGGTTGTGCATGGTCTGCTCGATCGCGTCATGTTGATGTTGAAGAGTGCGTTCATCACCAAGGAGGAAGGTCTCAGCAACCCTGCCGTCAAGGGCTACTGGATCGAGGAAGTCGATGGTGAGTTCATTCCCAAATCCTTCTAACCACTGTGAGTAACGAAACTGACATTTTCCCTAAACANNGATCCGACTTTCTTTGCTGGTCACTCGGCTGCCATTTACGTCAAGATTGGCGAAAAGCCGCAAAGAGTTGGTACTTTCGGTGTCATGCACCCGACAGTGCTCAAGAACTTCGAGCTGCCCTTCCCCGTCTCGGCAATGGAGATTGAGCTCGAGTGGTTCCTGTAGATCAAAATGTGTTTGTACCCTTTTCGGTTAGAGGAAGACAAAAAAGATATCCACGGTGTGCAAAAAGTAAAGATGGGCGGGTGTAGAAATGGAAAAAAAGTTTCTTTGCCAAACTGATGAGAATCTCTGGGCTTTTCTTGTACTCGTTTCGGGCCCAAAAAAAAGCGTGCCCAAAAGAATTGACTTGATTTCTTCAAAAGACGTAGTAGTACCTAGTGTTTCCATGCTATGCTATGCTATGCTATGCTTTTTTCCCCTTTTTGTTTTACTCCAGTTTGAATGATTCCTTTCGTTTCCTTTTCACGGGTGGGGGTATACTTGCTTTACTGTCCCGCTTTTGTGTCCCCAATCAAACGCCAAAAACTCCCATGCCTTGTCAGAGAAAAGAACAGAATGATTAGATGGAGGCGGCAATGGCATCAACCATGTCAACCTCCTTGTCTTCTTCATCGGCTTGGGTTTCTTCTCCTACACCCATACCTTGATCAACCTTCTCCCCGGCTGCACCCATGCCTTCATCAATCTTTTCCTCATCTGCTGCCATACCCTCATCAATCTTCTCTTCCTTCATCTCCACATCGTCAGAGTGTTGACCATGGCGTTCCTCAACCACAGGACCAACACCCAACTCCCTATCCTCTTTATTTTCCTTGGGTGCACTCAACCCATGAAACTCGACCGTGCCACCCACGCCACCAGCCTTGATCTCTCTAGCTCTAAGGCGAGCACGTTCAATGATTTCCTCTTCTTCCTTTTCCAGACTGTAGATGACGGTGCTGTTTTGCTTGGTCTCGAAGCCAAAGTCTTCAATGTGCAGTTTGGCCCATTCGTAGTGTCTGTTGCACTTCTTCTTCATGCAGGTGGAGCGCTCGGGGTCGTTGGTGTTGCTCATGCCTACATCGCCATCCAGATCTTCGGCCGAGGGTAGAGGTAGACTTCCTATTTGCAGTGCCTCCTGGCCGGCGGCTGAAGCGCGCCACTCGTCGAATTCTTCTTCGCTCCAAGCGAGACGCGAGTCGTAGCCGCAAAGATCCTTGGGCTTTACGTTTCTGTGGTCGGCGAGGCGGGAGGCGACGGTCTTGAGCATGGCGACGAATCTGGAGCGGTCGCGGAGGAGGGAGTGGCGGGCGTGTGCGGTGGCTTTGAGGTGTGTGATTTGCTCGATGCGTTCGCGTTCAATGTCGTTGAGAGCGGATTCGTGGGATAGCAGGGTGTCGTCTTCGGCGCCTTCGTCCTTGATGGCGTTGGGAGAGGAGCCGGGCATGGGAGAGACGGGGCCGTCGTTGAGGGTGTGCAATGCTTCGAGGGTGGGGCGCGCGTTGGCGATGGACTTGAGCTCGTTGATGCTGATGAGGCCGCCTCTGGCTCCTAGGTCATCGGTGGTTGCTTGCTGACCTCTTCTCGATCTGCTGGTTGTGTCGACCACTGGCTGACGAGTCTGTTCGGTGACCAGCGCGCGGAAAAACAGTAGACCGCATCTGTCTGAGCAGAATTTCGAGTGCTTGCTGCTCAGGGCAGGCATGCCGCAACCAGTTCTACGACACATTCTCTTCCAAGTCGTTTCGCCGAGGCCCTTTTCCGTGCAGAAGGGGCAGATGTATTTGTCGATCAGGGATTTCCACTTTTCGGAAATGTTGACGCACTTTCCGTGGAACCAGTCATCACAGCCGCCGTCACATCCTATCATGAAAGTTCCGGTGTCTGGTCTACGGCAAAGGCAGTACAGGTCCGTGTCAGAAATGACACCGCCATCCTCTTCCTCTCCTTCGTCTCCAGAAAAGTGTTGGTCGCCGTTGCCGTCGACATCGGGTGACGATCTTACAGGCGAGGATGCGGTGCGCACGGAATGAGGGGCTGGCGAGGACTGTGCTGGTGTCGCCGTCGACGAGGCCACGACCTTCTTCTTATGACTGCGCTTCGCAGGAGCAGCGGCACCACGCTTAGTCACAGCAGCAGCAGCCACGCCCTTCTTCTTATGACTCCTCTTGGGAGGTGCGGGAGGTGCGATGGCAGCAGTCATCTCGGTCGATGGTACAGGCACTGACGATTCGCGCAGCGGCGATTGCGTCCGTGAACTGTGCTCGTGTTTGAGGGATGTGATGGTCGAGTTCTCGGGTTGGCGGATCTGTGTTGTAGTCGGTTCCTGCCTGGTGTAGGAAGGCTCTCGATTGTCCGAGATCTGCTGGACTGCGGCGGCCGGATCCAAAGAAGAAGCCTCCGGTTCTTGCAACAAGTGAGAACTGTCGTGGCCGACTGTGTCGTCTTGCGTCGAGACTTTTACTTGGTTCGAGGGCGACGGAGTTGGTTGCGTGTCATGGTTGCTTGTCGCAAGGTCCGGACTCTTGATCGCATCGGCATCCTGGACCACTGCCATATGCGTCTCTGACTCGGTATCTAGTGTTCCTCCAGCCGACGACATGGTGGATGAATATCACATTTCTTGTGTCAGAGACAAGGTCCTTAGAATCGAAGCCTCGCATGTGAAATCGAGAGCCTTCGAGCTTGTCATTTCCGACGTTTCGGGCATAGCCTGGTCTGGGATTGCATAGATATGCATATGTGCATATTTCTGTCATAACTCGTGAATCGATAGGAGCGAATTAGCTAAGGTATGCTCCTGTCCATCTGATCGGCCAGCTCTCAATCCGAGTCGCTGCTGCCACCACTGCTATCGTCTTCGTCTTGTGCCTCGGTTCTGCGGCGTCTTCCCTTCTTTTGCGACTGAGCCACCTGTTCCTCTCTTCTCTTTGGTACTTCGTTGGCACCAAGACTGCGTTCTAACGCTCTTGCAAGCTCGGCTGGGTCTTCCACATCACCATAGACCTGCTTCACCATTCCTCTGACTCCGCTGTCACCGATTTCTGTTCTTCCACGGGGTCCAACCATCCATTCGACCATCTCCTCTCCGGTCGAATTGTCGCGGACCTTGATGACATAGCCGTCTTTCTCCATGCGTTTGAGCAGCTTTTCTGTCTTGTCTCCTCCGCTGACCATGATGTTGACACTGTTTTGCGCCGCTGCCTCCTCCACGTTCACTCTCTTGAGGTAGCGTTCCAGCTTGCCATCTGGTAGCGCGCCGCCGGCCAAGTAGATGAGCGACACGATGAACGTGTATAGTCCTGTGTACTGAGACTCGAGTTCACACGTCGGTGCTCGTGGCGGAGGTAGAATTTCTGGCTGGCGGAACCTTTCAGGCAATACCGATGTCAAGACCCAAGAGCCAACAGTCTTCGATGTACTCTGCGACTTTTGCGCCGCTCTGCGTTGTGCCAATGTGACTTTGTCCTTCTGCGGCAGCTCGGTCATTTCCATGCCAAAGGTTCCTCGAAGTTGGGTCTGAGCTTCTGCAAAGACTGCTTTGAGTTGTTTAGTGTTCGTTGCGAGAACTTTGGCGATGATGTCGCCGCGTCTGATGGGCGTCCTGGAGTATTCGCATGCGAGAGCTAGGCGGATCAAGTTCTTCACCATGGCGTCAAAGTTGCCATCGCCTTGAGCAGTACTGGCTTCGCCGGCATAGTCCTCCTCTGCATCGGGATCGGACACTCTACGTCGTTGTGGTGGTCTAACGTCTGCGTCGGAATCGTCTGGGTCCTCGTTTGCTGGCTGTGATGAGAATGTCAGTCTAGACACCAAGTTGACATGAAATCAGCGACTTACTGCGCGACGCTTCCGAGCAGGAGGCATTGTTTTACTCGACAGAGGTGTAGTGGATGGTTCGACTCGAAAATGTGAACTGGTAAAGCTCGCGCGTGGGTCGCGACTTCTCCAGTCAGAGGTGACGCGAAGTGAAATTGATTGCGACGCGGAAATGGCGGAGATAAGGCAGGAGCGTCGAATCTTGGCAAGGTCATTGCAAGGAAGGAACAACTCTTGCTGCCAAAGTTACTGGACATTCACACACAACTACACAAGATGGCAGACAAGCTCCGTACCACACAGCAACTTGAGGCGCTCCAGAACAAATACGTCGGAACTGGACACGCCGACACGACCAGATTCGAGTGGACCTCCAACATTCAGCGCGACAGTTTGGCCTCGTATGTCGGTCACCCGCCTCTTCTCTCATACATGACATTGGCTATGGGCGAGGGTACTCGCGAGGAGATGCGTGTCAAGCTCATCGAGAAGATGGTCAGACCTGTTGGCCCGCCCCCAGAGGTGCGTTTCTGAAATGCCGCTCTGTATCNNTTGCACCAACTGACTTCGATACAGACGAGAGACCAGGAGTGAACTGCGACCGACCCCTAAAACGAGCGCCTTCATCCCCACCATACCGCACCGCCGGCTGTCTTCTAGCAGCCCAGCGCCGCTTTCAAAGCATCATCACGACTGCCACGATCCAAATTGATCATGTACTCGAATCTACCGAGGCGCACACACGGCAAGCGTCTCCAGCCATTACCATTTGAGGAAAACGCAATCGCGGCAGAAATATCTGAATGGCATGAAGCCGTAAACTTGTCCTTCTATAGGCTTCTCTTATGCACAGATCAAATGAAGAAGATCAACCTCCCAAAACGCCTGGCCATGCTCGTGATTTACCCGTCCTGATGCTCCTGTGCTCCAGTGCTATGATGTTGATAGTAGGAGAAGGTATGCGCTTAATCGCTGTCGCTAGCACTACCAGCATCGACATCGTCATCGTCTTCTTGTACGACGTCGTCACCAGCCAGCATGGTGAACTCGGCCTTCTGCAAAAGACTCCTGAGCTCAGTGTTGCGTGGGTCGGTGAGGTCGACGGGGCGCAGCTTGGCCTTGTTACGTATCCTGAATATACTCGTCAACCTCGCTGTCGGCTGCGATGTCACCTGTACCACATACCTGGGATCGCAACCAGCGTCGATCAGGATGTCGACGATAGCCTGGCCCTCTTCCCACTCATCCTTGGACAAGCTGTTGACATATCTCACGGCCTTGTGCAAGCATGTGTCTCCCTCCCTCTTCTCTACACCGTCAATCTCTACACCTTCCTGATCCAGCAGCATATCCAGGACCTCATAGGCACCATACTGTGCGCCAATATGCAAAGCACCGCAACCCAAGGCATCAGTGGCAGTGTTGAGGAAGCTGGCAAGTTCGTCGGCTGATTTGAAGTCTGACAAGACTGTGGAAAGGAGATCGGTGTTGTTGCGACGACATGCTTCGAGCAAAAGTTCGCGGGATGAGGCACCCTGGGTGAGAGACATATTAGCAGTTGCTTGGGGCTGACTTTCTGGTGTTTGATTACTTCGTCTGCCATGGTGTCAAAAGTGTGCGGATTATGCGGAACTGGTGATCGCAAGAAGTAGGGAGGTTACTAGCAGAATCCAGAGGTCAAGTGAGCATCCGATGAGATAGTCAAGTTGTCAGAGTAAAAGTGGAGGCTGCTCCTGGACCGTCTGGTTGCGTTCGGGGGTGCTGCACGGGCCTTTTGGTCTCCGAGCCTCCGGCTCTGACATCAAACGTCGATTGCAACGACAACCGCCGGCCAGTTGGCCGGTCCTCGTCTTCTTCAGATGCAACCTCCTTGTATGCCAAACACAGCCACAGTGTCAAGATGCATGAATGACATCTTTCCCAGTATGACATTTTACCAAGTGACAAAACTATGCAAGTGCACAACTGCTTTCTTCAGACCAGCAGCATATACACGCCCGAAGGTTGTATCAACTTCAACATTTGGAGCAAGCGCCTCCGCTCAGTCAACTGAACGTATGAACCTCATGCGATCCAAGCAGTGACTTTCGACGTGTTGTGTATACTCTCCACTTCATCCTCTCACTATACGGTATACAAGTTTTTGCAAGAGGTTCTATGCTGTGCGTACGTCTGATCGCAACAAGACCATGGGTAGCTCCTGGTTTTTTCAAGGTGAATGTTCAAGGCGAGTCTATGCGCAGTAAGTGACCGCTCTTTCATCAAGTTGGGCATCTATACATTGCTTTCTCAAGTTTTGGACCATCAGTGCAGCCTTCCAAGTCTCAGCTGCATGTCTCGACACCTGGCCAACCGCGGAGGACTGTGCGACTGCCGTGTCTCAGGAATCCTGGTAGCAATATGAACAAAGGAAACAGAGAGCTTCCATGTTTTGAGGAATATTCTGGAGGGCCATATATGATGTTGTATCTTATATACCCTACCATTAGTTCTTCCATCCATGCGACATCACCAAAGCATGTCTACACCGATGGACGACTCCTTCTATTCCAACGACATGGACAATTACTCACTCCAACAGTACACCGACTTCTCTGACAAACTGCCCTATGGCGGCGTCGACCCCCGTCTGCTCAGCTCGCCCCAGAACACTCCCCTGCTCAGCAACGAACAACCACTCTCATCTTTCGACTACACTGTCTTCAGCCCTCGTCCACCCAATCCCACCTTCTTCGAGCCGGATCTGTCCCTTCACTCTTACGAACCCATGCGTCATCAAATGCTCGGTCATCGCCGCAGTGTCTCCGTTCCTCCTGAAGATATGATGCCCGAGACCGTACAGCCACCTCCCGCTCTGGTGTTTCACCGCGGCGGTACACCACTAGGTGACTCCATGGGCACCGACAAGGGCAATAACACCACGAACAAAAAGTGGTTGAAGAAAGCCGCCGCAGCCCAAAAGAGACAGATACAAAGACACTCGCCCTACCCAACCGGAGGAGGAAGAATGCAAGTCCAGAGAAGCCACACTCAACCCGCGTTTTCCCAACAACAGCACACTCCCCATCTCGGACCTACCAGTGCACCTCAGCAGATGATTCTGACAAGCGAAGATCAAGTCTCCCAAGCCGTGAAGCACAATTTCGACATCGGTCCTCTGTCTTCGCCACAGTTTGCTGACTTCAATGCCATCGATGCTGGAGGACGAAACGTGCATCTGCCTACCGAGCTGACTGACATCGATGCTTTCTCGTTCGAAACAAGAAACGATGTCAACACTGCTGTTCTTGGCATGTTTGGTTTTGCGGAAAGACTTTCCAAGGATTGTGAAGCTATGCGTGGGTTCTTGACAAGAGGTTTCGGAAGCGGCGAGGAAGATGAATTTGAACGGTACGTCTTGTTGCAGCTTTCTCGAGGATGCTTTGGGACATTGGCTAAGGTTGCTGTGCTGTGTAGCGTTCGTCAAGAAAAGCGTGTTGTCAACCACAAAGCATCCACTCTCGAAGATGGCCTCGAGATGCTGCCATTGCCAGAGGGAAAGGCTGAGGAAGAGGTAACTGTGCCTGTCACGGGCCAAGACATCAGAGATCTTGATGGTACGTTTGTTGCTGCTTTTGCCACCTCAATACGATACTGACAGATGTGATTACAGNATGAGAAGACGATTACCTTGCTGGACCTGTACAGCATCCCGTTTGTTACAGACATGTTCCTTCATGAAAAGAAGCTGGCATATCTGCGTTTCGTTGGCGCCAGTCGTGCTCTTATGCATCTTGTGTTGGACTGAATTGGACTGAAGTGCTGTCTATTGATTAAGCATAGTCCTTGTTTGGATGGTTGATGTTGGGGTGCGGATATCTGTAGTGAGGTTTGAGAATGGGCTTGGGAGGAACGTGGATAATGCGGACGTGCAAAGCCGAATATATACGTTGGCAATCATGCACGTGGACGAATGTGAGAACACTCATTCCGCTTTGAGTCACTCAAGTCAATCACATCGACGCTTACCACCCACCTTCTCACGTACTTGATCGCATCCTCGTCGTCCACATCTCCCAAGAAATTATCCTAAATATCACCACACTCATATCGCAAGCTAGTCGCCAGATCAACCAAAATGCCTGTCTCCTGGGAACCAGACGACGGTGAATTCATGCTAGTCGTCAACGGCTGTCCCCGTATCGTCGAGCAAGGCTCATAGTGCTACAAACTTCCTGGCTGGTCAGATAGAAACCCGGCTTCACAAAGACTACAGTTGATGCACTGAGATAAGAAGATCAAAACCGACACTCATGCAAGACTCTCCGAAGTTGGCCAGATGATCATGGACCGTTATGAAGAAGGTGTTACTTACACCTACGAACATGGATTATTGAGGGAGGGCGATGATACCGAGAAATTCATGATCGCAAGGGTTTGGAAGAAAAGACCAGAGGAGGAAGAAGAAGAGGAGGAGGAGGAGAAAGATGAAGAAGAAAAAGACATGGGAAAGAATGTTGCCACCGGTGAACTCGAGCCATGGGAAAGGGTCGAATCTCGCGACGACCTGCTGAGCTGTATCAAAGCTCTGACGGATGATGATGTCGCCAGAACGGTCGCTAGACTGGAGGCGCTATTTCGCAGACTCCCCTTCGCCCATCGCCAGATTCCAAGAGGGAGTGAGACTTGTTGGTCGCAGCAAACCAAGCCAACAAGGAACCACTGGCGCCGCATATACAAGTCAGCAGACAACCGGACTTGCGCTTCGCCCAATGGACTTGAACAAGCAACTCAAGGAAGAGGCTGAACCCTTGGGGCAAGATTCTCAGCCGCAGCGAAAGAGATTTCTGTCGCCCAACAAAGATTTGCCCAAGAAAGCATCTATACCATCAAAGTCTATGGGTTGATCTCAGACCAGACGCCTAAGAAGGACATTCGACCGATCGGATGAGCTCTCTGCGGGACACATCTTGATCTGAACAACATCGTGCATTTCGATAGCTGTGTATGTAAATTAAGAGCAGCGTGCGGAGAGGAGGGAAGGGACAAAGGGAGCGTATAAGGGGTGTGCTATCACTTCCGCGAATCGCAGCGAGTCACTAGCAATCTAATCAGCCTTCCTTCGGTTTTGACTATCCTCCTTGATCAACGTATCCTGCGAACTACTCAGCGAAGCATCTTGCGTACTAACAACATGGAACGAGAAATCAAGCTCGCCAACCAACTCCTTGATATCAGCCAACAACGCCTTGATGTCATCACCGATACACTTTGTTGAGATCTGCATGACTGCAAAGGCTGCAAATCCAGGCTCGGCCATATGTCGTACAGACAGAATGTTGGAATCCAGACTCTCTAACTTAGCACTCAGACGATAAGGTTCGGGGTGCTGAAGGTATGGCGGTAGAGGCTGTCCACTAGCCACCGAAGCTGAAAGAAGCGAGAGCAGGGTTGTAGACTCCTTGCTGGTAATGTCTGCTTCTTTGATGAGACGACGGAAGTCATTCAGCCATTGTGATTCCGAGCCATCTTTGCCTGGATTACGCATCTCGGAAAAGGTCTGAGATGCATAGCTGAGTAATGACGCGAAGTTGAGAATATCTTGAATGCGAGCGATGATTCTATCGTAGTTTTGGCGCGGGAAGCGGCCACCGATGGGCACATCATACTTGATGAAACCAGAATGTGTACGTAGGCCTTGTAGCACAAGCACGGATTTCGAAAACACTGTCTGTCGAATCTTCTCGAGCTTCTTGGCTGGATTTTGTCCGTCGTTGAAAGAATCCAAGTCATGGAACTCGCCTCTGACACGGAACTTGACTGTCTCCACTACGACTGAGTAGTAGTTCGCAAGCAAGTACAAAGACGAACCGAGGTTTCGGCGAAGCTCCGAGTGTTCCGAGATGGGATAGGGAAATACAGTCCAGATCCATGCCACAAAGATACCTGCAGCGACAGTGGCGAGACGGTACGGAGCCAGCTCGTAGATGGGGTAGTATGCCTGCCCGTTCGTTTCAGAAGCCTGCACGCCGATTTTTCTGACTTGCAGCTCATATCCGATGATCAGTGTATTTGTCACCGAGTAGATCATACCGACAGGGACGAAACGTGGGAATTTCAAGACGATGAAGAAGCCCCAAGCAACGAAAAACCAGAAGAAGACAAGTACTCCGGCAGTGTGCCCGTCGACAATGTACCAGATGATGAAACTCGTCACCATGGCAGAGAAAGTGCCGACAAGACGAAGCACGAAACTGAACAGACTCTGACCAGCCGACGGAGACATACTCAAGCCCACCATAATCTGAGCCCAGAACAATCGCTGCCGTACGTAGAAGGTCTGAGTGTCGTGTAGATAAGCGACGATGGCAAGACACATGGTTGCACAGGCTGCTCGAAATCCGAATGATGATGCTGGTGAGCGAAGGAAATGAGCAATGCCGCGGACTCGATCTCCAAACTTTTCCCAAGCGTTGCTAGGAGGCAAGTGCTCGGGATCCTTGCGCTTGTTGTAGGCGTCGCCAAGGTATACATTGGAGGCTCGGTTACCATCCTCGTTCATGCCGTGCTGCTCGTCCGTGTATGCGTCTTGCTTTCGACTGTAGGACGACTTGATCCACTTTCTCAAGCGTTTGATGCCAGGTACGATGAGTCTTTTGCGACCCAACTTCCCACTTTCAACCTTTGAATCCGCGAACTTGACGAAATCATGCACGGTCATGGCTATCGAGTCCAGCAGGTAATCCACGTACAGAACAATGAAGAGTCGGGCCCTGTACTTCTGGCGCTCATCGTTGTTCTTAACATTGTGATACCAGTCGGGCGCGGTGAAGTCAGCGTTTTGTGCATTTTCAAAGAAGTCATCCGGCAGCGTGAAGCCCCTGAGCTCACACCAACGTCTCAAGAGGAGACGCTTTTGGCTATGATACTCGTTAACTCGCTTAAAGTGGTAACTCTGGAAGTCCTTCTCTCCAGGATGGGGCCGGTCACCGTCAGATTCAGAGTCCACATCCCTCTTGGGTGGCTTGATCAATTGCAGCGTGATCAACACATGCTCGAAGCCTTCGTCGATATCACCAACGATTCGAGCAAATGGTTCGCGCATCGTCCTGAAGATGGCATGCCAATCGGCAACAGCCTCCATTCTGCTCCTCTCGTTGGGGTCGTCCAGTTCTTCGAGCGGCTTCTCTGGGGCCGGATGATTCCAATTCCTGTCTTCGGCGATTCTCTCAAACACATCGATCACACTGCTAAGGCCTATGATGGGGAGCATCAGTCCTCGTAGTTGTTTGAAGATCTCTTGTAAATCATCTGGGCCAAGTCGTCCGACTGCAATCTCTCTCTTGGCGAATGTCAAATCAATAGAGAGTTTTCCGTGCAAAGCAGCAAGTCCTGCAAGCGTATCCTTAATAGCTTGAGCTTCTGCGGTTCGCTTCGGCTTCTCTGGAATGTTGGTATCGCTTCTCCCAAAGAACATATCTCCCTCCTCCAGGCTTTGAAGATATGTAAGATTGGCCTTGGTCATCTTGCGCAAGAGCATAATGTATCCTGTAAACTCCTTGAAGACGACACCGCGCATAGTTATGGGGAAAATGAACAGAGAAACACCACCTCCAATGGCGAAACCAGTAAAGAATGATTCGAGAAGGCGTTTGACAAAGGAGATTCCTGTCGCCATGGACGCAAACTGTGGAGCGTACACCATGCTTACGTTCGCAAAGATGGTCGCGATGATACCAGGGATCATGAGCTGAGGATTTCTCGCTCGCATAGTGTTGATGATGTATATCTCAAAGAACAGCCAGATGCCACTGACTGCTGCAGCGGATGAGTTGTAAGTGGACGTGGCTGCGCCTGGAGAGGGAGTCCCACTTGTGCCAGGTCCTCCTGTGCGTACAGCTGTCTCGGTATGGAGTCTGGCCTGAACTGCACAGTATATGGCTAGTAATGCGATACAGGAAGCGAAACAGGTAGCCAGCATATTCAATAACCAGGTCTGTAGAAATTTGGCTCTTGGCATGATTGCAAAACTCAATATGGAAACAACACCAACAAGATAACCTAAAGTGGTATATGTTTCGGCGAAGTCTGTAGCCTGGTATGCAGCCAGACTGATGGTTGGCGCAAGAGCACCTNNCTGCAATGCTGTCAGATACATAGCCTCGTCCTGACAGCAGTAGACTCACTTTGCCATGATTTTCATCGTCATTACGTCCAATTGTGTTTTTGACCATAATTTCGCAGCTCTCTCTTTCAGACTAGGTTTCTTTGCCTTCTCGGTTTCATCTTGGTTACCGGCGCCTCCATTATCATGATGTTTTTCTGAGTTGCCATTAGAACTTGGCGCATCTGTCGCCGGCGGGGTCCGAGAAGATTGCGATGTATCGGCCATGGTGGGTAGCTGCACAGCTCAAGCGAATGGCTCTGCTTCGAGGTAGTACTAAATTTGTAGGCGCATGCTCTTGTCGCCTGGATGTAAGCAGGACCAGGAGCGCAAGAGAGTGAGACCAAAATAATAATAGAGATTGCGAAGACGGCCGCCCGCCAATTACGTCGGCGCACGGTCAGAGCGAGCGTGCCGTTGTCTGGGGTTGCATTGTCCGATAAATCCGAGTCCGAGTACCCGGATGGCGGGCTCTGTATTCGGCAGTCGCTACGAGTGTTCTGGGGAGAGCATCCTTCCATTTCACATCAAGTCGATTCACGATAGATTGTGTGGCTCTGCAGAACAAGCCTGACGCCTGCGTTGAAATTGGTATCGTAGTACGAAAATTCGCTACATAACGCTATAACGGCTTGGATATGTTCTCGCATCAGCATGATCGAGAGAGAGGGATGAGGTGATTCAGCCATAGAGACTACGGCGCCATCTTGCTTCAAAGCATCACCCCTCTCGTACGCCTCGCGTTATCTGAAGACTCGAGAGGCTCCCATACTGCCTCGCTCGGCATACAACGCCTGTACAGGCTGCTTTGATTGAATAGAGGGTTCGATGCTTCCAAGGCAGGCCAGAACGTGGGTTCTCCTGCAAGTGCATGTCTTGGACTGAGCCCGAAGGTTGGCTCGAGGATGGTGATTGAGAGAGTCATGCTCTACAGGATCTCATCGTCATCGTCGTTGTTGGCAGCGTTGTTGACAGGGTCGGTGGTGTTCGGTGCTTCCATGTTCTGCTCGACGTCGACATGCTCGTCTTCGTCTTCCCACTCATCACCGGGCATGGCGAATACTGACGGTCTGCCAGGGTTCTCCTCGTCGCTTGAGTTGGCGTCCATGTCGACGGCTTTCGAGCCCTTGGCGGCTTTGGGCTGAACAAAGCGGTTGGTCTTGTCGTTCATGGCCTCCCAGGTCGCCTGTCTGTGGTCAGAAGGTGTCGCTTTGACTCAAGTTTGGTCTTGGGTACACACTCTTCGGTCGTCGATCCGCCTCGCTCTGACAAAGCTCTTGGCCTTCTTGGTGTGCAATACATCCATATTCGCTTCGGCGCGCTCCAAGCCCTTCTCTTTACGCATGCGCTGGGCACGGGTCATGGGCTTCTGCTTCTTCTTTTTNGAAATGCCAGCATCGTGTGCTCCGGAGTAGTAGTCTGCGGACTCTTTTGTGGTCTTTTCTGATGTGATTGACTTGTCGAGGTTGATTCCTGGTGATGCTTCACGGCGCGCGGCGCGAGAGCGAGTAGAAACGGCTAGTTTTTGTTAGCTTTCGATAGGCATAGTCATGGCGAGGCTTACTCACGGNCGAGCTTTTGCTTTGGTTGCTTTGGCCATAGTGGTGTTGTTTGAGTGTGTATTTTTATTTGATGCGACGGGAAATAATCCCAAAAAATGATGCTTCTGCCAGCGTCACCCTGAAGGCGGTGAGTTGTCGCAACCAAGAGGGTGGAGTCTGGACCCTTGAGCTTGTCTTGTCGCATGAGAAGGCCTGTCTTTTGCTGACTTTGGTTGAACCCTGTCTTGTCTCCGTGGTCTATCCTTAAAACAGCAATCCATGCTGAATCAACTTCACCCCTCTCGCTCCCTGCCATCTGCACTGAAACACGACTCGGGCGCATCATGAGCGCCTCATACACATATTCACACGCCTCCTACTCGTATCGCGACGACTCTTCGACCTTGGACCGTCTGCTCGCTTCGACCAAGGGCGCCTGGATTGCTGCTGGAATCGCCATTGTTTACTGTGCCTATACATTCGCCCTCAGGAGCGAAGCAATGAGGAGAATCTTTGGTCTCGGTTCTGGCTCGGTCAACATACTTCCTGGCGCAAACTCATTGAGAAGAGCCAGTTGGCTCGGTGGCCTTGGGTCAAGCTCCGATGCGCCACCGGGTCTTGGGAACAGGAACCAATCATGCTATCAGAACAGTGTTCTGCAAGGAATGTCTGCTCTCCAGTCCCTGACTGCCTACCTGGAACAAGTCGACGCAACCAAGTCGGAGGATACATCAACAACTGTTGGCTCGTTGCGCGACCTCATGGGACAACTGAACGATTCCTCCAACAACGGACGCTGCATCTGGACTCCGGCCAAGCTAAAGTCCATGAGCAGCTGGCAGCAGCAGGATGCACAAGAATACTACTCAAGAATTATGGATGACATGGAAAAAGAGACAAAGACGACTGGGACTGCACCAGGCACAGCAGGACTCAAAGAGGTTGGCTCCTTGGACACTGTCAAGGTATCCGATTCGACCCACCAAGATCTGATCGCACAAAAATCCAACCCTCTTGACGGCTTCCTCGCTCAGCGTGTTGCATGTACCAGCTGTGGCTTCTCCGAAGGTCTTTCCATGATTCCATTCAACTGTCTTACAGTACCGCTCGGCAGAAACTACAGCTACAGAATTGAGGACTGTTTGAACGAATACACAGGTCTGGAAGAGATTACTGGTGTGGAATGTGCAAGATGTACGCTTTTGCGTACCAAGTCCCAGCTTGAACACATGACGATTGAATCCGAGGATTCGACCGATCACTCTGTTCCCTCGTCTGCCTCTCTGCCTCCAGAGCTTCGTGCTATGGTTCTCCAAAGGTTGCAAGCAGTAAAGCAGGCGCTTGCGGACGAAGATGTTTCGGATGACACACTGAACAAGAAATGCCAAATTCCCAAGAAGTCGCGAGTATCCAGTACCAAAACTCGTCAAGCTGTAGTTGCCAGATCGCCGCAGTGCTTGGTGATACACGTAAATCGAAGCGTGTTCGACGAGTACACGGGTGCGCAGAGCAAGAATCTTGCCGAGGTCACATATCCTAAGTTGCTCAATCTGGGTTCTTGGTGTTTGGGCACTACCAAAAACGACGGCGATCAAGAAGAATGGCGCATGAATCCATCAAGGTCAATGATTGGAGCCTCCGGCAACGATTCGAGGACTCAGTATGTTCTCCGAGCTGTTGTCAATCACTATGGTCGTCACGACAATGGTCACTATACTTGCTACCGCGAGCATCCAGAACATGTCCAAGATCCTGACGACAACGTTTCATCGAAGCATACGACTACAAAGTGGTGGCGACTCAGTGATGACGAAGTGTCCGCAGTCAGCGAAGAACATGTCCTCGGACAAGGTGGTGTGTTCATGCTTTTCTACGAACGTCTGGACTTTTCTGCCCCCGAAAATGCACCCCAAGCTGTGAACGAGGCAAATCAAGAGCAGTTCACTGCCGACATAGCGACTAGCATTAAGCTTGAAGAGCAGACACAGCAACCCGAGACGATCGTGGAGGAAAACAGAACTGTTCAGAGCGGGACTGTTTCGCAGCAGTCTATCGAATCATCGCCAGAGGTAGAGGTGGAACAGACACCGCTGCCACTGCCGAACAGGAGGACATCAACGCCTCATAAGATGCGAACGGCTGGTAACAAGGGTCGGCGCAGGTCATCGGGATTTTCCCAGACGCTACAAGCGGTTGCTGCGACCTGAGAGCATCATTCATTGAAAAGAGGCATGTTTATTAGCGAGGCGTTTTGATGCATATTCTGGACTCGACGGGAGCACACGGTCATGGTTGACCAGACCACAGACTGTCGAGGTTATATTCTTTTGGTCTTTACATAGCTTTAATGATGATCACGACGATTAGATGCAACCTGCATCACTATTCTCAAGTCATTGCTTACTGACCCAAGTGACATGCCTGGCAGGAGGCTCAGACTAACACAGCCATGGTCGATAGATGCAGCTGTCAACCTGCAGTAACACATCCAAAAATGTATTTCTCATTTGAAAAGTCGACGACATTGATTTTGAGATGGATTCGATAACACTCAGCCATTGACTTGTACAGTCAACATTATCATTAGAATATTCGTCAGGATAAAATATTTGCATGGTCGAGCATGCAGAGGTGAAGCGAGGAAAGAGCAGAAGAGTTCTTGCCGAAAGAGGGAATAAGTGGGGCGAGCCACAACGCTAAGCGAGGAAAGTGCGATGTGGAAAATTCACACACTCTGAGATTGAACGACGAACTCGACCAGCGACCAACGACAACTCGCCCAATCCGACACAGTACGATATACCTCTCGCTCGCTCCACCGTGAAACCAGCATCACTGACCTCGATTTCTCGTAAAGATGCCCGCCGCAAAGAAGCATGTCCCTATCGTCAAGAAGCGTACGTCCGCCCGTCCAAGGAGCCACCGAGCACACCCATCCTACACACATCCAGAGAGCGCCGCCACGATAGACACGACCGCCGCAGAGGAAGAACAGGGAGCCCGTCGCTGACAGTGATGGATTTGCAGGCNNACTTCGCGCTTCACCCGCCACCAGTCGGACCGCTTCATGCGCGTAGACCCCAGCTGGAGAAAGCCCAAGGGTATCGACAATGCCATGCGCCGTCGCTTCAAGGGCCAGGCCGTCATGCCCAAGATCGGTTACGGTTCTAACAAGAAGACCCGCCACATGATGCCCTCCGGCCACAAGGCTTTCCTCGTCAACAACGTCCGCGAGCTCGACCTTCTCCTCATGCACAACCGCACCTACGCCGCTGAGTACGCCACCCTTTCTCCCATCGAACAACAGAGCCTTCGCTCTCCACAACAAGCAACAACAGTTCTAACATGCACACTTACAGGANTCTCCCACGCCGTCTCCGCCCGCAAGCGCATCGACATTGTCGCCCGCGCCAAGCAGCTCGGTGTCAAGGTCACCAACGCCAAGGCCAAGATCACCACCGAGTCATAAGCGATTTCGTTGTAGTGGTTCATTGGTACTTTTTCTTCGGCGCAGAGAGAGGGGAAACTTTTTAGTAGCACTTGATCATGCTCTCATCACGGAACGGCCTCTCGGAACTGATAAAAAGATCTGGGCTTCTGGGGGTGGTGGTCACATAGGCGAACTTTTCATCACAACAAAAAGAACTTGCAATGGAAAACGTCTTCGAGGCTACGTTGTGTCGCGAACAAAAACAAAAATTGAGGGCAATCAAAAGACATGGCTTTATGATCATACTCTGGTGTTCCTCTTCCGGCTCTTCTATGAACTCGTGTCGTGCCCATCTTTCATGTCCCAACGAGACGAATAGCATGCATTTAGCAGTATCAAGTACTGAACGTCCTCTTGACCTCGTTTTCTCTGGCTCTTAGACAATGTCATGTCCATCAATGTTGCTTTTGATGATCGCATGCAAACAAATGCTTTTGCTTTGGGAGAATGTCATTGAAAATCAATGGCTCATTAATGATGGATTTGAACATTTTCTTTGGTCATTGGATATCAATCTTAACCCACTTTACATGCCAGAACCCTTTTCTGTTTCCGCAATGAATCGAATAAAAAAACCCGGACGACTTTTCTGCTTTTTGGGGAAAAGATGCCAGATACAGAAAACGAAGAAACTAAAATCACCCGCACCATGTATGAACGCCAGAGCGCCTCGCTCATGCAAGCTTGCCAGCCATATAACCCATTGTTCTGCCGGCGTCTTTTTTATGTCTTGCTTCCCTCCTCCCTCCTCCCAAAGAGTCTCTTACTCCTCCATGGAGTTGGAGTCCTGGACGGGAGTCACATCTGCCGAAGCCTGGCTCCAGTAGGCCTTGACCTGGATCCTGAACTCGGCCATGGCGACACCGAAAAGCTTGAGCAGAGCGGTCTGGTGGCTGTTGAGGGTGCGGCCCTCCTTGCAGAGCTCATAGTCGCCGTCGAGGACGACCTTGCCCTTGTCGAGCTTTGTGGGCATGCCCCATTTCCTGATGGTGACTTCCAAGCTGTGNGGGAGGGCGACGTCTTCGTCGGCGGGCAGGTCGCCGCCGCGGCTGTAGACGACGCCGGCGGGGATGGTGAAGTCGCGGGTGGCCTTGACGCCGGCGCGCGCGTAGTCGATCTCGGAGTAGTTTTCAAAGTACTCGAGGACGTCTGCGGGGTCGCGGTTGGAGAGGAGCAGACCAACGCTGCCGTCGATGTAGGGGGTGAGTTTGGAGAGCCCGGGTTGGTATTCCTCGGCGTCGGTCATGCCGAGAGCCTTTGCCATGACTTTGGTCTTGCCAAAGAAGATGCGCGAGTCGGCAAAGTGGGTGCGGACGTCCTTGAGGTAGGTGTTGCGCATGTTCTCGACGCCAAAGACGTAGATGTGGGAAAAGTTGTCGGCGGCATCGCGGACGTTGTCGAAGAGCTTTGTGCGCAGCTCCTTGTCCTTCTTCTGGACTTGGGTCAGGTGGACGACCTTGGATCTCTTTGACTTGGGCATGTTGTGTGGGCTTGGTTGGTTGAAAGTTGATTATATGAGGGTTGGCGATTGCAGCGTAACAAAAAAAATCAGGATGCAGCTGCCATTTTTGCGGGGAAGGATGCGCTCAAAGCCCCGACTGCCGACCCTCGACCTTCACGAACATGATGCAACATGGTTGAAAGACAACTATCTCCTGGTCGTCGCGTAGGTTGGTCATGATACTGCTGATACTGATGAGATGATCGAGTTCATGGACTATGTCCAAAATGCCTTTTACTCGGCGTCGCTGTGGGATCATGACAACTCTTACAGCACCCTGACGGCCACGGCCAATGGTAAACAAATATGGCCCTGTCTACTACTCGTAGTCCTCGTCGGTTGCGCTGACTCTCTACCCAAGNCCCTTCTCGACTTTCAAACCCCTCATGGCCTTCGTCTCCGCATCTCATCACTGTCGGCGCCTGGCTTTGCGACATCGTACACGCTCTCCAACAGAGGCTTCGTCGATGGCTCCATCTCTTTCCTCTACTCTTCCATGCCTATGCGCATACCTTCCCAAAGCAGCATCATAGACCTGCGAAATCTGGTCAGAGGTTACAGACACCTTCCCGAGTTGCGCCGCCCCGACGAGACGTACCTGTGGGAGATCTGGCAGGCTGGAAGGAGGGTCGACAAGAAGGACACTCTGCTGTACGGTCGGCTGTACCTGCCCACGTCGACCCTCGAGGCCTTGTATCTGCGTCGCATCTCGCCTTCGCGCCTTCTCCGCCTGTCTTGTGTCTCCGACTCTGCTCTTCCCAACGGTGGCTCCGTCCTAGCACAATTGCAGAATGATCATGCCAAATACTCGACCGAATACCTCTTCTCGACCGACAGCTGCTTGATGGGCATCCGCGGTCTGTACAACTTTGGTCTCGACCCCCGAACCATCCCTCGGACAACCACTCCCAGGGGCAATGTCGTACCCATCGACCCTCAGATCGGCCGTCTAAGCGCTGGTGCCGAGTTGTACTTTTCTCCACTTAACAAGTCTGGCGGTGTATCGACTGCCATCCGCTTCACCACTCTGCCCTCACATACGGGTTTTCCTTATACCATGGCCTTGACCATGAATCCCCTCATGGGCAACATCTCTTCCAGCTACGCCGTCAAAGCCGGCTCAGACGTAGCTTTAAGCTCCCGCTTCGACTTCAACATCTACAGCTACGAGTCCGACGTGCAACTCGGCCTCGAACTCTGGCGACGGAAGCCTGAAACCCTAGCTGTAGAACACAAAGCGCTACCACCAGTTCAAGAATCACTTATGGAAACCAAGATTACCAAAGACTTGCTGCAGCAAAACAACACACAGGAGGTTGATAGTGTGTTCAAGGCGAGGGTCAACCAACATGGCAAGATTGGCGTGCTCTGGGAAGGCCGCATCAAAGATCTGCTGGTCAGTATAGGTGCCGATCTCAACTTGAAGAGGAGAGACAATATCATCGGGTCAGTTGGTTTGGAGGTCTCGTATTCTTCTTGAGCAACGAATAATACCCTCGGTTGTTGCCATTCAATGAACCAAAATTTCAAACTTCGCAACCCTTGATCAATTGCTCTAAGGGAAAAACTTCTCAAACTGCTCACTCCCCTGCACGCCCTCCAACCACTTAGCTCTCTCACAGGTATACACCTCCGCCTTTGGCTCTGCCTCGTTCAACACACCCTCCCCATCTAGCACACCCACTCTTACCACCAGAATGCCCTCTGCGGTACTCATATCACCCTCTCTCCACAAACTACTACCACGGTCACCGCAAAACACTGTAGTCACCTTGCGTCCCGAATCTGCTTTTGCAGAGTACTTTTTNGGTGTGCCGGAGTCGAGGGTGAAGGAGGAGGTGGGGATGATGATGTTTGTGCTGAAGCTCGAGCCGGAGATTTTGCGGCAGTCGGTGCAGTGGCATACTGCNCTGCGTTGAGTCAGTCTTGTGGTCCATGGTAGGGGAAAGAGGGAGGGAGGGAGGGAGACGAGGGTGCTTACCTTGTTTAGCGGTTCTCCTGTGTAGGAAAAGGAGATGGCGCCGCAGTAGCACGATCCTTTGCCCATTTTATGTGTCTCTCTCTCTTGTTGATTGGTCCGAAGAAAATGTCTTGTGTATCCTGAGATGTCCAATTGGTAGTCAGGGGCTGGATGGCTCTGTCTTTCAATTTTTGTGCGTTGCGTCGTGAGAAAGAACTGGTGTTTCCAGGTGACGACAACGTAGCTTTATCATCGCTTCTTCGGCACATGAACATCACCTCTTTCTTCCCTGCAGGCGAATTACAAATCCCATACAACGGACGTTTGGATGAGAGGTTGTATGGAGCGGTCTAGATTTCGCAATGACGGATTGCAAGCTTTTGGAGAAAGCATTGCACGTGATTTGGGACATCGATACCTCTGTATTGCATGGTCATCGAGTATTTCGTGACTGTTATTGTTGGTTAAGTAGATGTTTCGAATGTATTGTGGTCTCTTGCCTGCTGTTTGCAATGGGATATTCTACAATGTTGCAGGTTTTTGCGATGTTTTGACTACATGATAGTGCAGAATTGCTGGTGCGAGGCAGAGAGATGTTGTCTTGAGATGAGTTTCCACATGCTTCGCCAACGACCTGACATGTACAGCTCATTTGTACAGATTCTATCAGATAGAGACTAGAGACTGATTATAGCTATAAAATATCTGGCCCGAGTCATATACGGGGTCTATATTTTGCTGACAGAGGGTGAGACCAGGGTGTCAGGCTCAGCAAGCAAGACTTGAGTCGTTGCTGCAAGCATCCTCACAGTTGCTCTTCCACGATGGCAAGAAGTAAATTGAATTGCTGATTTTGGTACATTGATATATTGGTTCGTAGATCCGACTGTCGTTTGGTGTCGTCACTATTTTCTTATATCACACAATAGAGTTTTCTTCCCTCTGTATTGCCTGTGCTTGGTTTACCTTTTGAATCCCGTTCTCGATGACTCTTTTTATCAGACTATTTTATGTGTCATCAGCTCTTTGACTCAGCGGAGGGTCACTCAGCTTCTTGTACCATATATCTTGTGGTCCATCTTCATCAGTCTGCCTTGAAGATGGTATAATAGCCTATCTGCCTGTAACACTAGCGGTCAAGTCTCTGCTACGCCAGCCCGCTGTTTTCGACTCGAGGTTCCAGCTACATCTTGCTTGATGCAATTGCAAACACGTCGTTCTGATACAACTATTGGTAGGCAGTGTAAGTTGGTGTCGGTGCTAATAAACATCACTCTTCCATTGTTGTATTAGATGCAAGCAAGAGAGAAGACCGTAAGACAGTGAATATAGTGCTTGTGCTTTCATCAAAATCTCCAAGTACAAGTCAAGGTACCCCATTGATACTGTTTTACCGCATCTGTCTTCGAAATCATAGGCCTCTTTCTCACTCGACAGGCAACACGACCTACTAACATCCTACGGATCCATTCGAACTTGAGTCGACCAGGCTCGAGAGAATCTCTGTTACTGGTACGTCTTGATCTCTGTCCTGAACCTTCACTACAACTCTTTTGTCAGAACCAGCAAAAGCAATCATGGCAAACTTACCATGCACAGTCATACCACCAACACCTGGGCTCCCTTACCACCTGCCTGACGAGATACTCATATGTATTGCCCAACTCACCGACAATGAGGATCTCTCAAACATACGTGCCGTCTCCAAACTCTTCCACGACGAGACGCAGGACCGATTCGCTGACCCCTACTTTACCAATGCCTACTGTCCAGCAACACCCACAGGTCTTGCCCACCTCATCAAAATCTCTCAGCTTCCCTTGCTCTCGCAAAAAGTTCGTAGTGTCCTTGGTCTCAGCCAAGCACTACCTGGACAAAAAGGACGGTCGTCGATTGTCAGCGGTAGCCGTGCACTCTGGAAAGCATACGATGACATTACCATCCCCATGCAAGCTCGCAACTTTGCCATCGTATTGATCGATGACTTGTCACTGCGAGGCCAAAACGAAGCGACCATGGATTACGCTTCCCACTTGACCTCCTACTGCGATCCTCAACAATTCACAGTCGACGTCCAAGACTCTGCCACTCCAACGTGAAAAGGGTTTATCAACCAATGTCTGAGCGTCTTGAAGTCCAGATGCGACAGAAACTGTACCTTTATCATCCGCTTCGTATCCAAGAATGCCGGAAACACCCCTTCAGCGTCAGTCACATTGAGACACACCAATCCCGGTCGCAAAATCACCTGCATCGGCTCGCACAAATACAAATCCTTCAAACAAGACCTCGCCTCCATAGACCGATTATCCGAGATTGAGCTCATCGACTGCGGATTCACCAGGCCATACGGCCATTTGGGCTTGCAAGATGTTGTGGAAACCCAAAAATCANCTCTGCGTCGCATCACCGTCAAAGACGCTCACGCCGCCAGAATTTCGTCGTATGAAGCTCTGATCACTTCCATCGTAGCATGCGACAGTCTTGAGTTTTGCTACATCAGTAATCTGAGAACTTCGGGTGGCGGTTTGGGGTTCAGAGNNGGTGTTTTTGAAGCTAGTGGGATTGATGAGATTAGACGAGGTTTGTCGGCTCTGAAGTGGGGATGAGCGAAAGAGGAAGGAGCTGTCGTCTCTATGTGTTGATGAGGAATGACGACTAACACGAGAAGGCGCAAAGCGAGGTAGCGCCCACCATCGTTTTCGGAAAGTGTCTCAGAAGAGGGAAGTCGCACCTCAGGCTATTCCAGCTTTGGTCGGGATACTCATGCGCATCGTGCCATGGCCAAAGAACCATGCACTCATGTAGATCGTACGTTTGTTGAGAGGATCCAACATCTCAATTCTGATCGGAGCAAGCGAGGTCTCTTTTGGAACTTCGAACTGCTTGAGGAGGCAGTAGAAGTCGCGTTCTCCTTCTTCTGCTTTGAAGCGCAGCTCTCCGCAATAATGAGTTTGATTGGGGCTGGGCTTGCAGTGACCAGGAGCACACATTCGCTCCCCGTCGCTATGCTCCCGTCGGGTATAGAACGAGATGAAGATGTCTTTACCGCTATCCTGCTTGTAGTCTGCGGAGTGGAAGTACCATTTCCCAGAAAGCTCGTGAAGAGGTATGACGGTGCCTCCACGGATGACATCTCTCTGTTTCTGCACTGTGTCGATAGTCGTCGCGACGTCGTCAGTCCACTCGTCGTCCGAGTCACTAGAATTAGACTCTTCAGTTTTGACGACCACAGCCGTGGGAGCTCGAGGGTCATCCGAGAGCATGTCTGTATCCATGTCCTCCTCTTCCTTGATAGCCACATTGGTAATTTTGTCGGTTTTGATGATTCGATCATAAGGCTCGACCGTGTTCTGAGCTCCAACATACTCGTTGCGTGGATGGGACTTCTTTAGTGTTGCTGCGAAGGGAGCCATATCCAAGCCACTTACAGATCCATCTGCCGAAGGCACAGGGGCGGTGATAAACATTGTCCCACTGCCCCAAAAAGCCATGCTTCCCACATGGAACCTGCGATTGGCATCTCTGAACCTTATCTTCACAGTTTTACCTACCATTGCGGGTGGTGAGAATCCCCAGATCGTGAAAGTTGACGCTCTCTCATGCGACCCAATAGTCAGTATACCTCGGTAGTGTTGCACCCCAGAGCCGCTGATTCGTTCCTGCTCCTTGGTGGTTGTCTCCCATAGTTCTATCTGATGGTAGCCATCGCAGCCAGGGTTGAACTCTTCACTGTAGAGTAGCCACTGTCCAGAAAGAGACCCTCGAATTGGAAATGGCTTCTTGGCTTTTGGGTTGACGCGATTTTCTGCCAAGATGCGATCGAACTCCTCAACCTGAGCTTGTACACGTGCTTGATGACTCTCTACCACTTGTTGCCAACTGGAATCGCTTGTGCCTTCAGACTGCTCATCGTCCTCATCCTCGCTATCCGATTTGTCGTCCTGATCGCCGGTTGACGTTGATTGTTCACGGTCATCTTCGCCCTCAGAACTATCCCCCGATTCACTGTCGATTCCATCTCTGACAGGCGGTCTTCGATCTGGGGATGTTCATCAAGATATCTCTTGTCCTTTGAGCTAGGTTTCCAGTTCTCCGGACGTAGACGAGGATTCTGCACGAGACACTCTTGGTTTGTATGGATACGTTTGTGCATGGAGTGGTGAGGTACACTGCAGATAGGTGGAGGTGGTTGTGAGTCTTCCTCAACTTCGGAGATTTTGCGCTTCGCCGGCTGCTGTGACAGAGTTGCGCGCGCAGAGGTGTGATTGTTAGTCTGCTCTTGCAGTGACCGACTGCGTTCGACGATGACCAGATCTGAAGTCGATACCCGAGCCTGAGGCATTGCGCATAGCCTTCAGTAGGCTTTCGTTGCGGCATCGCCAGACCGCAGTACGTTCGATGTTCTCATTCCACTCTGAAAGAGTGCATTGTTTTCCTTCCAGTGAGATCGGATGTCGTGACTCGCCGTTAAGGAGAGCATCAGTGCCTGCCATTAGTGCAGCATGCTGTAGAGCATCACTCCACTCAGGCCAGTTGTCGCTGCCTTGTAGCTTTGGTAGAGCATCATACCTGTCGTGTGCGCAGCTAGCTTGTGCAAGCTCTTTGACCGAAGGATCAGAGAGCGTAAGACGGCCACTCACTGCGGTGGCTGCCATGGCTCGCGTTTTTTGGATCAAAAAGACGTTGTCGGATGTTGATGTCCCGAAAGCGCGACAGGAATTTTTGGGGACGAGTTGCCAAGCAATGCTGTTTGCTCTTCGCTTTCACGACTCTCTGACAAGACAGTTGCTAGTTCTCAGCTGTAGAAATACAAAGAGTTGTTTCGAATCAAAGAATAGTCATTGAGAACTGATTGATAGCATCGCTCTCAGTGGAAACCTTTGAAGTACAGCAAAGTTTGTGCATCTTGATAGGCACCTTGTGGAGGACCATTTAAGCTGGAGAAACACGCTTTGATCCTTCTGCAGCACATTTCGAGTATTAAATCTATGCACAAGTCGTGCGGGGCGCCTAACTCAACTCTACTGCAACTTCAGTTCGTCTTATTTTCCTCTCTCTAGACATCGGGAGTCTGACCGTTTGCTGATGACAACTGGCGTGCATCCATTTGATGAAAGATTGAGGGTACATAGCTTACTGATGTACACCAGGATTGCGTTTCTTACCCGACAGAGAGGCTGTCTTGGATTCGTGTTTTGATGAGTGGGGATCGTGGCTGTCAAGGGTCGTCAAGGGCTGAGGATGATACCAAGTGTTTACGCTTGTACAATTTGTTTACGAAATCTGTTCACTAAGGCTGCGGGTGTAGAAAACCAATGTTGGTCAAACAAGCGATTGAATTATCTTTCGAATAGACACCTACCTACCGGTCGATTGGTTTCCTCCAGCCATATCGTTAATGCAACCAATACAGCCGACTAAGACACCTCGGGGCGCTATAACCAAGCACCCGGCAGTAAAACACCCAATTGTAACCATTTAACAAAGAATGCAGTCATATGGACCGTGGTCGAAGCTGCTTGAATACCAAAATCATGTAGTCGGGAACGTGGTGCATGTAGAGCACAGAGCGGGCGTGGAAATCATCAGTGGCATGAGATAACGAATGTACTTGGAGTTGTTCTTCGTGCTGAAGATCATGTTGAATAGTGTGGCTGGTACTACCCGAACACTGATCCATGGCATCTCCTTGCTCACTCGGGTATGGTGAGTTGGAAGTCTTTGTACTCGTCATCATCGTCGAAAAGGAGCGAAAGATTGTTCATGGGTTCGACAGGAGCATCGTCAACTTCCATGGCGGCGTTACGCTCGCGAATTAGCTCTTCGACTTCGGCGTCATCGGCCATCAGGTTCTCCAGCACAGTTCTGGTCTTCTTCTCTGTTGGGGTGGCGGGCTTGTCATGAAGAGTAGAGAGTGGACGTCTTGACGCAGTAGAGACGGCGCGGCCTCCAGCATAGCCGAGTGTGTTGCGTGAAGCGGTAGTGGCAGTAGCATGACGAGACGACGATGCAGTGGGGGCAGTCAGGGTCGAAGAAGGCTTTCGCGAGAGAGGGCGAGTAGCGGTAATCGGACGTGAGCGAGCAGTGGCAGTTGCTGTGGGGGCAGCAAAGCGAGGACCGAGTGCAGTGGTTGATGATGACCTCGACAGAGCACTGACAGCACGTCGGGCCGACAGGCTTGAAGGAGCTCTAGACTGCTGCTCCTTCTCCTCGAAGCCCTTGCGGACCTTTGTGAGGTCCAGACTGAGGAAGTCATCGGCTTCGAGGGCGCGGCGGATGATGTCTTGCTGGATCTTATCGGTACGAGCCATCATTTCGCGATTCTTGCGTTCAGATGGACGCACGCCGTGCTCGTCAGGAGCATTTCCGAAGGCGCCCCAGATACCGATAGTGGCATACTCGGGNGAAAGGATCGAATAGTCGCGTTCGTGAATTGTGTCTGGATGGTCAGGTAGNGGCTGGGACAGATCAGTCAATGAGTCGAAGAGGGAAGCAAGGACAGACTTACGAGTTGATCTGGGGGCCATATACTCAATGTCTGGGACACCATCATCTTGCTCCTGCTGAAGCGGTTCGGCCTGGTGAATCTTGACCTTCTGTCTGCGCAATCGAGGACTGAGAGTTTTCTGGGCAGATGCTTTGATGGTCAAGGGAGCCGGAGTTTTTGCCTTGGCGTTAGTCGTTTTCATGCCCAGCGGGGCGCGGTTGCGTGGGCCAGCCGGAGTGATGAAGGCATTGGGATCCAGGTTAGCCTTCTTGACTGTCTTGGTAGTCTTGAATCCAGAGTTGAAAGCATCATTTTCGTCGTTTTGGTTGCGGCGGAAGGGCGTCTTGGGAGCTTTCTTGGCCGGGGTTTTTGCCTGTTGATTTAATGGCTTCGCAGCGGCAGCAGCTTGATGGGCGTAAGCCAGATTTTCTTGATCAGCGCGTGCAGCGAAACATGGTGGTCGATTGTCGTGTAGTCTCTCTGTGGAACCAGGTGGAAAGGTCAAAGATTTGTGCAATGCGATAGGCAGTAAATGTAGGTCGCGTGGTTGTTGAGTGCCTCTTTGTTTACTTCGGCTTTATCCAGTCGCATGACGGACCTTTAGATGAGCAATTGCGACCGTGTCAAGTTTCAACAGGCGTGACAGGACGACGTGCTACGAACTATTGTCCTAACCACGGTTGGAGAAGGAGGCCTGGCCGGTCGTCTGTTGATGCTCGCTGTCGGCGCGGCAACGGCAGCTGTCACGGACCAGCAAGGTCGCCTTGGCTTGGCGAGCATCGGAGGTCGGGGCCCGGACAAAGCACAGCGTGGGTGGTCCAAACGTCTCTACCACACCAAACTTCGAGAAGCATCCCCCTCCCCCTGAACCTCTACACTTTATACACATAATACTGCAACCCGAACAAGACCGCTTCCTCGACCTCCCCTTACATTCTACCTATCTCCAGCTATTCAGCGCCTCTGACCTTCTACCTCAACTCCAACCTCCAGTAATCACAACAAACACACAAGATGGACGCCATCAAGCAGGTGCGTGTCATCAACAAAAGCTCCAACACCTTCACTCTGCATGCCACGTCTACCTGATGAAACTCAACGATTCCCCTTAATACACCGCAAGGTGCATGATTCGAAATCGTCCAAATTACAGTCTATATCTGATCGTGATGTCGCTGCTGCCCTCTCACATTACCCCTCGTGCCCCACCGCTTCTTCAGCCACAGCTGACAAGTCTCTCAACAACAGCGCATGAACGCCCTCCGCCTCGAGGCCGACGAGTCCGCAGCCAAGAACGAGGAGCTCAAGGCAAAGGTCAAGTCGCTTGAGCAGGAGAACCTCGCCAAGGAGCAAGAAATCACCTCGTTGAAGCACAAGAACCAACTCCTCGAGAGCGAGCTGGAGAAGCTTGAGTCTGGTCTCAAGGACGCAAAGGCCACCGCCGACGAGAGCGCTCAGCACGGCACCCAGAACGAGAGCTTGCAGAGAAGACTGCAGCTCCTCGAGGAGGAGGCTGAGGAGGCCGACAGAAACTTGANNGAGAGACCAACGACAAGTACGTTTACACATCTCACATGCCCCCGATACCTTGACTAACACAATACCCACAGGCTCCGTCAAACCGACGTCAAGGCCGGCCACTACGAGCGCAAGGTGCAAGCCCTCGAGGCCTCTCGCGACCAGTGGGAGGCCAAGTACGAGNAGATGGCCACCAAGTACAACCAGACCAAGAAGGAGCTCGACGACTTTGTTGCCGAGATTGGCAACATCTAAGCCACGTCTTCTCTTCACCTTTGCATCCGTTCGTCACGGCTTCTTTCGTATTCACCCGTCGGCCTGTTTCCATCGACGTTTCTTCATCTTGGGTTGTCAGCATGGGCGTCATCACCGCTACGTAGAGAATGAGAGCATTCTCCGAGCGTTTTTCTGAACTTGTTACTCTTTTAAAAGAAATCATCATCTCCCTCGCACACGATACCACCACTGCTTTGCCGATCAAATGGAAGCTTCTTCTTTGACATGAAAAAACAAAATGCTTATTTGGGTATCATGCGTGCTCTTGAAATGAAATGTCTGCGCCCATCACTTCTCCGTCCTGGCCTTCTTTGCAGCGGCATTCTTTGCCTTTTGCTTGTTGCGCGTCTCTTTTCTCTCGCCCTTGCTCTCGTACCTGAACTTCTTCTTCTTGGGCTTGCTCTTGGGATCCACCTTCTTTCCTTTTGACCAGACCGTCTTCTTCTTGACCACTTCGCCGTCTTTGCCATCTGCTTCTTCTTTTACCACAGTAGTCTGCTCTTCATCGTCCGAGTCCTTTGCAAAAGCCTTTGCGTCTTCCATGGCTTCGATGGTGACTGTTGTGTATTTGTCCTCGTCAACATACTCGTCCACACCGTCGATTGACGGTCTAGGCGGCGAAGCGATGCCATCCCATTCTTCTTCGTCTTCTGCGGCAGATGTCTCGTCGTCCGAATCCTTGTTCGCTTTTCTGAGCAGGTCGTTCACTTCGGCGACATGGCGTTCCAGGTCTACTTTTCTCTGATCGCGCATCTGTGTTTCTCCGCGTCAGTGTCTTGATCAAGCAGTGGTGATACATGTCAAGCGCAATGTTGCATACCTCTTTCCTCGCCTTGACTTTCTCTTCCTTNNTTCAATCTTGGCGGACTGTTCTTGGGCGTGCTTGATGCGCTGTTGCTTTCTCTTGCGGAAGCCTGTGAGCCATTCGTTGCGCGCTTCCGGGTCGAATTTCAGTTCGTCGACTTGGGTTGTTGTCTTGCGGCGTTTGGCTGGCGGTGCTCGGGGTGCTTGTCGTGGTGCCATGGTGGTTCTGGTGTCTTGACGGGATTCCTAGAAAGCAGCGATGTAGATGTATCGTGAGAGAGTGTATGCGACTCGGATCTTCTGGTTGTTGAGAGCTATATGTGTGGAGGCGTGGAGAGAGATGGTTGGATTGTCTTGTTAGCAGAGCAGAATCAATTGTTGCAGAGACCAAAAATCAAAGTCCGTGCGTCAACGATGATGATCCATCCCTGGACCTGTGGACGTTTGCTAGTCGACTTCACCTCCTCCGCTGCCTCAGCATAATCAACGTCGACATCATGTGGGCAACATTGTCTCGGACGACTGGCCTCATTTTGAAAAAGCCTTACTTCTCGAACGAGTCCAGACTTTTCTCGATTTACAAAGCTAACCTTGCTCTGTCTAAGAACCCTGTCAAAAGGAGGCAGCAACTGGATGCAGTAAATCTCCGCAGACGTGCAGACCCGGAGTGGCATAAGGAAGAACTGGTCCGGCGCGAGAGATACAGAACGCGCAACGCCGTCGAACTTGCCGATCGTTGTCGCCAAAAGCTCGAACCCAACAGACAGAGGTATGCTTCAGACCTCATGGCCCAGCTTTCTCGGCGGTTGTCAAACTGGGTGAAACGATACAGATGGGCACGTGAGGAGCTTCCTTGGAGGACACATCGTCCTGTGCTCTACAAAACCCCCAGTCCGCATCAGTGTGAGTTCTGCGGCATCACGAGACACAACGGCTTGGTTCTAGTTTGGCAGCGTATTGCCCAGCCAAACTTATACAGCTGTCATAGCTGTTACGTGAAACAAGGTGCCGAAACTTGCATGCCCACAGGATTCGAGGATATTCGTGGCATGAAAGAGCTTGCTGCACGAAAAAAGCAACTGGAGCAGTCAAAGTCTGGATCGCCTTGAGCTAGAGGCACTGCTGACAGCAAAACACCATCCGAGAACCATCAAGCTCACTGACCATGGCTTTCACTATGCCGGGGGTTAGGCATTGTTTCTGCATCTACAAAATCATCACTCTCCGGAAAAACTCCTCCATCAATGTTTCCACCAGCCAGCTGACAGCTACACTGTTCGTTCTATTTCAGTCACCAGCCCAAAGGACCAACAATGATCTCCTGCGTATCAACCTTCGAATCACTCAAGAAGTGTACTCGCTGTGCAAAATCATCGTAACAGTCAGATCTGAGGCTGCACCGCTATACATGAGCAATCTAGACCACATCAGAAGAAGAGTTACCGGATTCAAGTCCCATCAAGGCAATAAGGGTATTGTTATACGCCTGCTTTGTAGACCAGAGCTCCCGAGCGCCTCAGTGCATACCCTAGAGCACCAAGTGTCGACCAGAGCCATGAATGTTGATGCCACTGCTGAATTCACTCATGGCAACATATACGTCGTTCTCATTTTGGGCGCTGATCGATATCGTACACAGGTTTCTACAGTAGATAAATCCCAGAGAGAGGCCATGGAATGAAGGCAGGACATGTGGTTTCACCTTCAGGGAGAACAACGTCCTGTGTCCTTTGGAAAATTTGTTGAGATGCTGAAAGAGAAAGGCCTCTGCGATTGACAAACCGACAGCTTGGTGACCTGGCTACCGAAATACTGTATGTAGCGTCAAACACTTCTTCATGCTCGCAGTGCTCATCAGGTATTGGAGAACATGCCCGGCTGCATGTCCTATGCTGTCTGCATTGTTGGTCCGCCTCTTTTATATCGAATAGCTGCAAACAGCAATAGTAGGAGGCTTCCCTTGGACAAAGACTGCAGATTCTGGCCTGTCTTGGATCCCTGCCTAAATCAGGAGAGACATCCGCTTTCACTCATCGCGCCGCAACACAGAAGGCCAACGAGCGCGCCGGAAAACCACAATCGGCTTTCGCCCAAAGGCGCCAGCAGGCAAGCCACAGCAACCCACCAAACAACTTTGCGGATTCGAAAACACAACCACTCTTTACGAAAAGCATCACTCTTTCCATCTTCGTGAGTTCTGAATAACTCACACGCACTTTCCATCATGGCGGCCGATTACATCACCTCCGCCGAGCAAACCATGACGCTCGTCCGCCGCCTTGCAGCTCACCTCGCCGCTGAACCAAATCTTCCCGCTGCCGAAAACCTTACTCGTGGTGAAGTCGACGCTTGGATCAGAGCACTAAACACTGGCATCCATGGTCGGGTGATTGACCTGCTCGCTCTACCTGTGCTAGAATGTCTACTATACATGCGGTAAGTCTTTACATCAACAGACATGACTGAGTATGTTACTAATGTCGTTAACAGTGGCAGAAATCTTGCCTGGAAAACCAAACATCTGAGACGAGCTCCCTCTGAAATGTTTCAGCCTGTTATTGTCAACCCCTGGGTTCAAGAGGATGTTACTTTGAATCGCGACAACCTCCCATGGATCCCTGGTGACCGCCATCAAGCCATTGAGATTAATGATGATGCAGAAGATCCTGTAGATACAGATGAGCAGGCTGTCATCGAACAACAAGACACCGAGGAAGACTTCACAAGTCCTGAAGGGGAAGGCACTCAGCTCGATGACACTCTACAAAATGTTGACGAACATGACCACTCTGCACTACAAACTATCGACCAAGAAACCGATGACCAAGATCCTCCTTTGCTGCCTGTCACCACGGCCGAGGCCACTAGTCACACAAGGTCGCCAGCGAATCACAATGCAGACATTGTTATGCAAGATGTACCTGAGCAAGACGACTCTGAAGAATCCAGCTCAGCACACAGTAACCCCGACCACGAAAACCCACCCCACTCCACCTCCAAAACCAGCGAAGAGTCACCCAATCTCGCCTACGACCATCCAGATCGAACCCTCTGGTGCACCTGCAACGGTCCAGACCCCGAGAACGGTACCTACATGGTTCTATGTGACAACCACGAAGACAATGATGTAAGTCACCAACCCCTGAATTTCTTCCTTACACTATTTGCTGATCAAAAGCTGCAGTGCAAAGGAAAATGGTACCACCTTTCATGTGTTGGATTACAGAGAAACCCTCCAAAGGGGTTGGATTGGTACTGCGAAGATTGTCGCAAGAAGTTCAATCTGGGGGTCTACAGTAATGGCTGCGTGGATCCGAAGAGAAAGGTCAATCCCAAGAGAAAGCGCTGAAGGAGAGAAGGATATGGCCACCAACAGTTGTGTGGATGTAGAAGAATCAAAGCATCAGACTGCAGGTCAAACGAATAAGGATGAAAAAATCTAGTCATCAAGAATGCAGTTTGATTGCGAGGAACTTGGGGGCGTGACCGCCAAATCAAGTAGCATCTTGCTTTTTTGTTTACAAAACAAATGGCGTCTTTGGAATCTCACAACATCATCCCTGACTTCTTGCTTTGTCGTCTTCCACCGTGATAGATGGAAGCTTGCAAGTCCGGTGACAAAAATAGATAAATGCACTGCATAAGTGCATATATCCAGCTTCCAAAGGTCTTTCATCTTGCAAGGTCCAGCAGTTGACTGACTCGGCTCTCAAAAGAGAACGCAAGGCACGACGATTCCCAATGGTTGTATACACAAGTACAACTTTTGCTCGATGGGAAGGTCAAAGTCTCGATTCTTGCATTTACCCATTTTTTTTCTTTTTTCTTTTTTTTCTCTCCTTTGTTCTTTCCTCTCAGTCTTTTGGATTTTGGGGTTCACTGATTGGCAAGACTTACGTCAAAAGCAATGATGATATATGCAAATGGTAACAAGATCAAACTGCTGAGATGTCATTACTGCTTCTGTTCAGCAAGATATGGATCAAAGCACCAGTTTCGACAAAGAACAATCGACGCGTTTTTGTTCTCTAGCATCGCTGACTTTTCGTACTGAATTACCGACTGCTTATACTCTCTTGACTAGGTCTGGATATCTGTTCTTACTTCTCACATGGGATATGTTTCATTTCTTCGGTGGCTGCAGGTTGTCATACTGGTCATCAAAGCTCAGAGCACTTAGCTATCACGGCCGCTCGATAGGGGAACGACACTCTAGCTCTGTTATGATGTCGAACTGTGGTACTAGAGGAAGATCGTTGGGAGAGAAGCTATCGCGCAAATATCAGGGAAGTTTGCATGTCACAAGTTGATCCGAGCAGAGTCTTTTGGTAGCACAAGACTTTCTTCCTTCCATAGCTTAACAATGACAGAATCTTGCAGAACAGCAATATCAGCAACGAACGATTGTTTCTTTCTGTACTTGTGGGTTTGGTTCATGAGCACTCCTCAAACGCTTCTTACCGCAACAAAACATGGTGAGACACACTCCAGCGTGCCAGTCTTGACCCTTCACTTCTGCACAAAGCCCTTGACCAGATCCTCCACCATCTGAGTCTGCATCTTGGTGCTGAAAAAGACGACAATGAACTTGCGCAAGTTCATCTCAAAATCTGTGACGAAGTCTGGGTCGCTATTGATCTCTTGCTTGACTGCATCACGGATCTCGGCCTTGAAGTCGTTGAGTGTGAAGTTCTTGAGAAATGCCAACATTGTAGTTGTGCTGAAGCTGTTCATTTCAGGCAGTATGTTGACCAAGCCCATGATAGTCTTCTCGATGCCGCAATTGAGGAGGAAGTCATTCCAACCGGGAGATGGAGTCTCGTGTTCTGACTCCAAACATTCAGGGGTGCTGTTGTACCGGATTAGCAGATGTTCCTACTTTATATGTTTCCTTGATTGACGTACGGATCTCCAGAAACAAATTCGACCTCTTGGACGAAAGCATTGATCACTTCCCAATCTTCGAGGAGAGGGTTGATGTCCTTGTCACGCAAAGTGGCCCACAGAGTGTACAAGCGGTGATGCATGTCTCCTAGACTGAGTCTCACTTTGCATAACTCTGCCACAGAGACCCTGCAGAAACCAGACTGGGATCCTGTAGGAGCGTTGTTTACTGCATCGTCGTCCATCTGGATCATCGGTTAGTCTTGAGCAGGGAAAATTGTTGGAGACTAGACGGCATGCGCACTTTGCTTGTCTGCAAAGAAGTCGAAGACCTTGGAGAATGGAAGTTGCGAGTGAGAAGAAGTTGCAAGATCGATAAGACGCGTGAGAAGAGAAGCAAGGCGTATGAAGTGGGAAGAGTTGTCTTCACATTCACTCAGCCGTCACCTCCGTCCAAAGACTGATTAACAAAACAAGCAGCCAGGTCTACTGTTGTTCATTCGCTCGAAGTAGGATTCCACAGCAACAAAAATATCCTGATGATCACGTAGGTGGTGGATGCGCCTTATCTGGACCATATAGTTGGAAAGTTTATGTCTTACTTCATGGAATGTCAAAAAGACATATCACTGCAGCGAGTGCCAATCGAACCCACAATCTCCTCGATTCAGAGTGAGCTATTGCCAACACCAAATGTGTCTGACACCACACCCCTCCCTCTTGTGTTTGCAAGACGCATTGGCGAGGCGCTCTAACCATTGAACCACCGCTGCTTTTCGTTGGAGAAGTATCGATCTTTGCTTGCATATGATGGTAGATGCATTGGCAGAGCGAGTGTGTTCGATTCTCGGAGGACGAGATTTGTTTGATGCTAGTGGGTTCAACATATCCTTATACTGCCGACACTGAAATGCCTGACACGACATACCGGACTGAGTTGACAGACTGATCTTGGAACTAGCATAGCAGTGGAGGGTGCTATTGTTCTATAACCCCTGTTAATAACGTCCACGATCAAGCTCATGACCATCATTGTGTTACCAATACTGCATCTTATCTGGTCAGCGTTGGATCGATAACCGTTGTCGAGAAGGATGAAAAACCTCTCCCAGGTACTGTGAGGATGCTACGAACAGATGTCAGTGTACATTCTCAAGTTCAACGAGTAGCTTCATTGCCCATTCTGAGTGAAAAAGAGTCATCACACTGAGTGAGAATGTGTACCGCCATCCCTTTTCTGTGACCACTCCACAAAACTCAAGACAGTAGGATGTTTCGGAACGAGATTGATTCTGGAAGGAGATCACCTTGGCTGTAGCTGGGATATGAACGTAACAACGTCATTGACTCTAGACACCTTCCAGTTGGCTCTATCCTCTGGATAGATACCAGCGTGGACTTTGTGGCAGCGCATGCTTTCAATTGCAACACGTAGCCCTTCAGCTGAGTTCTTTGCCTTTATGAGGTCTTCTGGAGAGACATGATGACCGGCGCCATCTGTCTTCGTGACCTTTGGTGTCTGATCACTCTTCAGATATCAGTGGGTTATGCGAAACATTATCAGACAAGTGCTCACCATCTTGACAGTAAAGTCAACAGGGGACTGATCAGAGCGATGCAAGAAGAAGGACAAAGTGTGCAAGAGTTGCGCACAAAACATTCACGGTTGATGTCGTTCTCAATCGGGCTCAATCATCACTTTCGCCAGATATGTGGTCATTGCCGTCAAACTGATCGGAGAAGTGAAGGAAGTCCGTCCAAAGTGTTTATGATTTGATCGATCTCTCTCTCGCAGCTACGCAGAGCGATCCCCGAGCCATTATATCGGTTGTTGCCAGAAGAGACGCATGCAATGCCAGCTTTCCCACTTGGCTGTTAGTGTCACATGTCCACGCAGCAATTGGCAGTCGCGACTGATTCATCGGGATCCAGGGACATTGCCTGAAACAGCTGCTTTGCCTGCATCCATCTTTCGTCATTTCGTCTGACCCACACTCTTTCCATTTTATTCAACGTCTCTTCTCCGATTCGGCATGGCGATACCATCGCCCTGGAAATCTATCAGATTCGCATCGCAGCTGATTGAACCATCTCCCAAACGCCAAAAGATGAGCAGCGTCACTTCCACATCTACCCTATCCGATGGGATCCCCAGCACTACGAGAATGGGGCAAACTGCCTTCGTAGTGGCCTCTGAGGACCTCTCCAGCATGGTCTTCCATGCCGACGAGCTCCAGAAACTCGCCAACTCTTGGAACTCATACCTCCCGTCGACTGTTAACGAAGGCCATATGGTGAAGACACTCCAAGCCTGCGAGAACAACGCCAACAGCCTTCGTAATGCACTCGAAAGCTTGGAAGTCAAAGCTGCCAAAGCTTCTTCGATTTGTGTTTTCCAAGATACAACCGTCGAGTCCCGCAACACATCCGAAGATCAACAGCTCAATGCTGCAAAGGAAGCCAAGTCAGTATCGCCTGAGACGATTGGGATCCGAGTACTAACCCAGCCGCAGANNTCAGCAGCGAGCATGGAATTCCTCATCATGACTGGAATCAACAGAATCTTCAGTGACGAACTCTCACGCTTTGCCGACCTCAAAGGAACGTACTACGATCTCACGTACTTCAGCTGGTTCCAGTAAGACGACAAAGATGATGGAGGATTCAAAGATCTGATCAAGAAGGCTATCATGGAAGGTCCAGCCCCACTGGAAGACTTCGAGACCAAAGTTCAAGGTTACTTCAAGCACCATATGCTTGAGCAAGCTACAAATGACTTCAGACGTAAGCTGGAAGAGCAGTATTAAAAGTCCGGAGGTTAAAGCAAATCATCTTGCGACTGGCATAAGTAAAGTGAATCAATGACTTGATGGAAGGGGGCGAAGTGCTCGACGGAGGAAATTGGCTGCGATCATGGACCTGAAGCATTAGCTTGACTACGACACGAGAAGTGAAAGTGCATGCTTACTGTATGCACCAATAAGACTCAACATGACTTACTGTTTCTAGTACCTTCTTCCCATTGCAACACGTTCCGTAGTGTTGAAACATTCGTAACCCTCCAAATCAATCTTCAGCATGCCAAAATCTTCCTCAGTCTCTCACCCTCGTCCGACCGCAAACGAACCACCTCGCAAGCGCGCGAAGCTAGCTCACGAAGACCTCACCGACAAACATCTTAACCCGGCCTCGCATTCCACAAACACACCAACCCCTCCAATTCCCACGCCGACCCCAGAACCCCAACAGATAACCTCCAACGATCTCATGATGGCAGAAGCTAAACCCGGCGCAACAAACACCTACATCCCTCACGCCTCCCTCGAGCCCATCACAACCAAGATCAAGAGACTGCAAAGCGACCTCAGCAGCGCAGCGACAGGCCAATGCTGGGGGCCAGGCAAACAGAAAGTGTTGGACTGTAAACACGATGTCGATGCTTTGGCGGTCATGGTCAAGGAGCTAGATCTCGACAGTGTCCCGTGAGTCTTCTTCGTCTTTTCCGTCTCCAGGATAGCGAGGAAGTGCGACTAAAACCCCTCTAGGCGCAAGCAATCTCTCGACATGCTGATGGAAGCAAGCATCGATCACCTATTCGACAGATGCGTCAGCAAAGCCACCGTGATAGTCGACAGCAACACCAGACAGGTGATCAAAGACGCTTTTGATGGTATGTCAGGTATCTCTGGCAGAAGTGCCGCAAAAGCTGCCATCAAANAAGGTCTCGACACTGAACTCGACGTGCTTTTGAACTTCGAGGCCAAGTTTGTGCGACACTCCAATGAGGCCTTGGCCAATGCAGTGGCCAACTTGGTGGCCGAGAGGAGAAGACGCTCTGTGTTGAATCATCTGAACGAGCATATGAAATTGTGAGGGCCCTGTGGTGTGTCAGGGACGAGGATGACGTGGAGGGAAGATCGATGAACATACCCGACACAAACATCATCCTCTCCCCTATCCAGACCCTCAAGACATAAACAACCACAGCACAAGTAGACCACAAAATCGAAAGCAAACTTGAAATGAAAAAAGAAAGAACAGAATCTCCTTATTATTCTTAATTGTCTCACATTGACTCAATTGCACTTTCACATTCGTTCTTCTTGTGTGTCTGGCAAAAGTTCCAGTCTCGCTCCAAAGAAACCCCATACATTCGTTTCCATCTTCGCTGCTCCATTTTGAGGGGTTGTAAATGCAAGAATAAAGAAACCAACGCCGTGTTGATGAAACAAAAGAGATGATAACAGCGGGGTGGCGTGGAATAAAAGGTGGAAATGGTTGTTTCCAGGAGAAGCCGTCGCGGTGAAATATAAAAATAAAAGAAACGACAAGAAGTACTAGGGTGATGGAAGTGAAGAAAGGGGGGATAAGCAAAAGAGAAGGGAAGTCTATAGACAGGGTTGCCGAAAAAGAGTCCAGCGTCCGAGATAAAAATAGTGGTTAGAAAGTTGAGGCGATATTCGCACAGGCAGACTTCAAGGTCCTAGTTGAAACCCTGGTACAGCTCTTCCAGAGTCTGCTCCTGGGATTTGCCGCCGGCAGTGCCTCGCTTCTTGCGCTCCTCTCGCTTCTTGCGCAGCTGTGCCCAGCCTTCATCGTCGTCCTCTTCATCGGGTCTGGGTTGGGGTGATCTTGGTGAGCCCTTAGGTTTGTCGATGACCTTGATGGTGGTCCGCGGTACGTTGCTGCCATTGCTTGCAGGAATGTTGTTGGGGTTCAAGAACGAACCGGTCGAGGCGTTCTTCTTAGCAAAGTTCTGAAGACCAGATTGCGAAGTCATGCTTGCAGTGCGGCTAGTGGAGCCTTCCATAGTCACCGGACGATAGCGAGATGGCATGCCAACGTTGCTGCGCTCGCTAGGTGCGATTGAAGGAGTGTAGCCTCCACGGGGNGCGCTGAGACTGTAGTCGTACATTGATCCGGCATAGCCCGGAGGCTTCAGGTTGGTCATTGTGCTCGATCTTTGCTGCTGGTGCATAGGACCCTGAGGACCCAGCATACCAGGTTGCTGTCCATTTGGACCACCCATAGACATAGGTCTTTGCATTCCGTTGGGCAGCATGTTTGGGAAGCCATTCTGCTGAGGACTCAGCTGAGGCATTTGAGGCATCTGCATTTGTGGCATTTGACCACCCTGCATCGCCATCATTTGCTGCATCATCTGGGTCTGCATCGCCATCAGTTGCATCATTTGCTGCGTGTTCTGTTGATCGGCGCCCATCATTGGCATTTGAGGCATTTGCGGCATGAAGCCACCCATGCCCATCTGCGGTGCGGCCATGCTCATCATCGAGTTCGATCGCGGCATCATCTGAGGCATGTTCATGTTTCCAGGAAGAGGTAGTCCATTTGCGTTGAAAGCAGGGCCGCCATTGTGGTTGACACGTCTAGCAGCGCGAGCACGCTCCTCACCAGCGATGACACCAACAAGACCGCCTCCTGCTTGGGGCATACCTGGCATCTGCTGAGGAGGCATCTGAGGCATCTGAGGCAATTGGTGCATAGAAGGAGAGGCTCCACCGTACACTGAGCCGCCAGAGCCGAAAGCAAGGGATTCGCGGTTGGCAGGGTTGACGAGACCGGCACCAAAGTAGGGGTCTGCAGGGAGGTTGCGAGCAAAGACAGGAAGGTTACCTCCTCCCATACCGCCATTGACGATAGAGCCAGCGCTTCCAGGGGTAGGAGGAGCACTAGCAAGGCGTGTCGGGGGACGGTTTCTGCTAGGGAAGCCGTGAGCCTGAAGGATACCCAGAGGAACCTCGTCATCCTCCTCCTCTTGCTCTGCACCAAGACTGACGTTGGAGAAATCTCTAGTCAGACCAGGTGCGCTGTAGGAGGCACGATCCAGGCTTGGGCGACCGGCTTGCGAAGCAAGTTCGGAGGGGTTACCTCCCGCAACCTTCTTCATCTGCTGTCTGTATACAGACATGTTGGCCTCCTGCTTGCGTCTCTGGCGGGCAAGCTCTGCTTGACGTTCGGCCTCGTCATCGTCGTCGTAACCTTCCTCCTCAGAATCTTCGGATTCTTCACTCTCTTCAGGACTGACTGCCTTGCGCTGGGCCTCAAACTCTTTTCTTGTCATCCTCTTTGTGGGCGAGAACTGTCCAGACTGGGATCTGGGGGCAACCGGAGCGGCCGCTGGGTGCACGGCACGGCTAGTGGGACCATTGGGAGAGTGGTCAAACTTGCCATCTGAAGTGTTGCTCGTGGGACGCAGATTATTAGCGCGAGGAGTTGCGTGCTGAGATTCGCCTGCTGGATATGTGGTGGGGTTTCTGGCGGCCGGAGTGGCTCTCTGCGGAGAAGTGGGTGCTGTGAAGGTTTCGACAAGGGGCGATCGCGTTCTAGAGATCGGATGGGCAGCATCATCTTCGCTGGAATAACTGTTTGATCTCTCGTGTTCGAGTTCATCGGCAGGCGAGCCGTAGCGATCGGGTACAGGTTGATATCCGGGCTTGAATCGAGAGAAGGTCGAAGGAGGGTTGAGGGGAGGCGAAGAGATTTCGGACCCCAGAGCTGGAGACATTAGTCCGTCATTAGAAGTTCGGCTAGCCCATGAGTAACGGTTTGCTGATGCGGCAGACAGGTTTGTCGGCCTGTGACGAGTGTCGCGCTCGATCTCGGGCTCGGCGGCTGGCAGGGGCGCCTCAGTCAGAGGAGTAGGCTCAAAACGAGCAACAGGAGGAGTGGGCAAGGGCTGGGATGCCTGTTGAGAAGGGCGTTGTTGGTAAGCGTTGTTGTAATTGCTGAAGCCTGGTGACTGTTGTCGACGTACCGATCTGCCGTAGTTCTCATGTGCAGGTTGCGGCGCTGCTACATTGCTCTTAGCTTGTCTGGGCGAGCTCAGTCCTTCGAACATGTTCATGCCAAAGTCGCTGCCAAAGTCAGACATAGAACCCAAGTTGGCATCGAGCCTCGGCGGCACAGCAGTGCTGGCATTGCTGCTCATTGTTGTTGCGCGATCACGGATGAAGCTGTTCTCGGGAAGGTCGGGCATGTGAGCTGTTGTAGCAGTCATGTTGCCGGGGCTGGTGCTCTGCTTGCTTCTCAAACCAAAGGACATAGCCCTGCCTGCGCGGGCCGAGAACGACGGTGGCTCGGGAAGTGCGTTGGATGCGGCCGAGGATCGGTTGCTGCTGAGGTTGCTGTTGCCGTTGGCAGCTGTCTTTCGAGGGAACAGGTCTTCGTTTTCTGCTTCGTGTTCTGCCTCAATTGATGAGGGAAGAGTAGACGAAGAGCTGTAGCGTGCAGAGGACGACGAGTTGTCAAAGTAGCCCGAAGAACCCGAGAGGGCTGTTCCGCCACTACCCCTGCCCAATTTTAGCACCCCATTGACGGTATGTGGCCCAATCTGGCTCTTGTCGGGTACCAACCTGTTTGCGCTTGCGATCAAGTCTTCCTGCGACTTGCCCGACTTCCTGTTCAAAAGGATGCTCGATCCTGGCCGCCCGCCGCTTGTTCGTTTCACAGGACCTCCAGGGTATCCGCCGTTGCCCGCTGTAGCTGCCTTGTCGGGTCTTTCGAGGACGCGGAAGCTGGACGAGGCGGGTGCGGTTGATGTGGACTCCGAGGGAAGGTCGAGGATGTTTCCAGACGATTTGCGACGGGCAAAGTTCTTGAGCGGGTTCTTAGGCATATAGAAGGTTGTGCTGTGTGATGTGCGTATCAAGGCAGGTGCTGTTGTCGTGTCCGACAATGCCTGCGAGGCAGTGGTTTGAGCGAAGGGAGTCGAGTTGGTTGAGCGAGCGAATTAAAGTCTTGACAATGGACTGTCGGAGATGCGAAAGAGCAGAGCTAAACGAAAACGCCTCTTGAGCCGGTATGAATAATATGTAAGAATGGGTATCAACAAAATTATCTGGCTCGAGGTTAGCAATGAGGCTGGGCTCGGCGGTTGGGTCCTAGCAGCGAGAGAGGGATCGAAGGTGATTCGTCGAGCAGGAAAGAACAAGAAGGCTTCTCCAGGGGAACGGATCAGCACCGGCAACAACAAGCGCCAAGTCGCTGAGACTTTTCAAGAAAGGAGCGTCGAATGCAGCGATGTTGTGAAGAAGGATCTCCAGATGGTGAAGGCAGACAGAACCGCTGAACGTTCACGTTTCGATTGAGAAACCGTTGCGCCTCCTGCTCGAATGCTGCTAAGAAAAGCGTCGGGACGTCACTGACCGATGATTGGAGCAGGCTGTGTGTTGGCCCTGTAATAGTCGCACTTGTCGGTGTCTTGTATGATATAAATTAGCAGCGAGCGAGGGGCTAATGATCAGGAGCAGCGACAGAGAACACAATGCTAGAGCCCAGATATGGAAAAATGGGAAAGAGCGAGGTGATCGGTCGCGCCTGCCTTCGTATTTCGCTTCAGGAGTCGTAGTGGTCAGGCACGGGCAATCTGTGCGCTAGCAGGCCTGGTAGCTACTCCCGCACTTGCCAATTCTGCTGTGGCTTCGGCGAGTTGAAATAGTGCAAGATGATGTCGCCTTCAGCCCGCCAAACGCGTGTAATCTGACATCGCAAACCCATCGCAACTGGAACAGCCGGTTTGCCTCAGAGTCTATTGCCAACTCTACCTTGACGTTCAACTCGTCTGCTATTCTTAATATGCGTGCAGCATCGCAGCTTCCATTGAAGCTCTCCATGAGTCGCTGATGTCTGCATTATCAAATCTCCAGAGTCAACAACCACTCCAGAAGACTCCACACTTCTGCATTCATCTCCTCTTCTCCCTTGTTCAATTGCCAAGCGCCATTCCAAAATAGCAACTGGAAAGGCCCTCCTCAACCAATCGGCCTGTCATGTGTTTTTGCATTTATCTGTTAATTCACTGCTGGCCCCGGCCTTCGTGAGCCGCTCTCTACTTGGTTATGTCTACTCGATGCGTGATCCATGATGCATTGGAAATGTTTGCGACGCGCTTGCGATCCTTCCAACCCGGCTGTGGCGCCATCCTGGTGCCCATTGACCACGACTTGGATCTGCGTCTGCATCTGCGACACGCTCCACGAGTCGAAGCAAACAGAAGCTTCATAAGAAAATTTCCCGTCCGTCTCCCGCACGCACCTCGTCCTGTAACAACAACAAGGGGCTGCAGCCGCAGCACTGCCCTATTTTTTCTTTTCTTTTTTTTCTTCTTCCTACCTTGATATCCACTATTTTGTTCGGCTTCATTTGGATCATGTCTCATCTCGTCAAGATGTTGCAGCGATCCCCCCGAAGGCTGGTCTCACATTTCGGACTTTGCTACTGCAGGGGACCAGATTTGCGTGAAATATATACTAGATACTTGTCCTGGGTACATATTACGACGCCCTCCTCAGCAGAGAGAAATGCCGTGGATGTGCTGCATCTCATCACACCTCAAAGGAGAATCGGCCACCGCACGTTCGAGGTGGTTGGTGTGGCTGTGACATGTTTATGCAGCCATGTTGTTGGGTTCGCTGTTCGCTCCCCGCCGCACATCACCCGCGCTCGATGTTCTCCACTTCCAACCCCATCGCGATGCTGGTGATGCTTTACTTTGCTTGCTCGTGCTTGCTTGACGTCGAACGATCGCTTCGACCTTGGTTTTCTCAACCACGGCAATCCTTCTGACACTTTTTATCCCTCGCTTACCGGCCCATCGCAATCAAACCCTGTGCTCCTTGTCTGAACATCTTTCGGAGTATTGTTCTCTTGTACATCCAAAGATCATCATGACGTCCGCTCCTGGTCGCATCAACCCCTCGGCGCAGAATGGCTTCAGCAATGCCGCCCTGTATGACAAGCATCGCCCTTCGTTTCCCGCCCACAGCGTCTCTGTCCTGCTCGACGGCGTACGCGTCGCCGACAGCCCTCAAGCCACAGTGGTGGATCTTGCGGCGGGCACCGGCAAGTTCACAGAACTTTTGGCCGACAGAGATGAGGGGTACGAGATCATTGCCATTGAGCCGCATGCCGACATGCGCAAGGTTTTGGAGGACAAGCACCTCAAAGGCGTCAGCGTCCAAGATGGGCTTTCCACCGACATGAAGTACTTGAAGGATGAGAGCGTGGACGCCATTATAGCTGCCCAGGTAGGAGATTGATCGTCTACTTTGCTTGCATTTACCCACCCCTCCATTTCCTCTTCCGGTTCCCCATGTCACTTTCCATTGTCTCCATATCAAGATTGAACCTTACGATCTAAATCGATGACATTGCTTTAAACTTTACCCCCAATGCAAAGTCATGAGACGCTACTTCATTCAGGTAGGCTGACAGTGACATTCACCTTCCCGTTAGGCATTCCACTGGTTCGCCAACCTCGAATCCCTGGAAGAGATCAATCGTGTGCTACAGCCACACGGCGCCTTTGGCGTGATTTGGAACATTGAAGACTGTAAGTGTGAAACCTTTTGACTCCTCACCATGCACACCATACCGACCATCTTTCCATGCGAACCATCACGCCTCGCATGTGATCTATTTTTCTCCGAGCAGAACCCTTGCCTCAAAAGAAACCTTCCGTGACAGATCAGCTGCAAAGCATCCTCTACAGTCTAATCAGCCACACCCAATCTTTCCATACCATTATTGAACGAAACTCTGAACAACCTCATCACAGACAATGCACCAAAATCCCATGCCGCAACCACCGCATGGGAGCAAGAAATCCAAGACCTGATCTTGTCCTTTGACGACAATCAACCCCGTTTCCGCCACGAGCAATGGCGCAAGGTGTTTGACGCCCAACTCTCTTCTAACCCTCTGTCCATCACATCTTCCGCCGAGCCTCTGTTTTCTCTGCCGCTTGCCGAGAATGTGGAAAAGTGGAGTGTTTGGTTGAGCGAAGAGGCGCTGTGGGATAGACTTAGTACATTGAGTCAGATTGCCGTGCTGGAAGGTGAGGAGAAGGAGACTGTGAGGGATTTTGTTAGCAAGACGTTGAAGGGGGATGATGTGCAGAAGAATGAGAAGGGGGAGGTCGAGTTGCATGGCATGACTGTTGCGGCGTGGACGACAAAGATTCCGCAAAAGGGTGCTGAGAGTCTGTTTACTACTGTCAAGGATGCTATTGCTGGCAGAACTTGAGCAGAACTGCAATGGTGATTTGGACAGGTAGAGAGAGTTGGAATGCTGGTTCGTGTAGTAGTATAGAAAGAAAGTATAAGGCGCGAGCCTCATGACTCCAGGCTTCAGTGATGCTGCTGACGAGTGTCGGTGTCTGTGATGCTTCTTCCCGCCATGACCTCTCAGAGTATGATATGTCCCTCAGCTTTTCCAGTCCGGATGATCAATCTTTCGACCTCCCCTGTCATCCACAGGATGAATACCAGCCATAGGGCCATATGTGTACGGCACCTCAGTCGTCTGCGCATCCCTCTGAATCCATTTCTCAAACCTCACGCGGCGTTCCCTCGACGTCTCGCATCCAGGCACACTGTCTTCCCTCAACCTTCCCCCCCTACGAGTCGGCAGAAATATACATGACTGCAACCACCCTCCTTGTCAGCACTACTCCCCTTTCTCCACACACAGCACAACTCACCATTATTTCCCCTCACAAACGCATCCCCGTAGTTTCTTCTCGTCTTTCCATCCACAATCTCGTTTGTTTGCTCGAGCGCAATGTTCATGTAGCCATCTACACTCTGTAATTCGCCGCGATATACAACGCCAGAGTTTAGTTTTACGGTCACGGGGGCGCCGATGATTTCGCTGAGGAAGCCCGAGGGGTCGCGGGCTTCGTTGATGGAGGTGGGTGCGTTTGCGGCGGCGGCGCCGTTGGGGTTGGGTGATGCGCTCATTGTTTTATGTGGATTGGTGTGTGGCTCTTTTGCGCTGTGTACTGTAAAGGGTGGATTTGGAGTTGTAGAGATGGTCGTTGCGCGTGAGTGGGAGATTAATGTCGTTGGCTGAGGTGATTGTATTGACGATGATGGCAGCACCAGCTTCACTGGCAGCGATGTCAACCAATTCTTGGCAACAAAGTGAAGCTCCGAGTGCACGGCTCCCTACCCGGTTCGGTCCGTCCATCCGAACAAGGCGTTCNCCAACCTTCGGAGACGGGACTCTCGACCGAGCCCTCGAGTGGAACTCTAAGGTTGCGTGTCTGNNATAATCCTCATCCTGGTTCTCGTGTTACAGATTTAATATCGCGTTCACGGTAACAGAGTGACGCGTGTCAAANTTTCTGACGCTGATCTTCTTCCGAGACGTCTCGTTGCTTTTTTGTTTCTTCTTCTCTGACCTTGTTGAGTTCCTGGTTGCNAGCATGCAAATCGTCATCTCGCAAGGTTTTGGGGGCTCCTGTGAGCTGAGAGCTTGCTTGCCTTCATGGGCTCACATCTATGCCAACTCCGACACTTCCTTCACCGCCACATGCATCNNAAGCCCCAATACCGGTTACATGGGTTGAGTAATCGTCCTAGGGTCTTGANNATTGTCTCTCATCCAGTTGTCGGGCACACATGCACAGCACAGCAACTCTTGTGGAATCTGCACCACCGTTGGAAGCTTGAAACCGTCGTAGGTCATGAGTTCATCAGCTTTCTTATCTGTATACTGTATCTAGGGTATCGGTATAAACAATTAGGTGACCGTTGCTTTGTCAGCCATCCTTCTACGCCTTTTCCCATCTTTTCAATTTTGCCAATTACTGTGCATAAACGCTCCTGTAAGACCAGTTTACAAGGCGTTGTACTCGCTGGCATCCTGGTACAAGTCGATCAGGCAACTAGCAGACCAAGCTTGAGTGGGGCANCTAGAAATCACGTTAGCTTTCCTTGCCTTTTGCACATCGCGTAGAATATCACTTACCGAATCATGGCACATGGATCCCTTCTCGTTGGTGAGCTCAGTAAGTCCAGCCCAAGGAGAGTCGTGGATCATGTGTCTGCAGCCTGCAAGTCTGGTGGTGACCTGCTGGAAAGCCTCGACCTTGGCCTCCTTTGTCTCACGGCGCATCAAGTCAAACTTCAGGAGTGCACGCAAAAAGAAACCACGAGGCCAGACCCATTCAGGTCCTTGGTGGTAGTTACGTCCTCTGGAAGTGTGGAAATCGGTGGAGTCATCACTATTGATGTAGTTGGGGCGATACTCCATGTCCGAGGGGTCCAGAGTAGCCATACCAGTAGGACCAAGGAGAGCCTCATCGGCAATGATCAGAGCTCCGAGAGCGTGCTTGGGATCAAAGAGATCAGGTGCGACTGTCATTGCGATGGGGAAGTTGGGACGGAGCTGGTAGTCGCGGTACTCCTTGTTGCACTTGTAGACGTCCTTGTAGATGCCACGGCGGTTGACAATCTTGCTATCGACATCATACTTAGAGTCTTGGGCAGGGTCGGCAGGAACATAGTAGCAGTGCTCGAAGTTGTCACGAATCTTCTGTGCCCACTCCTTGAAAGTGATGACCTTGTCACCCTTGATGCTGACGCCCGAGTACTTGAATTGACTGTTCTTGTTGAGACCGTCAACCCACTTGAGACAACTGTAAAGAAGACCGGTGATCTCAACGGGTGCACCGTCACGGGAAGTTCCAGGGACACCCTTGTTGCCAGCGTGGTCGCTGGAGCCCATCTTGTCCATCCAAGTGCCGCAGTTCCACTCGTTACCACCGAAGATGATACCAGTGTGCCAATCGGTCTCGATGTCGATGTTGAAACCAGCATCCTTCATCTGGTCGTCGATGCCGGGACCAGCATTGGCCTCACGGAAGTGCATGCCAGTAGCGTGGCGCTGGAGACACTCCTGGATAACGTCCTCGATGGTCGAGGTTTGGGAATAGGCGCGCGAATCTTCCCACGAGAACCAAGTGTCGTCGTAAGGCAGGAAACGTCTGGCGACCTTCTCCTTGAGAATATCACGGCCATTGGGGACCATGTTGCAGTAGTCTTGGATGTTCTGCAAAAAGAACCAGACAGAGTCGCGAGAGTTGTATCTAGGAATCTTTCCAGAGCCGAGCAAGTTAGGAATCATACCGTGCTTGACAACACTGGCAAATGCCTTGATGTGCTCCTTGGCATCTTCGAAACGACCAGTGGCAAGCAAAAGACCGCGCAGAGAAATGAAGACATCACGTCCCCAGCATCTTGCCCAGTCTTGAGCAAAGTGAGGCAGACCAGCTGCCAGGGAGGGGACGAGCTTGTCGGGCCACAGAGAGGCGTTCTTCATGAACCCTTCGCATTGGACACTAACAAGAGCCATACTCTTGAGGAAACGCTGTCCTTGGCGGATGTTGGTGCTCATTTGCTCGATGGCACGTTCTGTGGAGGCCTTGTATGCAGTCTGAATGACAAGTGCAAAGTAACGAGGCAACAGGAAGCTGGGGAGCTTACGAATAGCTTCGAAACGGTCCTTGAGCCATCCAGCAGGGGCAGAGAGGCGAGTGTAGCCGTCACGGGAGACGAGCTTCTCCAGGCGGTGGACAATGAAATCAAGAGCCCATTGACCCTGTCTCAGGTGGTCACAGATGGGGTGACCAAGGTTGTTGTCCTTGATGACGTCTCTCAAAACACTCCACCAGCCCTGGAAACCGCAATAGACCAGCGGGCTCAGACCGGGGATGTTGTAGACGCCATCAGAGCCGTTCGAAGTGGCCTGCTCCTCGGCGTCGGCGCGGTAAAGAACAGCGTTCAGATCGTTGAGGTCACACTCTCTGAAAGCATCTCTGGCGCCGGAAGTGACGTACTTGTCAAGACCCTCTGAGTGCTCTGCGCTGGGGATCCAGGTCTCGAAAACTGCGATACTGCCAGGAGGGAACTTCTCTGGGATGGTGATAATAGCAGAGTCATTCTGGTTGTCAACCTTCACACCACGGATGTCCTTGGTGTTCGCGTTCAGGCCTCTCAACACCTTGTCCTTCATAACGGCTTGCTTGGCTTCGTGACTTTGGTCGACCTCGAGGTTCCAAGCACCTAGCAGAGAGGCCTTTGATCCAGTAAGGTGTACAGGCTGGAAGCCAGCGTTGCCGTTGCCGTAACCAGGGAATGCAGTGTGGGCAATCAAGAAGTAGCCCTTGCGCGACTTGGGGTGCATACGGTGAACGGTGATGTATTCGCCCTCGTGATGAACGTGAGTCTCTTCATAGTGGTCCTTGCCCATGATGGTGTGAAGCTGATTCAACAGACGCTTGACGCTGCCAATGCCAGGGCCCTCTCCAACCTTGAGGTTCGACATGGTGGAGTAAGGTGAGCTGTATTGACGCTTCTCATGGACAAGCTCAATGAGTTGGGGATAGACCTCGTCGTAGCCAAAGACGCTGCCGATGGAGGCGGCGCACATGGCCACCAGAGCAGAGTTGGAAAGGGTGTCTCTGGCGTCTCTGCGCTGAGCGGGTAACTCGTTGTCGTGAGTGCAGTCCATGAGCAAGGCGTGAACGGTAGCAGGGCGAATCTTGTGAACAACCTCCTTGACTGAGGGAGCTGGCTCAGTACCAGAGTTGCGCTTCTGTGCATCTGAGATCTCGTCGAGCTCGAAGCTGCCAATGGGGCGGCCACAGTTCTCGTGCACAAGCTTGCTGACCTCTGCAGTGCTCCAGCATTGCATGGCCTCACGGATCAAGCAAGACAGACCAAGACGCTCAACGTAGACGTAGTCCATCTTCTCGTCGCCAGAGAAAAGCTCGGCCATGACCACGAGGTTGGGACGAACGCTTCTCGCAGCGTCAAGCATGTACTCGGCAAGGTGAAGGGGNGTAGAGTGGCAGTTGTCGATGCGGAAGCCGTGGAAGTGCTTGGCCATGAGGCGAGTGTACTCAGCCATGAACTCCCAGAGGAAGGGACTGTCCTCAGGGCCGGCACCGTAGCGCAGCTTGACACAGTCACCCCAAGGAATGAGCTCTCTGCGGAGGTAAGCCTTGGAGTTCGGACCAGCGTTATCGATGAGCACGTTAGCGGCCCAGACCCAACCATTGTTGGCCAAGGCCAGCTCGCCGGCCTCGTGCTTCTTTGTCGTCTCGTTGGCAGGGAGTCTGGTGAAGTACGACTCGATCAATGGGTACTCCTTGTTGATCGGCTTGCCCACCATAGGACCGCCCTCGATGCGCATGTATTTTGTGCGGCCGTAAATCTGCTCCAGGATAGCAGTGCTGTCGGTGTTGTATTCGTCGTAGAAAACTGCGTTGATCTCCTCCAGGAAGTGAGTCATTGCACCCATGGCGCTGCGCTCGTCTGTAGTACTGCCGGTCTTGGTGTTGTACTTGCCGAAGAGTGACTGGAGAAGCGCGGCAGCATGTTGAGGGTTGATCTTGCGGCGGAATCTCTCACCAAGGTGGTCGGTGCCGGACATGGCGTATTGCTTGAGCCAGTCGGTCTTCTGCTTCGAGGACCAGCTACCAGTACCAACAAGGTCAGGAGTCTTGTCAGGGAACTCGACCTGATTCTCCATCCATGCCGAGACGGCGGCCGAAGCGTCACGCTTGACATCGATTATGTAGAACTCCCAGAGCTTGATGGCGTTGATAACTTCCACGCGGAGGGGGCTTGTGACTTGAACGAGGTCGTCTTCGTTGTTGATCTGAGTAGGAAGGCCACGCTTCTCGAGCTCGGAGCTGAACTTGAGAAGCTGTGTGTCCAGTTCAAAGGCGGCTTGCAACCACGGAGATGTCTTCATGTTGTAACCTGCTTCGGGGTGCTCTTCCAGCCACTTGCTGTTGTTGGCTGTGTGGTTCCAGACAACATCGGTCAGCGACAAAAGGCCATAGTTCTTCTCCATCTTGCTGGTCAACGCCTCGACATCCTTCNNCTCGCCGTTGGCAAAGATCTGCTTGTCGAAGGTGACCTGATCGTAAATGCTGTAGGGAGAATTCGAATCACCACGCATCATAAGCGGAGTAAAGTGGACCATGTTGTAACCTCTCTCGCTCATGCCGTGTAGGTGCTTGTCCCAATCGTTGGAGAGATCACCCATGAATTTGGACAGACATGAGATGATGGACAGACTCTTGAGCGGCAAAGTCGAGTCCTGGACGGTCAAGCGAGGACTGACATCAAGGTACCAGACCTTTGTCTCTGTCGCCTTGGGAACATCGCTCTTGCCGGTCGTGAGCTTGGGTAGAGGGGTGTAGGTGATGTAGTAGGAAAAGGGACCGGCGTGAGGGATCTCGACGTCAATCTCAATGTTGCGATTGAAGTCGGGAGTCAGTCTGCATAAATCGTCAGTGATAGATACGTTGCGAGTGTGCAGAGTGACTTACTTGTACTCGGTGTAGTTCTTGCGTACGAACTTCTGGCCCTTGGTGGGAATGTTTACCCAGAGGCTGCCCTCGCGACAGATAGAGCTGGTGCCCTCGATGACAAAGCGGATCTTGTAGACTGGATCGCTGGGCGGTGGCAAGTAGATGTACTCGCCGGCTACGTCGGGCGAGCCATCGTCCTTGAGAGGCAGGAGGTATATGGCCTGCGTCTGTTGTAGAGTCGGGGCCATTGGTGCGGCGGATTAGGTGGTGTGAAGGAAAGCAATGGCAGCGATTACGTAGGTGTATACTCAGTGATGGAAGTTGAGATCTTAGAAGATGAGAGGTGATGGATGGTGTTAATGAGTAGCTGGGGGTGAGAATGCAAAGACGATGGATGTGAGCTGATGAGCGTCGAGACTCGAGCAAGCAGCGAATGTGATGATGTTGCGTGAAGATGAATTAGAATAAGTGACAGCAAGCAAGTCAATTGTTGACTGTCTCGAGGACGAATAGGCAGGAGCAACGAGGGGCCGTATGTACACAGAGGAAGAAAGTGCAGGCGCGTGGCAGAAGTTTGCTGGATTTGTTACTCGGTACCTGATGATCTCGGCGATCGCCCATCGACCTCTTGCTCTTGCCTACTTTCGCATGCGGGACTCGATAGCTCCTGCTGCCCACAAAAAGCCGCCAACGTCATTGTCCTATCCCGCACTCGAGCTAACTTGATGAAGACACTTGCATTCCTCAACCAACACCTGTGCTTTTCACCCGTTCACCAAGGACGAAGACACTTCGCTTGTCCGTCCGCTCTCACGTTAGCGACTCTGTTTATATTGCTCGCTGTGCGTGGGAAATGTTCCAAAGAAGACGTGTCTCGAGTGCTGCAATGAGCTTCGCGAAGCGACTCGAGAGTTAACGCTTCGGTCGACAGCTGCTCTCCACGCTCTCCGCGGCCAATACTCTCAACACTGGGGAATTCATATCGACCCGAGCGGCTAGTTGCCAACTCTGCGTGCTGTCGCTTTCCGAACACATGGAGGGCCGAAGAAACGCCAGTCTTCTGCTGCGGAGAGAGAGAGGAGATCGAGAAACTTGGACGCGGAGACGATAACTCAACAACATCGGCCGCCCACGAAACTTGGTATCGTAGCCGTTTGACAGCCCTATCGTCTATTTAAACCATTGAAACCGGTCGACAACAATGTCATGCCTATCGAGTCTCCTCCATAACTGCATTTGCCGAAAGACCTTTTCCCTGCTCTGAGTCGTAATTCCTCAAGGAACAAAGTTTTGCTTGACATGACGTTCCTCTCCATGGTACAACTACATGTCGAGCATGCTCACATGTGGAAGCAGCCCTCATCAACAAAGACACTTTGCTGCGATCTGTACCTTGCTCACATGGGACGTCGAAACTGTTCCGGTCAAATTGTCACACAACAAAACTGGCCAGTCCGGAATTGATTAGAGTTTCTGGTTATCAAGCATGGCTGGTCAAAAGGCTTTGAAGATTGCATCATAATAATTGACTGTAGATGGGGGTATCACCAGGGTCAATGGTAGCCAAAGGTAGGTGGCCAGTTGCTGGAAAGATCAGGCAGCCGTCGGCAGAGGATCCCATCTGTGTCTCGCATCAGATCTCGTCGGAACCTTTTTAAAGGGCATCTGGGGTCCTTGATGCTGTATTTCCCAGGCCTGCCTACTGGCTCGTGTATTTCACGTTTCGCTGCTTGGACCATAGAGGGCAGACAGGGAGTCCTGGTGCCAGATGAGCTGCCTTCTCTCGAGCTCTTCAGAAGAGAACCTGAGCACGAGGTCAGAGAGATTATTGAAAGACAAACGTATCGAGAGAAACGAAACTTCTGGTAATGCGGACGGGCTGGCCAGCAGTTTTGATACACCGGGAGTCTCAGGAGCAGCATTTTCAGGACCTCGTGCAAGAGTGTCAACCTCACAGGAGTACCAGGAAGGAGACGCTGAGCCAGCACGCCAAAGATTTCACAAAGAATGCACCAAGAAAAATAGTGACAGGAGGAGAAAATGCAATCGGCAAAGGCTCTACGACTACAAAATTTACATGAAGGTCGAACCCAGAAAGGACTCTCGAAGCAGACGGAAGATAGCCACCAAGACCTTTTGATGGTAGGCCTCGAATTTAGTCATCTACTCAGCCGAGACGCTACTCTCAGCAACGGTGGCGATACAGAGGGCCTACACAACCAACCGCTACAAGAAAGGCAGCTGAAGCAGAGAAGCGATGTTCCAAGAAAGCTGCTGGCCCCTAAACAAGCCCAGGCGTGCTCAGCGATAGTAAAAGCTCCCTCCACCTTTCGCTCGATCCTGATGACGACCAGCTCAGTTATGCGAACATCCATGGCAATGTTATTGCTCAGAATACCTCGGGCACATGTGTGCGATCAGGGTCAGTTGGGCTGACACTGCTTATCTCTGCAGAAAAGCTGGCGCTAGATCTTGTGGAGAATCAACATCCTCAAGAACAACGCTTTGAGATCAAAGTTTGATTTAAAAGAGCTGCTGGTGTCTGAGCCGGTCTAGGAGCTTCGGACACACTGCGCGCCTGTCCTCTGGCATGGCGGGAGATGCGAGCGTGTGTAGCAAATCTCTCATCCCACACCAAAGCTCTTCTATGACAATAGAAGGACATGCATGTGTCTGATACAGGCGGCGATCCCGGCGCGAAGGGCCTGATCAACCACCAACAAAAGAATGACTGACCTTGACGAGTCAACACCAACGGCCTCTATGTCGAGCATGCATGCAATGGTGGGCAAGTCGGTGGAGTCGATGCTGTACCACAACTGAGGGCGGTGACGGGGGATCTCCTCCATAACGACCGAGTTGCGGAACTTGGCCAGCAGACAGTCGATGCCCTGTATGGTGGCATAGGAAACATCGCACTTCTTCATGGAACCGTACATGTTTGACCCCTTGCCCACGCGACGCTGGATGAAGTTTGTGATGAACTTCGGGCGGACAAGTTCGATGCCTCCAGCAAGAGACGTAGTGTCCTAGAACCGTCAGTAAGGAACCTGGTGGAGTACGGGACCATGCAGCAAGCAAGGCGGAGAGGAAACTCCCAAAGATACAAGGAGCGTTTTAGCAATCAAGAGCGATCTTAGAGTCGAAGCTGAAGATCCAGCATTCAGGTTGTTGGAGAAGTCGATACGGAGGTACGAGAGATCGTAGTGACCCTCCGAGGTGGCGTCGAGGAAGATCTTGAGGTCCTCGAGATCGACACCGTTGGAGATGTTGCGCAACATGATGGTAGTGCGAACATCAATGCCGGCCTCGATCTTCTGGAGGTTCACAATTTGAGGCTGGTTGAATGTCCAAAAGGCCATGTGGGTCTGACAAACAGGAGAATCTTCCGAGGGAATCTACCAGGCAGGCTGGCGGGACTGATGTCCACGCTAACCACCACAGAAACGACGAAGGACGTAGCTACCATAGGAGCGAGGAGTATACTCAACTCTGGAGCAACACACGCAAGTCAGGGTGCTGCGCAGGATTTGAAGCATAGGCGCATCAAGCGGCACTGCGCTTGACCGTATACGTACACTGTTTCTTGGTGAGTTATTGTTGACTATGATGATGACGAGGATAGAGAAGAGGTTGGTTGGTTCGTGGTTGTGGTGAGTTTTTGCGTGAAAGGAAGAGGGCAGAGCGAGGGGGTCTTTGAAGGTAATCATTGGTCCTTCCTCCGTTGACGCAGTTCGACGACGACGGTCCCTGTTTTCACTCTCGCCAGTGATCTCGATTCAGGGTGAAGGAGTATCTCCTGTGCAGTGGTCGACGAGTGCTCGCTTATACTGCACGACAACACCTTCGCATGATCATAACACGTGAGATGCTCGTTCACTATCAATGGCAGGCAACATCATCGTCGAACAATAGGCACTCTGTCGACTATCAATCAGGTAGGTCCGTCGTGCATGAACGACATCATAATCAAACAACTATCTCCTCCTCCTTCTCCTTCTCTCCTTTCTTCCATCTCACACCACTATTCCATCCCGCGCACCCACCACTACAACAAGATGTGGCAGCAAATCAAAGATCTCTTCCGTGCTTGCTTCGGCGAGCGCGACACCATCGAGCAGCCTACCCGCCCTCGCAACCCTGTCAGACCTGCTCTTCGTCGCTCCTCCTTCTCTTGAAATCACTCCTCCATCGTGTCGTGGCATACAAACATACAGCTATCCAAACGCAGTAAGTAATACTCTTGCTCACGCTATCCACGGAGAGAGCTGTACGAGAGGCGCCGGCAAGGGCTCCCAATGAATACTTGATTGACACGGTCTGACAATATGCATCTTGATAGTGACACTTGCATACAGCACGAAAGTCGAGATGAAGCAGACATAACATATCCCATGCTCCAACAACGGTCAGTACATCACTATAAAAATGCAGAAAAACTTCCACTAATCCACCTAGGCCAACGAGAGAAACTCAGATGCAATGACTAGTCCATGCAGTCCATACTAGTCTTGAGAAGAGCATTGATAAGACTCAAATCCACATGACTCTCTCTGCCCTTCAAGCCTTCAGGGTCAAAGTTCTTAGCCAAATTCTCGAACCAATGCATGCGCTTCTTTTGCTCGTCGGTTGGCTTTGCAGCTCTATAAGCATCCTTTAGCTCCTCCCAGCCACGCATACTTCCAGCGTCCTCAGCAATACCATGACCGTTACCATCGGTGCATTTGAAAGCGTCGTCAACGTTACCACGTCCAATGATCTCAACCTCGTGTCCCCACTCATCACCGTGATCGTACATGTACTCCCACTCTGCGTTCTTCCATTCATTCTTGTTGAACTGCTCGCCGACATGGACTTTGTCTGCCTTCTTCTCGGGAGTCTGAGAGTGCTTGCGGTCGTAAGAGTGCAGTGAGTCAATGTGTTTGTCGTCGTTGGGATTGACAATGCGAATGTAGTTCTGGCGAGGGCCGAAGTCTCTCTGCTCGCCCGCGTCTTGACCCATACGACGTGCAATTAGGGCTCTGATGTCGTCGACAGGACGCTCGTCGGCAGTGGGATCGCGGGCGACAAAGTCATAGCTGTGTGCCGCTGCCCAGCCAAAGGCAATCTGGATAGCGTAATGCAGCTCCTGGAACGTGGCGCCATCAGGGCAGACCAAGGTGCGCCAGATCTGGGGCTCTCTGGAGTCAGGGATGGTGATCTTGAGGATCCAGGAGGGCTGTTTCTTGGGCTGGCATGCGTGCTTGTGGGTAGGCCAATCCTTTCTCTGGCAAGCGGCACCTNNGTAGTTGTGTCAGCTTGACCACCTGGCGACGTGGCCATGTCGGGGTCGCTCACCGCAGTACTTGCGACTACCGCAGCGGCCACAGGTGACGAGCTTGGGTTTCTCTTCGAGACAGACTTCGCACTTTCCGGCGCTCATGATCGTGGTTGTCGGGTTGGTTTGTAGAAAGGGCAATGAAGACGAAAATTTTTCTTTGAAGATTGAGAAAGCGGGGTCAGTTCGGGGATGTTGATTGATCATGCTTGATCACTGATCGAGCGTGATCGATCAATGATCAAGCATGCTCGAGCAGGATGTACTTACAAAAGTGCGGAAAAAAAGATGGGGGAGTAGTCGATAACTACCTAGACTCGAAGACTCGAGGCCTCAGCAAGCAGTCTGTTGCGGAAACTCGGAGCTGTTGATCGAAAAGTCGAGCCAAGCAGTGTTTTTATTGTATTCGAGCAGGTCATAAAACAGGGTTCGAGCATGCTTCTACCATGGTCTTAACATGGCCTGAATACTGTTTGAACAATGTTTGAACAGACTTCGATGTACGCGACAGATGGCTCCGCTACTACTTGACTTACCGAGAACAGGTCTATCTTGCGCTTGTAGTTGGTTGAAAATGTGTTTTGCGACGTCTTCACTCGAGAGAAAAGTGTGTTCATGGTATACCACTGGTGGGTCAAAGCTTTACTAAAGTGGAACGCGTGAGGTGCGACGTTCGTGGTTGCTACCTAGAGCATTGCAAACATATTTTATCTGCATCCAGACCACTATCTATCTTAGCATTCTCGAAACCGTGATCAAGATGCCTCCCAAGCGTAAGAACATTTTCGGTATGTTGTTGACGACCTCTCGTTGATGAAATTGCTGCAGGCAGAACCCGTGGTGACGACGACGCGTCTGCTTCGGAAGGCAACTCCGGTGTATCTCCAGCTCCTGCAAAGCGCGCCCGAGTCAACAAGAAACGGGTCTTCGTTACATCCAAGATCTTCTATGAGAGATCGATTTCAATGGCGGTGTAGCAGCATCAACCCCAGCATCACACCCACTAGAATCCTTGCTCGCGCTCTCTCACGATGAACTCGCGAAGCATGCTCTCAATCTTCAGAACCAGCTGACAGCACTTCAACAAGATGGTATGNGCAACTCCAGCGAAGTATTGGGCGAAGAGAAGATTGCCGAACGAGCAAAGAAGACGAGAGACGTATGTGCAGCAGAGATCAAGAAACAGATGAAATAGCAACCCAGCTGCAAGAAAGCAAGTACAAAGTGGAATTACAAGGGCATCGTCCCTTGTGAGGAGGTCTTCTATAAGCTCTTCGGATCCGGGAAGCCTATCAAGCCATGGAAGTATAAGGCGATCGATATGGTTGACTTTGCACAATGCATTGGTGATATCAGTGCTTCTGTAAGCTTTACACAACTGAACTGAAAATCGAAGTATATTAATTCTGGACAGATCAAGTATAACACCTTGAACCTCACAGGTGATAGCGTCAAGGTTCATTGGGATCAAGACAAGAAGACTTTGAAGTTGACTGGAACTTATGGCTTGTTATTACTGCCTTTCGCAAGACATCACCGTTTCTGTGAGGGATGTCAAAAGGTCTGAAGGCAAGTATATGCTCCTTTGCTATATAATGCATAGAGCCTAGCTTTCCAATGATGATTTGTCCAGGCCGTGTTGTATTCTTGGTACTTCGACATTTGTCTCGTGCAAGGCTGCAACATCTGGCTCGAGGAACAGGTGGCCTTATTCTAGTCTAAAACGATTCTTCCCCCACGGGAAACATAACCATCAACAGACAAAGAGCTCATGCCTCACTTCAACAACAACACATCATCAAATAATGCTTGTTCCCAAATTGATCGATGATTACGCTCCTTGGCAGATAATGTTACCACTCTTGCTGGCAGCCATATCCGTCTGCCGATACGCGAGGCGTGGTAGCACCATGAGACAGCCGTTGCTTTGCAGCATGCTGTTCATACTGTTCTTTTTGTGTCCTAGAGTGATTAGTAGTGGTGCTGCTGAGTACGGTGTGGGGTTTACTCTTGCCCTCGATTATGGGTGAGTGGGGCTACCTTCGATGACTGTCCTTTCGAACACTGACGTGTTGTCTTGTAGTACAGCGAGTATATGGTATGCCAATGGCACAGCAGTTGATGTCGTGAAGCTCGAGGGAGGATCAGCATACAAGCAGGTTATGCGTTCAGCGAGTGTGGAACCATACTCGCCAATCTCTTCGCCTAAGCTGACTCGAGGCTCACCAGGCCTCATGCCTTTCCAAAACTACTTACCATCATGGACTACTGCAGAACCTGTCGACAACGGTGCCGAAGCCGTCAAATGGATGCTCAATGGCCTGAAGGCAGCCACGGAAGCTTGCCTGGAAGAGCCCCTGACTGCTGTCCGCATCAGCACTCCTTTCTCACTTCAGTACAAGAGTCCATTCTACAACACTTTGCAAGCAACAGTCGAGTCTCTAGGCCTAAGAAGTTTCGGGGTCGTGACAGCATCGACCAACATAGCAAGAATCTATGGTCTCGAAGGTCAATGCGACAACGATCCCTACAAAACACCCGATGAGATGGAGAAGCCAGATGATCCGCCGCGCGAGTACCTTGCGCTCGACTACAGCCGGGCTGGCATTTCAGCATTTGTGGTAGAAGAAGATTGCGGAGTTGAGATCACACATCGAGAGTTGCACAACACTACCCTAGGGGCAGTCGTTGAGTTTCCTGGCAAGCGCGAGGACCTCACTCATGCGCTGAAAGATCTTGTCTTTCGACCTTTCGATACAGCGTACAGCACGTGGCAAGCAGTTATCTCTGAGCTAGTCTTGCTCGGCGAATCCTCACAGAACGTAATATTGCAAGAAGTCCTATCAGAAGTCTTCGGGAGCAACTACACCAATCTCAAGGCCAGAAGTGATAGACGAGCAACTACGCACCATCCGCTATTCGCTGGCTCTAGAGCCGCTGCAGCAAGTTGTCAACAGCGGCTAGAAGTTGAGCTGACACACGAATGGGATGAACACTTCCAGGACTGGCTTCCGAAAAATACTCAAAAAGATCAAATATGGTGGTGGCAGACTCTTAAGCGTAGCTCTTAATACACCTCGACTAAAAGGCTTTCTTCGGACATGCCTTTTTCCGGTAGTATTGTGCATTCTGATAGGTGAAAAGTGACATTCTCTTGTAGAAAGAGATAGGTCAGAAGTGGCAAGATAACATGCAAGATACAATATGAGAATGATACCTCCAAAAACAAATCGAGAAAGAAAAAAGGAGATTTGCAGCTTGTGGGAATCGAATCCACGCCTCTACGATTCTGGCGGCATCGCTGCGTAAACAGCTCCATCGTCACCTTACTATGCCTTGTGTTTGCAAGAGCAGTATTTGCGTAACGTCTTGACCACTGGACTAAAGCTGCTGGATTGAGTGTCGATGGAACTTGGGAGTTAATGTAGGTCATGCGGGTTGGAGTCGGCGCCTTCCTGCATTGATTGGCTGCTACGCGGTTTGGAAGTTCTCCTAGGCAAGGGCAATCTTACGCAAATTCCTGGCTTTCATTGTTGGCCAGCTTGTTGAATCTCGAGCACAGAGAGCACCAGGTCTTAGTCGGACAAAAGTCGAATGTCTTTTTTGAGATGAGGTTTTTCGTTCAGATGAAGGGTCATGTACAACTAACTTTGAAGCACATGGAGAACCTTCGTAGACCCATGATGATATATTCCTCTTGACCACTAACGTACTAACGTGTAGCAAACACCTTGAAGGTCTGTACATCCCTCTTAATCCTGTACAGATCTCCCAGCTTCAATTGCCAAGAATCGGCCCATCTCGTGTCTGTAATCTCCTTGATGTCCTCAATGTCGACTCTGTGATGTTGTAACCATGCTTCAATGGCATCCAGATCCTCAGGTCGGTTTTGCCATGCCATTGCCCCTCGCTCGTATTCTATGAAGCTATGCAGTCGTTGGTCGGGGTCGTTGACGGGAGGTGGATATGCAGATGGTCTGGTCGCGGGGGGTTGTGGTTGTTGGTTGGGTCGTGGAGCAAAGTTGGGCGTGTCTGCGTTTGTGTAGTCTGTGTTTCCACCAAGAGACTGTGAGGGAGTATGCATGATGTGCTGGGTTGGTTGTTGTTGTTGCGGACGCTGCTGTTGTGGTTGCTGGTCGCCATCTTGGAGGCTATCTACTTGATGGTGATTCTCTGCTGGCCTCGGGTTGGTATTGTTACTAGTCATTGGGCGTCCAGCGACCATGGTACCCTCCNNCCATTGAAACACGCCATTGGAAGCAACTGGCACATTTCGGTTGGAAGGATCAAAGTGCAATTGCTGTGGAGACGGTTGTTGCGATTGCGGCGTGTTGGGTGAGCGAGCGTCGCCAGGTCTTTCAATGCGCCATGGCCGTGTGTACTTTTGGCGTTTGGAGGGCGTGTACTGGACGCACTTGTCGAGATGCTTGACTAGCTCGGTCGTGTGCCAACTACGTTCTTTCTGGCAGTGCTTGCATACTGCGCGTTCTGTCCTGTCGCCCGGTCCTGGTGGCAGTCGCGTAAAGTTCTCTTCGACCTCTGGTAATGGTGCGCGCCCGCCTTTCCGCTTCTGACTATGGGGCTGAGGAGTGGTGTTGACTACGGCTGACATGTTGCTGTGAGTTGCTGATGCATGATGGTCAAGGGAGCGGCCGCAGAGTAGCTCTAAACAGGAAAATCATGATGATGTTCATGACGCAACGCCAAGCCTGTATCACCTCCAAGGCTCTCCTACCGTCGAGATATCAGATTATTATTGGTTGAGTACTAGATAGTATATGTATTCTCAGCATGCTGGCCTCTTTGCTGACCACATGTGCGTAGCTATGATTTGGTGCCGATTCACGGCAACTATCTTTCACCGAGGCCATGCTATGTCTATGCATCCTTGTTGTATTTACCTCACCATCGGATCGTTGGCATGCCGCACTGATAGATGCTGGCTGGACGTGGACCTCCGATTGGTGAGGATAATCCTTCATGTTTGTATGAGGAGAGTTGCAACCGTCGGTGCCATTGATACTTAAGCTGGCCAGTTCGAAGCGTGTGGACGCCTTCGGTCTTGTCTGGCCCTGATGATCTCATCAAAGAGTAGGTCCAATGTCGAGTCGCGGTAGACGAGATGTCTTGAGCCTGGGCGTAGAAAGGGTTTGAATCTCATACACCAGTACCGGGGAAAGCACCCTTCTTGTTGAGCACGACCATTCCATGGGCTCGAGAGATGTACCCTTTCATCATGCCCTTGTAGATCAGATTGGCAAGCAAGCACTCGACCTCGTCACCCTCGAGCTCGGTCTCCCCACCAAGTTTTAAGGCAGCAGTGAATTCCCTCAGCGGGATACGGCTCCTTCGGACTGACTCTGCGCCTTCTTGGCCCTCTTTTGGTGCTTCGAGCTCACCAGCAAGATAGACCTTTCGGACCAGATTGCGAAGACAGATGTCACGGCCACGTTCGAGGGTGAGATATACTCTGCGCTTGACGAACTCTTCTTCTCCTGCTTGGAGAGCAGCGTCAAAACCGGCCAGGTCACCCTTCTTGATGCAAGCACAAAGCGGAGCGAAGAGGCGTTGCAGACCAGGATAGGGTGCCAACATTGTCTGAGTAGGTAGAACATGGGCAGTGATGAGTCTAGTCGGGATGAGATATGTCAAAATGAGTCTGATGTTGCGAGTGGATCCTGTCAATGCTTTGTTGTAAGCAATGGTTAGATGTTCCTCGGCTTTTGCGTAATCCTCATGCAAGAATTTAAGGACGCCCAGGTAGTAGTTGTAAGTGACTTGCTGAGCACGAGGGAACCGCTCGAGTGGAGGCAAGTCTGTGTTTGTCGCTGAGAGTGATCGAATGACGTTTTGTGAGAGTGCAATTGAGTTCAGCTGTTGAAACAGTTAGCATGTCGCGATTGATAGATGGAGAGGTATAGCCACCTTGAAGTATGTCTTGAACTGCAAGTTCGCAATGTAGTATGCGCCCCATTTGCGCGAGGTCTCAATGGGAGATCTATCACCAATGCAAAGACTGAAGACTCTGTTGATCTGGCGTGCAGCATCCTCGAGCTTCTCATTTCCTCCGGCAGCATCTCCGACATCCTCCTCGAAGGCGTTGAATGACGTCTGCCCCTTTTGGAATGCAGCATCATCGGCTTTGATGGCAAAGACGCGCAGGTACTTGCCCACAAGGTAAAGACAAGGTATTGTCCAGGCATCAAAGACTTCAATCTGGTAACCTCTCAGAAGAGCATTGAGAAGGTCCTTCCAAGCATTATAAACCTTGTCCCAGTTGGCGACCATGCTTTGAGATTTGGTCGCGTTCTTTCCTAGATTGAGTGATTCTTCGGCAATGAGAATCTCACCAACAGCCTTCCAGTATGCGACAAAGACATCAGCCCAGGGGTTGACTTCGTTTCTCTCCAGTTTGCAAGCTGGGTTGTGCGAGAGAGCATGACGAAAGTCTGATTGAACGCTGAAGGCATTCGAGTCTCTGTGAAGGGCATACAAGCGACCACTATCATGCTTGGGGGCGACTGGCGACATCGTGCTGGCGAGCTCATAGCCTCCCCGTGCCATCATCGCACGCCCAAAGTCAATCATTACGTTGTTCATCCTGCTGATCGAGTCCAAGCGACTGCGGTACAGAAGACGAAATGGTCTAGACTGAAGGTATCACAAAAGACCTACACAGGGAGTCAGTGACAACAACACTGGCATGTGATGTTGATGGTCGCTGATGGATCTGGTCTGAGCTTCAACAGCAGGCCAAGTGACGCGGCGAAAAGTAAGGCCGGCTCCGAGCTGGCTTCGACGCCAAGGAAGGCGCGAGGCACGGCTTGTGCCGGTAAACGAGGAGTCTGGCGTCAAACTCCACCCAGCGCGCAGGAATTTCTCTCTCCCAAGCGACTTGACAATTTCCGTTGTACTAACCTTCCAGCAAACGCAACAGTGAGTCTATCCCATTCATTCGTCAACAGCTGCGATACTGACTATTATCCAAGATGGGTAAGCAAATTCTCCTCCAAACACGTCTTCCTACCGCCGAGTTCGATCCACCGCCGATTTCCTTCCTCCATCTGGTCTGCGCACGCCCGCATCTTCACTCGCATCGTCTGCAATCCTGAATTTGGTCCGATTTGGTCACGACTGTTCCGCTTGCAAATGTCCCGACACGCTTGAAGAAATCGACTGGACCCAATGGAGGAATCGAAGACTGCGCAATAAAGAGGAGGGATTGAAGGATCGGATCGGCTGGCTGGTCGACTATCAGCATCAAAGAGCAAGGAACATTGGGCTAATACATACTGCCGTACAGCTCGCCTCCAAGAATACCAGGTCGTTGGCCGTCTGTTGCCCACTGACGCCAACCCCACCCCTAAGCTCTACCGCATGCGCGTCTTCGCTCCCAACGAGGTCGTCGCCAAGAGCAGATTCTGGTACTTCTTGTCTCAGCTGAGAAAGGTCAAGAAGGCAAACGGCGAGATCGTCACCCTCAACAAGGTACGACTATTCTCAAACCTACACAATGCTATCTCCCGGAAATGGGCTGCAGCGTTTGGCGTTAAGTGACGCGATTAACACGCGCCTGCAGNNATTCATGAGAAGCGCCCCCAGAAGGTCAAGAACTTCGGTATCTGGATCCGCTACGACTCTCGCTCTGGTACCCACAACATGTACAAGGAGTACCGCGAGATGTCCCGCTGCGAGGCTGTCCAGGCCCTCTACCAGGACATGGCCGCCCGCCACCGTGCCCGCTTCCGATCGATCCACGTACGTCCCTCTCTTGCTGGCCTCGTGTTGCCCGCCCTGGCTAATCCGCTCCGCAGANTCATCAAGGTCGTCGAGGTCGAGAAGGCCGAGGACATCCGCCGCCCCTACATCAAGCAGCTCCTTACCAAGAACCTCAAGTTCNCCCTTCCCCACCGCATTCCCAAGACCGCTGGCAAGAAGGTCTTCGCTGCCCACCGCCCTGCCACCTTCTTCTAAGCGTGTCGCTTCAGTGTGTTGCTGCGTACTGCTGGTTGGGATTGGCGTGGAAAACGGATGGAGGGCTCTATGGACCGTGGAAAAAGAATAATCCTCTTTTGCTCGTAAAGAGCATCTCAACGGACCAAAGTCAATCAAAAGAACTTTTTTTCGCAAGTCTACTTTTCACGACAAAATCATGACTTCCTTCTAACTCTGCAGTGCCTTTTCGTCCCTTTCTTTTCCTTCTTCCCCTCCTTTCCCTCTCATACTTCATCAGTGACTCTGTACATCATGTACACNCCAGCGATGCAGCTCGTAGGAGTTGCCCGAGCTACTTGCTTTNNTTCAACGCAAGAAGCTCGGAACGGAGCGTTGGTAGATTGAATGTCCAGTCGAGGGAGAGAGGANGTGCCTTACGTCGCTTTNTGATCTTTCTTGTGCCGGCAGGGGAACGAAGAGATTTGGCCTAGACTTTCGTGGGTCCCGTCTAAGAGAACCCCCTAACATCTTGCTTTGTCATGAGGCATTCTTGCTTTGATAGTCTTTGTACTTGGAATGTTATTTGACTTCTACTTGATCTGTATCTCGTTTTTGTTGTGACATGTTTCGTGCAATTGGGTCAGATTCTGATCCAGGCTGTTCGCAGTCATGTTACTGAAAATGTACTTGCTCATTGGACTCTATTTCCAAAGGCATGATTATATGGTATGGTTCTCTACTCTTCAGGATTCAAGTCTTGATCCTCGCCAAACTCGACAACCACCCACTGGCAAAACTTTTCAAAGTCCTTTGCCCACTGCTGCATCCTCATTGCCCTTTCGCCCTTGCCATATGCACCATCCTTGAGTTCCTGCTGCCACTGCTGTGCATTCATATCTTCAAAAGAAGCCCATCTGACACTGTTTTCTGCCAGCGAGGCCAGGCCTTCCAAACCTAGATTCTCCCATCCTTGCAGCGCTTGCCAGAAGTCGTGGGTCATGCCGCTGTGTCCGTGGCCTAGGATTGCTGGGTCGTCGTTGCAGAGGGAGACGGGGACGCCGCGGGCGAGTAGAGCGGGTAGAGGGTGTGACATGATACTGCCAGTCAGACGGAGTACTTCGTTACTGATCGGACAGCTTTCGATGAGGATTTTCTTCTCCTTGACCATGTCACACAGTAAAGGGTGTTTGTAGAGCGAAAACGCATGTCCGATGCGTCGTGTACCGAGCAGAATCGCATCAAACAGGTTTTCGTCCGTTTCATCGCCGTCGCCGAGGGTTTCGCCGGCGTGGAAATAGAAGGGAATGTCTACTTTGTTTTGGGCGCATGCTTTTTTGAACCAGAAGAGTTCGGGGGTGAGGTCCGCGAGGGGGCGGCCGAGGTCTTCTTGGCCCACGAGGTCGAAGCCGCAGATTAGTTCTGGATAGAGGATTTTCATGTCGATGCATTCTTGCATGCTTTCAATCACTTTGCGCGAGTCAAAGCTGCGGAGAGTGGTGTATATCAATCTCGCGCCCCAGAAGCCCTTGCCCAGAGCTTTGAAATTTTCAATCTCCTCGTCGAGAATGTCGATCATGAGTTCGTTGTTTGCCTCGGGCTCTTCAGAGCCTTCCTTGTAGAAAGGGTCGAGGAAGGTGCTGCGGATGTCGACGTATTGGACGCCGTCTTCGACCAAGTCTTCAAACATGCGGCGTAGAAAGGCGCGGAAGGTTGGTTCATAGTGGAGCAAGCTGGAGATGATGCCGAAACAGGACTGGAACTTGCGCCAGATGTCGTTGGGGCCGTGCATGTGCTGTATAGACTCGTCTTGTGTGATGGTGATGCGCTCCTTGAGCCACTTCTCAAACCCTTTGCGACCACCATGCGGGAAAGCATCGGCAGCGGTATCTATGGGGGTCCATTGGCCAACAGCATACGACGCATCCCATATCGAAGATGATTCGGAAGAACGATTCTTCAGCCACTTGAAGACAAAAGGTACAGAGGCTTGAGCCTCCTCAGAGTCGAGAGGTTGATCAGCTTTGATATGCATACCCTCCATGTAACAAGCTTCCTGGGTAAGCCAATCCATGTCGACCATGGCTTCCAAATGGCAATGCAGGAGAGTACCCTTTGGCATCTTCTTGACAATTTTCCAGAGTTTGGACTGTTCAATCTTGGGACGAGCGAGGGTGAACATCATTCCAGGATAGATGTCCTTGGAGTCTGAGGCCAAGCTGTCTTCATAGTCCTTGGTCCAGAGTGTTTGTTGTTCCTCGAACCTGATGGCAGAGACAATGGCACAGGCCTCGCGAGCCATTGGGGACAGGGTCTCCCGGAAAGCATTATCNTTCGGAGAGTTAGATGTGTATTAACGCGGTTGAGAATAGTTCAACGAACCACTACGCTGCTTCTTTTCTTGGGCAATGAGAGCATCTCTGCCCTGAAGGTATTCNTGGAGGAAGGGTTCCTCGAATGATGGGACACCCCTCTCAGCAAGCCATTGAGCATCGGCGTCGTCTTGTATGCTGAGTTGATCCATGTTTCGTACTGTGCACAGCCGCACGAATGAAATCTCTTCTGGAGGCAATGGAAAACACCGATACACAGATAGACAGAGTATAACACCCAAGATTTCTGTAGTCGAATCTGATACAAGGTGGATATGTTGCACAGTATCGTCTATTGCTTCGCGGATGATCGAGAGAGAAATACAGAGGGACTGCAAACAGCCCATAGGCACGCACAGACAGTTTCGGCCACAACAGGCAGCGATCGGCGACGTTGATGACGGTGGCCCTCTTGTCGGTCGTGACATGCGGAGAGTGACAACTCTAACGCGGATGTCTTTGACAGTCAGGTGCACGCTACAGATAAAGCGGTGACAAAGACACTAGCATCGCCTAAGAGTCGTGTGAGAGCGAGCGCCAGACCCAGGACGAAACGTTAGCCACAGGCGACGCATAACACTTTCCCTTCCAACACTCTCCTCATGTACCCCGCGAGTCGTCGTTGGTGTACCGTAACATGAATATACGAATAACAGACGTGCTTGGTTCAGCGCGACTCTTTGTTTCTTGACACCACCGCCACCATGGCTTCGTGGATGCCCGCCTACTTCCAGAAGCGCCTGCTCCGGACTGCCTTGTCGCGTATCGCCTTGCTGGACGTAGACTCCCTAGATCTCGACTCCTTGGGCGTGAAGATCGGCAGGACCAGCACTGTCGAGCTCAAGAATGTCGGGCTCCATGTCCAGGTATACATGTTTGAGATGATGGCACCTTCCTTTGTCAGACTAACCAACACGCCCTAGGAACTCTCGGCCCTGCTGCAGCTTCCACCGAACCTTCGCCTCCAAGTTGCCCGTGTATTGTCGCTACGCCTGACTGTTCCTGCCAATTTCTTCCAACAGAGCATCGTCGCCGAAGTAGATGGTATCGAGATCCACGTTGCAGCAGACGTGCCTGCTGAGTCTCACGACAATGCCGACGATGCAAAGGCTCCCGAGCACCGCAAAACACCCCGACGAATACACTCTCCTCCTTTCCATGATAGCGGTGGCCTTCCCTCGACCCAACAACTCGCCCAGTCTATGCTGCTAGAAGAACCAGATGGAGAAAAGCAAGAGTTGGAGGCTCGCTACATGGCCAAGTCGTCCTTGAGTGACTCAAATGACGAACTAGGCACCGGCACAAGTCTTGGTCTGCCCGCCATGGTTGCTACCTTTCTGCAGGGCATCGTGGACCGTGTTCAAGTCAGGATCAAAGACGTCAATGTCAGGCTATCTCTGCACGACTCGACCCCAGAGGCTTCCCCCATGATCTTCGTCGCACATCTGGCAGACATTCATGTCGATGCTGCTGCTCCATATACTGCTGATACTGATAGGAATCTTCAAATACCCGTCGGAAAGCGAAGGCAGATCGCCTTGGAAGGACTCAGTATCCATCTTGTGCGCGAAGAACGCTTCGCTCAAACACGTACATCTATGGCCGATCTGTTTGCATCATACACATCAAGCGCCACGAGCAGGAAAGAAGGGCAGAAAAGTGATGCTTTCTCGGAACAGGAGCCAGCTATGGCCGAATCTGGTGTTTTACCACACATGAACGTCCCAGCTCACGCATACTTGTCTGATTCGGACCATGAGAGCTTACCAGATGAGATGACACAAAGCACTGCATCTTTTGACATACGTCCTGGTGAAGACAACATCTCCTGGGCCTCTAGACGTAGCCAAGGGTCTTCTGATCGCGATCAATTATGGTCTTCCTTTGCTCCTGAAGATGATAGATCGGCCTCGGAACTACTTCAAGACTTGTCGTCTTCGGTTTTCATGAGCACAATTGATACTCGAGGATCCGCTAGCGTCATGTCACAATCAACGATCGGACAATCTTTCACAAGCGCCCAAGCCCCACCTACCGCCTCGAGTTCGAGAATTATGCGTCAGGATGAGAACTTTAGCCCTGTCACGCCCGAGCTTGAGGATGTCGTGTCTAATGTTGAGGCTGGAAGTTCGCCGACTCTGTCTCCTGACGAGTCGGATAATGGGCCTGACCTGACAGAGTCTGTGGTCTACAGTCACGCCGAGGCGCAAAGCATGTACATGAGCGCTGTAGGTCCAGCATCAGGTCCAGCGCCAGGATCCCCGAACCTCAATATGCTTCCAGGCGGCTGGAACTCTGTCATCGACGATGATGAAGACTTGGATCCTCCGTTCTTGTCGCAGCACTTGGATGAAAGATCTGGCTACGAGTCTGAGGACCGAGCCCCCACACCAACCCTACGAAACCAGTCACCTGTGTTCGAGCGCCAGTCTGAGCCCGAAAGCCAAAGCACGTCTGTGATATATGTTTCGAAAGAGCTTTTGGCCATGCACAAACTGAAAATTGGTATCCGCCAAGCTCCCTGCGTTAGTACACGCACGCACAAGGTGGAAGATTCGATTTCTCAAAGTTCAATGACAACCTCAACCTTCCAGCAAGCCCCAGGTGCTTTCTCAATCTATGCTGGAGAGGGCCGCTCGTCTGTCCGATTCGACCGCCCTACAGCATACGAGACTGCCAGGGTTCCTGAGGAAGGCGAGACAGTGGATACAATCATCGAAGTCGACGTTACTCCGATAACATTACAGTTGGATGCTGGTACAATCCGTTCATTGATCACAGTATCAGAGGTCGTGAAAGGTCCAGAACCATCTTCAGAATCGAGTCAAAGTTCCGACAAAGATTATTCAGTTATGGACCAGAACCTCCCAGGACTTTCCTTACATATGCAAATGTTCTGCGTGTCTCTGTTCCAAGATTTACCGGAGGCGTCGGTAGAACTTACTGATATATCTGCTTGGCGTCCTTTGCCATACCCGGATCATGAGAAGAGGGCGTTGCTGCAGCTCGATCTACGACACATCGACCTCGAAGTTAGCCATCGACCGCCTCCTGCAGAATTCGGGCTCAAGGTTGGTAATCTCACGTTCACAGCTGGTACCAATGACATTCTCTCGTTTGATACCACGAAGCATAAACGAGATCAAGGTAGCATTCGGCATGCGATCACTGTTGCATCTGCCACAGGAACAACGCTCCAAGGGCAGAGCGTCAGAAGGATAGAAGCTGATTTACTTCCTCTTCGCCTCAACCTCGACCTAGTCAAGTTTGACGATGACTTTGACTCACTAGGTGGGATGATTGGCATCGTCGAGATGAGCTCCTCTCTGTTGTCCAGCGGCTACTTTTCCAATAAGCAAGAGGCTTCGGCCCCACCGCGCAGAGGCGTCCGCTTCAAAGAATCTGTGGCTGATAAGAGCGCTGCTCCTGAGATGAAGTTCGGCGCACGCTTGGAAGGATTTGATGTAAGGCTGGCCTCTAAGTCGTGTTCCTTGGAGCTGCAAGCATCGACGACGAAAGTTGTACACCGACAAACTGGTGTGATTATAGGCATAGAAAAGGTAGCTCTTGCTATGCCTATGATGGATGCTCCGGCTGAGCGCTCCAATTTCGATATTGCTCTCAAACAGGTCAAGCTTGTCTATACCTTCTCACCGTCACAGAATGATCTGGGTCGTTTGATATCGCTTGTCACTCCATCTAAGAACAAGTACGAGAACGATGATGATATTTTGATCGATACTCTCATCAGGCAGAGGAGGAAAGGATCTGTTCTCAACATACAAGCATCATCCGTGCAGACATGTATCTTGGACTGGACGTTCATACCACATCTCCAGTCGCTTGGCGACGAGCTTTCTAAGCTATCAGTTGTCACGAAGTACTTACCCGAGGATGACACTCCTGGCGTATTATTCTTGATCAAGGTCACAGATACGCAGCTCAAGTTACCTATCAACGAACAATCCGGATTCTTGGAAGTTTCTCTCACGAACATACAGGTCGCTCACGTCGGTCTGCCCGCTCTCTCCGCGCTCTCTGTTGGCAAGATAAGCCTAGGTCGACTAGGAGGACACGATATCATCCACGAGATGCTTCCCGGAGCTTGTACAGATGAATACCCCATGCTCATGTTGCGCATGGTCGGAGATGAAGTGGAGCCTGTCGTGAAGGTGAAGCTGTTTAACATCTGCGTCGAGTACGACGTTCCTACACTCCTCTCTCTCACCGGTACTGAGTCCGCCCCGGAAGTGGAGCAAAGAGTGCAAGACCTTGCGGTATCTGTCCTCGACAGCTCAGGCTTAGGGCTCAAGAAGCCATCACGACCCGTGTCCGAAGTCAAAAAGTCGTCAGGAGGTGCCAACAAGAAGCTCGCAATTGACGTCTTGTTACATGGTTGCGCCATTGGCCTACAACCTAGAGAACTGGAGTCGAAGGGCCTTTTCATACTGGAGGACACCAAATTTGGGACTTCTGTTCCTCCAGAGGAGTCCTTCGAGGCCATTCTGAACATTCGACAAGCAACGCTCTATGTGGTTGACCACAAAATTATGCCATCTCTGGACAACCCAACTTCTCCTGCTTTGTCCTCTCAGCCAAACCACTCATCACGTCTGGAGACCCATCTCCTGGACAAGGGCTACGTCGCTGTCAGTTCGATCAGATCCGCTCAAGTCGTCGTGTGCGTTCTCGAAGAAGGTCCCGATCATGAGAGATTTATAGATGTCGAGCTACGTGACGAGTTCTTCTTGTTGGAGACTTGCGCAGATTCTACACAAACTTTGATTGCTGTCCTAAATGGTCTATCGCCACCTGCAATCGCCAATGACGATCCCAAGTTCCGTCCCCAACCAGTTGCTGGACTCATGACCCTGGATGATATGGTGAACTCTGTCTTGGGTGAAGCATTCATCAAGCCCGGCCCTGCTCCCTCTTCGTTATTCGATGCTGAGGTAGATCTGCCATTATCTGATGAGGAAAGTCTGATGGTTGGGTCAGATACGGCCACAGGGCTCTACGAGCCAGTGGATGAAGGCATGGGCTTTGGAGATGTAGATTTCTACAGCGGATGTAATCTACAATCAGACACGGTCGAAAGTCTTCTCGAGCAAGATCCTTTCGAGATGACGAGCTCGCCACAGTTCGGCGACGACGCTTTGT